GGAGTTGTAGTCCCAAAACATCTGGAGGGCAGAGTTTGCCTATGCCTGGCCTGGATGTTAGTGAGCTGGTGTGAATCTGCTGCCTGGCAGGAGCATACATGCCACTCACCTCCACTTATGCCCTTCCTGCAGTTTTTTTTTTTGGGGGGGGGGTTAAGCCAAGTAGTGCAAGCAGACCCATCAAAGCCTCCATTGCTCCCTCCTCCGAAGAAAGCCCAACCTTGGCAGCTCTGCCCCTTCAACATCTCATCACTGCCAGGGGTGTGGGAGAAATCTGGTTTGGTTCCCATTTCCTGAAACAATGAGCAAACCAAAATGCTGTTATCCACTGACATTTACAGCTCTATGAATTTTACAATGCAGCCTCCCCCCCACATATACTAGGGGGGAAGGTGAACACAAAAATGCACATATTAGCAAAAGTAACATGCAACAATACATTATATTAGAGAAAAGTGCTTGCAAAAAATGTGTAAGTTAGGAAAAATGTGTGCTAAGATAATGATGAATATTTTCAAAGGCTTTTTTCCATCACAAATGCAGAAATGTGACGAATAAATTTAGGGTTGTAAAAATGAGACACTGAAATTTGACAATTCGTCTATCCCTAACCACTGCTTAGGGAAGTCCAAATGTGTAACAATATGAATCCAAAGGGACTGTGAAAAGGTCTGGGGCATCTGTTTTTCCAAACACATACTCCAGGTAATAAAAGCCCCTACAGCCCAGTGCTGTCATTAGGACCAATTTTATCAAAATCCTTATTCTACAACAGATGAAGGAACCTAGGAAGCTACCGAGTCAGACTACTGATCTTTCTGCTTCAGTGCAATCAACAATGTGCCCTCTAGATGTTAGTGGACCACAACTCCCATCATCTCTGACCACTGGCTACACTGGTTGGGGCTGATGGGACTTGTAGTCCAACATCTGGAAGGCGCCCAGGGTTTTAGGCAGGAGCCTTTCACAGCAGATGCCAGTGACTGAAGCCAGGACCATTTGCAGGCAACACATGCTATCTACCACCAAGCCCTGTAGCTCAGTGGATGGCCATACAACACCTTGGTAGCAGGGCCAGGGTGGGAGAGTACCAGAGTTCTGTCTAGTCAAGTTATACGGGATCAATTTCAACTTCTTACTACTGAGGATGTGGACAAGCTGCTTGGACAAGTAAAACCAGCCACCTGTCTCCTTGATCCTTGCCCATCTTGGCTCATAAAAGCAAGTAAGGCAGGGATGGGCAATGGGCTCCATGGGGTTGTGAATGCATCCCCCTTAAAGAAGCTATCTTCAAACCCGGCTGCTATAGCCAATTATCGTCCAGTCTCAAATGTTCCATTCCTGGGTAAGGTGATTGAGCGGGTGGTTGTGGAGCAACTCCAGACATGCCTGGAGGATGTGGACTATTTGTACCTCTTCCAATTGGGTTTCAGGTCTTGTCATGGGACTGAAACTGCCTTGGTTGTGTGGTCGATGATCTCTGGTGGGCTAGGGATGGAGATGGAATCTGTTTCCGGGTCCTGTTGGATCTCTCAGCAGCTTTTGATACCGTCGACCTCAGTATCCTCCTGAACCGTCTAGGAGGGCTGGGAGTTAGGAGCACTAACAGTGGTTTCTGCTCCTTCCTCCTGGGTCATGCCCAGAAAGTGGTGTTTGGGGATGAGTGTTTGGACCCCTCGACACTCACTAGACACTCTCCTCCATGCTTTTCAACATCTATATAAAACTGCAGGGAGAGATCATCAGGGGGTTGGGGCTGGGTGTTCACCGATATGCGGATGATGTCCAGTGATGCTGGTGACCATCCTGTGTGGGTGTCTGGAGGTGGTTGAGGGGTGGATGGTGGTTAATGGATTGAGGTTGAATCCCAACAGCAGGGAACTACTGTTTCTGGGAGACGGGGCGGGCAGGTGTGGGAGATTCTGTGGTCCTGAATGGGGTAACTGTGCCCCTGGAGGACCAGGTGGGCAGCCTAGGAGTCATTTTGGACTCACAGCTGTCCATGGAAGTCAGTTCTGTGTCCAGGGCAGCTGTCTACCATCTGGTACAGCAGCTGAGACCCTACCTGCCTATGTACTGTCTCGCCAAAGTGGTGCATGCACTGCTTATCTCTTGCTTGGACTACTGCAATGCACTCTATGTGGGGCTACCTTTGAAGGTGACTAAGATACTGCAACTAATCCAGAATGCAGCTGCCAGACTAGTGACTGGGAGCAACTGCTGGGACCATATAACACCAGTCCTAAAGGCTCTATGTTGGCTCCCAGTACGTTTCCAAGCACAATTCAAAGTGTTGGTGCTGACCTTTAAAGCCCTAAACAGCTTTGGCCCTGAATACCTGAAGGAGCATCTCCACTCCCATCATTCAGCCTGGACACTGAGGTCCAGCTCCGAGGGCCTTCTTGGCAGTGGCACCCTCCTTTCAGATGTCAAGGAGACGAATAATTATATAACCTTTAGAAGACACCTAAGGGCAGCCCTGTTTAGGGAAGTTTTTAATGTTTGATGTTGTATTGTGTTTTAATTTGTTGGAAGCCGCCTAGAGCGACTGGCGTAACCCAATCAAATGGGCGGCATATAAATTATCAAATATATAATATAACATAACAGTAGTTATTACTAAGCAGGGCACTTGCACTCATGGGGGATTCCTGTTGAAGTTCAGTGACTGGGCTTTCCTCAGTTTAACCTCCATTGACCTGCTAAAGGAGAGGCAACCTCGTCTGGAGGCTCAACATTTATTCTTGGACTGCACAGTTCAAGGAGGCTGTTGCTAACAGAAGGGGAAAGGAGTTCCAAAGAGGGTAAAGGAAGGCAATACACTGACAGCACTTAAACATTTCCCAGACGTAAAAGGAGGAAGAGAGGCAGCAATTACTTGCCACATCTAGTACTGCATAAGAGCAAAGCACAGTTTGAAGGGCAGGGCAGGGCAGGGGACTTAGGTTCAATAGTTGGGGGAAATTGCTAACTATCAGCATAGCTCAGTAATGGACTCCACCTGGACTATGGAAGGAAATGATTTGTTGGGTGACAGATATCTTGCCCGAGGTGCATGGGTTGTTGGGCTGTTTGAACCTCTGGTTCCCCCCTCAATATCATTCCATTAGCCTCCATCCCTCAGCAGCTCACATGTTCACCAATGTGGCCATTACTTTAGCATGTTCTGCAACGGATATGGGCAAGCATTTGCCATGCCAAAGGTTGCACCCATCATACCTCACCATTGGCTATGCTTGTCAAGGCTGATGGGAGCTGTAGTGCAGCAACCTTTGGAGGGTCCCAAATCCTCCATCCCTGTTCTACAAGCTGGCTTTAGAAAACCATGAGGGAGGGCCAGCTGGATTTGGTGGTGCAGTAAAGAATCTTTATGCCAGCTGTGCCAGATGTCATTTGACTCCCGCTTCCATCAACCAAGCCCATAGGGTCATGCCGACTGGGGCTGATGGGAGCTGGAGCCTAAAAACATTTGGAAGGTATTGTGCTGGCCATCGCCTAGAGCAGACATGTCCAGCTCCCAAGAGACTGCCATCTACTCCCAGTATAAAAAAACTGGCAGTCATTGGAGGGAGGAGGAGCGTGGGTGGGTGGGTGGAAGGGGATGATTGCCCATAGTTGTGGAGCTTTTTTTAGGACGGGGGAGGCCAGAGTTGTTGATCATTTTTAAGGGGGGATACCATAAATTGCTCACAGAAAACTCTGATGCTAACAAACATACGCAGTGCTAAAGCCAATTACCGTAACAACTCAACAATCGTCATCAAAATAGCACACAATTGGCGCGAAGGAAAGACAGAGCGAGGGGGGTGGGGGCGGAAACATTATTGCAGCAGTTTTTTCAATGAGAAGATCTAAAAGCATCCCATGATCGACCACGATCTCCAGGGGATCTACCTGTTGATCCACCGGTTGGACATTGCTGCCCTACAGCAGTCACAAAGACCCCATTATTTCATTCACACCCTTTCTGTTCTCTCCCAGCCTCAAAAAGCTAGCTTGTCTGTAAACCAGGTTGAAGTAGCTGCCCAGTGCTTAGGTTTAGTGGATGAACAGGGTTGGGACCAGGAATGAAAGGGGAGTGGGAAGTCAGAACTTCCTATTAAAATTATGTTTAAGATGCTTTTGCCTTAAGACTCTCAATGCAGAACAATGGGATACACACAAAATATTTGTGCATGCTCACCCCAGTGATCAGACACTTCACACCAGGTTGGGAGTTATCAGGGCTGAAAGCAGAGTATATTTAGAAGGCAGGAGAGAGAGAGAGGATCCAAAAGGTTTGAGAAACATCATTCTAAACCTGAGATGCCAAATCCTGAAGGGCACTAGTGCCCCCTTGTGGTATAAAAAATCATATGACTTTTTGTTGCCAAACTTTTCTTCCTGACTCTCCTGTTTGACCCTAGCAGCGATTCAGACACCACAAGTGGACAGGCAGCACCTGTTCACTTAGGATCAGGCAGCAGAAACCCCCTATTCCACCCTCCCGCCTCCCCAAATGTTTGCTCCATCCCTGAATTTTCCAATGACTTAACTGTGAATCAACAAATTCAGCTGCACCTGTCTCATGGCCCCATATATGGCAGCCACCAGGGCAATGCTCCAGTTCCCAGCGATGCTCTCAGGTTTCACATTCCAATCAGGGACATGGCTTCTGGCTTGACTGTTTCCACTAGGCAAGAAGAAGCATGGTACATTTTCTGCTGAAAATAGATCCAGTTTAGAGAGAGGAGGAGGGAGTCTAGATTTCATGCAACTCCACTCTCAGCATGATAAAATGCTAGAGCTGTTTTCCAGAACTTGTCACAACTGTCTTCCCAAATAGCTTTTTGCCACATAGAACCTTATTCACTCAAAGGCTTCAAGGTGCCAACTTCATGGTGCCTGCAATTTGCAGGAAGATTGCACTGTGGTGTACAAAATGCTGTGCCGGGGTGGTTCACAGAATGTGCCAAAGTCAAATTCTGCAGCCCGAATCAATTATGCAAATCACTCTGTTTGCTTACACTTTTCACAGATTTTATTCTACTTCTATGAATAAAGCATACTTTGTGCCATGACAACTGGAACTCCTGTTCAGCCCCATCCCAGTTTGAGATTCCACTAGACTTTTGACCAGCCATTTTCAATTTTGTCTCCAGTGGTTTATGGATTAGAAAGCTGCTTAAAAAACACAGAATGCTGAGATCCTCAGGATACTAAATTCTGCATCAGATACCAAATTCCCCATTTGTGCTGTGCAATGACATACAGGGAGACTTGTATGATAGCCTTGTATCTGCCACTAACAGACACAAGTCCCTGGGTAGATGTTTCAAATATGTCCAAAACAATGGCTTCTCATCACCTGCCCTCATCTTATCATTTGAGATCAAATGAGACAAGAGACAGGTAAGGTGGTGTAGACACTGGGTTACGCTTGTATTAGGGACCAAAAAAACATGTTTGATTTCATGTTGCCTTATCTAGCCCAACTCCATCATTCCCACTTTGAATCGCTCCTCACAGATACAACCCTGAAAGGTTCTGGGACAGGCAGCTGGAGGTGTATATTCAAAAGCACTTAGCACCCACAGTATACATTTATTTTTCATTGCTCTAGCCATCTTGATCAGAGGACTATGCCAACACTTCCTGCACACATATCCTGACAAGTACATATTAACCCTATTTGCTAACTTCTCTTCCTTGCCCACACAGGACCCAACTTGAGCTCTGAGTGAAGCTGAAATGTAGCTGGTAACACAAATCCTTTGGCGCAAAAATTACTTGGAGTTCATAAAGCTGTAAAGAAGGTAAAATGAACAAGAGACAAAGGCTGCTATCCTAATCCCACTTACCTGGGGGTAAACTGCATTGAATTCAGTGGGATTTACTTCTTGGTAGACATGGTCAGGATTGTGCTGCAAGTACCTAGCCCTGCTTTGTTCTCCTTTTCACTCCCCACCCCACCCCCACTGGACGCTTATCTGAAACGGCAAAGTGCCCATTTTGGGGACACAGGAAGTAGACGACTTCCTAGGCTTTAAACGCAGTATTGGGGAACCTGTGACTCTCCTGCTGGATCAGGCCAAAGGCCCATCTGGTCCAGCATTCCTGTTCTCACAGTGGCCAACCAGATGCCTAAGGAAGGGCCACAAGCAGGACATGAGCGCAATAGCTGTCCATTCCAACAGCAGAGGCAGAACACAGCCATTATGGCTAATAGCCATTGATTGCCTTATCCTCCCTCCCTTGTCTAATCCTCTTTTAAAGCTCTCCAAGTTAGTAGCTGCCACTGCTTATTGGGGGAGCGTATTCCACAGTTTAGCTATGTGAAGAAGTATTTTCTTTTGTCTGTCCTGAACCTTCCAGCATTCAGCTTCACTGGATATCCGTGAGTTCTAGAGTTAAGAGAGAGGGAGAAAAACTTCTCTCTTTCAGGCTATCAGGATAATGGACATCAACAGATGCTATGAAGGGCACCAAAATGTATGTGCGTTGTATGTAAATGTGGGTGTCAGCTAAGCATGCTTTGGAGCCTGTTGATTCCTTAGTGTGCTTTGGCACATGTGATCAACTGTGAGTAAATGAGACTGAGGAAGTGGGCTATCTGCAAGCTTGCATGGTCTCTCATGAAAGCAAATGTTGAGTGCCTCCTCAGTGTGCAGGTGTGAAAGTAAGCCCCAGACACCATAACTGCACATGAGAATGTGTGCACAAATAAACTTTGTCTGTGTTCCATGTGAGCAGGCAACAGGCTTTCGTGAAATGAGTGCAATTGCACCAAGAGTATCAGGAGATTGCGTACTACAAATGAGCTGACCCCACATTACAAGCCTAGTCATCAAATACTATCTGTAACTTTCTCAGCAACCCTAAATCCTGGCAATATCTCAGAGCAGGACAGGCTCAATTTATGTAGTACCCTCACTATCCTTGTGTCATTGTTCTCCAGTAATCTTGAATATTAGAAGGAGAAAACAGTCTTCTCTGTCATGCAAGGAATTGGACTTTCACTAAGGCAGATTCAGATGTACAAATAAGAGCTCCCAGACCATCTTCTGGGGCCTCTCTCCCAGCAAGTGATTCAGGAATTCCAGATGAGCATGTGAGTGCATACCTCTGTGGAGAAGGTGCACATGTGGCCAGTTCAGATATTATAATGCAAGCATGGAAAAAGAAGAATGGGAGCATTACTTGTAAGCCCCTTTGTTGCTTTATTCTCATAGCATCCAAAGGGCTCGATTCAGCATGGACTCTTAGGCTTTCTGAGCCACCTCAAAGTGCACAAGGATCATAGAAACAGGCAATGCTCTTTTTCCATAACATGCAACTTTCCCACTTGGCTGTGTCACCTTGCATGCTCCCTCCCCCAGAAAGAAAGTCATAGCACTGACCGTGTATAGAGAAATGCATGTATATACATGTTGTAAAGAAATTCAGTTGTCTAGAACATCTGGCCTCCCTCATAAGCGAGACCAGAAGGTGCCTAAAAGGAAACAATCTAAAAAGATTCAGTTTCACAACAGCAGGAAAATGGAAGAAAAGGATAATGGGAGAGGTATATCATTTTAACATAACTGGAGCTGATTAGCCCAACCGAGAAAACCAGGTCACTTCATTGGACGCTGACCCCACGTCCTGCAGCTTTATGCTAAAGTAGGTAAGCAGGCTACTGAGGGGTAGGGAAAGATAACATATATAGGCAAAACATAACAAAATCTAAGCAATCCAATAATGCTGGGAGTTGCACCACCACCAGCAAAGGGACAGCCATTTGCCTCCAAGTAAACACACACACACAAGCTTTGTGCCACCTGCAGGAGACAGCAGCAAATGCCACTTGTCTAGTCTGGCAGTCAATATGAACAATCAGTATCCACTTCCTTTGCAGACAGGAAGCAGAACAGCTTTGTCTGCATCCCAGCACCTCTGTGGCTTACATCATCAGTGGATTAACGGCTAAACACATTCTGGAATCTGCCACCACCACCAGAGTCCAAGAGGAGAGCCAAGGGCCCCCCTGCCCAAAGGTGACAAAATTATGTGCTCCTCGCCTTGTATCCTGGCTCAGAGATACAGGTCCTGGTGGAATATCTTCACTGGGAGCCACACAGGCACTCGCAGAACCCAGCTCCATTGCAGGGAGTCCTTGGTAGCTGGGAATCTCTTTCCAAAGAAACAACCTGGCCTTCGGCTCTGGCCATGAAACCCATAAATGCCAGGGCTGGGCCTCAGATCTCCTGCAGGAAGTCGACAGGGAAGAGCCCCACCTTGCGGCCAGTGTAGACTTTCACGTACCCATTCAGCTCCTCACCTTTCTGCACCACAATCTATTGCAGGATGAAGGAGGAAAGGGGACAGGTAAGAATCAGAGCCAGATTGCTATGTCACATGCTATTATACCGTTGCCACCTCTCCCAGAGAGAGAGAGTGAAAACAGCCATTCCTCATTTCTGTAAGTCTGAATACCTTTAAAAGCAGCCACAGAGCGCAGGTGTTGTCGTGGAGCTTAGAACCACCCAGATAAAGGCTTAAGACCCTGGATCTGGAGCATCCAGCTGGTGTCAAATTCTGTGCCTGGACTGTTGAAAATCTTGCACTGGCCGTTCACACACTACCAGACCAGGTTCAAGAATTGTGTGTTCATGTGCAACTTGGGTCCAGGATACCTTAAGAAATGCCTGACTCCTTAGCTCCCTCAGATCTCCAGAAAAGTCACTGTTAGTGGTCCCCTATGGCTCGGATGCACAGCTTGTAAATACCAGGGTCCATGTGTTCAGTCTTGTGGACCCAATTTTGTGGATGAGATTAGATAGGCAATAAAGCTTAATAAATACGATACAGGTAACATGAAGCTGAAAACTACCTGTTGAACTTCCAGTGCCTCATGAGGACCTTTTGATTTCAGTAGGCATCTTAAACAACTTCTGATTGTACAGTTGGTTTTAAATTTCATGTTACCTCTATTGCATTTGTTAAGCTTTATTGTACAGTGTTTAGAGACTATTGTAATTAAGTGGTATATAAATTGACAAAACAAATATAAAAATCAAAGTCATGTTCAGTTTGGCCCTAGGAGACACTTGGGCTGGATTTAGAAAAGCGTTATTAACAATAAAGTTATATAACTCACAATGCAGTTTTCCATCGTTGAAGGCTCGCTGCTCTACAGCGTCCTCTGGTGTCAGATTTTTATAATGCATTTCTAATGTTATAACTGATGAGTGTAGTGTTAAGTGCCTATAGTGTTACAGTAAGTGCCTAAGAAATTGGATCTCATGGAAGAGTATATTAAACACTGGGAAAGGTGTCACAAGAGACACTTAAGGACTCATTTCAGTCTATTTGTCATGTCTGAATGATTCTAACATAGACCACAGGGGCGAGGGTGTGGAGAGACAGAAACGGGCAGAGAAGGGAGTCGTTTTTTCCGTTCAATGTACAGAGCTGGAAAATGCAAAACTGTTTTGAGCATCTGGTGTGAAATGGCCCAGGAATTCTGGAAACAAAAGTGTGTAAGGGCTGGTAGGGTTACTTCCTGTTTCTGGATCTGGTTTATGGGGCTAATAATGAGAAAGAGAAACAAGGATGGAAGAGCCTCTTTCAGATGGAGAGCATGGAGAGAAGGGTAAGATAAGCTACTGACTGTTAGCAGTGTTTTTGCTATTAAGTGGCTGCCAGGGTGAAGGTTCTGATACCAGTGGTCAAAAGACCCCAAAAAACTATTCTGTAGCCATGCATGGGTTTTAAGACAGCATGGGAAATATTTGTTTTTGGGTGGATGGGTCATGAAACTTCAGAATGGCCTCTACAGGTCAGATGATTGAGCCACTATTTTCCTGGCTGCTCCACAACATTTAATCCAAAATTATGCCACAGTCAGTTAGGAACACTCAAGAATTTCATTTGGTCTGCATTTTTTAAAGGTAACCATCCCTGATTTGCAATTCCCAGATGGATATGCAGATTGGAGCCCAATTAACGTATTTTTCGCACCATAGGACGCACCGGACAATAGGACGCACTTTGTTTTAGAGGGGGGAGAACAAGAAAAAAAAATTCTCCCCCTCTCTGCCCAGCGCCCCTTCAGTGAGGCGGCAGGAGGCGCTGCACAGAGAGGGGAAGAACTTTCCCCCTCTTGTTTTCCTGCTCTAAAACAAGGTGCCGTTTAAGGTGCATTCAGGCGGCTACCTTGGAAGCCTGGAGAGCGTGCGGGGTCAGTGTGCACTGACCCCTCTCGCTCTCCAGGCTTCAGGTTCCTTTGACCTGCTCTTTGGGGCTGGCGGGGGGAAGCCCACCACCAGCCCCAAAGAGCAGGTCAGGGAGCAGCGGAAAGGCGCAGCAGAGAGGCTCCTGCCATAGCCGCGCGTCACCTCTCCAGCCGGGAGAGGGTCACGGGGCTATGGCGTCTTCGCTCCATAGGACGCACACACATTTCCCCTTCATTTTTGAAGGGGAAAAAGTGCGTCCTATAGAGCAAAAAATACGGTATCCTTTGGTTTTCAACACTTCTCTGAATTTTGCAGTAAGGTTCTTGACTCAGGAAATGTACAAAATGAATATAAAAATGCGTATTTGACATTAAATAATGTAAATTCCCATGTATGTGTTTTTGTTTTTAATGTAGAAATGCATAGAATGAACTTATGAATGACCATATGTGAAACTGACTCAGATTGATTCATCCATTCCTACTGTAAGAGTGGCAGGCAGCAGGGAGATAGGGTGTTAATTGTGAAAGGATAAGAGTTGCCTCCAAGTTACTTACCTGATCCTTTTTTAGTGTGATCTGCCCAATCTCTTTGTTGCCCACAAAGGACCGCATCACTTTGTGTACCCGTTCTCCTGCACGTACCCGAATAATAAAGTTTGGTGGGAAGTATCCAATTTTATCGCCAATCTCTCCAATCTTCTTGCCCTACAAGAGTGCCGCACATGGGGTTAAGGTGTAAAGAAGTCAAACCACCATAAAGCCACATTCTTCTGCTTGCCACTAATTAGGACAGTTCAAATGTATTTAAACATTTAAAGCAGCAGTGGTGAAAGGGGCAGGAGGTACAGGGCCCAGCACAAAAGTTCCAGGGTTTGGGAGCCCCTGGCAACATCCATAGTTAAACCAGTTTACATTTACCATGTGAACATGCCCTGACTAGCACTGAAGCGGTAGATAGAAGCCCATAACTCAGATATCAAGGGAGCCTGCAAGTCAACATCAAGGGGGATAGTTCTGAAACCACAACTGAGACAAGCCCCAAATAATGTTTGTGGCCCCACCACTTATTAAAGTTATTTTTCTTTTGTACATCCGTTCTAAGAGATCAAACACTTTCCCCTCAAATGACCAGATTTGACCCTGAAGCTGAAACACAAGTTATCTTCTGCTTGTTATGTATCTTCCCTGCCCCTCCATGGCACATCTCCTCAAGGCAGTCAGCTCCCTTTTCTTACCCGCCACCATTCTTCATTGGAGTCGTCAACAATGGCAATTTTGTCCCCCGGGCTGAAAGAGAATGAGTCTGGAGTTAAAATATCGCCACAAATGATGGTAAACCATACGTTCCAATTTGCCCACAGAAATTCTGGAGTCTTGGACAGGTTTATCTGTCCCCCAACCTAGGTACTTGACTAAGACCGGCCCAAACAAACCTCCCCTTTTATTGCTACCACCACTCAGCAAAGCAAGGAAGTCATCAGTGAGCATGGGTAGTTGTCTAGCACTGCCATATTTATTCTTCTGCACCACACATCACAACAAGACCCAGTAGGTGGCCTTAGTGTGAAGGCATCAGCTGGGATATGTTTTGGGTGGGGCTCTGCTCTCCTCCCTATTTTTGCCCAAATCTGCACATGCGATGCCGTATTGTCATAGCACCCTGTTATGTACTGAGTTGAATAGGATCCAAAATGCAGCAGTCTGATTGGTCCTAAAAGAATAGGATTTAGAATGCAGTAGTCTGATTGGTCCTAGAACAATGCAGCAGTATGATTGGTCCGCAGGAGCCACCCAATCCAGCTCCAGGTGGAAGTGAATCCACAATCTGATTGGCCTACAGGAGAATCCCGGAATTAGCCAATCACGTGCAGCCCACTGTGTAAATAATGTATATAAAGCAGATATAGTGGGGGAACTTCCATTCCTCCTCACCACTATGAGCTGAATAAAGAGCATGAAATCCACTCTTGACTCTGAGTATATTTCACACCCCATGAGAAGCTGTTCTAAGATGGCTGTCAAGCTGTCAAGTCAAATCCCAGCATTCACCTCCCCATGTGGAATACTGTCATTCACTCAGGATTAGAGGTTCTTGAGGCAGAACCAAGTATGTCACCTTGAGCTCTTTGGAGAAAAAGTGGCATATAAGTGTAATAATAATTTTTTTTTTAAAGGAAATCCTTCAGTGTGAAGTAAAACCTGACAATGGATCTTTTGGCTCAGCTCCTCAGTTCTAACTGTTCATTACATTTGCATCCCACCCTGAAGAATCAATGTGTGTTTACTGAGTTGAAGAGCTTTACTTTCCCCCTTTCAGCTGTGATCTTTCAGATGTTTTCCCCAGAATGGCAACGGTATATTACTGAGGGGAAACTGAGTTTACTTTTTATTATTCCAGTGTCATCACCACCAAACCACTAGCTATAAAATTACTGCTCATTCAACTGGGAAAAGCAAACTTACCCATCACTATTGTTCCCTAGCACTAATATTATTTTCAGTGTCAGAAATGGAAACATGAGCTCAGAGACCAGGACGATAAGAATTTTGGAAAAGATTGGGAAATGTTTAATGTATATATAAAAAAGTTGTTAATACATTGACAGGATTTTAAGAACACTTGTAATCTTAGATATACTATAGGATAAATTGGATGAATTTTTTATTTTTATTTTTTTTGAGTAATAATGATATGCATTTGGAAAGGAAAATTAAGGAATCGGGGTGGGTGGAGGGAAGTCACAGGATTGGGGGAATCCTTAATTTTAGATTTGAAATTGGTTTTACATACAATTGTGGGTGTGTGGGTGGTTGATAATATGGTTCTTGATATGGTTTTTTAAATTTTTGTATAGTTTGTTAAATTTCAACATTTATAAGCCACCAATGCCACCCAAGTCAGTGAACAAACTACAAATATTTTATTTGTTCGTTTGTTTTATTAAATTTCTACTCTGTCCTTCCTCCCAAAAGAACCTAGGGTGGCAGAAACATAATAATATTATAATTAACCTTTCAACCTTTTAAAAAATACATCCCCAACAATACATTAAAATATAATTCTGCCAGTATAAAAAACATTTCAAGAGCCAAAGCAATTATACATCAATGCAACGGCAGCATGGCCAAAAATCCCATCAGTTAAAAGACATTGTAGAAGAGGTGCACTTTCAAAGTCTTTTTAAATACTGAAACTGAGGAGGACCAAGGGTACAGCCCTTGAGAGGAACTTTCACAAGGGAAGGAGCCACCACAGGGAAAGCCCTGTGCATAGTAGCTGCCAGTCTGACTGAATTTAAAGGAAGTTTCAATGAGTGTGGCCTCCAACACCAGTCTTGAAGCACTGGGTTCAAACCCCCACTCAGCCATGAAGCTCACTGTGTGACCTTGGGCCAATCCCTACTTCTCAGGCCTAACCTGTGTCACACGGCTGTTGTGAAGGTAACATGTGGTCTCCTTGGAAGAAAGCCAGGATATAAAGGTAAACAAATATGTCTAGAGGCAGGTCCTTCAAATAACCTGGCTCCTCCAAGCCATTTAAGTTAGGGCTTTTAAAGTCAAACCCAATATTATGAATTGGGTCTGGAACTGCCCAACTGGTACAGAATCAGCATAGCATGTTTTGACTGTCTGGCTTCCATGAGCAAGCAAGCAAGCAAGCAAGCAGCCACATCCTGCGCCAAGTGAAATGGTTTATAGGTGACAGCCAGGAGTAACCTATAAGATCTAGATTCCGTTGGCATCAGGTTGGCTAAGGATATGAGAAATACAGTGGTGCCTCGCAAGACAAAATTAATCCGTTCCGCAAGTCTCTTCGTCTTGCGGTTTTTTCGTCTTGCGAAGCACGGCTATTAGCGGCTTAGCGGCTATTAGCGGCTTTAAGAAAAAGGAAACAAACTCGCAAGAACTCGCAAGACGTTTTGTCTTGCGAAGCAAGCCCATAGGGAAATTCGTCTTGCGGAACGACTCAAAAAACGCAAAACCCTTTCGTCTAGCGAGTTTTTCGTCTTGCGAGGCATTCGTCTTGCGGGGCACCACTGTACAACCCAAACATTTCCATGCTGGGACTTGCCTCTGCAAGAAAGTGAATTCAAGATCATCTGAGCTTGGTAAACGCTGACCAACACATACAAATTCCAAACCACTTACTGAAAATCCAGGTCATCCTTCTCCAAAGCTTTGAAGCGATAGAGTGCAATGAAGTAGTGAGACTGCTGGAACCCCGGTTGCTGCTTCTTATTCTGTCCAAGGGAAGAAAGGAGCCCATCAAGACTTAAGCAGTGGAGTTTAGGAGATCATCGAGGAAACCCAAGGTCTCTTCAAGGTTCAAAAGGAATGGCCTATACAAACACTTCCCAAAATCCACCCTGGCCACAGAAGGTGGACAGTTGTGCATTGCAAAAAGAGTGATTTTTGCACCACCTAAAACAATGACTTCAGTGTGCATAAATGCAAATTTAGAAATAGTGACTATAAAGAGCAATACAATACATCTCATCGTAGTGGGGAAGACCAAAAGTGATTTGTGCGCCTGCTCAGTCTGCTCACCAGGTGCTGCTAACGGTTGATGGGCAACTTCCGTGCTTCTATTCTTTAGTTTTATGGTTCTTTATCTTGAAATGAGACTTGGACAGGCCTCAAACAGAGGACACCTTCCAAGAGAAGACTCTCCACTGAATTCAAAATACAGTGGTACCTCGGGTTAAGTACTTAATTCGTTCTGGAGGTCCGTACTTAACCTAAAACTGTTCTTAACCTGAAGCACCACTTTAGCTAATGGGGCCTCCTGCTGCTGCTGTGCCGCCAGAGCACGATTTCTGTTCTCATCCTGAAGCAAAGTTCTTAACCTGAAGCACTATTTCTGGGTTAGCGGAGGCTGTAACCTGAAGTGTATGTAACCTGAAGCATATGTAACCTGAGGTACCACTGTAAAGGAATGTGTCCTGTGAAGTAGGGCACAGAGCCACCTCCCCAACTGCCAGATCTTCAGTGGTGCACAATAACTGCCCCAGAGAGTTCAAGCAGCTCCTTGCAAGCAGGAAGAACCAGCCCCAGGCAGCCATGTAAACTGGCCTCCTCACAGTGCTATATACTCTGTCCCTGTCCATTTTTAAAAAAGTATTTCCATAGCAGCCTTAAGTTAAAAAGCCTCCAGGACAATTTGCAACAATAAATAAAAACCACAGGAAAATCAGGAAAAGGCAATGCAGGAACAGCAGATATCAGAAGGTGGGGAAGATAAACCAGGGGATTTCTGGCTGTGGAGGAGGAGGCTTGTGGGTTGGTGAGGACGTGCATCATCTCAGTGCTGTTGGCATCTCACTTCAGGAAGGGCACACATTACACCCCCACCTCCCAAAGGGGGGAAAGGGGGCAGGCAGAGTCAGGTACCTTATCATCAGGGGCATTCTTCTCAGCCTTCTGTGCTTCTGGATTTCCTGGACACAAAAAGGAAAAACCCAGCATTCAGATAGGGGCATAAGTAGGGAGAGAAGGAGATAAAAGAAGAGTGAAACTCAAATTTGTCCACTCCCCAGGCATCACTACACTCTCTCCTGGTTGAGTTTTCAGGGCCGAAAAATGAGGAATCTATATAGTGAATCTCTCCAAATCACCATTGTTGCTTTTACTATGTTTATTACCCTTACGTACAAGATTGCAGCAGTTCCCAGTTTAGTTCTCTGTGCATTTTATTCACCCCTGCCTGCCTTTCCATGTTCTCTCTCTCTCCCTCCCCCCTCTCTACTAGAGACCAGTACAAGGAAGACAGCAACTCTCACCAGAATTACAGGTGCCAAGGTCGGCGCCGCCATGAGACGAGGTGAAGCAATTTGCCCCAGGTGGCAGAGCCGCCCCACTCCAGTATGGCCGCCGCCAGGAGCAAGGATACTGCTGCAGTGGCAATGCAGGAGTGGTGGCAGGGGCAGGAAGCGTCAGGGAGACAGCAGCAGGGCGCTTTGCCCACAGTGTCAAAACATCCCGCACCCCCCCCTTGACAGGTGCAGCTGACTGCCATAACTGCGACAGCCATTCAGTCAAAGGAGAAGAAGCAGAACATTAGGTCCTGCTTCTTCTTCTTTACTTTCCTGTTCTTCCTTCAGTGCCGCAAGGCAGCAGCACCAGTCTATCCACTCCAGGGCTAGTAAGGAGAGGGAAATGGTGGCCCTCCATTAGGGGTGGGCTGCTGGGTCAATTTTGGTTTCTCTCACTTTGTCATTTTTCCAGTCTTCAGTTTTCCACATTTCTATGTTAATTGCAATTTATTTATTCTGAAAAGTAATTCATCAGATTTTAGTGTGAATTCCTTCTAACAGACATAATATAATGCATTTTGAATGTTATCTTCTCTAATACAGTGGTACCTCGGGTTACAGACGCTTCAGGTTACAGACTCGCTAACCCAGAAATAGTACCTCGGGTTAAGAACTTTGCTTCAGGATCAGAACAGAAATCGTGCTCCGGCGGCGCAACGGTAGCGGGAGGCCCCATTAGCTTAAGTGGTACCTCAAGTTAAGAACGGACCTACAGAACGAATTAAGTACGTAACCCGAGGTACCACTGTATATGCATTTTTTGCACTTTCCCCAAATATATGATTATTTTTTTTAACTCATTACTTGGTTAGAGAACTGCATTGTAAATTTGAAGAACTGTAGATTTCAAAGTTTGGCTGTATTTTGGTTCACAAATTATCTTGGAGTTTGCATTTACATGTGAACTGATTCAATTTTTTTGCCCCATCCTTAAGGGACGGAGCGAGGGAAAGAGAGAGAGAGAGAGAGAGAGAGAGAGAGAGAGAGAGAGAGAGAGAGAGAGAGAGAGATGTCCCTGCAGGACACCTGTTCCTGTTAGCATTGTCTCGAGGAAGACACAGACAGCAGCCACTTTCTCTGGAGCCTCATGCAAACATACACCCACTGGCGGAGGAAGAGGAGTACGGGGGGAGCGCAGCGCCCCCGGCAGCGCAATCCCAGTGGGGTGCCATCGCGGCTGTCCCCCTGCCAGCGCTGAGCGCCCCACCTGCTCTCCGCGACTGCATACACCCACCCACCCACCCGTGTGCCCACTCTTCCAATTCATCAGAACGACAAATAAACAAACTGTCCATTTATAGTCTTGTTTGAAATTTTATGCATTCTACCCCTAAAGATGTCTGTCCGTGTTTTCCTACTCCAAGAGCGCCCTTGGCTGACCTGCAAAGAGAATCCAGCTTATCCCAGTGTTTATGGCAGTGTCAGAAGGCCCAGGAAATAAAACCTGGCACAAGTTCCAAAAGGGTTTGGAAGAATGCCACCCTCCATAATAATCACTAGGCAATATTGTCCCAAATACTCAATATGTCACTCCCTTGGAACCTGAGACTTGTTAAAGATGAGTTCACAAACATTTGAATTGAATATATATTAGGTAAACAAGAGCAAGGGCTAACTAAAATGATTAAAATTATGCAGGAAGTTAACCCAACTTCTGCACCAAGACGAGCTGGATATCTCCATCTACATAAATTATGTAAAGCAAACTGGCACACATTTGTTAATTTTGCATCATTCATTCTACAGGTAAAGTGGCACTAAAGGAAAGTTCTGAAGTCCAACTCTTCAGAAATCCCAATAAGACTCCTTCTGGTATGGTGAAGGGGAGGATGCAAAAAGTCCCCAACATATCCATATAGAACTGGGGATGTATACTGTCTGAAATTCTGTAAAGTTTCAGACTTTCTAAAGCTTTAGACTTTCCAGGGCTCAGTCAATGCAGACAATACTAAATTAGATGGCGCAATGGACCAACTCGGTATAAGGCAGCTGTTGTTCCTATATCTCAGCCCATATATTTTCAAGCTTCTTTTTGCACACATAGAGTGTGGGATGCTGCTCTTAAAATCAAATCCAAGATTCTCAATATGCCAAACTATTTAATCTATAATATAATATTATAGATTATGGCTGAATCTAGACACATCAAAAAAGCGTTTCAGGAATCCCCTCTCTACACACAGCACCCCGCCAGGGGTATTGCATACCAAATGTGGCATCATCAATAGCATCCCCACCAGATCTTGTTCAGAGACATATGCCATATTTTTCCGTGTATAAGACTAGGTTTTTTTCCTAAAAAATAATGTCAAAAATTAGGGGGTGTCTTATACACGGATATATCTCCCCCCATTTTCTTAAATCTGAGTCCCCCAAAATAGGGGACGTCTTATACATGGGGGCATCTTATAGACGGAAAAATACGGTATATTATTATTAATCTTATGGCCCATAGATACAGAATAAAATACAGACTCATATAGACAACCCCCTAGGGAAGGGAGACTGAAGTGTTATTTGTTTAGTCATGGGTATGTTGATCTTTGATTTGTATGACTACTGAAAGAAACTTTGCCATGGCCACTGTGATATCGTTGGACTTGACGTCCAGAAGATATCTGATATAGTAGGCTTCGGATTGACCCGGCCGATTTGCCAATAGTGGTTTAATCAATAGGTCCCTTGCTTGATCATATTGTACGTAATGCAATAAAATGTGCCTCATGCAGTTGAGTATATACGGTACAGTGGTACCTCAGGTTAAGTAAATTCGTTCCGGAGGTCTGTTCTTAACCTGAAACTGTTCTTAACCTGAAGCACCACTTTAGCTAATGGGGCCTCCTGCTGCCGCTGCTCGATTTCTGTTCTCATCCTGAAGCAAAGTTCTTAACCCGAGGTATTATTTCTGGGTTAGCGGAGTCTGTAACCTGAAGCGTATGTATCCTGAAGCGTCTGTAACCAGAGGTACCACTGTATATGGAAGAAGGTGTTTCATTAGACACCTAGGCCTTGGAGTCCTATATGGCTCTCTATGTCCACATTTGTATGTACTGTATGATACAGCGTGGCTAGGTTTCATTTATGGTGATAAATTTCCACAACCCCTTTTTATTATTGTTCATCTGGTCTCTTCTAGAATTGGTCTACCTGAGTTCCAGATCTAACAAATAAGCCTTTGGACTGCAAAGTCTTTGAAGAGCAGGGTTGTTCCAAGGTCTGGCACTTACCTGCCTCAGGTTGGCCACCCTCGTTTTTAGGGGCCTCTGTTTCCTCCTCCATCATAGCAGCCAATGGCTAGAAAGCAGCATGGGAAATGTATCAGAAGGCATCAGCTTTGTTGCAGTTGACTAGAATGAAGCATCCTCACTAACTGAGGCTGCACAAGACTCAGGGTTGGGGCACACAGCAGGGAATTCTGGGTTATGTGAAACTAGGCAAGGCCTCAGGAGCTTCTGGTAGATATTTCCAAGACAATGTGCATAGGAGCATGAAGAGGATAAGGAAATAATCACAATTTGTGGGTGGTTTATACAGGTCTCCAGAGAAGGATCTGGGGAGACAGGGTTGCCAACTCGCAGCCAACCTCAAGCTGCTATATCCTTAAGTCTTCCAAGGCTGGGAAAAATGGTTAAGTATCATCTTCCCTGCTAAAGAGCTGAAGAAGTCAGATTTACCTACCCCGTCTATTGTCCAAGAACAGAGCTATACTTTACATTAATTAATGCAGTAGGAATGATGTACCGGTAATTTGTATTTGCACATGCATAATTAAATGTTGACAGGTCGGCTGCATTTTGTACTATGTTTTTAATGTAAACGAAATCATGCATTAAATATTATATTTAAGATTTTTATTGTGTATTATGTGTTAGATGTTAGCATTATAAGATATTTTGCATATTTCATAAATTTACTTGTAAAACATATTACTATTGCTATTGGCTGCTACTGGCAACAGCGGTTTATGGGCACAACTCCTCTTCCCCATATTGTAGCTCTCTTACCCATGGTCTCGCTTTACAACATTGCACATTTATCTGCCCCACAGAAGCAGCAGCAGCAGATGTGGACAAGAAAATGTCTACACTGTGGGATCTGATAAACTCTTCCTCAAGGTTATGGTTGGAAAGGGGGAGCTAAGCTGCACAGCTGATATTTTTAGCAGACTCTGGCAGAATGCTTGAGAAAGAGGGCTGCAGCCATCCGGCGGGGTGGATAAGTTAAATGTATAGCAACAAGGAAGGGGAGTGGGGTGAGGAAGAGGTCTGAAATACTGCAAGCCACATTAACCCTTTAATTATTTTATTGTAAAGCCATTAACCCTTTAATTAAGAGCTAATTTAGTCCTGATTCCATCACTCCTCTCTGGAGGGCACTTGCCATGGCTGCTATGGTTACGAGACGATGCTATGCTACCCTCCTGTGTCATGATTGTTTCCCCACACCATCTCCCTTACGTTCTTTTTGTCATCCTGCCCTTTCTTGCGCTCTTTGTTTGCCATGACAACACCTGTCCGCAGCGTCTCAAACACAGGGTCACTTCGGTTTGCTGTGGAGTGAAAAGCAACAGCAACAAAATTAGGCTGCTGTTTGTGGCAATGGAAGCCCACCTTTGGAATGGGTAGAGGCTTGCAGCAGGTTACTTACCACCAGAAAGCTGTTCGGCACCGTATAATGGAGAGCTGTAAGCACGGCGGAAACCTGGGGGCTGCAGGGCAAAAGAAGAGTGTGACGCACAAGTGAAAGGGAGAACCCAGCCTCGTCCAAAACTAAGGAAGAAGGACAACTCTTTCCTAAATACGCTGCCAGTAGACCAGCTTATCCTCAGAGAGGCAGGAACATCAATTTTTGGAAATATTTTCACCAGTTGCAGAAAAAGCCTCTGGTGATTCTTTGGGGACTACTGTGGAAGGAGCAAAACAGTTGGCCCAACCTGGGGCCCCCCAGGTATTGTTGGACTACATCCCTGAAGTAAATATTATGAACAGCTTGATTGAATGCAGTTTTCTTTTTCTTAACTTTTTAAAATTGCTTTTCAGATATATACCAACAGAAGAACGAAATACAACTCCCACCCTAGAGGAACAAGAATCTATCTCATGGATTAAAAAAATACACTTCTATAATACCGCTAAGATGCTGATGATTCCACATCAATATAAAATGGTTTTTCTACATTTTCAAAAGCAATTATTGCAATATTCTCTGTCCTTGTAATTTTTTTTTTTAAATGTCATCAAACTCAACACTATACCAGATCCATGCTTCTAATGACAGCACGCAGACACAAATTCTTCCTGTTTTAGCTCGATTTACTCAAGCTGCAAGCACTAAACTGCCCAGGAACACAAAAGTATTTTGAGCATACAAATTCTGTTATGTTCCCTATTTAAAGCAATCAAAGAAATTTCTCAGTTGTCAAATTAGCATGTCTCTTTGGGGAAGATTTTATCTCCATGCCAAAACATTTCCCACCCTCCAGCTTATGGTGGCCAAAGCAACCTGTGAACTTGGCGGCCCAAGCCTAAGGCACATGGCATATCATGTTAAGTGGCAGGAAGCTGGAACTTGGGCAATGGGGCCAGGCAGGGAATACTTACAATCTTGCCAAAGCAGCGCTGGAACTCCACATAGTGTTGGCAGCTGTGGTGGATGTGGGTTTTGCAGTTCTTGCAACGCAGGCCGTATTTGTTATTGACTACAGTAGGAAAAAAACCAATCTGTTGAGGGCAATTTGGGCTGTAAGAGCCAACCCCCTGCCAACCGTGCCCCCCACCCTTGCAACTCCTGCAGACCAAATCATGAATTGGGAACCTGAGGTCTTCCCAGTGTCACTGGACTATAACTACCATTGTCCCTGGCCACACTTTGGCCACGTTGCCTGGGGCTGATGGGAGGTGGAGTCCAGCAACATCTGAAGGGCAAAATGTTTTCCTCATCCCTGGACTAAACTCGAGGTGTCCGCAGCATGCTCATGTCCTTTAACATGGGCCTGTCCAATCACATGTAAGACAAGATGGAAGGTGCCATTTCCCCCAATTGGTCTCACTTCAGTATAGAGCCCAGCTTGTGGGTGGGTATGTGTGGATGAGCGGGGAAACTTCAACACTCCCTGAGTGTGTACCCTTTTGGCACTTTGAATCACGCTGCATCAAGAGCTGTCAGGGCAGAAATCTTCAGTTCTGTGTGCAACTGCCCCATGTGGTGAGAACTGCAGCTTGGACCATTTTCTTGCCAGTGAAGTAGCCTCAGGCTCTGGACTGGCCCTGCTCCCCCCCCCCCCGGCTGGCTATTGGGCTCTTCCAGGCAGGCAGGCCTATAAAAAGGGCTCCTGGTTGGTCTGAGACCTTGCCTAAGCAGCAATTCCTTTCTGGCTCTGGTACCCGTGGATCATTTCTTGCAGCTTAGCTTTGACACATTCCCTCCTTATCTGTCTTACACATCTGTGTACATGATATTTTTGGAGGGGGGGAGGGGCTGCATTTAAAACCAGTGTTTTCTTCCGCACTTGCGTTGGTCTTAAGATTGCCAGTGTCTGCTTTCAAAATACTGGAACTTATAACTGCCTCTGAGCAGATGCAGAGTGGCTTTCCTTTATAAAGGAAGCCAGCTAGATACCACTTTTGAAAGGACCAGAAAAGGCTGGATAGGAAGGGCAAATCAGTGAAACAACAATTGCATTTGCGGGTGGGTCTGGCAACTGGCCAAGAGGCTGATTGGTGTCATATGGGACACCAATTGTGCTGGAAGAAATTATCAATGAGCAAACCCTTTTGCATCTCATGTGAATATCACAAGTCCTCACCTCATAAGAGAGAGCTGCATTATTTATTCCCTTTCCAGTCATAGGTATGCGTGTCATGATATGAAGGGAGAAGATGACAGATGGATCATGTTGCAAATTCCCCAACCCCCAGTTCTTTCAAAATTGGGAAGGAGCTATGACTATTAACTTCATTCCCTCCCTCCCTGTTGCATTACAGTTCTCTTGAAGCGGCTCCAGTCACTATGTACTCACTACAGCATAATAGGAAAGAGAGATGTGGGCTTTACCTTCTCAACTTTAAAATGGCCACCTTGGATGATGAAAACTCATCTCTGACTCAGTGACATTTTTTATATATTTTTATATATTTTGGAAAGTTGTTCATCCATTCACTATGCACTGCTTAAGATAAAGATAAAGGTAAAGGACCCCTGACAGTTAAGTCCAGTCGTGAACGACTCTGGGGTTGCGGCGCTCATCTCGCTTTACTGGCTGAGGGAGCCGATGTTTGTCCACAGACAGTTTTTCCAGGTCATGTGGCCAGCATAACTAAGCCGCTTCTGGCAAACCAGAGCAGTGCACGGAAAAGCAGTTTACCTTCCCGCCGGAGCAGTACCTATTAATCTACCTGCACTTTGACGTGCTTTCAAACTGCTAGGTTGCCAGGAGCTGGGACCAAGCAATGGGAGCTCACCCAACTGCAGGGATTCGAACCGCCGACCTTCTGATCGACAAGCCCTAGGCTCAGTGGTTTAGACCACAGTGCCACCCGCGTCCCAACTGCTTAAGATAAGGTAGCCAAATTGGACACCATTTTGAATCAAGTTAGTGGACTGAAACTTTCACAATGGCACTATTTTAACACTGCTTTCAAAACTGTACTGGTTTCTTAGAATTCCCAAGCAATGTTGGGTATAAGGCTGCTAGTTATATATATGTGAGCCACCATCATATCCAGCATTTAGTCCAGGCTTCCTCAAACTTAGCCCTCCAGATGTTTTTGGCCTACAGCTCCCATGATCTCTAGCTAGCAGGACCAGTGGTCAGGGATGACGGGAATTGTAGTCTCAAAACATCTGGAGGGCTGAGTTTGTGGAAGCCTGATTTAGCCACACAATCCATACCTTCTCCCATCTGCACCTTCACTTCATCTTCATGACTCACCATCTCCCTGAAGCACATGCCTTCCCCATTCCCCCCATCCCCCTTCACTCCCTCTCCTTTACCCATTATGGTTGCTACCATTTTACAGACAGGACTCATGTGCCCAAGTTGGCCATGTGTCCTGATTTATAGGGGGCAGTTTATTATTTGGATGCCAGTCCTCTAGGTGTCCTCTTGGACTGATAAGCTGAAGCCTTGAAGCCGCCCATCAAGAGTTTGCAGCGCTCACCACTAGGACAAGGTGCATTGCATTTCTATTTATAGTAAATCTATCCAAACTAGCATCTATGCATATTTATCAAATATGCAAATTAGTGTTCTTTTTGTGTGGTGCACAATGTTTGGCAATGCATAACTGCCCATCTTATGTTTGTCTTTAACATGACAGACGGACATTCAGCAGTGAAACTTCCTCCCCCCACAACCAGAGAGGTGCGGAGAGAGAAAAAGCCATGCTTGTCAGACTTCTGCCTGTTATGCCATTGCCAAAGGCCCAAGCACCCTGCCAATAGAGGGACCACCACCATTCCCCCTGCAGTTCAACCCCCTCAGGTAGGACTCACGGACAATCATGCGGGCACAGACGTCGCAAAACTTGGGTTTTTTGAAGTAATGATCCTTGAATTTGTGAGGTCTGTCGTTAACTGGTTTCTCTGGCTCAGGTGGTGGCTCAGGCTCCTCCTCCTCTTCATCCTCTTCCTCCTCCTCATAGATGTAGTAGATGGGTCCTCCAGAGGGGCTGACCAGCTCCCCATTGGCCTGTGGTTCCTCTGGGGCAGGCTCCTCATTGGGCTTGCGTTGGAAAAGCTGCTTTAGCCGCTGCAGCTGAAGGTCCAGGATGGGGTGGGAGGGCAGGGTGGGATGGGGGGTGGTGGACAATCAGCACTTGATAGATGCCAACAGGGAACCTTGGCAACCAGCGCCATTGGCATGCACGCTCCAAACTTGTCCATGAGTAGCTCAAAAATGAGGCAAAGTGATGGTGGGGGGAGACCAATGGCACCCCTTGGGTCTTTGGCAAACACAGGGGAAGAGAACCCTGGATTGCAGGTAATGCAAACAAATGTCCAGTGAACATATAGAAGCAGCATGGTGGCAGCCATACAACTGCATGGAGACTGGACCACAGAGCTCACCCATTTGCACATCGTGGCTTTTCCTTGCACCACCCACAAACTGATGGTCTGCAGTGGCAGAAAACATCCAATGGCCACATCTCAGGGGGTGGAAGCCACGTCACAGAAACAATTTGCATTGTGGAACTCTCTCCATGCAATGGCATTCTAAGCATGACTAGCAACTAATTAAAGATAGTTTCTGTTTTAGTGGATTAATTATCTGCTTTTTAGCTATTAACTGATTAATAATAATTATTCTAAAAGCAGGTATATAGTTTCAAGTGCTTCACATATACTCATTGCAGCAATCCTTTTCCACAACCTTCTAGGGCAGAGCAGTACCATATTGCATATTGGGGGGGGGAAGTGAAGCTTAGAGGCATCAGTCTGCTTTCTGGGGGCAAAAGGTAGATTTCAAGTTGAGCAGGGGGTGGGAGTGCTTGTTGACTCGGTCTGATTTTCTAAACAAACAACACAACAGGAATAACTTCGGAGTAAATATGCACAGGATTACACTATAAGAAATGTGATTTATTTGGGGGATGTGCTTTAAACATACCGTATTTTTTGCTCTATAAGACTCACTTTTTCCCTCCTAAAAAGTAAGGGGAAATGTGGGTGCGTCTTATGGAGCGAATGCAGGCTGCGCAGCTATCACAGAAGCCAGAAGAGCAAGAAGGATTGCTGCTTTCACTGCGCAGTGATCCCTCTTGCTGTTCTGGCTTCTGAGATTCAGAATATTTTTTTTCTTGTTTTCCTCCTCCAAAAGCTAGGTGCATCTTGTGGTCTGGTGCGTCTTATAGAGCGAAAAATACGGTAGTTTAAATGAATTGTGTATATGCAGCCCAAGTTATTGTAGGTGTGCTCTCTTTAACTTGCTAATAATGCAAATTAAATTTTAAGTCCATGTGCCTATGACAAAAAAAACTCAAAAGGTATCACTGGGCGAAAGATCCCTGCACTGCAGGGGTTGGACAAGATGACCCTCATGGTCCCTTCTGACTCTACGATTCTGTGATTCTAAACCTGCTCTTGGGTGGATGGGGAGAATGGATATCAAAAGATATGCTAGCTTACAATTTAACAACAAAGAAAAGAAAAAACCATCTAATCTTTTAATTATCATCTTCTGTTGCAGAAACATAGCAGAAGCAAGACAGCCTCAAAAAAGTAAAGGTCCCTACCTTTGCAGCCTTGCTTCTTTAAAACGGGCCCATACCAATTAGTCAACTAATTTTTGGGGTCATTAATGTACTGCTTAACACTTGCATTCCTAACTTTAAATAGCCAAACCCATCACTGATGCTTTGTGTGCCTTTCACTTAAGGTGCATCCCCCCCCCCAAAATATATATTATTTCAGCCATCAAGCTGGTATAGTAAGTGCACTTGCCACCCTTTTGTGGCATATAGAATTTTAATGCAGAATCAAAAACTTACAGGAAGCTACCTCTGCCTGTTTTATCTTTACTCGTATTAGGAATGTAGGTCCCATCTCCTGAAGTTCCCAGCACTGGTCGTAGAAGCCAGCACAGCACCACATGGATTGGTTGGAACAGTGGCGATGTCATCAACCCACTCCACAATTTCCTCCCACTGATGCTGCTTTTATTTTAAAAGGGAGAGATGACACATGCACATTTAATTGAATAAATGTACATAATAACATTCCAAAATAGTAATGACAGAAAGTCTGCTGGAAAAATATGGGGAGGGGAGACACAGGCTAAAGAGCCATCGTTCAATTCACTAGCCCAGCAGCTGTCAACTTTTTCCTATAGACCTTACGAATCATAAATTGTCTTGTTGGACAATTTAATATTTTTTTTTGTACAAGCATATACATCTCATATTTTAATAATCACAGCATATAGTAGCTTTTCTACTGCAATGGATGTGTGTGTGTGATATTTTAAAAAACATGTTTTCCTTTACCACTGGCATCATCAAAACCAGCACCAAATTATGAAAATCATGGGCCCTGGACCAGCCTCTTGTTAGCCTACTCCAGCCCTACTCCCAGAAGAGTCTGAAGCTCCACCACCCGGTAAAAAACAACAACTCAAGAGCAAGGTCAAGTACAGGCATTTCCAACTGTTCCACAACTTTTCTCTGGAGCTGCTGGACAGATTGTGAGAGGAGTAGTCCTGTGTTAGTCCCTTGTAGCAAAAACAATAAAGGAGTCTTTCGTCACCTTAAAGACTAACAAAGCATAAACTTTCATGGACACAGGCCAATTTCATCAGACACCTAATGTAAAATTTAAGAGGGAAAATTGTAATCTGAGAGCTGAATGGCAATGAGATGCAAAAGTTAAAGTCAATGATTATTAGAGCTTTAATATATGTTAGCCACAGCTTTAATCTTTTACAGGGGCAGATTGGTGAAAATTGCTGGGACACTTGTATTAACATCTATAGTGGGGCAGGAAACTATTTTGCAAGAAACCATTGTAGATACATAAATCCTGGCATTATTCAGCTAATTAACACAATACTGCAATAAAAACAGAGCTCCTCCAGATTAGAGCTCATGGTGGACCACATTCCTCCGCACAGGCCAGCACATCCATCTCCTTGATTGGCACCTGGGTGTGTGCCACTACCTCTGAATTCCAGTTTTTACACCACCAGTAACCTCATTCCACAGATGTGATAAAGTTCATTTTGACCCTGAGCAGTGCAGTTTGTGAAAGGCAGAGGCGGCGAGGGGGGCAAGGGGAAGCGTCACTGACCCAGATGTTGCTTCTGGTGCCAGGGAGGGCAGCCAAGTCAGCTCACAGAGGACTCCTGGGGCATCAGTAAACTGGAAAGCATGCAGTCCGCGCTGCTTGAAATGCAACCCCACTCCTATGGTTACAGACGCTAACATGTCCCAGGGGAGGAGAACCGGCCAATACTCATCTCTCCTGCATTCATTCACATACACCTATTTGTGCGCACACAGGTTCTCCTGGGATCTTAACATTTGGCAGTGGAATCAAATGTGGAAATTCTTGCAGAGCTTGGGTTACTGCTGCCAGTTTCAGCCACCACAGAAAGCTAAACACAATAACTGAACCGACGACTCTTGAGCTGTGGCTCAGGATCTTTCAAAACATTGTGTCAGAACACAAATTCTCTGTTGAGAGACTTGATTGTTATCAGCTAAAGGTAGGGGAACAGCCTTGTGCTTCTCCTGAAAAGGAATTTGACCTGAATATTCCATGTGAGCAATCAAAAACTCTCAAGGAGTGTGTGTATTAGAGATATGCTCCAAGAGTCAGTTTCCCTCTGCTGTTGCTCAAATGTCTCTATCCCATAGGAATTAAAAAGAAAAGACACATTAGTGGTTCCTTCAAAGAGGGAGGAGATCTGCTCAAAGTAGGCGGTGCGTCTGCCTCAGTTCTAATTGCAAGAATTCAATTACTGCCCCTAGAAGTTGCGTATTTCCCTACCAGCTAATTTTTACACACTACCAGGTGCTGGAGAAGTCAGTTCCAAGGAAGCCATGCATCATCCCCCTTCACAGAAAACCCAAAGCACTCCTGCATATTCACCATTGCTGGATAGTGCCAGAACAGATAACGCCAGATGCACAGTGAGTGTCAAAAAAGACTAAGCTGAGAATCTGGAAGCTTCTTGTTAGATCTCATCTCTGCCATCTCTGAGTCACTAGCAGGGACTGAGGCAAGCCCCCCTTTCAGCCTCAGCCCCCTCATCTGCAACTGCCCTTGTTCTATAGAACAGCTTTCCTGTTGAGATACAACCAACATCCATTACCTGAACTTTCCAGAAACAACTGAAGGTATTTTTGTTCTGATGGGCCTCCACAGCTGAATAAAGTCTTTGCCATGTGGTTCTACTTGACTGGGTTTTAGTTTTGTTTTAAATGCATCAGATGTGGGTGTTTTTTGTGGGGATCTAACTTTTTTTGCTGTTTTTTAAATGTGCATTGCCTGAAAACTATTGTATAGAAGGTGGTCATATTTAAGGTGATTGATAAATTAACAATGATAAAAAATAATGTCTGTGATAATACTGGTCTGTACTGGTCTGCCTTAAAGGGCTACTGTGAGAAATACAGAGAATGTACATGAAACACTTTGAACACTTAAGAAAAGGTGAATCTATACAATGTTTTGTGTGCACATGTTAAATGCATGCTAAAGAACAGGAAAGACTGGATTATCAGGGATATTTCTAATTTGAGCACACATTTTTAAGGCCCTCCTCACTTCACTCCACTTTACCCTTGCAATACCTCTGATTTTCCATGTGTTCCTGTTCTTGCAATTCAGAATAATCTTCTATGCATTTAAAAAATAATAATCTTCAGCATATAAATCACATGACAACTCTATAAAGTAGGCTATGCTTCCCATTTTACAGATATGGAATGGCTGAAAAATAGTGATGTGTCCAACACACCCCACGACAAGAGTATGAGCATGGTGTGATCTGAAGCCAGGACCTACTACAGTGTTGAAGTTAAACGCTTTTATCTACTGCCATGCACTGCCTGCAGACATGCATAACAGCCGCAAGAGACAACCAGCACTGCCAAGTACTTAATAAGTTGGCTGTCTTGATTACCGTAAATGGGCCTAGCAGCAAGAAAACTAGTAAGCAATCAGAGATGTGTTGGAAACCTTAGGGCTGCCATATATCACGTGGATTTCAAAGGCGAAATTGGCGTCTGGGGGGAATTTCCGAAAAGTGGCTGCTTTGTCCTGGATCGAAAAATAGCTCAACAATTTGGGGTCTTTTTTAAAAAAGTTCAACAAACCAGGGTGTCTTGGTTTTTACTTTTTGAAATATGGCAACCCTAAGATCTTGCTTTCCCCACCCTTAGAATGAGGCACCACTCAAAATATGGGCAGCAAAAAGCAGAGGCAACTTTGAATTTGGAGAAAGGCAGAGAGCTGAAAGTTTAGAGCTGTGAGTTTACTGATTGGTGCTTTGAGAATCTGATGCAGGATCAATGCTTTTGCTGATTGCTTTTACTTGCTTACACTAGGCACTGTTTTTACATGTGTAAACAAAAATGGATATGAGAACGATTTATGTTTCCAGTACTCTCGTCCAAGGGAAACTAGAATATCATGCCCTCCCCTGAATGATGAGTTTAACATTAGTTCTGCAGACATACATGATTGATTGTTGAAGAAATTCCTGCCCCATAAAAGAAACATATTTAATTCTTTTGAGACCCAAGAAAGACATGCTACTAATTTCAATGATCTCCTTGTTTTTCCACAGGCAAGCTTCATTGCTCACAAAAACCCACACATCTCCATAAAGTATTGGTAGTAGTGGTTTGTTTAAAGTAAAAGTGATGCCACAGAGCAGGAATAGCCAACATGGTGCCCTCCAGATGTTGTTAGCTCTTAGCTCCCATCATTCTCACCACTGGCCATGCTGGCTGGGGCTGATGGGAGTTGGAGTTCAGGAACATTTGAAGGACACCATGTGGCTATCCCTACCGTATAGGAATTTAATCTTTGGCACAGATGTGTTTTACAGTGCTTGTGTACCTCGTTTCAGCAGTGTGCAGAGATGAGAGTATAAATTGGTCATTTGCTAAAAGGATATTGAAGTATGACTCTGGATAAGCCAGCATGGCCTATTGCTTTCTAATAGTGGCTTCATAGAGTAAAACTTCACAGATGTGTCTGTCTATGCTGATGCACAGCTCCACCAATCTGGGAGCCCCAATCAGGCTGACCCACAGTGGGCCAACACCTACCTTGCACCTGGTTCTGAATTAGTTCTGCGATGGAGCTAATATTTCAGGGTTGTTGTTGTTTAAAAAAATCATTATTAAATATACAAACAGAAGGGAAGAAACTGTCTGAGAGCTGGAGGGGTGGGGTCTAGGGGATGATCCTTCACAAATGACCTCTCTTGCAACACTGCGTAATTGTTTTCTCCACTCAGAGGCATTTATCCTGCAGAGTACTACTTCAGGGATGAGGCCTGACAGCTCTGGATAGCTCTGGACCATCCAACCCAACTTACAGTGATCCGTGGCTGTCTCAACTCAACTTGCTGATGCTCAAATCCCTCTGAATAGGGCTGGTTTGGTTTGGTACTTGGCTGAATCCAGTACACAGCTCTAGTGTGTGTGTGTGCATGCGCACATGTGTGTATGTGTCTACAAGGAGCTCTGTTTGCACTTCCATCCTAATGTGTCCAAAGGGAAATGAGAAGATGTGCAGGTTACCTAAAGCTAGCACAGCTTCCCCCTGTGAGATGCCTTTTAGACACAATACATTTGTTTGCTGGCACTTTGTGCAATGCCTAAACTTATCTAGTCTCTGCCAACTCTTCCAAATTTCAGCAAACTGTTCAAAATTCCAGACTTCCACAGAATTACACAGCTTGAATACATTTGTATGCTTCACTGGAACAATACATTCCCTCCAAGGCAGAACTTTGACCTCTGTGCTGCAAAATTCCCAGCATGCCTTGCAGATTTAGACCAAGATCCAAAACAAAAGCACACCAGAAAAGCAATTTTCCCCACCAAAAGGCAGGTTGGGGCTTGAGTTTCTTGAACAGCAACCTTCCATACAGCAGGACAAACCATGATGGATTTCCTAGCTCAAGCAGAACATTGGACTAGATATTGTTCTATCCCATTTGAAATGGTTCTGCTTGTCTTAGAATTGTGATGCTTTTATCTGAAGGGGGCAAACGGCTGACAATATGTGACCTCATTGTCACATCTACCAACAGGACGGGTTCAAGATCCTTGTATTAATTTACAAACCCTGGAACAATTTAGGTCCAGGGTCCCATAGGGACCATCCCAACCTGTATATCCATCTCAGTCACTGAACTCATCCATAGGAGTATAGCTGGTTGCCCTCCAAATTGGTGAGGCTCATTTGACATTAACACAAAACTGAGGTTTTAGTGCCACCAGCCTAGCCCTGTGGAATGCTCTTCCAATAGAAATTCATCAGGTGTTTTCTGTATTGACCATTAAACATTCCTGAAAATTTCTTTGTCAGCAGGCAATTAAGTTAATAACTTTCTATAATGCTTAGTTGGTGATCTGTGTCCCCCCCTCCATGTATGGTTTTTATTATGTATAAATAATGGTAAACCACTTTGATATTTTTAGTGAAACTGCAGTCTATAATTTTTTTTACAAACAAACAAATAAACCTGTTTTTCTAATTTTATATTCCATTGTTGTAACCCGACCTAGGGCTTATGGCGAAGGCCCGGTAATAAATTTAATAAATAAATAAATGGCCTACACGGCCCCCTCCAGATTTATGAAGATGAAGAGAAGTTTGGATTTGATATCCCGCTTTATCACTACCCTAAGTAGTCTCAAAGCAGCTTACATTCTCCTTTCCCTTCCTCCCCCACAACAAACACTCTGTGAGGAGAGTGGGGCTGAGAGACTTCAGAGAAGTGTGACTGGCCCAAGGTCACCCAGCAGCTGCATGTGGAGGAGCGGGGAAGCGAACCCGGTTCACCAGATTATGAGTCTACCGCTCTTAACCACTACACCAATCTGATTCTGATGCAAGTAGATAAATAGGTACCGTTGCAGCGGGAAGGTAAAAGCTGTTTCCGTGTGCTCTGGTTTCCGTCACGGTGTTCCGTTACGCCAGAAGCGATTTAGTCATGTTGGCACATGACCCGGAAAGCTGTTGGCGGACAAACGCCAGCTCCCTCGGCCTCAAACAGAGAAGAGCGCTGCAACCCCATAGTCACCTTTGACTGGACTTAACCGCCCAGGGGTCCTTTACTTTTACCTTTTACTAAAAAAAAGGGCAGTCAACTTGTTGAAAACATCATGCCAATTGCCCTGGTGTATGAAGAGTGTTTTGTTTTGTTTTTCTGAATGAACACCCAACCTAGACAGGCTGGCTTTTATTTTGTTATTTAAAAGTTTTAAAATTCTGGTTTGTTAGCAACCCATGGGTTATAGATTGATGGCTTTCTGTTCAAGAAAACATGTTGTTCTTAAATCTATTCTTTAGTAGCTTTTTTGGATCATGGCAAAAAGATAACTGCTTATATTTAAAGTTGGACAAGCTGGCCCAATGGCAACCATAACCTTCAGGGAAACCATGAGAATAAAGTGTGCCATAGTCTGTGCTCCTAGAAATAAGGCAACATCAATGGCTCTTCCCAAGACTTACATCTCAGGTTTCCAGACAGGTATATTGGTGGTTTGTTGGGATGGGATGTCCTCAGGCTAAACTGCAAAGGGCAGGATATTCCCATCTGATTGGTTGCAGCCACTGTGGCCCAAACAGGCCAAAGTCAAAAGGTTCTGGCATCGTAGGACATTCTTAAGGAGGACTGAGTCCTTCCAAGAAAGACCCCATGGCTGATTGTGGAAGAATTGGGACACAGAAATGGGAGTCACCCCACCCTTGTCCTCCCAGAGTACAGCCCACAACAGAACTTACCCCTTCAGTCGATTTTCCCCCTTCAGATGTGGGTGATGCAGGTGGCTCAAGAATTTCTTTTTCTGTCATACTGCACGGGGAAGAAAGCAGGTGCAACAATAAAGACGCAAAGACATAACCCAGGCACCTCCACTGTTTGTAGGAGGTGGGAGCCAGAAACCCGTGGGACGGGTGGCGCTCACAGCATCAGTTTCAGGTGAGTGTGTGCGCGCGCACACACTCATTATTCGCAATGTCCCCAAACTCAAACCACACTTAATCAACAATCCTCCATCCAAGTGGGCCGGGGGAGGGGGATTTCCATAACAGGAAACCACAAATACCTAGGTTAAGCTTCCAATCTGGTACCCTTCCAATGTTTTGGACAACAATTTCTCCCAAAGCACCTGGAGGGTAACAAGCTGGTGAAGGCTGACCTGGATGTTTTCCAGCATCAGGTGTCTAGCAAATAGGAGCCTTGGGATGGAAAGGGGGAAATTACACCACAGGCATCTTTGCGGGTGAATGGCTGGTGAAGGTAATATAGGTTCTCAGGTTGGCTGGGCTTAAAAGCTAACCAGGACTTAGCTCTGGCACATGCAGAGTGCCTCCCCCCCCCCACTAGTATTGCCACTTTTTAACTGGTAGGCTAGGGATAGTACCGCATTCTCTACCATCAGTGGGATATGACAGGTGGAATCTGAAGGGTCTTGATGAAACTATGGATTTATCTAGTTGCATTTTTAAAACTATGAAATAAGAGTTGGCAATCAAATGAGGGCTAGGGCATTATTACCTACACAGGAATTTCTATTTTCAAAAGTGAAACAAAACATTCCATGTGGTCTATTTCTGTAGAATAACTCGCTGGAAAAAGGAACAGTTTGAAAAATCTTGATGCCCTTTTCTGACATTTATGAAATTGAATAATTTGATGCCTTCTCTGCTGAAATGAAATAAGGCTGTAATATTTTAGGAGGTGGTATGTGGACACTGAAGTTTAACGATTGCAGAAATAAATGAAATCACGTATTACTGTTTATTATATAAAAATATGCAATTTAATATTTATTAAGAAAAAATGGCAGGGGGGAACCCTCACCTTTAAAGTTCTTTCATCACAACGCAACACATATTCTTTAACCAGAAGCAGAGCTGACTGAGAAGATGCATGCCGTTCTGAGGAACAGCTGAGAGTGATTAAAAAGGGGTTTGGATTTTTGAAAAAAAGGTATTTGGAGGAAGGGTGGAATATATATTTAATATACTTTCTGCTGCTTGACTGATCAGTAGGAAGGTATGTTGTGGTTTATACAAGATTAGGCAGTGGGCCAGAAGCAGGCAGTGAACAAAACCCAAGACAGTATAAGCACATTCCCCAAGGCCTCTTGGAGATTATGCATAATGGCTAGGGAATATAATAAATTCAACCAGGAAATTCACATTTCCCCAAGATGTGCAGAGCCTCTTAGACTGCCTTAGGGCAGGGATGGGGGAACCTGGGGCCTCCAAATGGTGTTGAACATTTAGCTCCCATCAGCTCCAGCAAGAACCGTCACTGGTGAGAGATGTTAGAAACTATAGTGTAGCAACACCAGGAGGGCTAAAGGTTTCCCATACTAGGAGTAGGCTACGTAGACCCACAACTACCAGTACTCCTGGGGCTCCTGATAAATCCTCTAGTTTTCTTTCTTTTCTTGGTAAAAGAGTAGGCCATTTCCAATCCCAGGAAATGTAGTTGGGTCAAGATACTGAGAGCTAACTCTTCTCCTACACTTTAAAAAAGAACTACCGTTCTCGTGGTTTCTTGAGAGTGAATGATTATTAAACCAGTCAAAATTTATAATAAAATCTCCTCAGAGGGAAACATTAGGGAAACAGTTGCACAATTTTCCACATAGGGATTTATTTGATCTAGTGAGGCAGAAGAGAAATTCACAAAGAGATCACCCCCTTGGCTTCTACTGCTCACTACTTTCCCCAAGAGGTTATGGGGATAGCTGACCAGAGTTCAACATAGTTAGAACAAAATCAGGATTTCTAGGAGAAATTCATTCTGAAACCAACTTATACTTAAAAAGACCCCGAGAAATGCATTATTACCTGGTTAATGTTTGAAGAGAGCAGATGGATTGCAGCACTGGAAAAGGTATAAACAAAATACTTCCTTTCTATAAACAGGTGCTGGGAAGCCCTGCTTCTTAATCCTGGCTGTATATGGACAGGCTGGGATTACTCATTGGTGAGGGAAAGACACTCTGAGGTGTTTTTCTTTTATTATTATTACTTTTTCAAATGTTTAAGCCCTGGTGTTGTAAAAGAGGTGCGGGCACTGAGTCCTGACACGCATTAAGTGCTGACCAAAAGTACACACACTTCCTCACCTGCCTAAGCTGTCTAAAAACCACCAGCCTGAACAATTCCCCGAAAATTTCCGAAGGAGCTCCTCTTCCTCAGCAGAATAACTGAGCCCCATAAATATCAAACTGGGAAGAAATTATTTGTTGATATGGGCCATTTCCCCCACTCAGCAAACCACCTCCCAAACCTTTATGAGAACCAGGAGTGGCCAACAGCAAGCATGGCCCATGCCTGTCATTAATAGCCACGTCACACTGTCAGGACATCAGCAGAAAAGCATTTCGGCTGTCCAGTGCGTAGCTGCTCCCAAGTGCCTGTGCCCACAAACGGACTCAGAGGTTCTGCAGCAGTCATAGCACCCCTCCGCCTCGCATTCCTAGAGGTTTCCTCACGGCTGCCTGGCTGTCTGCTTGCACACTCACGTAAGCTGCACATTTGCTGGGTGGTGCAGACAGGCAGCAGAACACACTGTTGTACAACTCTCAATGTGTAAAGCAGATATAACTCCCCAAGGGCAAAAAGTTATTTGCATTTAAAGCCTACATTTAATCACCTCAGTGCAGCTATGAGGGCCACAAATAGTCTTCACCTCCTCCCCCCCCTTTAGTATCAATTTTAATTAAGATATTTTTTAGAAAACAGCAGAATATTTTTTTTAAAAAAGCATAATGTGCTAATTCCGTTTTCTTTCTCAGAACTGCTTTATAGCAGGTGCCTTAATATTCTTTGCTTTAGACTTTTAGTGGGAATCAACCCCCTGTGAAAGCCAGGCGACCGTGCTGCAAAAATGGAAAAGTACTTTAGGAAGTCTTGATCTTTCATTTCTAAAAGCACAAACCTATAACTTGTAGATCCCAACACATACCCTCTTGCCTGTGGATCACCACAAAGCACAATTATTTCCGCAGAAACAGTCATCTCCCCAGCCTCTTCCAGAAAAGGCACTTCGGCCATTTTAAACCTCCACAGATTGAAACATGCATATTCCTCTACCTCTGAAAGCAAGTGGCTGAAAGTGGGCAAAATGAACTGCCTTGTTTGCTTTTTGAGGCATGGGTGGCATCTTTCATGGTTCTAAGTTCTGGGACTGAGGCGTTTATGCCTCTGTGAGCCAACAACAGATGACAGTGGTAGAGGCTGGAGAGAGAAAAGACACACTTACCTTCAAGAATAAAGGACACACACTTCCTGCAGGTTAAATCCTTCCAAAAGTATCAGGCAGTCCCAACAAACGCAGCTCCCCCTTCGTCCTGCCCAACATCTTACTTTAGAGATCCATGGGGGATAAAGATTTTCCCCTTCCTGAGTCTTAGCATGTAAAAGTTTGCCGTCCCAGCACCACAAAGAACTTGAGTGACAGGAGAGGGGGAAAGACAGCTGCCATCTATTGGGAGGGCTGACATGGAGAAATTGGACACTGAATAGCAGCTTGAACATGGCCTGTGGGCCAAACTGCCTGAGACAGCAACACAAAAGCTCAGTTGGGAACTGAGGAGGGGAGGGAACTGTTCAGATATTGGCAGAGAAATGAGGCAGATCCATTGGCCTAAGGAGCTTTTGAACAGAAATCACTGCCTGGGATACAGCCTCCAACTGACCTCAATGCTGCAAATAGTGCACCTTGACAGAGTATCTCAGGCCATAACATAGCATCACAGACAGCTAGCCAGGAACACACAATCCCACTGGGCTTCCTAATTTTTCATAGATGCCTTTCTGTACAAACCTATCTTCCTTATGCAAGAGTGCAGTCTATCAGTAACACGTAATGAACACGTTTGCTTTCTGTTCTCCATTGCCTTTAACACCTGACAGATTCTGCAGCCATCCTAACTTGACCATTTTTTTTCAAGTTTGTAAGGCACCTGACATCAGTGTTGATTCAAGAAAAAGGAAAGCAATGTTCAGAGCAGAATTTCCCTCCCTCCCCCTCAATCTAGCTCTGTAAAGGGCAAGCCATTCTATTTTATACCAGACATATTTACTTGCTTTTTGCCAACCAACCCAATAAAGGAAATCAGAGGATCAACATGCTTCATAACTGATGCAGTTTAACTTCTGAAGCCGCAGGCTAGCTCTAACAGACTGCTGTTTCCCTTGAGTTTCACCCATTAAGTCTGGACAGAGATTACAGAGTACACAGTGCACAGGAAGAATACAGGAAGCTGCTTTAAACCCTGTCAGGAGCTTTGTCCCTCTAGTCTGGTACTGTCTAATCTGGCTGCAAGCGGCAGTCTCAGGGGGAAGTCTTTCCCAGCACCTGTTAGCCAAGATCCTTTCTTTAAACTGGAAGTGCCAGGGATTAAACCTGGGATCTTCTGCATGCTATGGTGAACAACAAACTGACCACATCTGGCTATGGAGCAGATTAATCATATGCACCTAGAACTTCAGAATTGAACTGTATTTCTATGTAAAGTGCCATATACACTGTATGTCTACAGTCCAAGACTGGATAGGTTTGTCTTTTTAAAAGGCCCTTGCCCAATGAAAGGAACCCACATGTTTTAACCTACCTATTATATATAATAATTAATTGGGGATGAGGATGAGGATGGTGTGTGTGTGTGTGTGTGTGTGTGTGTGTGTGTGTGAAGGCCGAGAAATAGGAGTTTGCTTAGGCATCCCACTGAGATGATGGCAGAGGAAATAGATTCAAATCAATGAACATCTAGATCACAGCTCAGGATCTTAGTCAGTTGGAGAACTGTAAACTGCAGCAGCAATGGGGAGGCAGTGACTGGGAGTTCCAATGGTCAAGGGTTGGGGAAGTGGCACCCCACATAGATCTGTGTCCTTCCACAAGGCTAGAAGAATGAATTGTGAAAAATGAACAGACATGTCATTTCATTACTTTGCATTATTTATATGGGGCTAGATTCAATTGTACTAGCCCGCTGAAAAGCCCCCACTGCACAGCGGGGCTTTCCCCCTTCCCTCTCCACCCCCCAAAAAACCCTGATGTGAAATGGTTAAGCTAAGGAATATTGCACTGGGAATTGGCATCTTGCAAAGAGCATCACAAATAGAAATAATGTGTGAATATAACCAGCATGTCTCTGGTTATAAGGGTGGGTGGGGATTCAATTCACCTGGCCAACTAAGTAACAATAACCCCTGCCAGGAATAAAGATGGATCTGCCCCAGGTCTCTGTGTGTTACATTTTCACATGGATGAAGATTATGATTCTAACATCCCAGACTTCATGTCTCTTGCTTATGTATTTTGTCTAGTTTTAATTTCTAAACTTAAAAGATGTGGAAGATGAATGTTGCCTCGATGTTACAGTCTCCAAATCTGGAAACTCTTACTTCTAAATCCTAGATGTGTGATTGCTGCTATGGTGAGCCGCAGACGTTCAAAGGTATTCTGGTTTAGCATTCCATCACATGTTCCTGGGCTGAACCTGGACACTGAGAAAATACCCTGGGGTCCAAGCTAAGCCTTGATCTCCTCAACCAAAGTCCCCAAAGCTTTGGCTCCATATCTTGAGTAGGTTTCCCCCTGCCTGATTCCTATTGTAGCACATAAATAGCAACTTGCTTTTCAACTTCTCTTTTGCTAGCTGCAGAAGAGGAAATCTTTTGAGGCTGTTTTCCCGTTTGCAAAAAAACACACAAGATTTTGGACTTTAGGCTTGCTAAGAGTCTTGAAATGTCTTTTCTTCTGAAAGCCACGTAATTCAAAGATCATACTATTGGTTGAATGTGGAACTAGTTGTTACACTCAATGAAAAGTTGCTACCAAAATCACCCCAGCCTTGTGTTGAGCTCTCCCTGTAAAGTTTAGCCATCCTTAGCCAAGATTTTCCTCCACCCCTATTAGGCAGGCAAAAGTATAAGTTGTATGGATGTCATGGTGGAGTGCTTCTTCAGCAGCGGACTCATGTGCAGTGAACACCTAGCTCCCTTCTTCAAATGGGTGGCATTATTTTTATTTAAAAGGACTGTAGAAAGTTGTCTTCATTTTTAGCAGTATTCTTTGCTAAAAATTGGAAGCAAGCCTAAGCATACAGTCAATTCATATTTGGCCATTAAAAGATCTACAACCTAGACAATGTAATGGAATAGTCATATGTGCTTTGACTTCAGGGGAATACACCTGAAGTTAAGCGTGGTTTGGAAGCTTGAGATAATGAGGGAAATGTGAGAATCTCTTACGGTAAATACTGGATGCATTCAGATGTTAACCTTAAATCAGAGAGGAAGTACTAAGTGGACAAGAATTGGGCTCACACACTCTCACTTCCCTCTCTTCCTCCAGTGAGGGAGAACACTGGAAGCACCTGTTTCCATTTTCAGCTAACTGCAATTGGTCACTGTACCAAACCAGGACTTTATACATTACACTTTTCTTACCTGATGTGTATTGTAACAGATGTCATTTTGTATATTTTTAAAAATTAAAAATAAAAGAACAGTAGCCAGGACCAAAGGGATGAGCTTCGCACAGCATTTCACCTGGTTCTTGCATAGGGATAAAACTGCAGGTGCTTCGCTGCCCTGCTATTCAGGTACCCAAGTGTCAAATACCAGCCATCTGTCCCTGCCTAGATAATTTCCCAACAGCTCTCCACCAACCTCAGGTCCAAGCAACATGCCTGGGTTAACTCTGGTGAAAGACAAAGGGTCTGACCGTTGTGCCATCCAAAAGAGAAAGAGAGGCAGGGAGGAAGCAGCTTTAAAGTGACAGACGATTTTTTTTTATATTTAAAAACCAAATAATAATATTATTAATAATAAACCCAGATTAAATAAAATGTACAGTGAACATACCCAGCCAACATCTGTATGTGCAATTAAATACGGCTCCGTACCGCGGCACAACGCTGAACGAAAACAATATACACGTGTTCTGGAGAGGGGTTGAGGGGTGGGACATGTTCTTTCACGCAAAAAAATAAAAATAAAAAAATAAAAAACAGAAACCCCCAAAACAAAGCAAAAAAATCAATGTCTCTCTCTTCATTCTGTCCATATAAATATCTCCAGAAAGATTCCCCCCTCCCCCACCAAAAATAAAAAGGGGAGGAGGTGCATGTGGGATAAAAGGAGGAGGATGGTGGGGGAGGGCAGAAGAGGGCAGCCAAGGAGGCCCGAGAGGCCAGTCCAGTGTGCTTGTTGCCCCCTCCCCGCCCCCCCCTCCACCTGCCCCTATTGGGAGCTGGCACGCTCCAGCACACGCAGGTCGTAGTTCTTTTTGGCCATACGCAACTTGAAGCAGCTAAGTGAGTTGTTGAGACGCAGGGAGGCATTCTGCGCTGCCAAAGGGCTGGGGAAGACGGCCACAATGGTGTATAAGGCAGCAAGGTCAGAATGCCTGCCGTTCTCTGTGGTTCCATGGTTGTTGTCGCCTCCTCCTCCTGGACGCCCCTGAGTCTCTTTGAGCCACTGGATTTTGGCACCAGACATGGCAAGTTGAGTGAAGAGCTTGTCGGCCTCTGTACGCGTGATGCCCTCAGGTAGATCAGTCACTTCCAGTACGCGGCCCAACACTGTAGGGGTGGCCATGAGGGAGCAAGGAATAAGAAAGAGAAAGGAACACTTTCAGCACCCTTGGCAGCAACAAAAATTGTGGGCAGAAAAGTGAGCGACAGGACCTAGAAGTCTTGGGCCCGGCTGTCATTTTGGCCAGGTCTTATGGGTTGGAGTCACAGCTCATTTCGTCAGCCATACAAAACTGGGGTTAGACCCTAATCCCAGTTTTGTATGGGCTCTTGAAGCACATGTTTTTCTGTTGAAATGAAACAGTAATAAAACCTGTTGCTGACTCCTCTAGGATAATAATAATAATTTATTTATACCCTGCCCATCTGGCTGGGTTTCCCCAGCCACTCTGGGCGGCTTCCAGCAGAATATTAAAATACAATGATCAATCGGATATTAAAAGTTCCCCTAAATGATAAACAAATGAGCATGAGGCAACTGAACAGTTTGTTCCCCTTGTCAAGCAGTGCCAACTTGAATAAAATATTGGGGGAGGGGGCAGACAAACCCTGCCCCACATAATCAATCACAAGGTGCAGCAACATACTCCATTGATACCACAGACATTCACCACATGCCTGAGGTGTAGTCAGACTGCACTTACCAGATGTATTGCAACCACAGCTTAGATCAAACAGAAGAAAACTGGCAGTGATTTTCACAGGTGGCAATACTGTAAGCCAACTTTAGAAATCATCTGTACAAAACAGATTGGTGCCAATGTTTCCGGCATTTAAATATGTTGTTGTTGGCATATCTGATATCTCCATGCATACTCCACTTGATTACTACGTACCAGAGTATGTTAATACAACAGATCTGTTCAAAGCCCAGCCTGATATAATAAGCACGCTATCCTGGATTGTCCACAATGCTTCTAAAGTGCACCAGGCCATTCTCAGAATTTTTGAGAGTGGATTTGGAGGGGTGAAGCTCAGTAGTTGAATCTAGGGAAGTCACTACCTTTTAGTCTACATCTCAACTATTTTTGAAATAGTAATAGTTTCAGATCAGTGGTACCTAAACTTGGCTTTTATCACTTAGTTGTGGGATCAACCTCCAAAGAATCCTGGGAACCTCCGCTTGATGAGGTGCTAGGAATTATCCACAGCTGTTGTGAGAAGAGCTCAGGGAGGCATCCTCTCCAGCACACCAAGGTGCTGGTGGTCTGAATGGCAGGTAAGCAAGCCAGATTGGAAGTGACGTTGTGAGGACAGAGCACCGAGGATGCAGAATCCTGGTCCTGTTCAAACATGGCCTACACCAGCTGGCACCCTGAAGCAGCCACCTTGCTGAACCAGTAGTAGGCTTTTCTGCCCTTAGTTCTGAGGGTTCCTGGTCCATAAAAAGAACCACAGGCCACAATCACAATCAATTGTTGGTGCTTTGAGTCTTTGACAGACGGCACTGTCAGTTTCCACAGAAACTTATAAAAGCCAGTGCGCATGCTCTTCTACATGCTCATCCCCTCACATACTCTTAATGCACCCCAGACTCATCTGTCTCCTTTCTGCGTCCTTGCCCCAGTCCATTTCATATCACTAACTAGTTTTAACATTTTCCTAAGCAATTTTTAATTCAGCTTTTTCTCCTCCTGCCCCGGCTCCTACACAAATCCCATACTACATCTCCAAACTCAGGTAAATTGGCTGGGAGCAATCAGGGCCTTGTGGTCCAGCTTTTCCCTCTCAACGATCCTGGTAGGGATATAATCAAAACTTTGAAGACCCTTGACTGTTTACAGACTAATTGCCAATCAAGCAAGGAAAACATCTGCCTCTTCCCCCATGGGCTCCCCCACATGGTCTGGGAAACATTGCTCTAAGCAGAAAAGAATTTTCCTCTCCAGTCAGTGCCAAGTTTGCTGCCAGTCATTTTCACAGATTCCTGTGCTGGAGGAACTGGGCACTAGAGCCAGCGGTTGTGTCTTGGCAGCAGCTCCAAATCTGCACCCCAAATAAATAACTGCATGACAGTTCCAGTTTCCAGTTAGCAGCAGCAGTGCTGGGTCTTGGCAGGCAGGATTCTTTGCTAATATTAAACAGGCAGAGTAGCAAATATAGCAGACCCACCGCAGGCTATTTTCCACTGGGGGGTGGGGGATGCAGGTGGAGAAGTTTCATGCTCTAAAGAGACTCTTAAAGGAACAGCAGGACATCACCGTGTAGTTTGTTTACGGGGGGCATTTTCAACACTCCTCCTCATTTACTGGCAAGTGGGTTTTACTTGCTGGCTTAGCTTATCCTGTCCAAATCTAATTGGCAAGCTTTAGCTAAGCTCATATTACCTCTACCCCTCCTTCAAATCAGAACCAGTGACAGCGGTGAAGATCCTGTGGAGGCGGTTGGTGGATGGATGGCGGCAAACAGATTGAGGTTGAACCCTGACAAGACGGAAGTATTGTCCTTTGGGGACAGGAGGCGGGTGGGTGTGGGGGCCTCCCTGGTCCTGAACAGAGTAACCCTGCCCCTGAAAAACCAGATGCGCAGCCTGGGAGTCATTTTGGACTCACAGCTGTCCACGGCGGCACAGGTCAATTCTGTGACCAGGGTAGCTGTCCACCAGCTCCATCTGGTACGCAGAGTGAGGCCCTACCTGCCCACGGACTGTCTCGCAAGAGTGGTGCATGCTCTGGTTATCTCCTGCTTGGGCTACTGCAATGCACTCTGCGTGGGGCTACCTCTGTAAGAATTGAATAGAACCTTAAATATATAAACTGATTCCCTTCCTTTAAAGACCTGAGATTTTTTCAATAAATACTGAAGTTGGCTTCTGTATAAAGAGTTTGATGTTCAGGGCCAAGCAACTAGAGGCCTATATTAAACTAATCCCTAGAAAGTATTTAGGCTGCAATCCTGTACATGCTTTTACCTGGGACTAGGTCCCTTTTACTTAAGTGGGCTTCCTTCTGAGTAGGCATGTAGGGGGTTGTGCAATTAGCAGCAAGTGGGGGCTGGCCCTGCCTCATGCTCCCGGGCTGTATCCTCGACTGGGGGCTGGGGGGCATGGCTGGCAGAGGTGACAGGTTTGCCATGGAGTGGAGCATTTTTTATCAGAGCTGTGAAGTTCAGCCACACACCCTCCCCCTTGATTTATTATTTTTGGAGTGTGGGGTCAATGCTGTTGCCCTTGTTCAGACACCATGGGAATTTGTAAGGGAGGGTGAAGTAGCCACATTTGTGGGTGGCACTCAGCATGTTCGTCTGCTGAATCCTTCCAGGCTGCTGCAAAGAGCTCTGAAAGGGCCTCTCCAGCTCCCAGCTAGGCAAATGTTTGTTTTTTGTAGGAGTGAGACATGGCAGGACAGGAGAAGCCATTTTCTGGTTCACCCCAGGCAGCAAATGCCTTGGGACGGCCCTAGCTGCTCTCTTGGCACGCATGGCCAGCCTTGAAAGACGTTCTAGCAAAGGTAAGACATGAGTCTTTCTTGCAACTGGAGAAGACTCTCAGTTATTATGGTCTGCCAGAACCCAATTCCTTTAACCAACTAGAGACTAGTGGTTGTGAACACCCTGCTAGGAGGAAAAAATAAATGCTTGAGTTCCCCCATATTCCTTGGCTGGATGTGGGCTGGACAGATGGGTAATTCCCATTCAACTGCTTTCCCCAGTTTAGCATTTGCTCCATTACTCTGGCACTGAGCATAAAGACAAATCTAGAGATCTGCTGTGGGCAACACTGATGAGGCCAGTGGAGCATGAATTTTGTCACTTGCCTACATCACTTGTTCCGAGGTCCGTGGATGCAGACTTGAGAGCCTGTTTCTTGCTTCGATTGCCATGCTTCATCCCTGTTTGTCCCTGCAATAGAAAAACAATAGAACTGATAGCATGGGACACTTTCACGCTCGATCATGTGCCACCCTTGGTATTTCAATCTGGCCATTTCTGTGAAAGACCCCAGTCTGAACTTTAGTTCTCCCATCACAGTAAATAACTTTTAGTTCAGGCTTAGTTTACACAAGTTATACTGCATATTCATACAATGCACTTAAGTGTGTAAAGCCATTCACATGTGTTATCTTGGCCATCCTTGTAATTCTGCACAATGAACCTATTATTCCCACATGGCCAAGACCACCTAGGGCATTTATGTGATGAGACCTAAGACTTCTATCTCCTAGCCCACCATGCTGCACCTACTATCACATCCACACTAGGTTTCTCACAGGACTGACTGATCAAGATCAGGTCTGGGGTTAGCATCTTACGGTTCTACACAGGCTTTGTCTGGAGATGGAGCTAAACAAAATTCTAAGGATGAGAACCTGGTTGGTTATTCCATCTGCAATCCTAAATAGGGAAAGAGGTGGAGAGTTTTACAACAGGAATGGGAGCTGTGTATATGGCGTAAGGGGCTCTGAAAGCAGCTGTCCTAATGCAACAACACACATACAAGACTACAAATAGAAGAAAGACCCCATACGTACTCCTGCCTTTCTTCTACATTCCCAACTTTACTATTATCCACCAGTGACCCAACCCATGTCCATTCTCACCTGGTGTGCTGTATAGCTGGACTGGTTGTGCAACAGAGGTGGGGGGCAGATGGAGAGATTGTATTGCAGTGGCTGGCCCAGCAAGGAATAGCGGCCATCACCTGGGAAGAAACAGAGGCAAAGAGAGGTTGAAGAGGGCAGTTGCACCTAATGTTCAAGAGGAAGCATCTTGAGCAATCATTTGTTTTCTTTGCTGTTGGAGGATCCTCACTTTCCCACACATACAGGAACACAGGGTCGAATCATTTCCAGCTTAACAGCATGACAAAGACATTCCAAAACCTGTAAATTGCCAGTGTTCCTGGCTTGGTAATAGAGGTGGAAGGCTTCCCTCTGGACAAAGATCTGACATGGAAGCCTTTGAATTGCATCCAACTCAAGTCTCCAGAGATTGAAAGGTTGTGGTGGTTATTCTGCAGCATGGACTTTAATAAGGAACTGCTCGTTTTATAGCTCCTTAGGTGTCTCCTGTGAAGGTTGGTGTTTATGCCCTGCAGTGAAGCAGGCAGAAATTAGAAATGCAAAGGAACTGTAACTACCCACAAAGCATCTTGCTGGCCATTATGACATCAACCAAGAAGTTCCTTCCTTTGTGAGTCTTGAAAGCTAGGCTTCAAGCACACACTGCTAATATTTATTGATGCAAAGGTTGCTGCAGCTTAATCATGGAGTTTTTCTCTATTGTAACTAAAATTATTTAAGTTCTTTAGCTATAACAAGAACTCCCCAGAGTTGTCCTTACCTTGTGCTGGGCCCACAGGCCGGGGGAACTGTGTAAGGACTGGGAGGGGGCTGAGTCCGGTGCAAACGCTATTGAGACTAGTGACAGGTGAAGGTGTAGGTGACTGTGTGGGGGATGTGATGGGACTGTTCAGCTGGGTGCTGTTGGCCTGGAGGAAAGAAAAAAATAGAAAGCAAGGTTATAAGGTGGGGTGGGTGCCATCAACTGCATTCAACCTAACCATTTCCCCCTCTTCAATCAGATCCATCCCCATCCTCTACCTGAGCGCTGGTGTCTGGGCTGTAGATGTCTCCAGGCTTCTGCCCTCGCTGGTCCAAACTGTAGTACTTGCAGTGGTTCCATTGCACCATTGAAGTGTTCTGGGGAGGCTGAGGGGCATTGGGCACATTGAGCTGCATAACCACAACACCAGGTCCTGCTGGAGACACCCCTACAGAGGAAGCCAGGAGTGGGGAAATCATCATCATATGCATAAGAACACTATGTGAAATTTCAATCCTGCTTTCCTTCCATTTCTACCCTCCCACACCAATAGGAGCTCTGTGAGCCTCATAGTTACTACTACTGCAATTACGGTGCCATCAGCGTAAGTGGCTCTTTACAGAATTAGATAAGCAAAGGCAGGTTGCCTGCCCCAAGGAGCTTACAATCTAAGTAGAAGAGAGAAGAGAGGGGTGAAATTGAGCAAGTGCAGCACAGCGTGCTTAAACTTTGATACAGAATCTTCCAATTCACAACTGAAGGAGGAACAAAACTGCTCTGAATTATAAGAACAAACCTTGGCTACAGCTCATAGTTAAGAGAGGAGAGAACTTAACAACAAGCTCTCTCTTAACAACAACAACACACTAAATCAAACCCTGGCTTAGTTCAGTGATGGGGGGGAAAAGACAGGGGAGGAGCAAAAAAGTGGCTGAGAGCCCCTCTCCAGGAGTCAACACAGACCCAGTAAGCCATAGTTGGGCTTACCATGACGTGCAAACACGGCTATCAAGGAAAATTAGCTCTGGTGTTGGAAAGCTAGAACACAGCTCAGTGGAAAATGTGCAAGCTTCTGCTCCAGTGATGTTATTAGCAATAGTTAAGAAGAGCCTGCAGCAGCCATAAGCACAACTCGTCTCCCTTTACAGAAGAGGCAAATGACTGATCTCAGGATACAGGATGGAGAAACAGAGCCATAAAACAAGATGTCCATTATACCTGGGCCAACTCAACAGATTCTAAGGTCACTGTGGTTGCTCCAAGTGGGAAATAATTCCTTGAGAAGAAAGGCATGTGGGCATTGGTGACCCTCCCAACTCCAGTTTTTCCAATTCAGCCCCTTTCCCCAGGCTCCACTAGGCTGACTGATCAATTTCCAGACCAAGATTAAAACTTTATAATCCTACAAGTGCCTGAACTGGAGGCAGGGCTCAATGGAATCCCCATGTCAAATTTTACTCTGGTGATGAGCTGGCATTCCCACTGCTCCCATGGGCAGCAGTCTAGCTTAGCAGGTGGAGGGCTGGCCACATGGCACACAAAACTCTCTTCCAACACTTTGCTGCCACTTCCTGCTTCCTAGCCACCTGTCACCTGAGATGGCTCACTCTGCCCAACAGCAGAGCTAGCTCAGAATACAACTAAAAAAAAATTCAGGACTTATTCATTTCCAGGTTTGGAATAGACAGCTGGGTACCCAAGCAAAAGATGCTGTTTGTGGTAGCCATTATTCTTATCACAGCTATGAACAAATGTATATGAATACTGCACACTTGTAAGTCATAAGTGGTGGTGGTGGAGGATGAAGGCTTTTAGCAAGCTTCACGTCATTTCACATGAATGCACTTACTACAGAAAAGCTCTAAATAAATGAATAGGAGTTGGGGGTGTTAATTAGGTGGCCCCAATTTTTTTCACAGGCATTTTTGACCCTTTTCTTGGGCTGCCCTGTTGAACATTTCCATTTGATCTGCCTCGCTCCTTCCCCTGCTTCCCACAATATCAGGGGGAAACGAAAACATTTTACCAGCTGAAAAATTTAGGAAAGGTCTGAACTTTTACCACATTTTCAACTAAAGAAATGAGGTCCAAGATATATTTATGTACATCTTCCTTATATTTTCCAGTGGGTGCAGAGCAGGCGACACCATAACTAAATTTGAGCCCCATGGTCTGTGAAGGATGTTTGACATGAGGCAGGGGGAGCCTGAATAGGACCGGCAGGAGATACATGACAGACCGGCTTTGAAAAATGATGGGCGTTTTTCACAGTGACCACTAGATCAATACTGCACCAAACACTGGAAGTTGGGAGTTTGAAATCAAGTGTACTCTTGATCTCATGATGCTCGAGTCCAGTCTTTTAACAATCTTTAACCAGATCACTGAGATCTGGTGATGGTTGGTGAACTCATAGCATTCTGGTTTCAGTGTTTTCTGCAACTTTGCACATAGTGTGTGTGTGTGTATGTGGGGATTTTTTTGGGGGGTCACATTCTGCTAGGCTAAGTAATAGAGTAAACCGCCTTACCTGAATACTGCTGCTGCATCTGTGGTGGGCTGCAGGGCGAAGGAGATTGTGGCATCTGATACTGCTCTGCCCCAGGAGGCTGCAGGAAACCAACCGAAGGGCTGGGAAGGAAATAGCAAGATCTGATGAAGCAGCAGAAGCAACAGGACGGAGACACCAGCTGTGCTTCCCTTGAGAGACAACCAAGCCCAACTGCACTGAGTAATTTCCCGCATCATTCATCAGTTTAATGCTAATTGCTGTGATTCCTGCTCCAATCATCTTTCAATTAAGGGGAATGCTTATTCAGTGCTTCAGGGGGTAGGGATGCCACACGCATTCTCATCCTCTTATTCTCGCTCATACACAAGGAAGCTTCCCCACCCCCACTCCCCTTCTCTAGCTAGTTGTTTCTCCATCTTGAATCAAAGAATCAGAGTTGGAAGAGACCCTGAGGATCATGTAGCCCAATCCCTGGGACTACTCCAACCCAAAGGGATGCAGGTGGGGCTGTGGTCTAAAAAACTGAGTCTCTTGGGCTTGCTTTCGTGCAGGAAAGCACTGCCTGCACCAGTGTCAATAACCTCCACCATTTGCCAAGACCACATCTCTAACCCCCACAGCAGGGGAGATGGAGCAGAGTTGCATAGAAACCAGCTGGGCTTGCAAAAGAGGTACAGAGGACTCAGCTTTGCTAGCCCGGAGAAGCAGAGCACTCTGTCCCCAATCTGCCAGGCCAACTGGCTTCCACACTCTCCATGTAGGAAGTGGCTTCATTCCACCTCTGGTTGGCATGGAAGCCAAATCAGGTTGATCAAAGCAGAGTGCTCTTTCCCTGCTTCACTGGTTCCATCGCTCGCCTTTATGGAATTCCTGGTCATCAATGGCAACCAGGAGAGTGATTAAATAGTAGACTGATTTTTGTCCTCTCTGAGAGAGGTATACTTATATAAAATTAGAAAGGGCAGCCAGAGAGGCTTGTAGACCATACATGAAAAGGGTATTGGCTCTTATGACTCCCTTCAATCATCATCTAACTTTGTGCAAGTAGGCAAATCTTTCCATAAGAATGATTGTCAGCTTGAGAGAACATCACATATTGTTGCCAGTAACTCCTATTTCTCATTTCTGTTTCCTACGGCAGAAACTGGGAAAGCCAAACAGTGACCCCTATTAGCGAACGTCTTGCGAGTTCTTGCGAGTTTGTTTCCTTTTTCTTAAAGCCGCTAAGCCGTTAATAGCCGCTAAGCCGCCAATAGCCGCTAAGCCGCTAATAGCCGTGCTTCGCAAGGCGAAAAAACCGCAAGACGAAGAGACTCGCGGAACGGATTAATTTCGTCTTGCGAGGCACCACTGTACTGTGATTATTATAATCTTAACAGAAAGGTGATATACACGCCCACACACCCCAGACCTATTCTGGTTCCCTTTTATCTATTTTCTTAAATTTCTATGCCTACCAACTTTGCCAATGAACCCTCAAGGTAGCGTAAAATAAAAAGCAAACCGTATAAACTAGTCAACTCCTTAATTTTGGTTAAACAAATCCATAAAACCAATTTCTGCAAACACAATTTCAAAACCAGACTCAAGCAACATACAAAGGGCAGAATGCAATGTAGTGCTAAGGAGATGTCCCATTAGTGCAAGCATTTCTGCTTTCCTGACAAAATGGTGTCACCTTTTCTCCCCATGTGAACTGCTCTGGGGATTCTCCTAGCCCTCCATAATAGATTGGGGGGGGGAGTGCTGGGGGGCAAGGGAAAAAGAGATGGGGAAGTCCCACTGCACTGGCAGGAGTCCTTGCTCTGGCTTCCACTAGCAGAACAGGTTAGTTGCATGCAGTCCAAGGAACTCAAATAATTCCTCCTTCCTTCCACCAAAAGCCTGCGATGACCAAGATAAGTTTTGGTTCTGAAAACCCATCAAGGAAGGAACCCTGCAGACCTATTGAAAAGGGGAGTTCCAAAGAGAACCTATGAAGGCTCTGCTCCAAGTAGAGAAGGGACACTATACAGGGCTTTGGCTCAAGCTCTTACCTGGTGCCATTCTGCTGGGCTGGCGGGATAACACTGTAATAAACTGGCATCCCCCCAGCTTGTAGACCTCCTTGTACAGACTGATTTGCTGGCATCAGCACAGGCTGCTGAAAGGGCTGTTGGACCACGCCCTGAGACTCATTAGCCACTGGAACCTGCTGGCGGGGGGCAGAGGGAGAGTAAAGGGAGAGAACCTATTAAACAGGGGGAAAGACAACAACATACAGTAGTTTAAGGGGGCACTGAATGCAGAAAACAACAGTGGAGGAACAGTGGGACACCTCCTCCAAGATCTGGTCTTTAAATGAAAAGTAAGTGCCTAGGTCTCCTGCTCTTTGCTTCCAACACTTTGTGAACTCCAGGGCTTTGCTTTCACTTCACTTCACTTCTATTTCACTTTATTTATTTTAGTCCAGGACAAAAGCCTGAATACAAGGTGCATATGGTAGTAACTGAAAAAGGAAAACTAAACATATGTCTCTGACTTGTTGTCCTTGTTGCATAGTAAGATACAAATGAATCCCAGCAATTGTTATATCTTGACAAGGTACACCTAACACAGGAACGGCAGTGAAAAGTTGATGTAATTTGAACTGCTGGAACACACTCACTAGATAGCTACTTACTTTAAAATAGGCTGTTGTGCTAAAACACTTTTGTACTGCATGGAACACATGATCAAATAATGCAGGAGTGGTGAACCTGTGGCCATCCAGATGTTGTCTCACTCCAGCTCCCATCAGGGACAGTGGAATCTGGAGCCCAGCAACACCTGGAGGCTGACCTCTGAGAGAAAGCTTCTTTTGCATCGTTTATGTGGTCAAACAAACAAATGAATTGAACCATTGCTGCATTTATAATTTCTGGTCATGTAATAAGGATTTTTAGAATTCCCATTCTACAGTAGATTTTAGATAAGCCTTTAGCACTTTTGCAGATAAAGGGCAGAGTTCCTAGGGACATTGATGAAATTTGCACAATTCTTCCCTCACAGCAAGTGTACTCAAAAAAAGGCACTCCAAGTGTGTGGTTGTTTTTCAGGTACACCCCAGCTGGGCACTTCATCCACAACCCAGAAAACTGCACAACTGACTTCAAGGAGCCCTTGGGGCTTTATACATCTCAAGCCCTCTCCCCTGCCTAGTAAAATTAGGCATGGTCAATTGCTGAGGTGTTTGTAATATGGTGGTTTGTAATGTGGGTCAAAAGTACAGACCTTTCAATGTGTGCTATGTAGGCTTCAGGAATGAGCCCGGTAAGTTTTCCCACATTCGGTGCAACTCCTACCATACTGTTACTACTAATCACCTTGTGGCTTTGAAAAAGCTTCCCAGAACAGGCCTGGCACTGGGGCTTCGGGGGGGGGGGGAAGGGTGTGATGGAATACAAAACACTCATTTATACAGGTCTTTGGAAATGGACTTAGGGAGTTCAACTGTCTCAATTAGGTTGTCACAGTTTACTTTCAACATCAGCAGCAACCTCTGGTTGCTATCTGCAGTTTCTGGATCTGTAAAACAGTTCCGATCTGTTTCTAGGTTGCTGTTAACCTGTTATAATTAACAGAGGCTGTTGCCAAAACAGCAATCCTGCATCAAGTTTGCTTTCTCCCCCTATTTAATGTGCAGCAAAACATGCCCATCCCCTGATGTCACTAAGTTATACATTTCTTCATTCCATCTCACATTTTGGGCCTACAATGGCAGCGGATGCACAACACAGAGATGCCGGATGAACCCAGAAACATAGCAAGCTGCCTTATGCTGAGTCCGACCATCTATCCACCTGGCTCAACAATGTTGACATTGACTGGCAGCAGCTCTCTGGGCTCTTGACAGTGGGAATTTGCAGCCCTTACAGGAGATACTGGGGGTTGAACCTGAGACTTATTGTAGGCAGAACCACGGCTCTACAATAAAAGAGGGGGAAATGCAAAAACTAGAGATGGTGCTGCTGTTTTAGTGCCACGACCAGTCCTTCCGTAAGTCACATACCTTTAGTTGCACCTATGCCTTTGAAGAGCATGGGACAGCTTTCTAAACTATCACAGGGATCAGAAGATTGCATGAATTCACTTCTGACTTACCAGATTGCCACTTCCAAGGTCCCTTACCCTCACCATATTTCTTCTTTCTTTTATTGCCACTCACTTGATATGAAGGCAGTGAAGTGTACTGGGTCATCAGGCCTTGCATCTGACTGCCCATATTTCCTCGCTGGTTGCTAAGGAGGCTCTGGCTCTGAGACTGCTGCACACCCATCATGCTTTGCATCTGGCCACCCATGTTGCTGCGCTGGTTGCTGAGGAGGCTCTGGCCCTGTGATTGTTGCATTCCTATCATACCTTGGTACGTCTGCTGCTGGCTGGACATGATTGGCTGTAAACCTGCATCGGAGCAAGAGGCTGAAGGTTAATACTTTATACCAGTGGGATCTGCCTGTCTCCTCCAGCATTACGTGGTCACTAAAGCATGCTCAATCCTCATTGGCCTGTTTTTTGTTTTTTAAGGAGGGGAGCTGTCCCCTCGGTTTCCCCCCTAAATATTTTTCCTACTTCTTCAAACTTGGCAATTGCCTCCTCCTTTGCATCTCAGTGGTCTCACTTTGGTTAAACAGCCATCATATTTAAGCACTTTAGGTGGCCAACAGTATATATGACTGGTGTCCCAGGAGGAGCCCTTCATTACCCTTCATATGCATCTCTTGTGTATGCGCACGCATGCAGGTGGTGCTGTGGTCTAAACCACCAAGCCTCTTGAGCTTGCCGATCAGAAGGTCGGCAGTTCAAATCCACGCGATGGGGTGAGTTCCCATTGCTCTATCCCAGCTTCTGCCCACCTATCAGTTTGAAAGTATACCAGTGCAAGTAGATAAATAGGTACTGCTGTGGCGGTAAGGTAAACATGTTTCCATATGCTCTGGCACTTGTCATGGTCCTCCGTGTGCCAGTAGCAGTTTAGTCATGCTGGCCACATGGCCTGGAAATCTGTCTGCGACAAACCCCATAGTCGCATTTGACCGGACCTAACCATCCAGGGGTCATTTACTTCTACATTATTATTATTATTATTATTATTATTATTATTATTATACCCTTCATTCGAAGATCACAGATGTATGTCATTCACATCTTCATTGTAGACCAGAGATTCAAATCTTAGAAATCTTTAAATGAACACTTCCTGACAATCAACTCAAGCGTTAGTTGATTAATTCACCAAAGTTTACAGCCCTTCTGTGCACATATGTTTTAGATCAATTATGTCAAAATGTATGTAAAATTGAAGGACAGTAGGACAGTAATAGCCTCAACTACCTATAACCCAAGGGGACATAGGCCTTACAGCTAGCTACATTCACGCTTGCAAAGATTTTTAATATGCAATGACCTGAGCTCTATAAATAGGCTAGCTCCCCCTTGGCTCCAAGAAAGGGCAGGCTGGCTTGGATCTCCCTCACAGCACTAGAGCACTAATCTCCCGCCGCTGCCGCCCCCACTTGTTCCTTCTTGGATGCTGCACGTGCCGCCCCCTTACCAGGTTGCTGCGACTGCTGAGGCAGCTGTTGGCTGCGCTGGGGGCTGTAGGCCACCGGGTGAGAGAGAGGTCGGTATTGCTGGCTAGAGTTTGGGTACTGCCCGGGTGGGTAGTAAGAAACCTGAATCTGTCAGGAGGGGGAAAAAGCAGTCAGTAAATAAGACAAAGGACATAACTGTAGCAGAGCTCTGGGCTTCTGACTGACAAGCCGCTCAAGAGGACACCAGTTGCAGCAAAAGGTTAGCCTCAAGGGGACATCAGCAGGAGACACACGGTCACAAGCACGTGAAGTTCAGACAGACACACAGGAGTAGCCACAAGGAACCAAGGATCCTTGGAGAACCCTCAAAAGAGAAAGCATACAAGCATTTGCAGAATGACAGCCTCTTGCTATACCCCTCAAAACAACAACAGCAACAACAACAACAACAAAACAACCATCTCTCACTTTCTGGGCTTTTATAACTCAACTGAATACACAGATAGGGAAAAGAAAAACATGGCTTTGACCAACAGAACAAGCAGTCTCTGGAAATTCAATTATTTCATAGTTAGGCAACATCCAACTTCCATCTTTCATAGTTGGGTAACACCTGTGCAGCTTTGTAGGTGGAGATGGGGTGGAGTGAGTATGTTCTGCAAGAGCACCACAGGCAATATTTGCAAATGAGGCTGAAAACTCTGCCCAATGTTCTGTCCATTTGCATTTCTTACAGCAGAAAGTATTGATCTGATGTTTCCTATTCTAATCCTATTTTCCTCTTCTGATCTTTCCTATTCTAATTAATTCTAGAGGGTTCTGGAAGCTCCTCTGTGTGAAAGAAACAATGTTTGGGTTATTACTTCAGAGAAGCTGAGTACAGCTGACTTAAACTGGTTGTTATCTCTTCTGTCAAGGTCATGCCGACTATAATAAGAGGCCAGAAGGACCCTGGGTTTGACTGTCTCTTTCTATCTCTCTTCCTTCTGGTGTGGTATTCTGTATATAGTGTTAAGGTTTAGTCTTATTATAACTTATTGTAAGTTTAAGTTAAGTCTGCTGCAACTGGGTTTCTTATGGACAGTGCCAATCCTGAATGTATTGGATTTGTGACCGTTTTGCTCATTTGCCTTCAGTAGCAATAAAGCTCTGCTGGATGAAACATAATTGCCTCTGGTCTATTTTTTGGGAATCCTGCAACGTGTTTAAGTTTTTACTCTACACTGGAGTTCTGCTCTGGATCATTATTGAGTAGAATTCCATGACATATACCCCTCAAAGCCTAAGCTAGCTAACTTGACCCAATGCTTAGATACCCTTAATGCTCTGCCCAGCTCAGGTCTACTTGGAATGGTTTTCTGCAGCCCTTTTAGCAACTCCTCCTCATCATCATTTCATGTTCACTAAGAATCTCTTTCACACATACACACACTGTCACTTACTTGCTGCGGGGGCTGCATATAGCTCTGGGGCTGCAGAACCTGCTGGGCTGGGGCTGTGTGTCCCGAGGCAGAGTAGGTGGAGGCTGTGATTGGCTGCCCAGGAGAAGCCATGATGAATCCCGTCTGCTGAGGATGTTGAGACATGATTGGCGGCTGGAACATGGATGAGGACGGATCTGGTGCTTCTGTGGAACCCTGGCGGCTGAGGCTGATCTGCCCAAAATGGTTGCTGAGCTCATCAGCCTGTAGCCAGAGGACAAGAGAAGGAAGCACTGAGTAACTGTGACCTCAAGTTGTTCGCACCAGCAGGTACATGGAACCACAACAGCCCTCCCTCTCCTGACTGAAAACAGGATCAAGCAATTAGCACAGTGCCCAGGAAAAGTGTTCTTAGACAGTGTGAATATCAAGAAAAACAACAATGAAAGTGACTATTTGACTTAAAGGCAGATGTGCCAAAGAAACAGCACTTGGAGAATTTGGCAGAAACTCGAGAAGGGTGGGGGAAGAGATTACCCAATGATCCTTCATACCACTTTAGTGCCTCAATGCTTTGTCCCTTCACGACACAGACCAATGCAAGTGAAATAACATTCTGGATTAGTCACTCTACATAGGCAAGTCCCCTTCTCTTTGACTTCCCAAGAACTGCAACCTAACGTCTTGTGTAAAATAAACAGGCCAAAATTTGCCTAATTCCTATATCAGTGGGAATGGAGAAGGGGGCTAAGGCAGGGTTGGATTAACCAAAGATGCCAACAAGTAATTTCCCTATACTACGGTTGCCATATGTCTGGGTTTTTCTGGACACGTCCTCTTTTTCAGCATTATAATCTCCATCCAGGAGATCTTCGTTGCGCGCTCTCTCTCTCTCTCTCTGTGTGTGTGTGTGTGTGAGAGAGAGAGTGTGTTTCCCTCCTCTCCTTTCGTGGTGGGACTCCCACCAACCTTTGCCCACCTGGCTGCTCCCCATAGTGGAAGGGAAGGAGGATGCCACAGCTCCAAGGGGGAAAGGTGGCAAGTCAGGTGCCGCTAGGGGACTTTTGGCTGCAGGAGGTGGGCAAAGGGCGGCTGAAGTGGACCCACAAGTGGTTGCATCCATTGAAGCAATGGGATCACACCACACGGGTTGGTGGTAGGGGGGAGGTGAGGAAGAAGAGGGGGTGGTGAGAGGCTGGACAAATCTGCAGGATGGCACGCAAGCTGGGAGGCGCATTCTGGGCACTGGGCAAGGCAAAAGCACAGTGCGGCGAAGTTGCCCGGCTCAGGATGCATTTGGACTGCCAGCTGCTGTGCCAGAGACATGGGGTATGGTGAGCAACCCAGAGCTCCCTCTCTGTCGTCCTGCTGCTGCTGCTGCTCAGAAGGGACCCAGTGGGGAAGAAAGGTGCCTGCAGGACCCCCAGCAGGAAGGGAGGCTTCTTTGTTTTTATTTTTTGGTGGGTGAGTGCAGAGGAGACCAAAAATGGCAGTGCCCACAGGGGAATCCTAAGCCAACAAGGGCCTCCCGTTGAGGACGCTACCCTAGCCCTCAGGAATGGCTCTGACCTCCAGACGTAGCAATAATCATCCTCATCCTTATTTTTAAAAATAAATTTTAATTTTAAAAAATCCTCCCCCCCTTTTTTGGTTTGTTTAGTCATTTTTCTTTTCTTCCTTTTCTGTGGGGGAGGGAAGAAAATCCCTTTCTTCTTTTAACTATATCTCCCCTTCTATTTCTACTTTCACTGACATCTCTTAATGATCCCCCCCCCCATTTTTTATTTTTAACTTTCATTTTGATTTTTTATCAACATTATTAAACATTTCAATACACCTTTTATCTTTTACTGCACACACACACACACACACACACACACACACACACGTACTACTATTTTTCTTCCTCCTCCTCCCCCCCTTCCCCTCCCAGCCCACCTACAAATGTGTCCTGGCAAATGTGTCCTCCTTTTTGCTCTTTGAAATATGGCAAGCCTACTAAGATCTCACTTCTGTGTATGAGACCATGGATTCCTTTGAGTGTGCTGCCACAGGTGACGAGTCCCTACTTATTACTATGCTACCATGATGCAGGAATCAGCTGCCAATGGCAATTTCCACCCCAAACACATGTAGGCACGCAGACCTGTCACATGACTGTATAAATGCAATGGATGTGCAATTTCCTCCATGTTATTGCTATTGGAATGGAAACAAGCATTATGTGAAACAAACATACTATTATGCAATAAACCCTAAACAAGTTGTAGTATGGCGCCTCTGTGAGCCAGTGTGGTGTAGTGGTTAGGAGTGGTAGTCTCGTAATCTGGGGAACCGGGTTCGCGTCTCCGCTCCTCCACATGCAGCTGCTGGGTGACCTTGGGCTAGTCACACTTCTCTGAAGTCTCTCAGCCTCACTCACCTCACAGAGTGTTTGTTGTGGGGGAGGAAGGGAAAGGAGAATGTTAGCTGCTTTGAGACTCCTTAAAGGGAGTGAAAGGCGGGATATCAAATCCAAACTCTTCTTCTTCTCTGTTATAAGATCATCATCTAGAACAGGGACAGGCAATGTGGTGCCCTCCAGATGTTGCTTGAATGCAGCGTCCACAATCCCTGACCACTGGGCCATGTAGGCTGGACCTGATGGGGTGTTGCAAACTAATGTCATCTGGGGGGCCAAAGGCTACCCATTCCTGATCTTGAATATCTCCACTGCTAGACACAGCATGACTCTTCCACTCCACAAACAAAATAATAATATTGACCATCTTGTGACAGAACAACTAGGTTCTCTATCTTGCCACAGTTGGCTCATGACACTTTGCTGCGGTAAAATACAGATGGCATCCCTCTTGCTGCCCACACCCATCCATTAGCTAACAGGGTATTAGGTGGCATGGTCTGTCCCAGCTTCTGCTAACCTAGCAGTTCGAAATCATACCAGTTCAAGTAGATAAATAGGTACGAAGGTAAATGGTGTTTCCATGTGCTCTTACACTTGTCACGGTCCTCCATGCTGAAAACATGACGCTGAAAGCTGTCTGTGGACAAACGCCAGCTCCCTAGGCCTGCATGATGAGCACCGCACCTCATAGTTGCCTTTGACTGGACTTAACTGTCCAGGGGTCCTTTACCTTTTTACCTTTCAAATAACTAACATAGTCTGGTTCTCTCAGTTTTAAGGCCTGTGTTTTAACTTGGGGATTATGGTGAATTTAAGTTTCCTTGCATATTTATTTTGATTTTGATTTCAGGGTTTGTTTTTGATTTCTATATGAATTGTTTTTATATATCTTTCATGTGAGCTGCCCAGAAAACTTTGGGTTATGGGGCAGCATACGAATGTTAATTTAAAATTCTCCTGTGCAAATTTGGTTGAAATGACCAGGAGTTGTGGAAGTGCTCTTCTGCAGCTCTTGTTCATTTCAACGAGGCTCAATATGTCAGTGTACTGTGACCAGATCTCCTTCCTGCTGTCCTCAATGGTACCTGAAGTCTGCCTGCCTCTCATAGGAAACTGACTGAACTTTGGCAGAGGTGCATAGCTGTCAACCGTCCCTTATTTGGCGGGAAACTCCCTTATCCCAGCGCCGTGTCCCACTGCTGTCCTGGATTGATGATGTCCCTTAAATTTCCCGGGTTTCAAAGGACGCAGCTCCTCTCCCTCCCTCCCTCCCTGCCAGCCAGGGAGGAGGGAGGCTCCAACTGTGTTGCTTGGCTGCCCGGCCCACCCCCCTCCGGCCTCCTCTCACCAGCCTTGGCCCCCGGGAGCCCCTCCCCACCAGGACTGGCGGGAGCCTCGGGCCCTTCCACCGCCAAAATGAGCGTCTCTGCCTGGGGCCTCCCCTCTGCCCGCCGCCCCCGTTAAGCCGTACTGCGGCTGCGTCGCCAAAGGACCCAGATGAGATGGGCAGCCTGGCATGGCCTATGAATTGTTGAGGAGCCTTGAGAGGAGAGCGAGGGCAACCATAGAGAAAGCAGTTCAGAGAGAGGAGGCGGAGGCGCAGACAGGTGTTCCAAGGGCTAACCATAGAGGGGGAAAGCGGAGGAAGGACCATAAGCGCTTCTCCCATAGATTTGTAGTGGTAGACTAGCATAGATGGTCTGATCTGTGGGTTTACTTCGGGCGCTATTTCCCCCCCCTTCCTCCCGCCCCACCTAATGGAACTGAGAGCTGTAGATGGAGCCCAAGAGAAAAGATACAGAACTGCAGCAGCATCTTCGTAGCTTGGACTTTGTTTTGCGTGAAAAGTGGTTGCTACTTGTAGTTATTTAATTGCAGTGTTTCATCAGCTGGTGTCTTGAGCAGCAACCTCTGGAAACGAAGGGCTAAAAACTGGCGCTGCTCTCCCAAATCATCTGGTCCCTTTAACTTCGTATTTCAGCTGGCTGCCTAAAATCCCTTATTTTGGCTGCTGATCCCTTATTTTTGAGGCTGCTGGTCCCTTATTTTCAAATCTGTAAGTTGACAGCTATGCAGAGGTGCATAGAACATAAACCAACTAACCCTTCATTATGTACCATACTTTAAATGCTGAATATTTAAATGGTTAACTCAAGATCAAGAGGCAGAACTGCTGGAGCATCAGTTCCCCAAAGGCAGTCCAAATCATCAATGCGCTGTGGGAAAGAAACAGGAGGAAACAAGGTACACCATAGAAAGACAACTCAAGCGTCACACAATCTGGATAGCAGACTTCTCTTCCTCCACCTCAACTACCACTGTACTGATTGCAGGCTAATCTGGAAATCTTGCCAAACTCATTTCCCCTACATAATATTCATGCACGCAGGGAAAGTAAGATAGGATGCAGCCTAAGACTCACAGAGCTCAACACTGTTTGCATCAGCTAAATCAGAGGTTTTCAACCATTTTGAGTCTACGGCTCCTAACTACATTCTTGCTGTGGGGCTCAGGAGCCCAGTTATGTCACCCCTTGCCTGCAGAGCTGGTGCCTCTCACCCTTTTCGAGCACCCTCCCTTGTGGAGTATTCCCTCAGTCTCCTCTCCTCTCCCCAATCCTTGGGAGTCCTTTGGGCAGCTGCTGATGCTGCCCATGGTCTCTGAGCTGCCCCCACCCCACCCCAAAGAGAGGTGTCTCCTCACACTGCCCCACAGGGGCCTGGGACTTGTCTGTTCATTCCCAACAGCAAGGGCTAGTGGACTGGCTGGCTGGGCTCCCTCGCCCACTTGCTAGCTTACTCCAAGGCCGCCTCAGCTCCTGGCAACCAGCACACCCTGGCCAGTCACAGAGGACCAATCGCCAGTCAGGGCTGCAACAAACAGCTGTGCAAGACTTTGGGAGGCAGAGACGCGACAGGGCATAAGAGGAGGGAGGGAAGGAAAGAGGGACAGAGGCCAGTGTTGCCAGCGGCACCCCTGACCATCATTCAAGGCACCCCAGGGGGCCACGGCACACCGATTGAAAAACACTGACCTAAATGTTCTAACCCCACATTTGCCAACTGCCTTATCAGTCAGATTTGATGACCTGTATGCAGGAATATCATCAGAAAAAGCACTGTGCAAATTGAGGAATCATATAGCAGTGGGCAAAACCAAGTTTATCCAACTGTAACACATTACAGCCATGCCCTCTGGTGGCTGTTACGGCCACATCTCATACAAAACCAGGAAAATGTCCTTTGGTACACATGCCCTGTTAGTTCAATGTGTTTCACCTTCAGCTGGTCTCTCACAAAAGTAATTTGGGTGGCAAAAATTAATTAGTGAACACTTTCATGCAACTGCATTCCAGACAAGTGGAACAGGCCTGCTGACTGAGGAAGACACTTCATTTTCCCATCCACAATAATATTGCTCTTTGAGCAATAGGAAACTGTAACAGGAGCTTTCTTTTAGGAAAGACATCTGGGAGCGATATAAAATCTGAGCAACAACTGTGCATTTGTTGCATTATAAATAAAAAGCCATGAACACACTTGAGAGATGGAAATTCTGTCCTGTTGAAGCAGAGCCCATCATCATTCTATGTAGTAGTATTTGTGTGTGTATTTGTGTGTGTGTGTGTGTGTGTGTGTGTGTGTGTGTGATGTTTTTATTATGTACCCAAAGCGAACAAGCAGCTAACAAAATCAGCACTGGAATGCAGCACATTCTTTATTATGCCAAAGAGAGAGAGAAAGAGAGAGAGAGAGAGAGAAAGAGAGAGAGAGAGAGAGAGAGAGAGAGAGAGAGAGAAAGAAAGAAAGAAAGAAAGAAAGAAAGAAAGAAAGAAAGAAAATCTAAGAAGTTGGGTTTTTAATACCATATTGTACTGCTGGGGTGGAGAGACTGGCAGGAGGACTTGGGGGCAGGAGCTTGGAGAGTACTGAACAGGCTGCGGAGAGGGCTGCAGAGCTGGGACTGGCTAAGAGTAGAAAAGGAAAGGAAAGGAAGAAACAGGCATAAGGAAGCAGGGGGTGGGGGGAGAGGAAAGGAGAGGGCAAGGGTAGAGGGAGAAAAGGCAGAACAAGGTTAGTTATTATACATAAAGACATAAGAGGTCTGAAAAGATACCACCAGCTACTGAGCTGGCTTTCCATCTGCTTTAGAGAAAAAGAAAAACCAAGAAATAGAAGCTCTGGAAGACTTCAGCCAAGGGGGAAAGGCAATAGGAATAGCAAGATGCCGAATACCAATTTCTGAGAACTCTGACATCAACATGCATTCCAATTCAGGTGCCTAGTAGCCCTTGCAGCCTTAAAAGAAACCTGCCCTGCAACTGGCAGGGCTGTAAAGATTAGGAAACAGGACTCTGCTTTTAGCTGCCTCCTAAGTTTTACAAATCCTGCCAACCTAGCAGTTCGAAAGCATGTCAAAGTGCAAGTAGATAAATAGGTACCACTCTGGCAGGAAGGTAAACGGCGTTTCCGTGCACTGCTCTGGTTCGCCAGAAGCGGCTTAGTCATGCTGGCCACATGACCCGGAAGCTCCCTCGGCCAATAAAGCGAGATGAGCGCCACAACCCCAGAGTCGGCCACCACTGGACCTAATGGTCAGGGGTCCCTTTAAGTTTAAGTAAAACCTTTACGTTTTACAAAAATAGCATATGATTTTTAAAAGATGAAAATCTTTGTCCTGGTCACATAAATAATGTAAAGTAAGTATTTTATTGTTCTAGGTGGCAAATTCTGGAAAATACACAATTCATCAAGGTGGCAGGAAGGTAAACGGCGTTTCCGTGCACTGCTCTGGTTCGCCAGAAGCGGCTTAGTCATGCTGGCCACATGACCCGGAAGCTGTACGCCGGCTCCCTCGGCCAATAAAGCGAGATGAGTGCCACAACCCCAGAGTCGGCCACCACTGGACCTAATGGTCAGGGGTCCCTTTAAGTTTAAGTAAAACCTTTAAGTTTTACAAAAATAGCATATGATTTTAAAAAGATGAAAATCTTTGTCCTGGTCACATAAATAATGTAAAGTAAGTATTTTATTGTTCTAGGTGGCAAATTCTGGAAAATACACAATTCATCAAGGTGGAGCACACTGGATATTTGCACATCATGGTAAACCACAATTTAGAGTGACATAAATGAGCCTTGTGCACATAGTCTCCACATGCCCTATCCTCCTCCTGAACAGCTGGAAGGAGTTTTGCTTAACAATAGTTTGTTGCGTGAAGTGACAGATTGTGGATAATATTCAGCTAAGTAGCCATGTTGGTCTGATGCAGAGACCAACTAAGTTTGTTCTTGGTATAAGCTTTCATTTCCATGCACACTTCTTCAGATACCTGTGGTTAATTAAATTTTGTTTAGAGCAAAAAAAAAAATTGAACCCATGCTACACTGGAGGAGACAGGAGTGAGCCCAAGGCCTGAATAGGCTTGTTCACATCATACAAAACTATGGATATTGTGACATGCAAACATAGCCATTCACTAGTCTTAATCCAAAATTGGATAAGCCAAGCTTGTTTTGGTTTTCCAGTAATCAGAAAGCAAAGGGGAAAATAGTAACACTAAGCTCTGAGGATGCTTCCAGAAGCAAGGGAGGACAAAAGGAGCTAAGGGACTCCTAAGGAGATGTCTGCCAGCTATGAGATCTCCAAGGAGGACATAATGTAGCCCCTGTCCCTTGTAGTAGCAAGGAATGTCACCCTGCCACTTAACAACAACATAATGGTGTTTAAAAACTACATGATCTTAGTTTCCTCTCCTAGTTAGAAATGTGAAGACCTACAAGTCAGAAAAGGGGGGAAATCCCCCTTCAGACATTGATTCTGATTATTGTCAAGTATATATTATTTACGGGGATTCAGCAGGACATAAAATCTAACCAACAAATAAGGATGTCTAATTTGACACTTGCTAGGTATGAGGATGAAATAATATCAACTGCCTCAACAACTTTGTAAAATATAGCAGAATATCGTCATTTATCACTACCCCTTATGTTATGGAGGTGTTATTTTTCTGAGCTTTCCCTGTGAATGGATGTTTCTTCCTTTTCTGCATAACAATGCTGAGGTCTACATACTGCTTCTTGGCCAAGATGATTCTATTTTAAATAGGTCTACTCAAAAGTAAGTTACAATAAATTCAGCCTTACTCCCAAGTAGGAGTGCAAAGACTGTAGCCAAAGCAGCAGAAAAAATCCCCCATACAAAATTTCACATCTTTCCATGGCCCTGCTAAGGTGAGTCTAACCAACAATTCTTCTGCTTCAAATTACTATCCTTCTTGTAAAATTACTAAATAAAACTATACCTTATGCTCCATTTGAGCTAAATTAAAAGGTCTGTCACGTCAAGCAGCAACAGAAAAGAACGATCTACAAATATTTCAGTCCTGCTGCTCTCTGTGGCGACTGAAGGAACTGAGCAGGAAGATGGCCACGTTCCTAAGGACTGAGCAGTTTGGTGAAACCTACCGCTGAGGAGGACAGCCAGAGCCTCGTGTGTCTGCCTCAAATTGTTCTGCTGAGGCAGGGGCAGACCTGTTGTGGAACATGCAGAACTGCAAAGCCCCCACAAACACACATTCAAGGCTTTCCAGATGCAAATCACCTTAACACGCATCTGTGAGCATTTTGTTAGGATGAACCTCTGTCCAGTTTTCTTTGGTTTCTTCCAAAAAAGAGAGGCCAGTACCAGACTTTTTAGGGCATCTCCCCACAAGACGCTCTTTGTTTTTGATTTTAAAAATAATAATTTTAATTAAAGATTTTCTTGGTTTACAAAAGTACGCTCATCGTCTCTTTTTTCAGGTTGTAGAGTCTTTTCTACAGATCAGTTACATTTGATGTGAGACATTAGTGTTGTATACAATATAAGGCTTGGGAAGAACTGAGGGGGGAGATACTCTTTGTGGTTGGGAATAACACATCAGCTGCTTCAAATGATTATATCTCAATGGAATAAGCCAATATATGAATTGACATTTTGCCTGAGTGTGTAGCCCCTTTGCTCCTTTCCAGCACACTTGAACGCAATACGGATGTCTTCACTTAACCAGTGTCCTGCCTCATCTGAACTGGGAAACTATGGTAACCAGCTTTGGAACAAGCCAGGATTCCAAGGCAAGTTCAAACTATAATTTAGGCTTTGTTTTGAAGCTAGGAAACATTGTAGCCCAAATAAATATGGCTGATTAGATCCCTTCAAGCCAAAGACGCCCTGAGCCGATTCTCACTGATCACCTCGCCCCTTTTTACAGCAGGAAGAGGCCAACAATGTCAGCCCAATCCAAGAGGTCAGGACAGAGCTTGCCCCCGCTGTATGATGCAACCTTCACACCTAGGCATGTGTGTGTGCATTCACACACACACACATAACGGTTTAAGAAATTCCTAATTTCTAATTAGGAATGTGCCCTAATGATATAATTCTATTCCACACATTGTGTCTGGTATTCTTCTTCTTTTTTTCCCAAGTATTCAAGCATTCTGAAAAAGACTAACTTTCCTTGGAATGAGGAATTTGCAGTGATTGCAAAATTACACATGAATATGGGCAATGGCTGGTGAGATCCAGGAAACCAGAGTGAATTCTAGTGCACGGGGTGGAGGACAGCAAGGATTCATTATCTCTCCCTTTCCCTTCCTCATTGCTAGCAGAACCAGCTTGAATTATTCATCTTGTTATGTACTGAAGTTCTCACCCTGGGCCAACAGGGGGATACTGTCGATCAGGGGTGTCAAACTCAAATTCATCGGGGGCCGCATCAGCAGTTTGGTCACCCTCAATGGGCCAGTTGTATCTGTAGGACTATGTAAAGGACATGTAAAGTGGAGGTTTCCTGTGTAGAACGGCTGGCGCCGCTAGAGGGCAGACGTTCTCTGGCTTGTAGGCTGCCGCGCATGCGCTGAAGAGGCGGCTTTCTTGTGTCAAAAAAAAAAAGTGAGAATAAAAGGTGAAGGCTGGCGGCCGGCGGCGGCTACACGGGCCACATGACGAGGTCTGGCGGGCCAGATTCGGCCCACGGGCCATGTGTTTGACACCCGTGCTGTAGATAGTTATGCAAATAAGGGATCGAAAGTGATTGGATTCAGTGATTGGATAGTTTCAGAAAGTTGCTACAATTATGTGTACTGCAGCTCTACATAAGCAGGCTGACTGAACCCTTCAGTTCAGTTCTGTTCTGGCCTCTGAATAAACAAGAGCTGTTTGAAGAATCGCTGGGTCGTCTGATATGTTCACCCACAACTTAACACGTCTATTTCACTGTTCTTAGAGCAGAATTCAGCGTCTTTTTTTCTTTGCAAGTGCAGAATCTAAGCAGTTCTGCCTTACAGTCACCCTTTTTGCAGTTGATGCTACTGCATCCCTGCAATGCCACATTAGGACCTATGCCAGTGGTGGGGAGCAGGTGGTTCTCCAAGTCTGATCAGCCCCAGCCAGCAGGACCAGTTGTCAGATATGGTTGGAGCTGCAGTCCAACATATATATCAAGGGCTACAGTTTCCCCGTTCCTGATTTAGGCCTACTGAAGCAATGTTGCCCCAAACTGCATGTTGTGGGAAGCCAGGTTTTGCTATCATGACAGAATCAGTTTGATGGGACTGGATGGGAAGGGAGAGATAAAGAAGAACAGTTTGTGTAGATAATTAAAACAACAACAACCCTTTTCTAGCAGCAGTAAGAATGCTCAGGCACATTCTTCTGTTTCTGCTTCCTGGCTATGGAACAACAAGAAAACATTCCCTAGAACCAGGTGACATTGAACAGTGACTCACCTGTGATATGATGTGATTACTCATCGACGGCTGTTGCTGGGGTGTGGGTGGAAGTGGTTGCTGTTGCTGCTGTTGTTGCTGAGCAGCGCATGGCAAGAGTCCTTGGCCAGGCTGAGCAGAGGAGACTTGGCTGCAGGCTTCTGGGGTACTTAGTGACAGACCTTCACAAGGAAACAAAATGCACACAACAGATGTTAACAAAAAATGTGCATTACTTCTGAAAGGAGAGGTGTGAGGGTTCAAGCCTGGCTAGAAGAAATACCGTAAGGACGGAAAATCCTTGATGTATACAAAAATGACTCCGCACATGGTCAGGGGCACCTTTGTCATTGGCCTGGCTAGGCATTTCTACAACAGATTCAGTACAGAGCCATGGCTCAGTTGAAGCCTTGGTGCACAACACCCTACTTCTCTTAGCCTATTTCACTTTGGTGCACTGATGTCTGGGTTCTGCTGTTCTTGTGAGCTGCTGTGTGCATTTCTGTTATGAATAAATGCATATAAAATTCCAAGGTAACCAGATTTTCTTAAGTTAATATGCTAGGCAAATGGAGCCTGAACTTCCCTGCACTTACAGGAAGACTTTCAAAATATATCCGCCTTCTCTGTAGCAGCTGGACAATCATCACAGCTGCATCTGAGCAATTTCGGGCATTAGCTGGTGTTTACTCCCACAGACCCTCTGTGAGGTAAAGGATTTACTTGTTAGTTCCATCTTCCAGGTGGATACAAAGGGTTCTGGTCATCTTTTTACAGACTCAGCCATGAAAATAACTGAATGAACTAATCTCTCCTAGGTCCCAATACAGTGCCCTTTGGACCACCCCCTGAAGAATATTTGTGGCACAAAAGGAAACTAGAAGTATAAAGAACACTGGTTAATTGCTCTGCTTTGTGGCAAACTTGGAAAGGGTAGCTGCATTAAGTGTCCATCTTTACACGCTTTAGCTCCTGAAGAATGCCAAGAACAGTTGATGCAACTGCCATCTGGTTCAGGTCCTCAATAAAGACCTCACTTCTGGGTTTTGTCTCAGGAAGTTGTTATATAGCTAGAAGCTAATTCACATAATAGATTGGGGAAATGTATCCATGTTTTCCTACATGGATACAAATTGCATTGCATCATGGCTAGCTGGGGATTCATTGTGGCATGTATGCTCAATACGTGTCTGTTCTGTATTCTGTACATTATTTTTTCACATGTACATTGTTTTGTACAATAGAGATATTCTAAAACCATTATGTCTGAAGCAGCCTTAGCCTTCCCATATACATCCCAAGTAGAATCACAAAAGTAGAGTTGGAAGGGACCTCGAGAGTCCAGCCCCCTGCAATGCAGGAATCTCAACTAAAGCATCCCTGGCAGGTGGCCATCCAACAACCTCCCGAGGGAGACTGTTCCTTTTTCAAACAGCTCTTACTGTCAGGAAATTCTTCCTGATGGTTAGTCAGAATCTCCTTTCTTATAACTTGAAGCCATTTGTCTGAGTCCTACCTTCTGGAGCAGGAGAAAACAAGCTTGCTCCACCTTCCATGTAACAGCCCTTTAGATACTTGAAGATGGCTATCGTATTTTCTCTACTCTATTTGGATTTACCACCAAGAAAGACAAACCAATGCTCTTACTTATGAGCAATTTTACGGCAACATAGTGCATGTTTTATTCATCTGCTCCTGCTCTTTGTAAATATGTACTGCAGGTGTGCAGGGGAGGGAAAGTGCATTGGAACAAATGAGAGACAAGAGTAATGACAAGAAACAATAAAATAAAAATGAAGTGACTTGAAAATGGCACTATTCAGATGTGACTTGACCCCTCCCCGCCTGCTTCTCTCCCAAGGCCAGCACTTTGACCTCAAGAGATATCCTTTGTAATCATCATCATCACCATCATCATTTTATTTGTACGCTGCCTTTCCGTAGTTGAAGCCATGCTCAAGGCAGCTTACAAGATTACAAAATTACAAAAGTAGTCATAAGCAATAAATAAAACGCATCAAAAAGTACACAAGAAAACTTAAACAAATTCCACATAAATCATAAGATATAAATATACAAAAAAATCCTATCAATAACAGCAACAACAAAAACCAACAAAACCACCTAAATAATACCCCTGAATAACCAGATCTTTGTCCAGTTTCACTTATACCAAAATACACTGTCATAGCAAAGGAGGGGCAAGAATTGTGACCGTGAGCAGGCAACAATGGATAGAGGCAGGAGAAATAAATACGGGCATTTCAGTGCCTGTCCCTGAAGTTCAACTGGAAGATACTTGTAAACAGGGTGAGTACATGGATGGTTGGATATGAATCATTCCCAACAGCGAGAGAGGAGACACAACGCTGCTGTGTTCCACACCCACCCCTTTATTGATATTATTCCAATTTCTGAGCCAAAGAAGAATAATTAGTACATCTGTAAAGCCATCATCCACCCTCTGTGCAGAGGAAGATGACTTGGTGATGCTGCGGAGTAACAGAAGGGAGCCTGGAGACTGCAATTCCTTCCATGCCGACTTGACTGGGAAAATAGAACAATATGTTTTTCATATAATTAAGATGTATAAGCAGAGAGCTGTATTTTTTGGCTAACTGGAAGGTTGTCACCTGAGTGCAAAGGTTGGTAGCTGGTGATCAATTCAGCATCCTAAGAATTTCTGCCTGCTTTCTCCCTCTCCTTTAGTCATTGGATTATACAGCTAATAAAAAATAATAATCCGTATTATCTGATGACATCTCAGAAGTCAGAGAGATGGAGCAACATTTACAGTTGCTGGAGAAGTGGGGCAGGGGGAAGGGAAGCTGTAATGGAAAATGCTCAGGGCCCCCTCCATAACCTTCCCTCTTTTTATTCCCTGGACAAAACTCACACACAAAATTAAAGTTATTTGGAAACTCAGATCTTGACAACTTAACAAATTAACTTAGGAAATTATCCTCCCAGCACAGAATTCTGAGGGAATGGGGTGGGGTGGATTAAAGTACTCACATGTTATATGGAATGGTGGGAAAACAAAAGTAGAACCAAGTAATTCTGAAGAGTTTGGGAGGGAATAGATTCCACCAATCAAAAAAACAACAACACTTGGATAATGTCAGTGGTGCAATACAGGAAGTTCAATACAATACAGTTCAACTGATGGTACATTCAGATCTGGGCATGAATGAGAATTCAATGGTGCTATGTTTAGCCACTCCTGTCAAGCCTTAAATCAGCTGATATTTTTCATGAAAGACACAAAAACTTTGAAGGTAAATACAACATTTTGGACAGGCAACTCTCACCATTTTGTGGCATTTTCTCTTGGGAATTATAGGATCAAAACTACCTAAACAGTACCGAAATTTATGTATGCAGCTACAGCTGCAGGAATGTTATTTGCCCTCAAATGGAAAGCAGTAGTAGTCTTGACGAGAGAAGAATGGCTACAGAATGGATTACGCAGAAATGGCAGAACTTACCAGAGGAATAAGAAATCAGGACAACAAACTTTTTATAAGGGAATGGAAATGGTTTATTGATTATTTACAAACAAACTATAAACAGATTAAAACACTGGCAGGATTATTATTGTAACTTGAAGCTTCAAAAACATATATGAGAAGAGATGAATAAAAGAATAAGTCAAGATAATTTGGAATATGCAGGGAATGATGAAAATAAATTTAAGGAACCACAGAAAGAGGAGGAAGGAAGCTGAAGTTTGAAATGTTAGAATTATTGTTGAACTATTGTTGAAATGTAAATAAATGAAAATTATAAATAAAATTATATATAAAAAAGAGAATTCAAGAGTGCTATGTTTAGCCATGTCTGTCAAGCCTTCAATCAGCTAATATGTTTCATGAATGACATAAAAACTTAGAAGGGAAATACAACATTTTGGACAGGCAACTCTCATCATTTTGTTGCATTTTTTCAAGACAGAAATATCATGAAACTCAATTTTCCAGAAAACCCAGTTGTTAGTCACTAGGAAGAGTGAAACCAGTTTATATCATTGATTCAGCTAGCTCTGCTTTATCTGTAATGAGAGGAAATAGCTCTCCAGGGCTTCAGACAGGAATCTATCCTGGGTCTACTCTGACTTGTTGGGGATTGAACCTGGGACTTTCTGCATGCAAAGCTGGTGGAAACTGTTGATGGAAACCTACTTGTTCTTGTATTGCCTCATCCTGACCACTATCCATCAAAACTCCAGTCTTCAATATAAATGGTAAATCTTACTCTTTCATTTTCAGTAGGTACACTCCATCTCCCCTTGCTTAGTTTTCCCCATTATGATGGTGTAGAAATGCTAGTTTCAAAATCACTTTCCCCCCACCCAATTTATAGTATTAAGGGACTAACAGCTCATTTCGTCAATAATTTTCTTTTCCAAGGCCCACATAACTTGTGTATTTCTCTTGATTTATTGGCCTGTGAACTGCCTCAAGATGGGAACAATCTATAGTTATTATTGAATTGTGCACTAACTAAAAGAACAGGAGAACCTCAGAATTGAGGGTGCAGATTGAATTCCTCACCAATCCAGGAGAATTATGCAGGGTCACAGTTACTAATACAGCCTTGGCCATCTTTCTTGTTGAATGCAACTGCCACTGATGGAAAAAGAACCAGGACTATTCACATGAGTTGCTTATGGAAGGCATAGCTCCTTGACAGACTCATCCAAAACACGTGTCCACTTAGCACTCATCAGCACTGAGGAGACTTGTAGCATGGCTCGATGTCATCACTTGAGAGGTACTACAATAGTACTCTCTAAAGCTACTGCCTTTCTGCGCACACACGCACACACCCTGTGACTGTCACATACAAAGCAGCTGTGTAAAAAAGGAGTCTACACTGCGACCTGTTTTCAAATGTGAGAACTGTTCTATGTAGAAAAGCATCACTGCGAGGAAAAATTCTGCAACTCATCTGCATGTGTGCATCTGTCTCACTGAGTGTACAGAATTTGAAAATCCATTAGTTACAGCATCCCAATGCTGATGAATGGCAAAGGAGAGATATACTTGCCACAGTGATAACCTAATCTGACTTGTAGGTGTCCCGCCTCACCCTGCACAGAAGTGCTTTCCCTAAAACAAACTGGTTGCAGTGCCATCAAGCCTTGAACGGGAGTACCAGACCTCCCAAATCTCAAAGGCAACAGAAGGCTCCTTGGTAGTAAGTGTCCATTTACAGAGGTGACCTAGGCATCCCAGACAAGATCAAGCCGAGGGGTGTACAACAGCAATTGGTGGGGCATCACAGAGCATCGCTGCTGTTTACTGAGAGAGGGAGGGGGCAAGGAGCGGACAGTGACAGGAGCATCAGATTGGCTCTGATGCCACACTTGCACCACACTAAGCTCCCAGCACATTGATCCTTCACCTTTTGGTAAGGGGCAGCAATGTTCAGCAATGGAAAGCCAGGCAAACAATGCTGCCCTCCCAGTGGCATCCTGCTGACTGCTGCTGGGGTGCACATTCATTCTACACTCCATTAAAATCAAAGGGCTTTTCCTCTTTCTTATTTTTGCAGATTGGCTTTGCAGCCAGTATATAAAACAGAATGGTTTATGGGCAATTCAAGAACTCAGGGTGAAGAGGGATAGAGGCCGCAACAGCAGTGCCAACTCTTTAGAGAAAGAAAACTGCTGCTTTGACTGTCACTTTGGTTAAGAGAGAATGCAGCATAGAAATCAATAAAATGAAATTTTAAAAGCACATGTGGGGAACTATGAGGAAATTACTACTAGCAACAAACTTAGATGGGATGGTGATGAATGGATGGAAGGGGAAAGCAAATGGTCTTGAAGCTTTGAGTTTTTATCATTCTGGCCCATATCAAAATTATTACATTTCTCAGTCTTCTTAAGTTCTGAAAATAGGAAAGAATGCAAGAGGCAGGGTCAATAAGGTGCAATTATCATTTAATTAAACTCCAAAGTGTTTTGGTTGCCTTCATAAAAAGGAGACTCATTTCTGCAGTTAGTTAAATAAAAAATGCATCATTATGCAGAGGAACAATCAAGTTAGGAAACATGAGAACTAAAACTAGAATTGCACTTCCTTGGCCTTGCCTTTGCAACTTTGCCTATAGGATCTTTTTACATATTGCTTTTCACCAAAGCCACAAAGCAGCTTACAAAACAAAAGCATACAACATTAAAACCATAAATTAACTTTTGAGTCTGTCAGCATGTGGCATTAGTTCTTCCTCCCGTATATATTGCTGACAGACTCAAAAGTTAATTTATGGTCAATCCCTGGGATGGTGGCTAGAAGGGAGGAATCATGAAACAATCATACATGGATCACAAGCAATTTGTTGTCAAATCCAGGTGTAATTCTAACCTGGTTGAAATCAATGGTTTTGTCACTGAGCCCAATGACATGAAGATGACTGAACTCACTAGGTAGGATTAGCATGCACCCAGGGCTTAGAAATCTGCAGAGTCATCTGGGTTTATTTCTGGAATGGGACAATCTTCGCTACCAATCTGTTTCCTCTCGTTTCCTCCCCAGTTTTCACTGCTAGCACATTTGCTACCCCACTCCAAGCTGACCACATACCTCACTGAGCTCTATCCTCCTCTCTCGCAGGATGTTTTTCAGGTCTTCTGTCTATATAGTTGCAGAGTAGCACAGGTGCAGCAAAGAATGAGCTGAAGGCCCCTGTCCATCTCTCCAGTGACAACAAGAAAGCTACCTCCAGTTCTTTATTGGGCGACAACTAGTTTTAATCCTGGATTGCCCAAAATGGACTCACCACAAGCCACAAGGTTTTCTCTCATTCTAACGGAATGGGGGCAGTAAAGAGGGAAGTGATACCTGGCCTGATAGTCCTGCTGGCACTGCTTCCTTTGCCGATGCCACCGATGCTGTCTCCTCGTGTCAAAATGGAAATGCCGCTAAAGCTGCTAGCTTTGGTGACAGGAGGACGTAGATTGCGGGTAGAGCCATCTGAGTCTGTGCTGCTCCAAGGCCTGGGCTCAAGTGACTTCAGATCGCTCTCGGTGCTGCTCTGGCGGCTGCCCGAGGCCCGGCTGAGCCCATCCCGGTTACCCCTGCAGCAGAGATGACAGCGGTTAACGCCACTGAGAGCTGGAAAGGTACAGCATGTCTGGACATTCAAGGCATCAATGTGTTGTTTGTGTTAGAAGTACAGACAAGACAAGCACAAGTAGCTACACTGAGAAGGACCAGCTCAGCGAATACCACCCATCACATGAATTAGCATGGAGGCTGGTGAGTTTTACAGGCAGCTCCTGGCAATGTGGGCTGCCATATGTGTAGAATGGTCTGTATCGTAGCTGCTCAAGGCCTACCCAGAAACAGAGATCTAAAAGGCACCTTGACCTCCTAAGATACAGATCAGGCAAGGAAAAGAATCTGAATGGTCTTGGTATCTCTTTCTGATCAGACAGCAGATGAACAGCAGGCCTGGACCAGATTAACCATTAAGCAAGCAGCCTAAGGCCCCAGCAAATGTGGGATCTTCCCTTCCGAGATACATTTATTTGGAAGTTCTCCAATGTAGCACACCTATCCTGCTCCTGGCACACATCATTTTCAAAAATGCCTCAAAACAAAACATGGGACCTGTCTCTCATTATGAGACAAGGAGAAAGTAGAAGCCACTGTGAATCCAGTAGAAAGAAGAAAACATCAATGGCTGTCTGTCTGGCATGAGAAGATAAAGGAAATTGTAGAACATTTCAGAAGAACAGGATAGATAATAGAGAAGGAAGCTACTTCATTGCAGAGTTACAGAGCGGTATATGTAAAAAGAGCAGAAAGGGATGCCTGTGATCAGAGATGTTTAGTCCTCTGAGAATAGAGCTCAACCAAAAGGACCCCCATGCTAAGCACTTCGAAAATAAATGATGTATTTGGCTTTGAGGCTAAATTTGTTTATTCTGTGACTAAATTTATATCCCTCCCTTCTTTCCTGAAAAGATGGCATGGGCAGCTAACAACATTAAACAAACAAATATTTGAACATCTATGGTATTTGGATGTCCGTACTCCCTTCCAAAGGACTGCACAAATAAAAATGCCTTTAAATTCTGCCTGAACATGGCCAGGAAAGGGGACTGCCTAATCTCCCCAGGAGGGAGTCCCAGAGACGAGGTGCTGCCATGGAGAAAGCCCTGTCTTTGCCAGCCACAACAGTAGTGATGTGAAGAGGGCCCCCTCTCTCTCTAATTTTAAAGTGTGTGTTGAGGCAGGGACATATGGAGGGAGGTGATTCTTCAAGCGCTGGCTCCCTAGTAATTTTGTGCTTTGTATATGAGCACCAACATGTTAAATTGATCCCAGAAGCTCACCAGGAGCCAGCACAGTGCTCTCAGGTTTGGAGTGTTGAGCTCTCCTCCAGGCACGATCATGTGCTCTAACTTGGCCCTATTTGTCCCTAGTTTTGCACCACCTCCGTTCTAGCCATCTACCAGTCCTTTTCATAGCCCAGAGCTCCGCAGAAAATCAAGGGGCTTTCCAGCTCCCATGGACCTAAAGAGGACACAATCATGTTGATGGCTCTCTACATCTCACCATGCCGCAAGCAGAGCAAGGGCCTCAACAACAGCAGCAGCAATGCCAGCTGGAAAATTCCCCGGACCATTCAAGAATATTTCATATTCTATAGGTCTCCAGGGGCAGACCATACTCAAATCTCTCCCACCCCTGCAGAAAACCAGCCGCTTAAACTTCACAAGGGAGTGATCTATCCATAAGAAGGTGATAAGACAACCTCTGATCACCACGGAATCACTCCCAACCCATTCCGTAACCAAAACAACAACAACAATCAGACTAAATATATGGCCCACGTTCTGTGTTGGACTACTGATGATTTGAGACAACCCTCTGATTGTCATGGCAGCCATGAAGTCCTAAACTGATTTCCAACAGGACAGCTTCCATATGGACACTGAAGTCCTTCATGACCAGCATACTAGGGTTCTACAAAACCACACCAGAATCTGCATCTGCCAGTTCAGGGAGGCTACTGGGCAGCAGGATGGATGATACACCAGCAGCATCCCTATTCTCTATTTCTGGCTAAGTATCAGTCTGCATCTGTATGAGAACTATTTTAATTCTTTTAACATGTGGAATAGTTTTAAATGTTGGTAATGGTTTTTATATATGGAAACAGTGCTTTTTTCCTCAGGGGGTTCTCAAGGGTACGCAGTACTGCCCCCCCCCAATTGTTGCTAAAAAGTGTAGCACTTACGGGAACAACCTCATGGTGAGTAGCGGCACCTATTTTTCTAGAAAAAAAGAACTGTATGGAACGGAACTGTTTTTAAACTTTTCTTGTTTTGTGGTTGTGACTGTTTTATAATTGTAATATGTTTTGTAATTGTAATATTACTGTTACACACCTGGGACCTTATGGTAAGGGGCAGCTAAAAAATCTAATAATGTAAATGAATATCAGGTACACCAGCCTGCATCTGTCTCCCAGCTTGACTGGCTTCCTGCTAACACAGATGGAATCGTGGTTAACTACTGTGACACTCCTCTAGACACATACACACAGTTTTGCCCAGTGTTGTATTGAGTACTTGGGCAGGAAGGGCTCAGTCAGATCAGGAAATGTTGAATGAACAAGTTAACAGGTAGTTTATTTGCACACTTAACATGATTCCTATAATGAGTTTGATAGAAAGTTAATTCAGGCACAGAGACCTGTCCTACATCTTCCACTGTGAAGACAGGTGCAATAATTCATTCAGTTACTTTAGCACTCTCTTACTCCCTTGTTGTCCAAAGATCCAACCACCGCCCTGGCCAAGTTCCCACTTCTAATTGCATTTGTTGTCATTTAGTGATTTATTTTTTTGCATTCTGTACTGTCGGCTTGCATTTCTCAGTTATTTTCTTGTTTTGTTCTCCTCATTTGGACAAGACTTTCATTTTCTAAAGTCTTCTTCCTTGATGCTGCTTGTTAAGCAAGCCAGAATCCTCCTGACCCTAGTGGTACTTTTCCTAAATTGGGATATACATTCTAGCTGAATTTCTATTATTGCTGCTTTGAACAATTTTATTATGTTTTTAGATATGTTGTAAGCCACCCACAGCGGCTCGGGAAACCCAGCCAGAGGGGTGGGGTATGATGATGATTAATAAATTATTATTATTAATTCTCAAGCATTCCAAAGAGATCTGACTCTTTACTTTTCCTCTCAACTTCTTTTTTACCAATCACCTGCTTTTGGGGAAGTTTCCTCTTTTGAAGTAAAATGTAACTGTGTTGGATTTCTTTTGCAATTGTCCACTTATGTATATGTTGAACATGACAGCAATTTAGGCACTGTCTCCAATCAATTTAACAATATTTACATCATGGACCAGGTCCTGAATTATTTTATTAATGATAAAATTTAAGTCCAGAGTCACACACACACACCTGCCTAGCTGGTTTCATCTCCAACCATTGTATGGTACAGTGTTTTAAGATATTTGGAAATTTAGTGGCACGACAGTGCATCAGGAAGAACATATGACGCGAGTATGAGGTTTTGTTTCTTAGATGTAAAAATGGCTAGGTTGGACTCCAGTTGGCTGAAAAGCTATGAGGTGAAGAAATGTCTGTCCCTACAATGGCCAATTGCATATAAGCCACTGTAGACCAGAACTGGAAATGAAAAGGAGGGGAGAAGTTCTAAAATTTTCAACACTAAACTGTCTGCTGAGCAACATCCCCTGGAGCATGTTCTTAGCTGCATCCTTCCACTTGAAGGGGAGCTGCTATGCCTGTACATGAACCCCTTATCTGTGCTGAGCTCTTGCTTTAGTTAGATTTGCACATACATTAAGGGCAGCAAAGGAGGAAGTCTGATCCATGGGGCACAGTCTGAGTGATGCTACATAAGGATAGTTCGACCTCAAGGGATCATTAAGATTTTTAAAATATTGCATTGAATTGCCTCTTGTTCTGTGGCCAGAAAAGTAGGAGCTCTGTTGATACTGATCAAGAAATGTGCCCTGACATTCCTTTACCTAGGAGCATTTTAAATTACTTTCATGTTAAGCTAGCCCCTGATAACATATTGTTGTACAGAAGGATGAATGGAGAATTAAGTAACTTTCACATCTTTTTAATATCTACCCCACTGAAAAGCCATTTTTATCAGTTTGCAGCATTAGGAGAGAACAAGAGGTAGATCTTGAGCTCTTTTCTGTCTAAGCAGCTGCAGTTTAGGGAAAACTCTGATTACCGCCCCCCCCCCAATAAAAGATTGCTCATTCAGATGCTCTGCTAACATAGAATGTCTTGCTGTCTTTATTTAAGGGGTAAAGAGGACCCCTGACCGTTAAGTCCAGTACTTGCACTTTTGGCGTACTTTCGAACTGCTAGGTTGGCAGGAGCAGAGACTGAGCAACGGGAGCTCAACCCGTTGTGGGGATTCGAACCACCAACCTTCTGATGGGCAGGCCCTAGGCTCTGTGGTTTAGACCACAGCGCCACCCGCATCCCTGCCTTTATTTACCCACAAGTAATTCAAAGAGAAAATGAATCTCACAACAAAGTTAAAAAAAGGATGGAGAACTTGTGGCTCATGAGTTAGGGATGATGGGAATTGCGGTCTAACAGCATCTGGGAAGACCACAGGTTCCCCATCCTTGGATTAAAGACAGCCAAATGTTCCATGAGATTATGCAAGACTCTATTCTCGTAAAGGTTCAATGCATGGTGAAGATGGCTGGATCCAGATTGAAATATTCCCAGTTCTTGCATCCAGTCCCCATGCCTAGCCTCCATAAAACTGCAGTTCTAAGCTCACTTACTTGAAAGTGAGCTACAATGAAATAAGTGGAACTTACTTCTTAAGTATATGCGCTTGCACACCAGCAATCTTTTGAATACACCAGTGTTTTAGTTTTATCTGTGTTTGCATGTGTGTGGGAGAGGTTGGACACAAAGTGATGTTACAAAAGATGAGACAATTTGAAGGACTCCACAAGCAGCCATGCATGGTGCAAATTTGCTCTGCAAGACAAATGTATGCAAGAAATCACACAGAGGTACCTAAAGATCTGCCGCCTTTTGTGAGAGCTAGAAGAAAAGCCTTCTTTGGAGAGTCTGTTGGTTAACATCAAAGAAAAGCATTGTTATGGAGTTTCAAGATCCTCTCTCCCTTAAGAAAGCCTGAAGATGGAAGGAAGCATGCATGCATGAGTTGTACTAACCTGCTGTCGTTCAGGAATCCGTTCTGGCCAGACTACCAGCAGACAGAGCCACACAATTTGAAATGGAAACAAAAAGAACAGCTCTCATAAGATATTTGTCCTGGCAAGCTGAAATCAAGGGGCATCTAGGCACTCAAAAAGAAAGGAGTTCAAGATCCCCTGCTAAAATATTCCTATAATTGCAACTAAGTGCAATAAAAGAGGGAAACCCCATGCAAAGGGGGAGGGGAGCAGGAAGCAAAAGCAAAGGGGTAGAATAAATTATTTTATATCCAATAATTTATAATCCAATATGTTTTGGATCTATCAGGTCCTTCATCAGAAATTTCTTTTTTTTTAACCTTTTTCTGTTACAAAATTGTACAGACGTAAATCATAAAGTATAACACTGCTGAAAAAATGGGTCACTACGTATATTGTTTTACAGTGATTACAGTAAATCAGTTCAATTAATTCTTCAACCAATCAGTTTGGAAAACACAGAATAATAGGAGTGAGCTAATGAGTAGTGCCAGCTTATACTATATTGTAATATATGTTGCAGGTATTTCTCATCCATGTGTTGTTTCATTTGAATATTTAATAAAATCATAGAATCATACCACACAGTATAAAAATTATCTCCTTTTTTCCCTATATCCTTGCCATCTTCAATTTTTGCAACAACATTTCCATTTTGGCTGTTTGCCAATATTCATTAATTGCAAGGTTTTCCAAGTTCTGTCTGTTACTGTTCTAGCAACTGTTCATAAATGTATAATTAATTCCTTACTTCTTGATTGGTTTTTATCTGAAGTATGTAAGTTAAGTAAGGCTAAAGACGAAGTTAATGGGATTGTCTGAGCTGTAATCTGAGGTATCTCTTTAAAAACTTCCTTCCAAAATAGTTCTATTTGTGGACATTTGTGGATATTTCCACCAGTTTTCTAGTTCTGCTGAATCTCTCAGCGGCTTTTGATACTATTGACCATGGTATCCTTCTGAACCATCTAGAGTAGTTCGGAGCTGGGTGGGGGCACTGTTAAGCAGTGGTTCCACCCCTTCCTCCTGGGCTGTGTACAGAAAATGGTTTTTGGGGTTGAGTGTTCAGACCCCATGGCTCTCACTTGTGGGGTGCTTCAGGGCTCCGTCCTCTCCCTCATGCTTTTCAACATCTATATCAGGGACATCAAACTCCCGTGAGACTGCGATCTACTCCCAGGAAAAAAAAAACTAGCAGTGATCTACCCATGGGGGGGGGGTAAAGTGGTTGAGCAGCTTTTTTTAGCAAGGAACGCAATGGTTCTGCCGATTTGGGGGGGGGGGACGAGCAAAAAAATCCCTAACCAGGTAGTAAACCTGCAGCTATAGCTCTGTCTTCCGTTTTTGCAATCGTGCACAAATGAAGGACAGAGCGAGGGGGCGAAGCCGGATGCTCCCCACCCGGCTTTCACCTGGGGATCAACCTGTCAATCACGGTCGACCGGATGGACATCCCTGATCTATATGAAGCTTCTGGGAGAGATCATCAAGGGGTTGGGCTGGGTATGCAGATAATACCCAACTCTACCTCTCTTTTAAATCAGAACCAGTGAAGGCAACGAATGTCTTGTGTGAGTGTCTAGAGCCAGTTGGAGGATGGATGGCGGCTAACAGATTGAGGTTGAATCTTGACAAGACAGAAGTACTGTTTTGGGGGACAGGGGGTGGGTGGAGGTGGAGGACTCCCTGGTCCTGAATGGGGTAACTGTGTTCTTGAAGGACCAGATGTGCAGCCTGGGAGTCATTTTGGATTCACAGCTGTCCATGGAGGCACAGGTCAATTGTGTCCAGGTTAGCTGTCGACCAACTCCATCTGGTACGGCAGCTGAGACCCTACTTGCCTACAGACTGTCTCACCAGAGTGGTGCATGCTCTGGTTATCTCCCGCTTGGACTACTGCAATGCGCTCTACATGGGGCTACCTTTGAAGGTGACTCAGAAACTATAACTAATACAGAATGTGGCAGATAGACGGGCGACTGGGAGCAGCTGCCTGGACCATTAACACCGGTCCTAAAGAATCTTCACTGGCTGCCAGTATGTTTCTGAGCACAATTCGAAGTGTTGGTGCTGACCTATAAAGCCCTAAACAGCTGCAGCCCAGTCACTCCAGGGGTCTTCTAGCGGTTCCCTCATGGCGAAAAGTGAAGTTACAGGGAACCAGGCAGAGAGCCTTCTTGGTAGTGGCGCCCTCCCTGTGGAACACTCTCCCATTAGATGTTAAGAAAATAAAGAACTACACAACTTTTAGAAGACATCTGAATGCAGCTCTGTATTGGGAAGTTTTTAATGTTTTAAACATTTTACTATGTTTTTATATGTTCTGTAAGCTGCCCAGAGTGGCTGGGGAAACCTAGCCAGATGGGCAGGATATAAATAATACAGTTGTTGTTGTTGTTGTTGTTGTTGTTGTTGTTAAGTATGTACCTATAACTTGGCATCTTCTTCAGCATAATTTAACACCTCAGTGTTAAATACCATCCATGCACAATTTTGAGTGAAAGTGCCATAGTAGTTGCTGACACTGTTTTATATGGTGTTTTTTGTCTATAAATTGTTCCACTTATCCTCAATGTATATCCCAATTTAGTTCCCACCAACTTTTTAGATTTTGCTGAGGGCAAAATTGGTTCTCAATAAGGGTTCTGTATAAAAGGGAAATTTATCTCTTAGTCATTATACTATCTCTTATTACATATATATATAAATCTTATATAAAAATCTATTTATATTCTGTTTGCTTGTGGCATCATTTTTTATTTGTTTATTTGTAATAAATTATCTTAAACAATATCCTAACATCCATGAAATTTTATTATTTTCTAAACCTATTTACATCTCTCCTACTGTAAGAGGTTGCCCCTTACTATAATAATCTTTAAAGTATTATAAATGGTTTTCTTTCCATTATATGATCTGTTTTTATTTTGAAATAAAGGATTACGTTGTATCAGAATTATAGGTGGGTCCTATAATGTGACCAAATTTTCCCATATTCAAAATGATGGTAAACCAACTCATTGATCAAAGCTTATTTTTCATTAATTCTAATGCCCTTACAGGAACATTATCAATTGCTATATCCCATGTTGACAACTGGATTCTCTTATTGGATGACGTCAATTCCACCATAGGCCTAAATTGGCTTGCTTCATAATAGTTCAGGGAATTTCAAAATGCAGAAGCTCAGTCTTTTGTTATGCTGTCTCTACTTTCTATAGTAAAAGGGGAGACAGCATAACAAAAGACTGAGCTTCTGCATTTTGGAATTCCCTGGGGAATTCCAAAAAGTGTTGGGCTATAAACTACTGGACATAAAAATATTGGATATTCCCCCTACCTCTTTGCTTCCTGCTCCCCACCCCACCCCCACCCCAATAACTAGTCTCCAACTGAAATGTAAGTATGCTCACTGACCTGGGGAGATCTGTAATTTGATTTATACGTACAGCTCAAGACACACATTTTTACGTAGAACTTATATAGTTAAAAACACCCAATTACTATTAAAAATGAGATATTTGTTTCTCCCTAAAAATAAGGAACAAGCAGTTTACAACCAAAAGGTTAACCATCTTGACAGTTCAGCCCCCTTCATTTTTGCTCTCCCTGCTTGTCCTCACTTCCCTGATGCTACTGATTTTTTTGGTCTGATGGTGTTAGCAGAAGACTGGGGGCCCCTTTGGCTCCCAATGGCCCAGTTACTGTGGAGTTACATTGGAGTTTGCCTGCTTTGGTTGACCATCTGAGCTCTAAGGGTGTAGTAAAACAATAGAGTTTATACAAGAGTGGGGGGAAATTGTGGATTATTATTTTTTTAAGCTAGAGCAACTAACTTGTATTTCTGAGGTTTAAAATATCATTGTAAAACAGCTTCCTTTGATTACGTACATTCTTTTTGGATCCATGATGGTCACCCAGCAGAGGGTGCGTCCAAATCCCACCCCCTTTTGTTAACCATTTAGTTAAGTAATGTTAATTCAGTATGGACCATTCAAAATGAATTTCAACCTCCTTGCTCAACATGGTTGGTATGCCTAACTGCTCAGCATTTGCAAGCACCAAATTCCTTTAAATCCATGAAGTACTGATAGTAAATCAACACAAGATGATTGTAAAATGAATAAACAGAATGTTTAACAACTTCTGCATACAGCAGCAACGATATCCACAGCCCTGATTGAAGGCAAATGTTGACAGTGCTGGACTGTAGAACCTTTTCTTGGTGACTGGATAGGAAAAGGATAAACTGTTTAAAATCAGATTAGAACTCATGGTAATGCATGAGAGAAACCTAATGAAAAAGACAGCTTCATTAAGTATATATTTCTATGAGCCCGCGAATTGTTTGTGGATACTCAATGCTACAACACTGCTGAAGCTAAATAGGCATGAACCTAGACAACTAGAATAGAAGATCATGTAGGAGTAGGATTTTTTAAAATGGTGTTCATGCTCACCTCTCGTGCAAATATGCGTTCTCTAACCCTTTGATACTCCTCCTCTCGCTCTTCTATGGATTTACTCCTCCGTCCATCTTGCAGTGGGATTCTGATCTAGATTGACAAACAGAATTTACCTTAGTTAAGACCTTAGTATACATTCACCACAGCAGCAAGGAAAAGTATGCAGTGAATAATTGATTTATGAACACTATAAGCATGTGGGGGGATCACATTGACACAATGCTATGGTGCACAGATTTGCTACCTAAATTGTGCATTCCAGAGGCACATTTCATTTGGCACAACTCTTCCTTTTGAACTAAGAGCATCACTTCCAGAGAGCTGAGTGAGTTAACTTAGGAAATTCTGTGTAAGATGTCACTGCTGCTGAAAAGTACAAATGGGAATTATTTTGCTTCCAAGTATCACAATCAGCCAACATCAATCAATTCCCACTGTTCTGAAACATGGAGTCCACACCACAGGTAGGCACACCTAAACAAAAAGGTGATAATGCAAACTGCACTACTTCCATCGTGACATCTGTTGCCTCCCCATTTACATTAAAAGTTACCCCTCTTTGTTAGGAGGAAAGGCCAACGTTAAAATATTATTTACTTCTCCATTCACTATTCGGATAGCATACCTGAACAAAAATAAACCTTGAAAAACAAAAGTTGCTCTTAACTCTTAGCCCCAGCAGTGAAGATTGGTCCTTACCAATGACTTAATCAAGTGAAGTTTTGGTTAATTCAGTTAAACCAGCTAAAGCCTGTAGACCTAGTCATTTGTTGGCTTTCTGTTAAGGGTACTTTACATGGATAAAGGCCTGCACAAGGCCAATTGTTGAGGCTGAATTTGAAACAACACTGGAAAACTCCCAGTTTCAATTCTGTGTGCTGACCATCACACCTTGCTGATTTGTTATGTGTCTTCCCTCATCCTGGACTATGGTTTTACCATGGTGATGACTTTAAAATGTGGCAAAGCAACAAGGCAGCTGTCAGGCTCTCTTGCATGTCTGTAGAAAAACTCAGTGGCAGAGTACGTGCTGTGTATGCAAAAGGTCCCAGTGTCAGTCTTGTCATCTCGAATTAAAAGGACCAAGTAACAAGTGGTAAGGAAGAGTGCTGCTGCCAGTCAGAGCAGAACAAATCAGATTAAATGGATCATACTGGACTAGATGGTGTGAGGTATTTTCCTATACTCCTGTGCAATGAAAATTTTACTTACTACATTGTTTTTCTACAGTGCCCTTCCTCAGCAAATCAGCAACAACTATCAACCAGCAGGCTACCCACCTCAAATCCAACTTCTTCTAAGTCCCCAAGGACCCCAGTTTTTTACACAGCTCTGTAAGCTGTTGAATTTCCCATAGTTCCCGTATGGTGCACTGATCTGTATGCAACGATAGGACACCTCAGCAAATTTGTTTTCCCCCTTTGTTTGAGGGCTCTATAAAGAGAACTGGACACCTAGTGCAGAACAACTGCTACGTTTGTGCACATAAGCCCCAAGAGAGCCCTTGGCGTTCGCATCACACAAAGACTTAAGGAGTGTGAGAGGCACCTCTCTCACCTGATTATCATCTCGATCAATGCTGGCGTCATCTCGTTTGAGGATAAACCTCTGCGGAAACTCAGAGCTCTTCTCATCTTTGATGTGGTCAGAGAACCTTTGTTCAGGGCTGCAATGAAGAGCCAAACGAGCTTTCATGAGGAAGGGTGGTGAAAAACTAAGGAGACTGAATGCTGTATCAGCACAGCTGGCAACGTTTCCCTTTTTTTAAGGGAAATTCCCTTATTCCGAATAGGATTTCTCGCAAGAAAAGGGAAACGTTGACAGCTATGTGTATCAGAGGAATGCATTCATCATCCCTATCAACCACGACAGGAAATGAAAGGACTAAAAAAGGCATACGGTTGCAATCGAAATTATTCAACACCCATTGCAAATTGGGTTCATTATCAAAATTTACAGACTTTCAGCTGTTTGCAATGAGCAAAACAAACAAAAGCAATTGAAATACTTCAAAACAATGCATGCTTCAAGTGGTTCCCCCAAATTCAGCTGAAATTACAACTTATACAGGCTTCTCCAGTCTCACTATTCACAAGAGCACAAATACACCAGGTGTTGTCTCAAGCATACCTGATGCAATTAATCAAGGGCTTCATTAGTTGCACCAGGTGTGCTTGAGCTGGAACACATGAAATACCTGGACTGGCTAGGGCTTTGCTGAGTATCAAATTTAGCTGCGTGTTAGAAATATGCCTAAGTCAAGAGAATGGTCCAAAAAGGTAAGAGATCATTGCCCTTCACAAACAAGGAGCAGGATACAAAAAAATAGCAAAGGCAAGTGCAGTAGAGACTAAGCTGCAACCAGGAAGCCGCTAATTCAAATCTCACATCTGCCAGGAATTCAACAGGAAACCTTGAGCAACTGATTTTTTCACATACTACTCCTAACAGAGGAAATATGGAAATAATAATACTATCCTGACATACACAAATGCTGTAAACTTTACTGAGATCATATGGGAAGAGTTCTGAACACCCAAAAGATAAAATTAGAAAAAATAATTTATATATAAATTATAAGAATTATTTTTTCTAATTTTATCTCCCTCCCTCCCATCCACTAACTGGCTTAAACCCATTCTTGCCTTACATTCTCGTGTTACTGGTCTTGTTGATAATGACGGCTTTCCCAGTTTGGTCTACGTTGTGGTCCATGCCAAAATAGGCAGCAACCCGGTGTAGAAGCATTCTGTGGTATGAGGTCATTTGGGGAAACTTCTTGAATTGATTGCTGACAGCAGCCAAGTTCAAATGGGGATGGAGAGGGGGGGAAGAAGAGAAGAGAAAATAAGACACTCTTATATTTAAGCAAGCATTATCTTAAACTAGAGCCTAGGGCAAGGTGACCTAGTCTCACTGAAATGAAAACAAGGGAACATGAAAGCCCACAGACTCTCGGGTATCTGCAACTTGTTAATTTTTTAAAAAGAGTACTTCACTGCTGGCACTGCTATGTAAGGGGCACAGTAAAAAACCAGAAGCACATAAGGAACCTCTTTATTGGAATACTGTCTTCCACAACAAAGCCAGGGGCTAAATTCAACATAGTGCGAAGTTCAATTGGACTTTTCCACATTTCCATTAACTTGTTCTGGGTCCTCCCCCATCCTATAAAGCAGATTTAGGAGGTGCAGGGTGGGACACAGGAGTCGGGGAGGAATGGCCAAGCGTGTGGGTGGACCCCACTCTGCACACCCAACAATCTAGTTGAATCCCACCCAAGACACATGTTTTCATTGGAACATTTGATTATTGCAATTCAGAACCTAAGATTCAACCACTAGGAGACCCCAGAACTGTGCAAGTTCACTGTGACCAGAGTATAACAATAAGAATTTAACAGATCACAAACTGGTTTTTTCATAGACTGCTAACTGGCACTCTTAAATCTTTTTCTGGACAATCTTGAACATCTGCAACAGGAGTGGGCAGACCTCAGACTTGTGGGATCTATTTTGTTTTCTACTAGAACCCTGGCATCTACCAACCAGAGCCAAATGCAAAGCAATGACTAGGTCAAGCAGACACATGCTAAGAGTTAAGAAACAGGATGCCTCTGAACACAGGCTCAGTCCAGGAGTTTGTAATCAGTTCCCTAATCTAGCTGACAAGAGCTTTCGCTCAAAAATCCACACCAAAAATTAGTCCATCCTCCTATCCAAGAATTCTTTTTCAGCAACCTAATGTAGATGGGGGAACTTTTCATTGTTGCTACAGGTAACTCACATCCTATGCTTATTTTATGTACATGACTGCAGCTTTGTGCAGGAAAAATAAAGAGATAAATGGGGAGAGAAGGAAACCCACTCTCCATTTATTTATTTCCCGCGCAAAGCTTCCCTGGCTTTAGAAAGGCAATGAGGTCTGGCAGCGTCAGAGCGAGGTGCCGGGCTTTGGGACGGAACCCTCCTGCCTCTTTCCCAAAGCCTGGCAAGCACTTACCAGGCTTTGGGAAGGTGGCAAGGGGGCTCTGGGACTCTGCCAGAGCTCTCGTGCCACCTTCCCAAAGCTGGGGAAGCCCAAGATTACAGTTGTGCATTGGTGGGGGTGGGAAATAAATGGAGACTGGGTTTCTTCTCTCTGATTATTTATTTTCACCACCCACACACTCAAAGTTATGATCATGTTAAGTAAAATAAGCCCTTGTCTCCTTTCCAAAGCCGAGCAAGCAGCCCTCTATCTTGCATATGGACAGCTGTTGTTGTTATTGTTGTTGTTGTTTTCTTATCATTTACTGAATTTATACACTGTCCTATACCCAGAGGTCTCAGGGTGGTTCACAGAACAAAATCAAAATATAAACCACAAAGTATATAATCAAAATAAAAACAACAACCCAATAACCCCTTCCCACATTTTAAAAGGGCATAGGACTCCTGGCATCTGTAGGGGATTTGGGGGGGGGGGGCGTCTCTTCCTCTGGCAATTGCAGCACCCAACAAGCCTTTTAATAAAGGCATAAAAACCTCAGCAGAGAACACCCTAGGTTGGCTCTTAACCTCAAACACTTCCTTTTCTGAGAGCTCCCTATTTCATGTCTGGGTTGGACTGGGAGGCCCCCAATTCGGCCAGTTCTCCAGAGGCCACCCACTGAGCCCCAGTGGCACCCTGAGACCTGGAGGGACTAGGAGTGGGAGTGACCTCCTGTTGAACTTCCCCCTGAGTGGGAGGAACAGACATCTTGGCCCGTTTTGGTGGAAAGGGAAGTCCATCCAGAAATGGCTCCCGGGAGCGGAGTGAGGGGGAGGTGGGGGAGCACCCAGCTTTGTCTGGTGAATAGCCCCTCTTTCACCTATGCCTGCACGTGTACTGCTTGTGCTTGCGTTTGCTCTTATGGCGGTGAAGCAAGCTGGTCCATGTGTAAAAAAACCCCTGAGGTGATCAACCCCGTCATCCATGAAGGCAATCTTGGGATGATGATGACGATGATGGTGGTGGAAGGCCTCAGAAACAGAGGAAGTTTACATACTCACTCCCGCCTGTTTTTGCGAAGAACCTGGAGAATCACCAAAGCTAACCTGCCTGGGATATCCAAATGTATAGGCCTCCTCCGTTGTGCCATCACAAGGAGAGAGGCTGCCCTGCTGAGGCGAAGTCATCCTGCATGCAGATGCAGATGCAGTGCAAAGGGAGGAACGAATGAGACTGAGCACACGGCAGCCGTTGCTCAAACTCCCAATTAGCACTGGGACCTGAAAGTGCAGCAATAATTCAGCCAGTCAAGGCAGGGAGAGAGCACAGTGATTGTGAAAGCCACTAGACCAGGTGCAGCGATCACGTCTCTAGGTGCTGTTGGGGCCTCCTGGAGAAATGCTGAATTGTGGAAACAAAATGGTGTTCCCACCCTTTTTTCAGAAAAGGGTGGGAAACCCAGGCTCCTGGCCCTGTCACCTGTGGACTCCTTCTGTGCCTGCCCAGCAATCCAGGCAGAATCTAGCTGCCCCCTACACTCTTTCCTTCCCCAGATAACGGGGGGCAGGGGGAGGAACATGAATAGAACGAAGGAAAATGGAAAAGGGGGGGGGGGTCAACAGGAAAACACAATAAAAAAACCTCACTCAGAAATGTGATCTACTGTAGCAGACAGGATGTAGGAGAGGACTAGACAAAGGGAAAATCTACACAAAACAAGCACTCAAGCAAGAGTTTCTCTCTCACCCAGAGAGATACAGGAAGACCCACAGTGTCGGTCTGGAGAGGAAGGATGTCTCCTCCCCTCTAGAGAGGATGCTGCAAGTTGAAGACCCTATCTGTCTCCAGAAGGGGGAGTCATCCCTACCAGGAATGTAGCCCCCATCCATCTGGTAAATGTGGGATATGTTTACCGCTGGAATCCTGATTTATCAGCTGAGCAGGTAAGAATCCAAACCACACCAAGTGCATTTTTCACTAAGTGGTACCATTTAATGTCACATGTAGATAACTGCAAGTAGGGCAACCACCATCAAAGTATATCTATAAACTGTGATTACATCAAGTGTTTATTTTATTAAAAAAATAAGCATGATCAAAACTAATTTCTTTTAAAACAATGGATATAAAACAGTAATATAAATGAAAGAAGATAAAAGAAAGATTAGCATCATGGTAGGATGGGACTGCCATTTTTTTATTTTTTTTATTTTTGGTCATCTGTGCCTCCTTCCTTGCCCTGCTTTCTTCCAATCTAACTATCAAGAAGATGTTCACCTGTCATCACCCACTCAACTGTCTACTAAGGGTACATTAAGTGTAGCCAGGAATAGTGCAGATTTTTAAAAGGGCAAAGGTAGTGGTGATGGCCTGGACTTTTAGGAATGTGGCTTGTGCAGATAGAACCTCCTTCAGGAGACATTTGCCTCATCTTCTGATCGGCTACACTGAACATTCCAAGATTAGATCCAAGAACAGATCAGCATCCAATACGAAAAATTCAGGCTTTGTCTTCACTGCCCTCAAACTCCCTCAACATATATTTCAAGTGCCAAATCCTGCATCTCTCTGCTATATCTTATTTTAGTTACTATAGATACATTTCCCTGGATACTGAGAGGCCATCTGCCATTTCATAACAATATAAACCATCAGTCCCAGGACTAATGAGAAAGTAGGACTTCCAAAACATGAGCTAGAAATTTTGTTTGGAATGTGGTGTGTTCCACCCACGACAAATGAGTTGCTAACATGTACTCAACATTACAAACTTTCATTCAGAAAAACACTACTGCAAAATGATTCCTTCACCTTAAAATTTATTTTGGTTTTCCTAGCAATGTTAGTTATAGGATATTCAAGGCCTTTGGGTCACCTAGGCTCCAAAGTTCAAGAGCATTACAGATGTTCGACTCCTGCACATGATATGCAGTTGGAACCCCATAACATAAAGGCACTGGAAACTGGCGAATTGGCTTAGAGCACTGGTGATCATCTTTTCCAATAATTGTCTACTTAGACAAGCAGCAACTCTCCAAAGTTTCAGGCAGGCAGAGGTCTACCTCAGTATCCCTTCCCTTTCCAAGACCCTTTTTCATGGAGATGCTTCGGACTGAACCTGAGATCTTCTGCTCTTCCAGTGAGCTATAGGCCCCAGTCCCATGAGTAACCTGATGCTCATGCACTGAATAATATCTAAATGTATGGGTTCAACATATATTTGCCTATATTTCTGATCCAAGGCTTCAAATGTTTCTGCAAATATGAAGTGGGTGTTATTAAGCATGATGCTGATCTCCCACTGTGTATAGCAGCATAGAAATAAGCGGCAGGATAGGGAAGCCTTGTCCACTTCTGCGTGCCACAATTTAAGATGGATGTTGAAAAGCTGGAACATGTACAGAGGAGGGCAACCAAGATGATCAAGTGTCTTGAAACCAAGCCTTATGAGAAGCACTTGAAGGAGCTGGGTATGTTTTGCCTGGAAAAGACTCAGGGGAGCTAGGATAGCCATCTTCAAATATAATAAGGGCTGCCATATGGAAGATGGAGCAAGTTTCTTTTCTCCTGCTCTGCAGAGCAGGGCACAAACCAATGGATTCAAGTTACAAGAAAGGAGATTCCGACTAAACATCAGGAAGAACTTTCTGTCATTAAGAGCTGTTTGACAGTGGAACGGTCTCTGCCAGGAGGTGATGGACTTTCCTTCCTTGGAGGTTTGTAAGCAGAGGTTGGATGGCCATTTGTCATGCTTTGCTAAGATTCCTGTATTGCAGGGGGTTGGAGTAGATGGCCCTTGGGCTCCCTTCCAACTCTACAACTCTATGCAACCCTACACCAGCAATCTTGCATTTCTTCCTCACTGAACATGAGCAAGCTTGTTATGGGTAGAGAAGCATGACTCGGAGATGTCTCTATTTGTGACTGAAGCTCATGTTCATCCGGGAAAAGCTCACTGGCAAAAAATGTGCTTTTGGTAGACATGGAGAGAGTTTCAAACCCTGGAATTCCCATTTAGAGAATACTAGAGAAGGGCTTCTAACTGAAGGCAGAACAAGATGATACAGATAACACCTGAGTCCTGGTTCAGGCATTCATAGAATGCATGAAGACATATGTGTCCATGTACTGGCCTCACTCCCAATGTCCCAACCCACTCAACTCCCGAATGCGCTTACAAGCCCCATTCATACCCTCCCACTCACTGAAGAAAAGTGAAGAATAGAACAGGTTGAGCACATGCACCCGCAACACATTTTATCATCATCATCAGTATATGGTTGTTAAAGTTGCAGCCCAGCACTTCCTCCTTCTCTCATCTCCAGAAATGTTCTGTGAATTTCAATGCATGACATTATAAGACGCATCTCACAAGTGAGAGAGAGCAAGGAAACTCCATGTGATATCACCATTCATGCAAACTTAATAACTGGGAAAGAGGTGAAGAAAAGGAAACATAGGGTAGCTGCACATTCTTCATATTGTACAGTTCTAATCCAATGTCCCAGAGCAGGGGTGACTAAACTGTGGCACATTAGCTGCTGTGGGGCTACAATTCCCACCACCCATGACCACTGTCCACAATGACTGAGGCCCTGTAGTTTAGCAACATCTCAAGGATCACAGATTAGCCACTCCAGCCTTAGAGCAGAGATAGCCAACAAGGTATGCTTCAGAAATTGTTGCAATACGATTCCCATCAGCCTCAGACAGTATAGGATGGGAGGGATGATAGGATTTCAATCAGGGAGGTTGTGAGTTGGAGTCCACAATGTCTGGAGGGCACCACATTGATTACCCCTGCTCTGGGGGTAGTCACAGTCATTTCAGGAAGAATGCACAGGGCTAGACAGACTCTATATAAAGGCAGCCTTCATGTGTCAGATAAATACTGTATACATTTCTCAGCATTGTTTGAAATCAGCAGCTTAATTAGTGAACATTCTCAAACAAATCAGTCTTTAAGTCACTCTGTCTTACAGACCAGTACATTACTTACTTGTTATCGTTAATAAATTCCAGAATCTCCTGTTCCAATTTTAGCAGCATCATTCTGTCCCTTGGAGGATGGGAGAGAGAGCAGGGAGAAAAGGAGAGGAAAAATCATTCAGAGCACAAATGGCTATACAATTGTCTCTGAAAAATCTGAAGATTAATATCCTCCTTCACTCCAATATTAATCAAAAAGTTCAATGTAATTCAGCATTGAAGATATCACTACCCAACCTGCATTGGCAGATGCAGAACAGATGTAGCAAGTTAAAAGTAGACCAATACTGTTCAGGTGGATTCACTTTGGTGCAGTGATTACGCTTCTAGAAGCACAATATCCCATGGGCTCTCATTGTGCTTGTATTATTGAAAAGAAACAGTACATCAGAACATAGGCAATGACTGGCATTCCGTTTTGACATTGTTTATTAGTGAGATGGCAGGAGGCACTTTACAGAGAAGTATTTGGAAGCTATTTATAGGTGGTTTTTAGAGCTGTTAAGATTCCTTCCTGACTAACGCATTCCACATTTTTTCTCTTTCTGTTCTTATGCACAGTATATGAATGCATCTGTTTTGTTAGTCTGCAATGCTAGAATTATTCTAATCTTGCTAGGGGTCCAGTGAATATTGCATAGTTATTGAAGCAAAATGGATATTGGATGGGAGACCACTATAGTCTCCATATAACAACAGGGCTAAGTATTAAATATTTGTTTAAAAATAATTCCACAGGGGTTTGAGCCAGTGTGGTGTAATGGTTAAGAGTGCTGGACTAGCATTGGGAGAGCAGGAGTCACATCCCAACTTAGCCATGAAGCTCACTGGGTGTTCCTGGGCCAGTCTCCATCTCTTAGCCTAACCTACTTCACAAGGTTGTTGTGAGGATGAAATGCGGAGGAGAACAACGGACACCACTTTGAGATCCTCAGCAGATAAAGGTGATATAAAAATGTAATAAATAAACAGTAATAGGAAGAAGAAGAATACGACGGTGACTAGACCAGGGATGAGGAACCTGTGGCCTTCTAGTTGGACTCCAACACACCTCAGCCCTAGCAACAGTATAGCCAATAGTCAGGGGTGATGGGAGTTGAAGTTCAGAGATGTCGGGGCGGGGGGACTCAGGTTCCCCATCTCCAGCCCAGAGAGCCCACTGGGTACTTTCTCACTGAACTTGGATCCTCTTTAATCTCTTACTCATGGCTAGAACCAGTGGTCAGGCAGGTCAGAGCACTGAGAGAAAATTAATTTTAAAGGAAACCCCAGGGAAGGCATCCTTAGTGGACCCCAATGAGGTGCTGCCTAAGAATGTCACATGCTGACACAGGGTCTGGACCCCAAAACCACTGAACAGTCCGCTTATTCCAAGGCCTCACCATGGCCACTTCATGCTCAAGATGCTGGAAAGTAAGATACTAACATCCCATCACACGTGCCTTTGTGGCTAGCAAGGCTGGACAGAGTGCATTCTAGAGGATTCTCAATTAGTGCTCTTAAACTTCCCACATCTCATGAGTTAAAGAGCCGATTGATAGGTGCTTGCCTACCTCCACTATGCAGCTGCAGCTGCCACCACCACCACCACCATAGATTCCAACAGTTGCTGATACTTTCTGTTCCCTCTTCCATCCTTTCTCCTTAACCATGCAAGCTTGCAAGAACACCTCCTTATTCCCACTTGCAAATCTGCCACATAACCACAGAGGAACCTACCTTGGGTTTTTCTTCAGTGTACTCACTAAAAATTCATGCAAATCTATTCCAGTGGAGTCTGTGTATTCCTGGCTGGAATCTATAACAAAGAAAACAGCAACATACTCAAGAAATGCCATGCTCACAGGGTGAATATCCATGGAGTCAAAACAAGCCAGAATATAAAAGAGGTTCTGACAGTGTTGGAAGGACCAAGTTAATGGCTGCCTCTGCCATCACCACAGCCATGGCTTTCTTTGGAGTCAATGTTGGAAAGACCATTTGTAGGACATAACTCTAGCGCTTTGAAAGAGCAACAGGCCATATTTGAGGGCAAAGTTACCACCCTAGAACCTTCAAATATATTGATTTCTTACCCACCCTTTAGCTGCTTGTTCTACCACCAACTGCCTGAACAATCATATGCTAAATGATTGTACCTGACAAGATTACTTGGCTTTGCACAAATCTCAGAAGGAGAACTTCTTAAATTTACAACAAACACTGCTTTGTGGAACAGAATGTGGACCAGAAAGGAAAAAGTAATTGATTAAAGGCTTGTCTGAGCAGTTAAGGTGTGTAATGACTGTTTTCTCAATATTTTCATTAGTGGTCTACCTGTGCCCATGTCAGCAAAAAAATTCAGAGTGCTAAGGAGACCAAGGACATTTGATCTTTGCAAATTCTAATATGAATTGATGTGGACTGAGTCAACCATTGCATGTATGTACAGTGGTACCTCGGGTTAAGAACTGAACTCGTTCCAGAGGTCCATTCTTAACCTGAAACTGTTCTTAACCTGAGACACCACTTTAGCTAATGGGGCCTCCTGCTGCTGCCGCACCGCTGCAACTCTATTTATGTTCTCATCCTGAAGCAAAGTTCTTAACCCGAGGTACTATTTCTGGGTTAGCAGAGTCTGTAACCTGAAGCGTCTGTAACCTGAGGTACCACTGTATAGAGATGTGTACTTTCAAAGATATGTTTAAAATAATTGTTGAAATATATACTTAAATGCAATTTTCTGCAGATTTTTTTTATTGTAGATTAACATGAAAATGGAATGGAATAAACTTACAGGTGGACACATGCAAATGTGAATCAGTGGGGATGGGAAAACTTTGGCTCTCCAGGTGTTCCTAGACTTCTGCTATCATCCATCCCTCTCTATTTGCCCTGCAGGCTGAGGCTGATAGGAATGGGAATCCAAGAACAGCTGGAGTGCCACAGGCTCCTCATCTTTATGATATAGACTGGAAATCCATTCCTGGAAAGTTGTGGCAGGTGCCCTTATTAGACAGACAGATAGACAGAGGTTGACATATAATATTGTAATACTCCTTTCCCCTTGTCATGTGGTCAGCTTGAATGCACAAACTGAAAAGAAAGTCCCAGACCTCTGGTAAATAGGGAAACAGAAACTACTGCTCATCTTTGCCCACAGAAACCAGGTTCATTCCAGAACTGAGACTGTCTTACCTCTAGATAGCATTTTCTTGGGTGCCTTCTCCTTATTTTTCTCTTTTTCTTCTTTTTCAGGGCCATCTTTTGCAGACTTGTCATCTTCCTTGTCAGAGGGGCAGCTGACGTGCAACTGGATGATATCCTAGCAACAAGACAAAATCCACACTTTGAAGGCATCAGAGCTGATGTTTTGCAACCAACAAAAGGTGGAAATACGGTATGACGACCAATTTGATTCCAGTAAGAAATTTTACTTCTGGGTAGAATGGCTAAGAATATAAGAAGAGCTTGCTGGATTAGGCCAGTGGCCCTTCTAGTCCAGCATCCTGTTCTCACAGTGGCTGAATAGTTGCCTGTGGGAAATCAGCAAGCAGGATCTGACTACAAGAGCACTCTCCCTTCTTGTGGTTTCCGGCATCCGGCTAGTCACCCTGGGTGATTTTTGCCTCCCTGTGCAACATGCTTGCTCGTGTGATTTATGTGGAGTTATGATTTTTATGCTATGAACCTGTTCGTAAGTTAAAAGGTTGATTGCAGTGGATAAGATGTCCTTTTAGTCCATCTGCATCCCCTCTCCTCTCCAAACATGACATTACCCCCCAAAATAGAATGCATTAGATTGTAGGTAACTGATGAGTAATTATATATTCAGGAAGTGGGGGATTTTCGGCAGGTCAGTAAGGAACCCTGTGGATTTTTGCCTTCCTGCCTACAATGTGGCATGGCTCACTTAACTAATCTGTACTACTCTCGCAAGCCCTTGTGGTAGGTATATTTTTGTTGCTCATTTGTTGCATTTATACCCCACCTTTTTCTCCAAGGAACACAGACAGGGCGGTGTAAATGGCTCTCTCCTTCCCCATTTAATCCCCTGCGAGGTAGGTTGGGCTGAGAAGCAGCAACTGGCCCAAGCTTAACCAATGAGCTTCATGGCTTTGCGGGGGTTGGAACACTGGTCTCCCAATCACTTGTCTGAGATTCTAACCACAGCTGTCTCTGGCACCTTGTTTGCTCCTGTTCTTAGATTGCAGGACACTATATACAATCTGAACTAGGTGTGGCTCTGCCATATAAATGCATGCTATGGGTGCGGTTTGCTGCTATCTTATGGCTTTGAGGTTAAAATCCCCTACAGCGATCTGATCATAGGTGTAGTTTGGTATCACTAGAAGATGCAAAGCTTTTTTAATACACCCTGAAAACCTTGTCTGAATTTGACTTTTTATGATCTGATGGCTCAAATATGCTATGTTTCAATAGGAGCTCATATAGGAAGGTATGCTTTTTTGACTTGGGAGACAGTAAATCAGAACAGAGGTTTGCTATGAAAGCACACACACTAGCATACAGTAAGCCTGCAACTTACGCTGGGTTTGCGTTCCGGGGACCGTGCCTAAGTCAAAATTGAGTGTAGTCAAAAGGCATTGGGGGGATTGCCAAAGTCATTTTTCCCAGAACCCTGCTCCCTTATTATTTTTATTTATTATTATTTGCCATGCACATAAAGCTGAATGTGCACAAGTTAAACATGCGCAGGTTGTGGGCTTACTGCATCCAGATAACAAATATACATTTTAACCAGGACTGTCATTTTTCTTTTAAAGGCTTGAAACTTTCCTACAGGTAAGCTTTCAACCTTGATCAGAACTATTAAGAAAAATCATCCCTGAAAGCAGTCTCTCGCGTGGCTGGAAAAGTGATGTGACTACAACTAGGCTTACCTGGGTATCCAATGTCCCATCCACAAAGGGGCTAGAAGACTCTTCACATACAGCCAGGCTCCTGACTAGCTTCAGCTTTGAATTTGACTGCAAAAGGAGGGGGGAGTCTGTAGTAAGACACAGGCAGCTAGAATTCCCTTTCAATATATGAATGAGCTGCTGTTCAGCTAATGCTAATTAAGTTAGCTCTATACTAATGAGAAATGCAATTATGTTTTGTCCAGTAGTAACACATGGCAAAGCAGTCAAGCAGAAGATACCAAGTGCATAGTGATTTTCTCTCCCTTAACATGCTTGATAGAGATTCAAGTCTGGAACCTGTGGAGGTACTTAGCCTCTGCTAACACAGTGACGTGAAGGTCATATACATTGATAGGGCTTCTCTGAAGCTAACGAACCCATTAAATAATCTGCAGACTGTTAAACCACTGATGGTAAGTGACAAAAAGGAATGACTAACTTCTTCCTGCCTTAATTGAAAGCCTGTCATTAAACTGCTGCCTTCTTGACAAACGTAGTTATTCTGGGTGATCTACTATAGTAGCATTTAAAGAAAATGCTTAAAATAAATGTCTGCCTCAGACTGTTTGGTGAATGGACCTGCAAGTAAGAGAGTGTGAATGTAGCAACACAAAAGTATTTTACTTGAACAGAAGCAGTCATGGTGAAATATGGTCTAGGAACCATACTTAAGATATTATCTCCAATATAATAAAGGAAAGTTAAAGGTGCATATGACAAGGGCATAAGAGAATCAAATGGAAGAAAAAGAACAGTGCCATAGCAGTTTAATCTCAAAAGATTTGGGGCAGATACAAATTACAAATACTATAAACACAAACTCTGAACTAATACTAGGTCTTAAAGGTAAAGGGACCCCAGTGGTGGCCGACTCTGGGGTTGCGGCGCTCATCTCGCTTTATTGGCCGAGGGAGCCGGTGTACAGCTTCTGGGTCATGTGGCCAGCATGACTAAGCCGCTTCTGGTGAACCAGAGCAGCGCACGGAAACGCCGTTTACCTTCCCGCTGGAGCGGTACCTATTTATCTACTTGCACTTTGACGTGCTTTCGAACTGCTAGGTTGGCAGGAGCAGGGACTGAGCAACGGGAGCTCACCCCGTCGCGGGGATTCGAACCGCCGACCTTCTGATCGGCAAGTCCTAGGCTCTGTGGTTTAACCCACAGCGCCACCCACGTCCCTCCATACTAGGTCTTAGTAAAGCAATAAACCACCACCTGGGCTTTGCTGGTTTTGGTCTGCAATTGTGAGCAAATGCTGCTCCATAGAAAATAAAGGATTCTAGTACCTCCCTTCTCCTTAACATTTTACCTCTCTATGTGCAGGGAAATGTTTTGTACAGAGGGAAAATTAAGCATGTGAACTCTCACCCGCAGTGTAGAAGTTGTACAAGTCAAGACACAGGTTTATCACCTCAGTGAGATGACCAGGTCTGGACACTTAAAGCCAGACCAGAGATAAGAGTTTTCCATAGAACTGCAGAGCTCAGATGGACCCCAAGGGTCATCTAGCCCAACCCCCTGAAATGCCGGAATTTCAACTGAAGCGTCCATGACAGATGGCCATTCAACCTCTGCTTTAAAACCTCTAATGCAGGAGAGTCCACCACCTTCCAAGGGAGTCCATTGCACAGTCTAACAACGCTTACTGTTAGAAAGTTCTCCCTGGTGTTTAATCGGAATCTCCTTTCTTGTAACTTGAAAACACTGCCTTGAGTCCTACCCTCCTGAGAAGGAGAAAGCAAGCTTATGCCATCTTCCATGTGACAGCCCTTTATATATTTGAAGGTGGCTATCATATCTCTGTCTCCTCTTTTCTAGGCTAAATATTGTGTATGGCTTCCACAAGATACACAGGTTTCACTGAGTTTTCAAGAGGAGGCAGTTTCATAGCTATGAGGCAGTCAATGAGAGCAGTGCCTGTAGCCCCATGCCCCCTGCAGCATGTATTGTGATTCGGAGGCCATGCTCAGCTGATATTAAAAATCACAATGAAACCTAGGAGTAAAGGGCAACCTCTTTGCCATGCTGAGGTCTTAACTGGTTAACCATTAAGCACAAGCAATGAACAGTGAAAAGCAAGAAGATATGGGATAAAGGAGCAAGAAGAGTCATATCTGGAGCACTGATAGGAATGAGAGATTCTGGAACTCAATGCCAAGGATCAGACCACCTATCAAAAGGTGGAGGTAACCAAACTGGCTATACTTCAATTCTTTTATACAAGGGGAGGCCATTATGTTCCATCAGCCATTTAATCCATCAGACAGATTAAATGTATTCCCATCAGAAGTGCTAAATGGCAGACTGAGAGGCATCCCTTATCAAAATAGGATCTGTGTATACTCTCAGGACGTCGACTGTATGAGGCATATTTTATTGCATTGCGGACAATATGATCAAGCTAGGGAAATAATGATTAAACCACTATTGGCAAACGGGCCGAGTCAATCTGAAGCCTATACCAAATATCTTCTGGATGACAAGTCCAATGCTATCACAGCGGCCACGGCAAAGTTTTTTTCAGTAGTCATACAAATCAAAGATCAACAAACCCATGACTAAACAAATAACACTTCGGTCTCCCTTCCCTGGGGGTTGTCTGTATGAATCTGTATTTTATTCTGAATCCATGTTATGGGTCGTTGGACTGCAATAAAGATTATATATACAATGCCAAGAATGACTGCAGAAAGATCAGAGTCATGTAAGTTCTTGCTGCAGCATCACCTGGTAAAAAGGAATCAACAGTATCTTACCTTGGCTCTTTTTCTAGCATGCCCATGATTGGAGGTCCGCCTCTGCAACAACAACAAAAAGGAGAGGAGGAACAATGGTGGGGAAATCACTCCCGTTGTGCATTCTATGAGATGTAAGATTAGGGAGGAGGGAATCACAACACATTGGGAGGAATTAAATGTAACAGTATGGGAATTGTTCCATCAACACAAGCATTTCAGCTTGCTGGAAACAATGTTCTCTCCTCTCCCCACACCTTTTTCTGGGGGTTCTCCTGATACACACTTCTAGGCAATCTGGGCAGGCCCAGGGGTGAGGGGGAGTCCCACTGTGCTAGCAGAAGTCCATGCCATATATTATCTTGCAAGAATCTAATGCAAACAGATCAATTCTGCATACATTTTGCAAAGGACCAAAACCAGCTATGGCAGGAAACTGCCATAACCATGTAAAGATAAAATAAGGAAATAAAATGCAAGAGAAACATTGTGTGGTCAAGTCCAGTTTAACCATCCAATTTCATGGATTTAAAAGGACGCCTACAATTGAGGTCTGTTAAAATCATGGTGTCCTTTCTCTCTCCTACAAAGGATGCGGGTGGCGCTGTGGTCTAAGCCACTGAGTCTCTTGGGCTTGGGGCCTACAAATACATCTCAAAGCTCATCTTTTTCTGTGAAGTTTTTGCCAAATTTCACACTTCTCTCCAAAGTGATGTCTAGGTGTATAAAATTGCATTTGTCCATATCTCTCTTGCTCATTCCCTCAGTTCTCTCTTTTCACTGCTTAACTTTAGACTGCCACAACCCTTGGAGCAGGTATTTGCCTGTTAATTTCTATGCCTTCTGTGTTTCTTTGGAGCAGGATTTGTGTGTCTGCAATATAAAGTGGCTTGAACATCTTCCTGGGCCCATGTCCCACTCTCTTTTTTAATACTGAAGAGATGAAGCCATCATGGCCACACTAAATCAGCAATTCTACACACACTTATCTGGGAGTAAGTCTCACTGAACTCAAAGACTTACTTCTGGGTGGATTGTACTGTAAGAAGTCCATAGGACTCATTTATGTGATGGGGTAGGAAAAAAGAAACAAGAATCACCTCTCCTCATACGAACTGACCCAGACCCTGCAATTATCATCTGAGGTCTTTCTTCATGTGCCTCCTCCACAATAAGTTTGGAGGGCAGCAACATGAGAACGGGCCTTTTCTGTGGTGGTTCCCCATTGGTGGAATGCTCTCCTCAGGGTGGCTCGCCTGGCACTTTCATTACATATCTTTAGGTGCTAGATAATAATGATTCTCTCAAAGTAGGCCTTGGACTGATTAACATTCTGTGTCCTTTTACACATGTTTGTGTGAGTGGGGTTAATGTTTTGTTCTGGTTTTTATTATGTCTTTTGTGTTCCCATTTTGTATTTTTATGTTGTGAACCGCCCTGTGAGGGCAGTATACAAAACTAATTAATAATAACAGCAGCAGCAGCAGCAGCAGCAGCAACACTGCTTCTGGAAAAGATTTCCTAAAATGTTCTAGCAAAGTACAGTGGTACCTCTAGTTATGAACTTAATTCATTCTGGAGGTCCGTTCTTAACCTGAAACTGTTCTTAACTAGAGGCGTGCTTTTGCTAATGGGGCCTCTTGCTGTCGCTGCACCGCCGGCACACAATTTCCGTTCTCATCCTGGGGCAAAGGTCTCAACTCAAGGTAACTCTTCCAGGTTAGCGGAGTTTGTAACCTGAGGCATTTGTAACTCGAGGTACCCCTGTATATGGCAGCATGACAAGAACCTCACCACTGATTACCACGGCTCTTTCTCTAACAGTACCAGGTTCACACCATGCTGAGATTAATGAGTAATTTGGTGGTAGAATACGGTACTGCGGAAGTCCAGAACTGCTGGAAGAAGAAGAAGAGTTCGGATTTGATATCTCCCCTTCAGGAGTCTCAAAGCGGCTAACATTCTCCTTTCCCTTCCTCCCCCACAACAAACACTCTGTGAGGTGAGTGGGGCTGAGAGACTTCAGAGAAGTGTGACTGGCCCAAGGTCACCCAGCAGCTGCATGTGGAGGAGCGGAGATGCGAACCCGGTTCTCCAGATTACGAGACTACCGCTCTTAACCACTAATTAAGTGAACTTAACAAAAGGGCCAAAAAGGACCTCTGCCTGATATACTGCAATAGGGAGTCCAAGATCTACTGCCAGTTAGCATTGGGCTTTGTTGGGTCTGTTGGTATACATGAAAGATCTTCCTCCAATTACCTGTGATTCTTGCCGTGTACTACTCTCCTCCCCATCCTTCTCAACTTCCTCTTTGCTTGGTGACCTGGATACAAATTTGTTTTTGTTCACAGATTCCTCAACCACTTTCTTTTCCAATTCTTTCATTATCTCCAGTGTCTCCTGTGTTGTGTTGCTGTTAGACATCTTCAGCACAGTATAGCGTTAGTGATGGACACCTGCAGGTAGGGACAGAAGGGATGGAGGTCAGTGCATCCAAGAATAAAGGCTTCTCTTTTTTGTTTTGTTTTGTTTTCCCATTCCCTCTTTCCCTTTTCATTTTTAAACAGAATTCCCTGTTTCCTTGCTCTTTGTCACATACTGAAGCTATACTTGCTCAGGATCTTGTCTCTAGAGTCCTTCTTCTTGTTATTGAAGATCTGACACTACACTTTTCATATCTCTTTATGTAATGGAAGGGGGTGCAGATGCATTCCTGACAACACAATACAATCTAAATCAAATCCCTAATGAATACACAGTGGAAGTGAGGAACAGGTTTAAGGATTTCGATTTGGTGGACAGAGTGCCTGAATAACCATGGATGGAGGCTCAAAACACTATACAGGAGGCAGCACTGAAAAGGAAATGCAAGAAAGCAAAGTGGCTGTCCAATGAGGACTTACAAATAGCAGGGGAGAGAAGGCAAGCAAAATGGGAGGGAGATAGGGGCAGTTACCCCATTCAGGACCAGGGAGTCCCCCACACCTGCCCACTGTCCCCCAGAAACAGTACTTCTGTCTTGTCAGGATTCAACCTCAATCTGTTTGCCCCCAACCACCTCTGGACACCCACACAGGACGTTCACTGCCTTTGAGAGGTAGAGCTGGGTATCATCCACATATTGGTATACACCCAGCCCAACTCCCCTGATGATCTCTCATACAGCATGGAGGAGAGTACAGAGTCCTGAGGCACCCCACAAGTGGGTGCCCAGGGGTCCAAGCTGCTAACTGCATCATTGCCAGTGAGAGCTTCCTTCACAATGCAAATAGCAGTGGACTGGAGGAGGCCATCTTCATCAGGATTACAGTGACAGTGGAGGGAAGCCAAGCTCAACTTCTCCACTCACTGCAGTTCCAGCTGAGCACCACCATGGCAGCTATTTTTGTTTTAAAAACCAGTCATATTAAACACAAAAACTCATTTATACCTGGCCCTCAATGGCTTTGCTTACCAGGGGCATAGGTAGGTTTTGCCTCCCTCTGCCACTGTGTGTGAAGGCACCTCTGAACTATATCACCAGTAAATGAATGCTTACCTCCCCACATAGAAATGCCTAGCAAAGTGTTGTATTTGGTGACACTCCTCTCGTGAAGACAAAACCTACTTCGGCCGCCTGGTCTCTTGCATTAAAATGGATCTTTGTAGTTCTACTTGTGTATCTATCCACTAGCCTTTCTGTATCTGCTGGCTTAACTGAAGTAAAGCCATAATAACCTGCACATGAACCCTTCAAGAATGTGTTAGACTGGAATGCCTATACAGTCGTACCTTGGATTCCGAACACCCTGGAACTCAGATGTTTTGGCTCCCAAACGCCGCAAACCCCGAAGTGATTGTTTCTGTTTGCGAACGTTCTTTTGGAACCCGAATGTCCAACAAGGTTTCAGTGGCTTCTGATTGGCTGCAGGAGCTTCCTGCAACCAATCAGAAGCCACAATTTGGTTTTGGAAGTCGAACGGACGTCCGGAATGGATTCCATTCGACTTCCAAGGTACGACTATATATGGTATAGCAATACAATCTCTCTCTTTTTTACCTTGAAGATCATAGAACTGGCCAAAACCTGTTTAAACTGCTTATACCTACCTAATGTGCCAGACCACTTCTAACTGCTTTTTGTCAATACGTAGTTTTCTGCACCTCTGTCAGGTCTTTGTGTAGTCTTGTGTAAAAGAGAAGAGCACCACCCAAAGCCCTGGGTCAGTCCTCTTGGAGCGATAGCCCAGGGAATTGACCACTCAGCCCTGTTTCAGAAATAAAGTCTGGTTGTGCCTACTTTCATGTTTCCCAACTCCGTCTCTTGATAGGGAATTTGGGCTCTACCTATCCATGGAACGAACAAAGGGCATATTTTTGCCACAGCTCCCCTACCCAACACACTAGACACTGGGTAGCCTAGTTCACTGAGAGGGATCCCACAGGTGTGTGCCATAGAAATGCACTCTGCCAACCCAAAGTACAGGTGTTCTTACAACACACAAGCTACACATGTAACTCATCATAATTATGGGCAATTTCTCAGTGCTCTAGAACAGAAGGTCTGCAATGTAACAGAAATGAACTTTCTATAAAAAATATGTTGTAATTATGCCACTCTCCTGCTAATTACACTGCATTCAATGTGGATCGTTATTTTGCTATTTTGCCATGTTCTGTTTCATTATTTAAGACCTGTAAATCACTTAAAAGATTCCTTTTGAAATATGACATGGTTCAGAAATGATTTTAAATAAATAAATTAAGAAATAAAAAAGGGGATGGCGAAGAAAACCATCTTCCCCACGAGGAACAAAGACAAAGCCAAGCTATGCATTCCAGGAACTGGAAATCAATTTTTATTTCAGGCTGGGAAAGGCCTACTGAAAGAGAAGCATGCAAGGTTTAAGTCCGTAATTTAAAGTCAGCCATTACATGAGCAAACATCTGTATAGGGATGTGAACCATAGCCTCCCACAGTTCTGTTACGCCCTTCCCTGCATTTAATTTGATTATGACAATCCCTTCTTTAAGAAATTTGTTCTTAACACTACTGCTTTCACCTATTTGTGTTTAAGAAAGCCATTTTCCAGATCAAGTACCATAATATCAACTTGGTATGTTTATATAAAGACATACCAGTTTACAGCATGAGATCACAAGGAACACAAAGAAACATTAGTAATTTTGACAGATGTTTACTCAGCAGCATCATAACATGCACCAAGAACAAGGTGAGATGCTCTTCAGGCATGGGGCATCTAACAGAGGCACCTAAGACCATTTATGCAAAAGCTGAGTCCCCACCACATATTTTCACCAGCCTCCCTCAAAACTCCTTTTTTGAATCACCTGAGTAGAAATTGCCACGTGCAGATCAAAATTTTACTTTAATGTGTTGTCAATTTTGCACATAGGTCTCTTGAAAAAAGGCCATTATACTTGCCGTAAAAGGTATTTCTAGATCCCATAAAAAGCTGCCACCAGATTGGGCTTAGGTTTGGTGCCGCCTGGCAGTCAATAGGCAACATTGAAAGCTTGCAATAATAAACAAACAATTCAAACCGGAAGCTTGTATCTTAGCTCCTCACTCCTTCCTCCCTCAGTTTTTAGATTACAAGCCAGGAAGCGATGAGATTTGGTATTCGTATAGCGTGGGAGACGGCATTCAACAGGAAAATGTTGCCTAAAAGATTCACTGAGCTGAAGATTCACTATTGCTGCGTATTGCTAGGTCAAAATCGTTATCAACCAATATATTGAAAAATTGCAAAGTGCTGAAACAGACCATAAAAATTGTAATTTGTAAATTGTAAAACTTTTAATTTGTACTGCTGCTGAGCACTGAACACACATTATTGCTTGTTTTGCAGCTAATGGCCTAGGAATTAACAATATAGAATTACCAATTACTAACCAAAGTATGATTTCCAGACAATTACCATAGGGAGGCATGTCTAGATTAGCCATTAATGAGTTAAGAGAGTAGGACTTCAAGACAAACAGAGACCCTGTCAGTGACTGGCTGGAGGAGGAAGAGTGGTGGCAGCCAGTGGCCCAGGAGACACCTGAGAGGGAAGGGAGCTTTGAACCAGGTTCAGACTGGTGGGACAGAGAGGAATCATCAGCAGAGAGTGATGGTGAAGGGGAGAGGCTTGAGGTAGCCACAGACGCTGATAGAGAAGGAGAAAGAGCAGGGGCTGTGTCTCCTGCTCTGCAATAGACTACTGAATTGGCTCCTTCCTCCAGCCCCATTCTGTAAGGTTCTGAACTTAGGCAGGAGGAACCAGGTGCACAAATATAAGATAGGGGACACCTGGCTTACTAGCAGTACATGTGAAAAGAATCTATGGGTCTTGGTAGACCACAAGCTGAACATGAGTCAACAGTGTGATGCAGCAGCAAAAAAAACCCTAATGCTATTCTAGGCTGCATCAACAGTAGTTTCCAGATCTGAGGAAGTAATAGTACCACTCTATTCTGCCTTAGTCAGACCACACTTGGAATACAGTGGTATCTTGGTTCTCAAACTTACCGTAATTTTCGCTCCATAACACGCAGTTTTTTCCTCCTAGAAAGTAAGGGGAAATGTCTGTGCGTGTTATGGAGCGAATGCCTACGGATGGCGGGGGAATCTGCTGCAGTTGTGAGCAGTCTGTGGCTCGCTTTGAAACAGCAAAGTGGGTGTAAGCGGCTCCTGTCAGCGAGCCGAGCCGGGGAGGAGGGAGAGAAGCAGAGCGGGGTTGGCTGCTTTAAAACAACCCCGTGCTCTATGTCCCTCTCTCCTCCCCACTGAGCTGCTAAGTAGCAGCAAAGCTTTTCAGCCAGCCGAGCCGGGGAGGAGGGAGAGAAGCAGAGCGGAGGGAGAGAAGCAGAGCGGGGTTGGCTGCTTTAAAACAACCCCGTGCTCTCTGTACCTGCCTGCAGTTTTTTGCTGTCCGATTTTGGATTAGCCACTGTAGGGGCTGTGTGTGTGTGTGCTTGAGCTATCATTCTCCTCCTCCTGCTTCCCGTTCACTCTCCCAGCGCCCCTGCGCTCTTCTGCGACTTTAGGGTTGATACTCTGTGTGTGTGTGTGTGTGGCATCGTTCTCCTTCTCTTGCTTCCCGTTCACTCCCCCAGCGCCCCTGCAACTTCCAGCGCCCCTGCGACTTTAGGGTGACTTTAGCATGGATCCACATGGATCCTCAGGATTTTTGCATTGAGCTACCCCAAACTCACCGTCAGATCACATGTCTGTGGCCACAGCATGAACCACAAAGATCATACATCCACTGTTTCGTTTAGAATATTTTTTTCTTGTTTTCCTCCTCTAAAAACTACATGCGTGTTATGGTCTGGTGCGTGTTATAGAGCGAAAAATACAGTAATCCGTTATGGAAGTCCATTCCAAAACCAAAGCGTTCCAAAATCAAGGCACACTTTCTCATAGAAAGTAATGCAAAATGGATAAATTCCAGACTTTTAGAAACAACCCCTAAAACAGCAATTTAACCATTTACCTCTAATGTTAATGGTTCTCTTGACTTTGCAGCATTTATCCATTTCCGCAGTCGCACAATCAATCAATCAATCAGTAGCTGAACTGGGTTCCATAGAGCGACAAAAAATAAAACAAAAAGCCACAAAAACACAAAATGAATAGCAAAAACAGACAGATCTCAGTGTAGAACTCAGAACGGAAGTGTAGCCCTCGAAACGTAAATTTGGCACTCAAAACGGAAGCGTGGCCCTCGAAACTGAGCACTTTCGCCTTCTGAAAAAAGTTCGCAAACCGGAGCACTGAGCAAGCGGCTCTTGGGGGCTTTTCCCCAAGGAGGGAGAAGGGACTGACTGGCCGTTTCAGTCCCTTCTCCCTCCTGGTCGAAAAGCCCGCAGGAGTCGCGCGCGGCTCCTGTGGGCTTTGCGGGAGGTGGGGGAATTCCGCCACCTCCCGCCAAAGCAGGGAGAAGGTCTTGGGTAGCAGACAGGCTGCACGCAGCCTGTCTGCTACTCCCAGAGCTGCGGGGGGGAAATCATATTTTTTTCCTTGATTTCCCCCCCTGAAAACTAGGTGCGTCCTATGGGCCGGTGCGTCCTATAGTCCGAAAAATACGGTACTTCCGAGTTTGCAGCGTTCGGGTTCCAAGTTCCAAATTTTTCAAGAACTAAGTTGTTCCACTGTACTGTGTCCCATTCTGGACACCACAATTTAAGAAGGATGTTGACAAGCTGGAACGTGTACAGAGGAGGGCAACCAAGATGATCAAGGGTCTGGAAACCAAGCCGCTTGAAGGAGCTGGGTATGTTTAGCCTGGAAAAGAGGAGACTGAGAGGAGATATGATAGCCATCTTAAGGGTTGTGACATGGAGGAGGGGGCATGCTTGTTTTCTCCTGCTCTGGAGGGTAGAACTTGTACCAATGGCTTCAAGTTGCAAGAAAGGAGATTCTGACTAAACATTCGGGAAAACTTTCTGACAGTAAGAGCTGTTCAGCAGTGGAACAGACTCCCACGAGAGGTGGTAGTCTCTCCTTCCTTGGAGGTTTTAAAGCAGAGGTTGGATGGCAATCTGTCATGGATGCTTTAGCTGAGATTCCTGAATTGCAGGGGTGGAATAGATGACCCTTGGGGTCCCTTCCAACTCTAATATTCTATGATTCTCAGTGAAGGAACAAAGCGTCTAGAAAAGGCTGGAACAATTAAGAAAAGCTGAGTCACAGCAAAAAAATGCAAAAAAATAAATAAATAGGGGGGAAAGGGGGCAGGAACTTTAGCTTCTGCAGCTGACTTGCTTAGCTGAGGGATCTGCTTTATGCTATCTCCTTGGTTACTGAGCAATAAAGTTAATTACTGCCAAGCCGTGCCCGTTTCTGCTTACAGTGTTGGACCATGGACAGAAGGGCTTTTCTGGCAGACTGACAGGCCCATTTAGTGCTACCCAAAGAAGGAGAGGCACACGAGGCCATTTACTACATGTTAAGGAGTGACTAGTATCACTTAAATATGTTGCAGCAATCAGGGCACTTAAAAGGAAAGACTAATGGACAATAATGTGTGAAGTGGGGATTCTAATCCATGTTATTGTCTTGAGCACAGAATCAGTGAGCATTACTTGTTCAGGCTTACTTAACAGAGGGTAAAATCTTGTGTATGTAGTGCAAAACCACCTGTGTGATATTGGTCTGTCAATTCCATTCTCCATGTCGAATTTCAAAAGCCCCCAGCGCAGTCCAGAGGAGGGCAACCAAAATGGTCAAAGGTCTGAAAACGATGGCTTATGAGGAATGGCTAAGGGAGCTGGGCATGTTTAGCCTGGAGAAGAGGAGGTTAAGGGGTGATATGATAGCCATGTTCAAATATATAAAAGGATGTCACATAGAGGAGGGAGAAAGGTTGTTTTCTGCTGCTCCAGAGAAGCGGACACGGAGCAATGGATCCAAACTACAAGAAAGAAGATTCCACCTAAACATTAGGAAGAACTTCCTGACAGTAAGAGCTGTTCGACAGTGGAATTTGCTGCCAAGGAGTGTGGTGGAGTCTCCTTCTTTGGAGGTCTTTAAGCAGAGGCTTGACAACCATATGTCAGGAGTGCTCTGATGGTGTTTCCTGCTTGGCAGGGGGTTGGACTCGATGGCCCTTGGGGTCTCTTCCAACTCTATGATTCTATGATTCAGTTCCTAACATTGTGGTTGCTGCCTTAATCAGACCTCAAGAAAGAAGTACCTTTGATTTGATTGATTTCAGCAACTTATACCCCACAGTTCTAACAAACTACTCAATGAGGCTAAGAACAACATTTAAGGAACACATCAAAGCTCGTGAAAGATGTTCAAAACTGTATACAGTGGTACCTCGGGATGCTAACGGGATCCGTTCCGGAGCCCCGTTCGCATCCTGAACAAATGTAAGACGCAACAGCGCGTTTGTGTGTGCCGCGTTTCGTCGCTTCTGCGCATGTTGACATTTTTTATCGTCTGCGCATGCGCGAGCAGAGAAACCCAGAAGTAACGCACTCTGTTACTTCCGGGTCACCGCGGAGCGCAACCCGAAAATACCTATCCTGAAGCGTATTTATACCGAGGTATGACTTTATTTTACTTTCCCACTCTTGATGGTCCCTTATGACTTTTGAGCTTATGTATCTTTTAGAAGTGATTCCTGTGTGTCAAGCATCAGGTCTGGGGCTATTTTAGCAAAAAGGTTTGTGTTTTGATACTTCCAATGGAATGGCATGTGGGTATTTGTATGAAAATGGAGGATCCAAGGTGTGACTTGTGACTAGGAGCAGCTGCCGAGATCATGTAGCATCCATCAGTCCTGAAAGACTTACATTTGTTCCCAGTACGTTTCCGAGCACAATTCAAAGTGTTGGTGCTGACTTTGAAAGCCCAGACACCAAGATCCAGCACCGAGGGCCTTCTGACGGTTCCCACCCTGCGAGAAGTGAAGCCACAGGGAACCAGGCAGAGGGCCTTCTTGGTAGTGGTGTCCACCCTGTGGCATGCCCTCCCTTCAGATGTTAAGGAGATAAGTAATTATATAACATTCAGGAAACACCTGAAGGCAGCTCTGTATAGGGAGGTTTTTTAAGGTTTAATGTTTTACTATGTTTTTATATATTCTGGAAGACGCCCAGAGTAGCTGGGGCAACCAAGTCAGATAGGCAGGTTTACAAATGTGTTGTTGTCATGATGTTCACTGGCATACAACAAAACCTAGTTTCCATTTTTTCTAACCTTAACCTCTCTATTCCTCCATTTACCACTGCTATATATGCTACCACCTCTAGAATGTCAAATCTGTACACATTGAAGTTATATTTAGGCAATTTCACAAAGTATTTTTGTTCAAGCAAGCAAATCCAATAATTCTTAAACACATGTTCAACATGTACGAACAGTGTGTCAAATTGGCAATTATGGATATGTCTGGCAGTAGTTCCCATTGTCATGGCAATATATTATCCATCTGTTTGGACAATAAATTTGACCCAGCATTTGAGTTCTGACTTTGCCAATTCCACAGCAGACCAGTGCTTAGATCCCACTCTTCTCCCTACCTCCCTACACCTTGTCAAATCTGGGGTTAGACTATTGACATAGGGCTTTGATGGCAGGTATATTTATTGAGTTGCATCCAATGCTATCCAACTCAGAGTATACTCTTTGAAATTAATGGATCTGAGTTAGTTATATCTGTCAATGACAAGAGGTTTACACAGAGTCAGACGAGTACTGGATACCATTCATGAAATGTGCAGCTTGGTTTTCTTACTTCAGTCACCTGGCACTGTTAAAGAGGAAGTCCCAGTGCAGCGTGCTTGTCCTATGCGTGTGGAATAGTGAAGTTTGGACTGCTCAGCTTGATCTCTAAGAACCAAATTAGATGGGCCTTGCTGGGATCCAGCAAGAGGGTTGCTTTGGTTCTGTCCTGCACCATGTCAGATCAGGTGGCCATTTCATTCCCTATTCTGTGGTTCTCTACTCAAAAGATTCCTAGGCACATAAGTGACTTCACTTAAAGTGGATTGGTTATAAATTATTTCAATAGTCCTTTCACACATGCAGTAGCTAGTGAGGAGTAATAGCACAATGCAATTTTGGAGAGTGGCAATTCCAACCTATTAACAAGCTCAAATAGAAAGCTAAGAGATGGTAGCTCTTCATTAATTTGATCCAAATACAGACAGCCTGGATAGCCTGTAGCGTCCCTACCTCAAGCATCTATAAAATGGCAAGGTGCAAAGTTACTTTTACAAAATGCCTTACCAGGTTTGGCTACTGCATATTCCCTGCCCCGGTGGGGGTACCATTCCACCAGTAATGGGAGAGCGGCTCAGTGGTGACTCACTAAAGCCATGACAGCGCCCTCTCCTTTGGCCGCTCTCACGGGGCAGCCATAGAGAGAGGAAAAGGGTAGGCTCAGAACAAGGCCTTTCTCTAGGGACCTCACATGGCTCTTCCATGCAGGTGGGTAAGCCAAGCTGCCTTCTTGCCTCTAGACTCTGTGTGACCCAAAAAGGTGGTGGCAGCAGCATCAGCCCGAGCCTGGCTTTACCTCGCCTAGCCTCTCCAGATACCTCCACTCGGGACTAAGCCAATGAGGTCCCGGACTCTGGTCATCACTGCCTCTGGAGCCCCCTGTGCTGACCTGCAGCTCACTTCAGAATTACCCCTGTGACTATTATGCAGGGAATGCTCTGGGACCAATTTTGGGGTCAAAAAAAGGGGGGTGTGACTATTACATGGTGGCGATCAGTATGCGGTGATATACAGTAGGTAGAAATAGATAAATAAAAGAATGCACCTTGTTCCTGCATCTTCTGTTAGTTCGCTTAAAGAAGGTAATTTCCAGGGGGGAACTGAGTATTTTTTTATGAAAAGGGGGTGGCAGGCCAAAAAAGTTTGGGAACCTCTGTTCTAAGAATTTGCTTTGAATGTGGAGTTTTATTAAGAAATCAATGCAGCACTTTACCTTTTGGTTTAAACATAAGGCAGACACATGACTTGCAAAAGTTATCCACTACAGCAAGCATGACCGATGGCCAGTGATGACAGGAGATGTAGTCCAACATCTAAAGGGTAAGAATGCCAGGAATGGGGGTAGCTAGATTAGCTATGCCTGCCATAAAAGGTGAGAACATAATCTCTGGTGATCACTCATAGCCAAATAAGATTGTCTTCCATGAACATGGTCTTAACAGTGATTCCGTAAGTGACTGTGGAGGCCAATTCTGGATCCCCATGTACTTCCACAGTGGGGACATAGGTTTCCGGGTGGGAGTTGATGATGGTGAGGATTTCCAAAATGTGCCTTCCTCTTAGTTCATTTCTCCCTTTCATCCTGAGTTCATCCATGACACCTTTGGTAAAGGCTGTTCTCCAACTGGAGCGCTCACAGGCAGGCCAGTGTTTCCCAGTTATCAGTGCTTATACTCCATTTTTTTGGATTTGTCTTGAGAGCATCTTTAAAAAATTTTGATGTTCACCAATATTTCAATTTCCATTCTTACGTTGGAAATGGAGTAGATGCTTTGAAAGATGATAATCAGGCATCTGAACAACATGACCAGTCCAACAAAGTTGATGTTGAAGAATCATTGCTTCGGCACTGGTGATCTTTGCTTCTTTCAGAACATAATGCACAGGTTGACTTGCTAATTGCATCTCTATCACCACTAGCTAAAGTGGCCTCACTGCTGCCAGACATCAGGGGCAGCATGTACTGTTTTTGCCACTTGAGACAAAATGGGAAGTGCCACCTCACTGTCAGGATGCCTGCCCTGCCAGTGAAAAAGCACCAATTCAGCACCAATTTCCAGCAAATCTCACCAAAATCTTGCAAGATCTCTCACACTCCATTAGATCTCACCAGAAATCAGCACCGATGCCAGTGCCACTTCAGTGCCAGTGGTACAGACAGCATGGCGGGTGAGGCGCCCATGAGGGAGCAATCTTGGGGCCTTCAGCCACCCGAGGCAACTACTTCACCCCACAAAATTCCCCTCCCTTTGTGAAAGAGAATAACAGAGAATAACAGCTTCCTATTGGCTTTTAATTTTTGCTAAATTAGCCAGCTGTTGCAAGGATTCTTTATTTTTTTGGGTGCCACAAACTATGACGAGGGATTCTTCTAAGCAAACAAGTGCTTAAACACACACAAACACAGTCTTCATACTTTCTAGGTAAATACACAACCACAAATTCACAAATGGTGCAGTTCTGAAAGTAAAGAGCTTTTTCATATGTTGATTATTTTGCACAAGGGAGGGGAAATGGCCAACATTTGTCACCTTCCATGGCCTGTAAATGCAATAAGCACACACACACACACACACAGACCCCACTCAATGCTTTGAAACTGAAGTGACTGTACTAGGGGTGGTACCTTTGCTTGCTTTTAGTGACGCAAAGACAGTTACTTCCTGCCCACCCCTGGTGGGAGAGAGTTGAAGGAGCTAACTAAATACGTTCCCCATTCACAAGAGGCTGGTCAGTATGTTTACAGCTATCAAACATACAATGAACTCCCTCTGGATTATTTCCCCCCAGCATTCAAACTAAAAGCAGCAGCATTCTGTGTTCCACTGAAGTTTCTCATTAAAGAGAACAGAAAAAGCTCCTTCTCAGAAGGTTTTCCTTTCTGTGTGAATGAATCAGCCGCGCTCCCTCAGGACAAGCGTGGGAGTAAGCAAGGAGGCGGCTGACATGATCCACTGTGGCAAGCAGGACTTGCGGAGAAGTAGAAGTTCACAGGGCTCAGGAAGGAAGAAAAGGAGGTGGGCGACGAGAACAGGCAGGCTATGCCAATCACTTTCCGCCAGGCAGATAAAACAAATTATATAGCTACATCATCAGGAAAGCTACGCGTTAAAAATCTGGGTCAGGGAAGGAGAACACACACAGAAACACACACAGAGCAGCAGAGGAGAGATGCCGAGTCTTCTATTAAGCCTGAAGAGCTAAGCCAGGTGGAAGAAGCCAGACACAGCATCTTGAAGCACCAAACAATAATGGGTTTCTTCCGCTTGACCCACTGAAGCCAATGCTCGAATTACAGGTCCCCTTACTTACTGTGATGCCCTCCTGGCTGCTGCTTTTTTATAATAATTTTTGTTAAGTTTCTTAAGTTTACAAAAATACGTGAATTGTCTCTTTTTCAAGTTGCTTTTTCTACAGATCAGTTTCATTTTCGAAGGCTATTGGGGAGGCGGAGCATGATTTGGCTAAAATTGGGAAGAGTCAGAGGTTGAGATTTTGGGTTTATTTATGGGGGACCCTACTTTCCCTGCCCCGGCAACAATTCAAGCATTGACTGAAGTGAAGGCAAGCTGGCATTGTTCCATCATTTTACCCGTCCCCAAGGAAACTGATTAAAGAAAGGAAATAAAGCTTTCTCCTTGAGATTCACTACAGCTAACAGCAGCCTCCTCCCTATCGGATCAGATTTCAAAAACCAGCCTGAGCACACTAACAAATGTAATCCAGTCAACATCAAGGACCCTCTTCCTGAGGGTAGCTAATTCTCTCAAAGGGAGCCATATGAAAACTTCAAATAAACAAATAAAGATGCCGAGGAAGTTTTCCTTTAACTTTTCTCTGTCATGTGGTCATAAAAAGGCACCCTTTGGGGTCAAAAGTAATTATATTAAGTTCAATCTTACTATCGTTATTTTTTATCTGAGAATTCAAAAGGAATCCTCCTATCAATTTCTAGAAACCAGATTCCTACACACATAGCTGTCCTTGGAATATTAAGTGCATCAGCTTATTTTCAGCTTCCAGAGCCATTCTTAAGCAAGGTAGATGTCCATGGTAGACAAAGAGTGGAATTTAACATCACATTCTTCCAGTTGTTCCATCTGCAAAACCATTTCAGCTTGCCCTTGGTCACCCTGGTTCATGACATTTGCCAGGAAAACGGCAGTGAGAGTGCAGCCTTCTTGGTTCTCCTCGACTTCTCAGCAGCTTTTGATACTGTTGACCAGTCTTCACTTACCCCACTGTCCTGCTCACAGTTGTGAAGAATATTCTTACATCATGGGTGTTCTGTGTCACCATCAAGAAAAAGAGGTAGGAATAGGCCAATATATATGTGGACTGTCCCTGGATTAAGTGACCTTTAAGTTCTCAAAGCTCTTACGCTAGCTCAAGGCTGTCATCTGAACTAGCCAGGTGTTTAACTGAGAATCAATCACAGTCAGTCCTTCATTTGAAAAGTAAGACTTTAGAGCCATCTTGCCCAAAAATGGCATGTAGACATTCCATTTTGGCAACTGCAACCTGGGTTTAAGGAACCATTTTGCGCTTAGCATGTGTAGCTGCATTTCTAACACTGATTTGGAGTGAAGTGATATTAGTGGTGATGACACCCACTTCTGTCTCTCCAATTCATCTGAATCAGGAGTGGCAGTTCAGGTGCTTGTCTGTTGCCTGGAAGTGGCAAGGAGCTGCATGGGGACCAATAAATTGAAACTGAATCCAGGTAAGACAGAGGTACTATGTGTTGCAAGTTCTCAAGTTCAGGAAACATGGGGACTGCCAGTTCTGGATGAGTTTGCACTCCCCTGGAAGAAACAGATGCATAGCTTGTGGGTACTCCTTGATCCATCTAGGTCTCCTGAGATCCAGGTGATCTTGGTGGTTAAGAGTGCCCATTTCCAGTTATGGCTGGTTCTTCAACTATGACCCTTCTTGGATAGGATATTGTGGTCACAATAACTCATGCTTTGGTAATTTCTAGTTCGGACTATTGCAATCAGGTCTATGTGGGGCTGCCCTTGAAAAGAGTTGGAAGCTTCTACTAGTGCAGAGTGCAACAGCAAGGCTGCTGCTGATCATCTCTGACCAGACAAATATTACGCTGGTTGAAAGATTTGTACTGGTTGCCAATTCACTGCCAAACTGAATTTGAGGCGTTAATATTGATACATAAAGCACTATATAACTTGGGCCCAAAACATCTGAAGGAGTACCTCCTCCCATATCAACTTTGCCTGGGAGTTATGATCAGCAAGGGAGGGCCTGCTTGTAGTGCTACCACTACAGCGGAAGGGCATTTTTTTCAAGTGACCTCCCCTCTGAGGTGTGTCTTGACCTATCACTGTACACTTCCAACAACTGGTCAGGACACATTTCTTTACACTGCAGTTCTGTGTTTTGATATTCTGATGTTGGCAGGGTGTGTGTGTGTTAATGGTTTTTATTATTCTAATGTATATTGTATACATTTTTAACTGTGGTGTTTAGGTAACACACCTTGGGCCATTTGGAAACAAGCAGGATGTAAGCACAAATAATAAATGAAACAAGTTTGTTTTTCCACAATATCCGAACTGAGGATTGTGGCTTCATCTCGGCAGTTTGTTCAGAGCAAAGCAGACACAGGTACTGGTTGGCATGTAATGCTAAGCCAACACACTTCCCAGCTCTGGAAAGAGAAAGGGGGGGGTCTGACACAAACTAAAGAGTTAGCATGCATACTCAGTAAGCCATGGTTTGGCTTATCACAGCATGTGTACAGGGCCTCTACTCAGACCTCAACAGTGTCTGTTCAGACAAACCAGAGGCAGCAGAAAACAGCTTTTGTCTCAGTTCTTTTGAAAACAAAAATTCCCAGTAGTAGGAGCAAATGCTAGTACCACAGTTCTACAACTCTGCACAAGGTTTTGGCATTAACGTCACATCTCACTAAATTAGACCATTCTGCAAGGTTAAATGACGATGTTCTTGTTCTCTATTTGCACACTGGCCTCTGGGTCAACCAATCTGAATCATGCCTCCATGGCAACAGGCTCCATCGCTACGAGCAACAAGACAAGTTTATTACAGTGGTACCTTGGTTTATGGACTTAATCCGTTCCGGAAGTCCGTTCTTAAACCAAAGCCATTCTTAAACCGAGACACGCCTTCCCTAATGAGGCCTCCCGCCACCGATGCCCTTCCACTGTTCAGATTCCGTTCTTAGACGGAGGTAAAGTTCACAAACCGGGACACTACTTCTGGTTTTGCGGAGTTCGTATACCAAATAGTTCATAAACAGGGCTGTTCTTAAACCGAGGTACCACTGTAGTATTATTATTATTATTATTATTATTATTATATATTTGAAGGTTTCTTTTTTAAAAATCAAAACCTGCTGCATATGTCTATCATGCAACACAATTTCAAAATAAGCAGGGTGCTTCACTTGTCAGAAAACAACAGATTTAGCATCCCAATGCAAAGCAAATTCATGCTATCTACTAACCCAATGTAGAGAAGCCTGTACAGATCATGGTGGGAGCAAAGAAGAGAGGAAACCAATTCTCAGAACAAACATAGCTGACCCAAAAGAAAATAATGCGTGCTTGACCCATTTTGTCCTAATGATGAAGGGCATTTGATTGCATTAGAAGTCAAGTGTTTTGGGCCCACAATGCAGTTTTCCAGGGACCTACAGTAAGTAACTAAATGCCACTGATTGGAACAACCTGCTCATCTTTCCTCCCATCCAGCCGCCTACATGCTCACCCCAACCACAAGTGCTCTGTCGCGGGTGCTGAGGAATGCCACAGCTGTTTAAACTGGGAGGCACGAGCCATTACAGCACACTGCTCACAGCTCTGTCTTCAGTCCTCAGGTGCCAGTAGTGTTGTTGTTGTTTTAATAAGAAAAAAGAAAAACACACCTACAAACAAACAAACAAACAAACAAACCCTATGTGTAATAGCTGCTATTGGTGCTTTCCTTTTCTGGAGTTCTCTTGCGCGTGCCGGAACTCAAGCTTGTTGGGGCGACAAAAAAAAATTTACTGGCTATTACCACCATAAAATAAATTACAAAGACAAACAAGTCAATATAAACCAAAATATACAGTATACACAAATATGGATAACATTTAATAACAAAAATATACAGTGTACAAATATTCCAAGATCACAATGCAGCAACAAACATTGAGTTCCAAACAGCAATTAAATTGCATACAATTCACGCTCTATAAGCGGAGAGCTCGTGCAACTCCCAGGGAATGTTACATTATGGGACAGCTCTTAAATATAATAAATCCTGTCAGTGGCTGAAAGGAAAGTCCATAGTATATAAGTATATACTATGTATGAATATGGGGGTAGGGAATGTGGCTTGACTCATTTCAGGAACTTTTCATCACATTGAGAGCCAATCTACATTTCAAAAATTCACTTAGAAGGTGGGAGACCTGCAGCTTTCGAATGATGACCAAGCATGACTCTCCTCAGAATTACACAAAACATATTCTGTGATTTTAAAGTGCTTTAAAACCTCAGAGCCTACAATGGAAAGCTTCCTTATGGGGCAATCTTCACATGTGCCAATATGTACAGTGGTGCCTCGCAAGACGAAATTAATCCGTTCCGCGAGTCTCTTCGTCTTGCGGTTTTTTCGTCTTGCGAAGCACGGCTATTAGCGGCTTAGCGGCTATTAGCGGCTTAGCGGCTATTAACGGCTTAGCGGCTTTAAGAAAAAGGAAACAAACTCGCAAGAACTCGCAAGATGTTTCGTCTTGCGAAGCAAGCCCATAGGGAAATTTGTCTTGTGGAACGACTCAAAAAACGCAAAACCCTTTCGTCTAGCGAGTTTTTCGTCTTGCGAGGCATTCATCTTGCGGGGCACCACTGTATTGATTTCAGTGGTTAAAGCATCTTACTGAGCTTTGAGAACCACTGGGCTCAGCTTCCTCAAGAAACCAACACTCCAGCGGGCAGTGACTCCAATCAGCCAGAGGCAAACAGGTACTGGGGCTTTCAAGGCTTGACAAAATTATTCAGACACTGAGAAATCATTACTTGAATTGTATTTCAAGTATTTGTAACCTGAATTCCATTTCATCAGTTCCCGTCTTTTGGCAGTTTGGATGCTAATTTTAACCCAATCAAGGCTAGCTAATATTTGTAGACCCATACAAGTGGGGGTATTTCAAAATAAACTTAAAAGACATTCAGGGTAGCTGACTCCCCCCCCCACACACACACACTTTTTAGGGAAGTCTGTCTCACACTTTTAAATAAACTTATTTTCTGAGATGAGCCCTTTCTATTCTTTTCCTGCTCCCTACTCCAAGATCTTCCTAATAAATGAATTATTTAAAATGCTAGGGGTTCATTCTGCACTAGAAAAACTGCAGGATCCCCTCAGGGCACATGAAATTGAATCCAAAACAAAGACTGAGTAAAGGAACAAGAATCCATTCATTCTCAACCCTACAAGAATATTACCTCTGCTCCATTCTCGTTAAGTGGATCATGGCTTCCTTTTATCTAGATAATGCTGGAATATCATGTATCCATCTTTGTGCGGAGTACATAACTGAGGAAGAAGAGATTTTCTCAGACATTACAGTGGCTAGACGGTCACTTCACACTCTGTTCTCAGAGCAGCTGTTAGAATGCTAATAGCTTGGATGGCTTGAGAGAGAGAAAGCAGCCCAGAGGTCTTCTGACATACAGGTGCAATCAGCACCTCTAATTAGTACAGCAGCCAGTGACAAAACAAATCCACCAAAGGGATTAAAATTATTGCCACCAAGGATTTCACTTGGCTGGCTGGATTTTCATGACATAACTCAGTGTGAACAGTCGTGCCAAGTGAGCAGAGTTTGCAAGCTCGAAAAATCAAGACAGATGTCACCTTGTTGCTCATGATATCCCCACATCATTGGAACTGCTTGCCTAAATCTCTCTCTTGTGGCACAGCATCAGCAACAGTATCAGAAAGGCAGAGCGTAAGTAGAGAAAAAGGACAGAGAGGAAAGTTGCTGACTAGGGACGCAGCTAGATTGGTAAAGAAAAAGTGTTTTATATGTGTTTTACATGCAATGGAACACTGTGACACCAGATGGCGCTGTGGAGTTGTATTTTTGCCAACATGATTTCTCATTACAGTGGTACCTCTGGATACGAACGGGATCTGTTCCGGATCCCCGTTCACATCCTGAAGCAAACGCAACCCGCATGCGCGGGTCGCGGTTCACCGCTTCCGTGCATGACATCATTTTGACCATCTGCGCATGCACAAGCGGCGAAACCCGGAACTAACACGTTCCGTTACTGGGTGGCCGCGGAGCGCAACCCGAAAACACTCAACCTGAAGCATATTTAACCCGAGGTATGACTGTATAAAGGTTACACTGCATTTTTCTGAAGCACTTCTTTGATGTGTCTAGATCCAGCCTATGTAAACGCAGGCAACTATTGGTTAACAACCAGCCAACAATCTCATGCTGACAACCGATAGTGGTGAATCTGCAATAATGTCCAGGGATTTAAGCACCTACATAAACATAGTGAGAAACATACAAAGATGTTCATTCACCACACAATTATATACATGTAGCATGGATGCAGCTTCATACGACAAAGCAAGAGCTGTACATTGGAAGCAGTTTCCAATGGCCAGTACAGAGGGCTATGGGTGAATTCAAGTCCAGCTTTATGCTGTTAAATCCACTGAGTCAAGCTGCCAGCCCACCCACTCCAGTGGTATAGCTGCAGAGGTTGGCCTAGCCTAGCATCTCAAGGTGTTACCTCATGTTTCTATTGTTGCCATGACATCTTCACCTCTGGTTGTCATGGCAACAGGTCCCCAGCAAGTGGCCTTCAGAGCTGCCTCTGAACATGGAACCTTCAGATGGCCATCACCTTGAATTTGTCTGGTCTCCTCTTGAAGCCACCTAAGCCAGTGGCCCCCACCGGATCTTGTGGCAGTGAGTTTCATAGTATGCTTGAACTTGCTGCCCATCAATTTAACTGGACGATCCTCAATTTTAATAATATAAGGCAGGAGAGGAACACACACACACTCTCTCTCACTCACTCACTCACTCACTCACACACGTATAAATCCCAATTGTGTCCCTCATGATCTTAGGAACTTTTTTTCTGAACCCCAAAGCTCTGGATGCTGAAGGTGTTCTAATCCTTTGTTTGCACGGCATGGATGAGCTCTATTTCCCCCTCCGCTCTTCTTCACAGCATCAAAATTAGACTGCCTGAAGCAGCAGTTTCAGTCATCTCTGGGCTGGTCGTAGACCAAAAGATGCCCAGCTGAGTAGCATCTCTGATAAACACACACCTTTCACAGCTTTTAACTTTTGAATAGTGTGTGTGCGCGCGCATGCACGTGCATGCGTATTAAAAAACTGCAGTTGTAACTCATTTTGATGTGTGATTTATCCCTACCACATAGGATTACACATTTATTTTAATTATTTTGTTTCATAAAATTTATACCCTGCTTGATTTTTTAAAAAACAAACAAACATGGACCTCAAAACAGCTTACAAAAAGTTAAAACAAAAAAATTATCAATAAGAAAAATTAACAAAAATAATTTAAGACTTTCAAAAAGTTAAAATAACAATAGACTAAAAACAAATCAAAACTCACATCAACTTTTTAAACATCTAAGTAGGTTCATCTAAACAAGAAGGCTTTTAGCAGGGACCCAAAAATGTGCAGTAAATGTGCCTGCCTGATTATCATTAGGTGAGGAGTTCCGAAGTGCAGGTGCTGGACACTATAAGATCAAGTTCTTACATTTGCATGCATAGCTCTGGTTACAACTGCTCATGCACACTGTTTCTCTGAAGGGTGCCAATGAGCGGCAGCACCCATGGCATATGAGCAACCATATGAGTGCATTAGTGTTCTAAACCCCTCCCCCCAAAAAACAACCTGTTAACACTATGCTTATGATAATATTTTATTCTCTTGTTAATTGTGCTGTTTTAAATGTACATTTTATATTTGATTTCTTTCAGTAATGTTTTGCTTTGAAATCTTTAAGATAATATTTATTTTCCTGTTAATTATGTTGCTTTGAATGTATACTTTAAATTTGACTTTCTTCAGTAATGTTTTATTCTGGATTGTTTTATTTGAAGTTTAATGTGCTGTAAACCACATTAAGATTTTTTCTCTTAAAAATATAAAGTGGTATAGAAATGAATAATAACAACAATAATTAACGGCCTGGTCTATGTGTGTAGCATTAGGAGATGGGGGGGGGAGGGGAATGCTCCCAGTGTTTTTTAAAAATACAGGTTTAGAGCCAACACATCAGAGATAAAGATTCTAATCTAGCTTGCTCCTTAATTAAAATGGGTTTTAGTTCTGTTTTACAGAAAGACATATCTTTCAAAAATGTGATTTCGTACCTGTGGTACAAAGTGGTGCAGTCCGCTCTCCTATCTCTTTCAGTTGCATACGTAGATCAGGCCAGTCTGCACTATTTTATTCATTCTTACACTGACATCCTGCCTTTCCTGCAATAAGCTCAATGTGGCATATGCATGGCACTCTCTGCCCCCATTTTATCCTCAGAAACACCTGTGAGGTAAGTTAGGCTGAGAGAATGGGATCAGACCCACATCACTCTGTGAGCTTCATGACAGAGCAGGGATCAGAATCCAGGTCTCCCAAGCCCTATTCCCTCACACTAACCACTACATCAAACTGCTTCTCATACAGTATATCCATTTCGTTCCTTAGAAGAGGATGGCAACAGTCAAGTTTTATACTACTTTATTGCACGCAGCTTTTTTGGTGGAGGGGCTTCACACTTATTGAGAAAAGCAAGGAGGAGGAGGAGGAGGAGAATGAGTGCCACATCAGTAAGGTATTAGCAGCTATCTCATCAAGGTTTAACTAAAGAAAGGCTAAAACAGAAAAAATGCAAGGGATGAATGTTGCCATGGAATCCAGTGTAAGCCTGAGAAAACTGTTTTTAGACATTACAAAATACAGTATTTGGAAGAGCCACTGACAGAAGCACTCACGAGCCACTGCTGCACAACCTTATCCAACTCATCACTAGGCCCAAGCACCTGTCTCAAGCAATCTTATTGGACTGCAACTCCTGTTATTCTAGCGAAAATACCTGTAACGGAAATTACATTGTCTGTAGTCCTTTGCAGGAAAACAAGGAGAGAAACTTCCACTGTCAGAGGGAATTGCTTGTGAAATACAAAAGTGGATGCCCATGTTTATTTTAACTACTAGGATGAGATGTGGCATTCACAGACATTTGGGGATGATGCCACAGTAGATTTGGGGGGGGGGGGAGTCCTCAAAAGTTTATCATCAGGAAGGCTGCTTCAGATAGTATGTCACATCCTCGGTGGTCATTAGATGGCAATTTGTCAATGTCACATTTGAAAGGTTAGCTGCTTTCGTTCTAGACACATACTGTCAGGATGCCAGCCAAGTCACTGCCCATATGGCTACACTGAAAACATTATATAACTTATGGATTTCTTTAGGACAATATGTTGTGAGGGGCTACACGCAGAAATCATTTTAGGTGTAGTTTTAAGAAGTAGCTTTGGACACCTTCCACCAGTTATCAGGCACCACTGCTAGAAAAATCAATATGAAAATACAGTGGTGCCCCGCAAGACGAATGCCTCGCAAGACGGAAAACCCGCTAGACGAAAGGGTTTTCCGTTTTTGAGTTGCTTCGCAGGACGAATTTCCCTATGGGCTTGCTTCGCAAGACGAAAATGTCTTGCGATTCTTGAGATTTTTTTTCTGCTTTCCCCCCCCCCCCCTTTATCTAATCCGCTAAGCCTTTAATAGCCTTTAATAGCCTTTTAGCAGCTAATCCGCTAAGCCTTTAAGCCTTTAATAGCCGCTAAACCGCTAATCCGTTAAGCCGCTAATAGGGTTGCTTCGCAAGACGAAAAAACCGCTAGACGAAGACTCTCGCGGAACGGATTAATTTCGTCTTGCGAGGCACCACTGTAAACAGGATACTAAGGCTGGATCTAGACACAACAAAGCGATTCAGTTAAATGTGTTGTAAACTTCATACAGGGAAATCCTGTAGAGAAAAGGCGGGACTCCACAGTGCCATCTGGTGTCACAGTGAAATAACGCATATAAAGCGCTTTATCTTTACGAATGTCACTGAGTCCCACTACTACATGTATGTATGTACTGACTGTGTATGTATACCACCATTCAAAGATCTCCGGCCTGTTCACAACAGAAAAATACAAAATGAATATACAAAATACATAATAAAATAATGTTGATCATGCTCCGCTTGTGCATTTATTTGAGTCATCTAGCTGGCCATTATTTTTAAAAAGGTGGAGGGAGTGCCAGGATAGACATATCTTTGGTTGATCCAACATGGCAATTCTTATCTCCCAATAGGAAACTGACAAAACTGTAGTTGTTCAGATGTGATGTCTGACAAGGCAAATCTTAAGATCTAATTGTAATTAAGACATATCAGCTGGCACAGCTCTAATATCTTTTCCAAGGACAGAATTGCAAATCCACAGGAAAAAGAGGAGTGCATGGCCACATATTCTGCATTATTTTTTAAAGGGTCTTGCTGCTATTCATGTTCTGAAATAAGTCAGGAATACAAAATGACATGGAAGAATTTAGCGACTTATTCTGCAGCCTGCTTTATTGCATCTTGTTTCTCTCCCCTTCTCCCTGCAAACCCATCTGGAGGTTAAAAAAAGAGGGGAACAATCAGGATACCTTTTTTCTATGCATTCTCCATTTATTCTCAAGGTTTGATGAATGGTTATACAAGGGCTCACTGTTTTTCCCTCCCCCATTTTCATACTCCTCCCATTTAAGGGATGCACCAAAAGAAAGCAAGGGCTTTCCCTTTTGATGACGCAAAAGCCTGGAGAGAATCCTCTTCTGTCTAGCCATTAGGAACAGGCAGGCATCCACATTAAAAATCGTGCAGCGAGGTTGGAGATTTTGCTATGAGCATGAATTCTGCAAGCTTCACAGCCGCAGTCAAAGTCATTAAGAAAAAATGAGCTGGTCTTGGGGCCGGATTATCTTTTCCAAAGCACATATTTACCAGTTTCACATCAGCTACTGTTTCTCTGCTGAAGGATGTTCACTGCACCCACATGCAGACAGGAACTGCCATCAGTGACGTCAAAATGGTCTCCTGGCAACAGTTAAGGGGGCTGTCCACCATGGGGATTTCCTGAATATCTAGCATGAAAATTATCCACCTCCTCTGTAATGTCAAGATGTGTGACACTGTGTTGGAATTCCTTTTAACCCTTTATTGTGGGGCACTGCTGCTCCTTGCCACAGTTCTTTATGCCCGATGGCAGTATTCCTTCAGAAAACAGTGATTGGAGGGGGAGAGTTTGCTAGTTTCTGGGGGCTCTCAGCCACTTGCAAATACAGGGCCAGCTGCTTGTTTCCGGAATGGCGGGGGGGGGGGGCAGGGGGCGGACATGCTCAACCATAAAAATAGATCTTAACTCTTTCCTATTCAAAGTCTGATGAAGTGTCTGCGCTACACAAAATAAAATATGAACGAAGGAAATCAGGTTGCACTACATCTCTTTCAAAGGAAAATCACCTTAAATTTCACGAACAGATTAAGTCCAACTTTTCATTAACTTCTGCTGTCCACTGAACAAATGGGCAGTAAAATGACAATAAATGGAAAACCAAAAATGATTTTAAGGGAACCTAACTTTACCTTCACTGAACAGCAAATAAAGGTTCTAATGTTATATGGAGTATATGCTAATGATTAGGAAAACTGGTTGAAGGAGGTTCTGCTCATACCCACATCCTCTACTTTCTTTCCTATCTGACCATTAAAAAAAAGAAGCCTACAAGTAAACATACTGCAAATGACAGCCGTTATTGCAGCTTACTTTGATGTCACGTATACCACATACAGAAATAAAGCAGACATTAAAGTCTTGCATTTGGAAGCTGACAAGCAAAAAGAAACCCCCTCTTAGCTGAGCTACCAAATGCATTCAAAGATGCCATCTACTAGGAGTGGGGCTTGAAAAGGAGAGGCACAAAGGGGAGGCAACAGCAGTTCCATCGCCCGCCCGCCCACCCCCCCTCTTGCTGAACATTGGTTTCATAAGCAGAAGGACAAAAACAGAAGAGAACACCCACTTGCTGAAGCAATTACCACTGCACAAGCAACAAAATACCTATGGCAAAGCCACCTAATAGAGGCAGCTCTCATATTTTTGTCTGCTTCATCAATCTGAGCCCCTCAAAACAGCCCAGTTTGGATTCTGAAAGCTAAGGATGCATCTGCAGTGTTTATCATTCAGACATACATACATACATACACACACACACACACACACACACACTTATTTCAGCCAAAGATAGTATGAAGATTTATCCAGGAATATGAAAGATGAAAGAGAAGAGGATAGATGGAGCACTAGATCAGGTTCAGGGGAATTCCTCCTGGAGAGCCCAGTCCAACACAAAACCCAGCTTGACCATCAAAGAAAACAAGAAAGAAAACCAATAGACATCAGTTTACTCCAATTGTGTTGAATGGAATATACATGGTCTAGTGGTTGCTCAAATATAATAGCCAACATCCTTTCCTCAGATCTAAACAAATCCTCAAAGGGGGGAAATGTGCAGGAATTTGTGAATGAGGATAGTGATGGGTGCTTGGCTTCCCATCCTAAAAACAAAGCATGAGTTAAAAAAACAACGGAATCCCAGCACAAGTCCAGCAGGGAGACCTCCTTAATGACACAAAAGAGCTGCGTATGTTTATAGGGGATTCCCTTCTTCCCTCTAGGTGGATGCATAGCATATCACAAAAAACTGATGACACAGGAGCCACGGAGACCCTGCAAGCCTGGAGGAGGAGGAGGAAGCATGGGGAGAAGAGATGAAATCAGACTCCTGTACCATTCAGAAAAAAAAACCATTCTGAAAAACCTTATAAAGGCAGGTGCCCCTCTCACTGACGTACCAAAACAGTCAAACAGCTACACAATTAAATTACAAGGATAGTTCGTTCCATTGCAATCAACAAGACATTTATCTTGCTTTCTCTCTCCCCACCATACCAAAATCATCAGAGACTTCGGTCTAAAAATAAACTCACCCCAGTGGAAGCTGCACACTGAGTAGGTCATCTATTTCCCCTTCTCAACAAGGACCTCATTGCCATGAACGGTTCCCAGAGGAATTTTGCCAGGAGACCTTGTTTCTTGGAATCCTCTGTTTCTTTTCGGCCCCCACCCCACCCCCGGCTTCAAATGCAATGTGAATGCTCCTCTCCACTGCTACAGCAAGCTAATTGCTCTGACAAGCTGCTCAGAAGGAACGAGACCCCAGCTGCTTGAAGAGATGGCATAGAGAGCTCTGCCAATGGCTACTTCCACACCCCCTCTCTCCCTCATTCAGAGACTTGAGTGTAACTGCCTCCTCAAGGCTGAGGAAAGGAAAGGCGTTTAAAGACACAGCATCCCCATTTCCACCAGCAAGCACAACAATAAAGAGAGAATGCCCAAATTAAAATGAGAGCATGTTTTTTTTTTCTACTGAAGCTATGCTCACTGGGAAAGAGAGAGCCTTAGCTGCAATGATCCAGCTTAAAAGGGATTCCCATCCAGATGAATCAGTTGTTTACATCCACCTGATATTCAAATTCAAACTCATTTACTACTTGCAAATATTTTCTTCTGTTGTCCTGATCTCAAAGGGTAGGAGATAGTCTGGATCCAACTCATTATGCCTGCTTCCTAAATCCTGTTCATTTAAGTAGGACATAAGTCATGACTATCTCATCACATTAATATCAAAATCAACATAAGCAGAACTTCTAGATTCCACTCCAAATTTGTGTTGAGCAGGGGTCAGCAACCTTTTTCAGCAGTGGACGGTCCACCGTCCCTCAGACCATGTGGTGGGCCGGACTATATTTTGAGGGGGGGGAATGAACGAATTCCTCTGCCCCACAAATAACCCAGAGATGCATTTTAAATAAAAGGACACATTCTACTCATGTAAAAACACGCTGATTCCCAGACCGTCTGCGGGATGGATTGAGAAGGCGATAGGCCCATTTCGGGCCCCAGGCCTTAGGTTGCCTACCCCTGGTGTAGAGTTTACTCCTTACTTTTTTCTTCTCCAGAGGATATCCCACAAGGCAGAGGATGTTTAGGATCAGAGTTTTCCTTCTCCTAGATGAGCTACCTTCCCAGGTGGATGAGTCCCATCTGCCTCTCACTTCCCTCTACACCACATGCAACAACTGCCTTCTTGACCATTGGACCCACTATTGGTCTTGTCTGCTCAATCTGCCAGAGCCTGTCTTTGCATGCAGGGAAAGGGTTTGAGACGCATCAGCTATCCTCACCTGGTTAGGCCACCCAGTGGGTGTGGCTGCTGTCACAAGCCAACTGCTTCTAGGAGCCACAGGTGACAGCTGAGTGCATGGTGGGGCCCAAAGGTGGGCAAACTACCCCAGAAGGAACATGATGTGGGAGTTTGAGTCCAGCCACCACCCTCACCACCACCATCTTTGCTTATCAAAAATGGGCACATATGCATACATTTTATCTTATTTTGATAATTCATTTAAGTACAAATTTTGTGTTTTGTTTCCATTGTAAAGAATTCTGACATAGAACCATTGTTTTTGGCACAGTGGACAGAATATAACCCAGGAATCACGTGTGGAGTAAACTATATTCACCTGGTCATCATTGCAGAAATCTTACTATCTCAAACAACTGAAAATGCCACGTCCTGCCATTATGTTCCCCACGTTCAAAACCAAACTATCAGGCACCTTTGGCCAATATCTCACCAGAATCCTTTGCTGAAAGCCAATCATGTTTTAATCGCAGGTATTAACTCTGAAAAATAGCTGGTTTAAGTTTATTTCTGAGTTAACAAAATTTGATTGACTGTTTTTCATGAACAAAGGCAAAAAATGACAAGTATGTCTGCAGTGATTACCTGGCGTTACCTTTTCGCCATAGCAGGGATTTTAAGACTGTTCTAGGGAGCCCTAGGCTATTCTCATGGAGAAGCAATTTATGGGAGACAAAGCTTCCTGAAAAAGAAAAGCTTGCCCAGAACTTCCCATCTTTCCCTGCAATGTGCAGCCATGGGTAAGTGCTTGCTGTACATTCTTAACAGGGTGGATTGATTTAAATCAGGGTTGGACACAACTAAGGCAGAATCTAGACACATATTAAAAAAACACTGTGAAAATGCCTTTTTTATAGTTTTGAAAAATATATTGATTTGCCATAACTCACCATCACCACCTAGTGTCATATTTGTATAATGCACTTTACAACACACTTAAAATGTTTTATTTGTACAGCTAAAGTTCCACTCAGGATAGCACATTTAATAGTATAATCATGCTCATTGATTCAAATAGGTCTGCTCTGCGGAGGACGAACACTGGGTAAAACCCATAATTTGAATCACCAAGAAAAAAGTCATTTATTTAAATCCAGGACTCATTTTGAAATTGGAGTATTTCCTGAGCAAGCATGCATTTTAACTGAAAAATAAGAAGAAAAAGCATATTGGTTTGCATGTAAATAGAGGCTTAATATCTAAAAGTGTAATTCAAAGTCTCTGGCCATGCAGTTCAGATTGTCTTCTGTACTATAGAACTATGAGTGGAATTCAACATCACACTATAACTATCATTCCATTAGTGCAAACATTACTGCTTTCCAGACAAAACAATCTCTTCCCTCCTTCCCCCATATATTGTTCCAGGGGTTCTCTGGACCCCATCTAAGCAGATTTGGAAGGGCGGGGGGAGCGCACCCCAGCTGTGCTAGTAGGACTTGGTGCACTGGCCCCCGTTAGCACAACTGTTTAGCTGAAGCCAGCCCAATATCTGTTTATAGACAAGCCATGTACACATGTAAGAACACTAAGCAAATCATTTACTTGAAGGATTAGGCCTCAATCCTACGTACTGTTATTTGGCAATATGTCTCAGTTAACAAAGAAGAACTTGTTTCTGCATAAATATGAGTAAAATTGGGTTGCAATCAAGTTTCCAAAAGCAAGAAATTGTAGTTACTGAAATGGAAAGTGACTTGTTCAGGTAGTTTGGTCATCAGTATTAATAATTTTAAAACTGAATGCACTGCAGGGCTCGGCTGCTTGGGTATAAAATACTACAAGATCATGCATATAATGGATGTTCCTGGTGAGATACAAGAGGGCATCACCTGGATTCTAGTGCCTATACTTGCATGTTACTCCCTGTATTTGGTCACTATACAAACAGATTAACTATTGTGATATGAAGAAGTTTTCCATACTGTTTTCGCTTCACAAGGAAAAGTAGCACAATGAGATCAGAAATTCAGCTTTAGGAAATTTTAAAAAATCATTAAGTTCATATTTATTTTTAAATCAGCTTAATTTTAAGTGAGATAATTGCATCTGAAACTTTAAAAAAATCATATTTTAATTTTAAAATCTGGTTTGAATTTTATTTCTCCCTGTCTTTATCCATTCTAATTCATGGCCCATGTAAGGCAATGCCAAGGTGAAACAGGGCTGGCCCACTTGAACTCTGCATGTACCCTTGAATATTCACTTGTCCCCAGTATTTTCAGGTAGAGCAAGAGGTTCCTCAGTAAACTAATGTGGGATTAGAAGAACGGGTCACCCAGAGGTTTGAAAGTTTGAAGGCTCTGTAATATTTGCATACACAGGAGTACACATTTCCATAAAAAGATAGTCCTTCATCTCTCAGCTACTGGCATCTATTCCTGAATCACAGAGACACAAATCCAAGCAAGTCTATGATAAAAACTAAAATGGACAATACAAGATCTAACAACATTTTGGTGCAGGCATGTTTTATATTGCTGTTAATTTGGTTTGAATTTTCTTTAGAAAAGCAAGCAATAACATAAGACATCGGGAAAGAGAGATAAAATACAATTTGCAGGATGTGAAAAATATACCCTGCACAGGAGATAAATGCCAAATTATGTATCAATTTATTTCTTTAATAGTTCTGTTTGGAACAACCTGACAGTCTCCAGACTGCAGAAGAACAAAGAATTCAACATGTACTTTTCCTTAAATCTCATGATTTCAGAGGGGGGACTTGAGCAAGATATCAGAAAAGCAAGCTTGATTTGCTCTACACTACAGCCTGACTCAGTAGTTTTGAAAACACAGGGTTTACAGCCCTCCTGCCACCACCCAGACACTGTGGATGGAAAGCTCAGCAGTTCTCTAAATGGAAATGCTCATTGGGAATGAGCAGTGCTTCAGGGGCTAGACCTCTGCAGAAGCTTCTTTAAGGCCGAGAACTAATAATAATAATAATAATAATAATAATAATAATAATTTTATTATTTATACCCCACCCACTCTGGGGGGCTCCCAACAGAATTTTTATATTCGATAAAACACGATAAAACATCCAACATTAAAAACTTCCCTAAACAGGGTTGCCTTCAGATGTCTTTTAAAAGTCAGTTAGTTGTTTATTTCCTTGACATCTGATGGGAGGGCATTCCACAGGGAGAGCACCACTATCAAGAAGGCCCTCTGCCTGATTCCCTGTAACCTCATTTCTCGCAGTGAGTGAACCACCATAAGGCCCTCAGAGCTGGACTTCAGTGTCCGGGCTGAATGATGGGGATGGAGATGCTCCTTCAGGTATAATGGGCAGAGGCCATTTAGGGCTTTAAAAGTCAGCACCAACACTTTGAATTGTGCTCGGAAATGTACTGGGAGCCAATGTAGGTCTTTCAGGACCGGTGTTATATGGTCTCAGCAGCCACTCCATCACCAATCTATAAAGTTGAACCTACTCCCTGGTCTTGAACCAGCAATCAGCATTACCTTCCAGTGGAAGTAGTCTCTCCACACACATACAGACGGGTCACTCCATGGCTACAGAATTCACCAAAGCAGTAGAAACCACAAACCTGAATTGACATTAAAATCCTAAATGTTATATGTGACAATATATGTCTAAGAACAACCCAGAGTGTGGTTATATTCCAAATTACTAGATCTTAGCTTTAAATTTTTAGGTGCCTGGGATTTGTTCAGTTCAGGTAATGAGATAAATATGATGGAATATTATGTGCACGAACTTGCGTGAATTTTCTTCATACAAGAAATAGAAGCCTGCAGATATAACATGAAGACTGTCAGATAACAATAATAATAATATTTTTTTATTTATACCCCGCCCTCCCCAGCCAAAGCCAGGCTCAGGGAGGCTAACAAGCAATAATAAAAACAAGTTGAATGAATACAACTTATTGTATTCATACAACAGATGCAGCCAATTCAGTCCCAGTTCTTAGACCCTGTACCATCAAGAAAGCTCATGTTCCAAAATTGCTCCTCAGTAGGAAACAAGGTCATAGGGAGTGCCAAATCTATACTGCACCTTTCAGCAAAAAAAAATTATAAAAAAATCCAGAACACTCTCTCTCTCTCTTTCTCATAACACATAAACAGTTATATATAGGTTGGCAGACACCTTGCGTTTTCAACCTGCAGTGTCTGGGAAACTTGATTTTATTTTAGAACACATTTGTGCTCATAAGGATTTCTTTAATGGTAAATCTTTTAGAGACAGTGACTCCAGGGTGGAAGAACTGCAAGTCAGCTCTCCTGACAAGCCCAAATGACAATGCAGGATTGGGCCACACCTCACATACCAACAGCCTGTTCTTTGTCTTTCACACCTCAGTGCCACTTATTTAAGCATAGCAGGTACATACAAAGGAAACTAGGTCAGAGACACAGAAGAGATGCTGATGCATTTGTGCTTTAGACTTGCAGTAGCAGAGAAAGGCCTCTGTTTTTCAAAGGGAAAAAAGAGTCACAGCAATGGGAAACGTTTAGATAAGCAAACACTTGCAGGGCAGGGCCATAGACACTGATTGACCTGAATGAAACACCCACCTATTCTCTCCATTCTGGCCTGCTCCCATCCCATCAGGTCAACTGGAGACCTCACTTGCCCTGGAAACACTCCAAGCGACAAGCGGATATGAAAATGCCAAAATCATACCATTTGTACTGTCTACTCTCTGACAAGCAGCAGCTCTCTAAAGTCTCAGGCAGAGTAACCATTCCCCTCTCCAGTCATGCTACTTGAAACTCATTTGAACTGCACATACCAGCTTGGAACTCCATCTCTGAGCTATGATCCTCTCTATCTCCACCAGCACCTTCCACCACCCACTCTTCCTCACCAAAAGGAATTGGGAGGGGAGCAGCCACAACAGCTTCTCTAAGCGTCTTAGGGCAGTTCACAAGGAAAGGTAGAAGAAAAATACATCAGCAAAGGAAATGCTTTCTCTCTGCAGCTCTACATTTCCCTTCCCATCTGTTGTGCATTATAACTTCACACGTAAATCAGGATCAGTCAGCCGAAAGCAAGACAACCTTTTTTGCTAACCTAAACAAGACAGGAGTGTGCTCCCTCGGTATCACAAAGAACTCCAGATCACCCTCTCAAAGTTTGGTCCTAGGAGTTGAAACAGGACTGTTAAGTTGTGGGCGAACATAGCAGACGACACAGCGATTCTTCAAACAGCTCTTCTTTATTCAGATGTCAGAACAGAACTAACTGAGGGGCTCAGTCAGCCTGCTTATATAGAGCTCCAGAACAATGTAACTGTTGCCATTTTCTAAAACTATCCAATCACTGAATGTCACTTTTCGATCCTTCATTTGCATAACAAACTATCCAATCACTGAACGTCACTTTTCGATCCTTCATTTGCATAACTATCTACAGTATCCCCCTGCTGGCCCAGGGTGAGAACTTCAGTACATAACAAGGACACTTCTTTTCTGCCCTCAAACTGTTTCAAGAAGTTCAAACTGGGAGCTGATAAAGAAAGTGCGGATGAGGGAGATGGGGAGGAGCAATGGCAGTTTTGGAAAGTCTTGGAAAGCTTGTAACCAGTTGTCTCTAATCCTAAAAACCAATTTCCTCAAAACTTAAGGTATTAATTTGAAAATGAAGACTGAAAATAGAGAATATTTATACAATATAAATTGCCACATAAGTTGCTACATATGGGATATCCAACATATTTTATTTACTATAAATATGCTAAATTTAAAATTTTTATTGACAAATCAATAAGTTTTGAAGAAGCTTCTTTTTAGGATTGTTGTTTGGCAATTGGGGTATGGGTGATTGACAGGCAGGCATATGAAACATACAAGAAAAACAGACACAAACAATGGAAATTTTTGCATGTATTCTCAGTAAGTTCTTGGATAACCTCCATAACCATGATGCCTAGAACGTTCTGAAAGAACTAGAGGAAAGTTGGAAGTAACAGACCACAATAGATTCTGCCTATCAATTTGCAAAAACCACTACTGTCTCTGGAAGCATCGGATTGATATGAATGCGAAATATATCCATGCACATATACAGAGCTCCTCAAAACAACTGGACCCATTGCCTTGTATCCAAGTTGGCAACTTCAAACCATTCCGCTAAAATTTTAAATTTGATTAATGGAGGCCATGAGCTTCATTCTAACTTGGTGTGGTGGGAAGGAAAAGAATCACACTGTTGTAAGTTAAGTCCCCACACAACTAGAAGAAAGTCACCCTTTTGCTCCAACACTTACATGTAAAAATTATGTGTTCCAGATATGCCATTGCTAGTTTTTATTGCCACTTTGCAGCCCCATTTACTTTTTCAGAAAAATGAATTTTATTTCAAGTGTACAAAACAAAAAACACCAACATGTGAAGGGCAAATTACAAAAAGAATTCAGTTCAATTGCTCCTAATACACACTGTAGAAATGTTCATTACCAATGGGGTGCAGCAGCAAAAAAAGCTAATGCTATTGTAGGCTGCATCAACAGAAATATAGTGTCCAGATCAAGGGAAGTAATAGCACACTCTATTCTGCCTTGGTCAAGCCACACATGGAATACTGTGTCCAATTCTGAGCACTACAATTTAAGAAGGATGTTGACAAGCTGGAGTGTGTGCAGAGGAGGGCAACCAAAATGATCAAGGGCAGGGGTTCTCAAACTACGGTCCACCGGCCACATCCGGCCCACCAGGGTCCTGAACCCGACCCGCCCAGGCAGAGCCAGCGCCGCCGCCTTATTCCCGATGGAAGGAGGCGCAGGATCACCGCTGCCCCATTTCCCCATTGCAAACTCTGAAACGTGCTTGCAACCAGGGTAACCTCCGAGGGGTTGTTCATGAACAAACGAGGCGGGCGTTCATCTGATCCGGCTGTATGGCAGTGCCCCTACCTTGGCAGCTGCCTCCGCCACTTGTGAGTCTCCTCGGAGGAGGCGGCGCCACGGCGAAAACCCCACAGAGCAGTGTCTGGCGCTGGCCACCATTGCTCCCCAGCCTGCCTTGGCTCAGGGAATGCGGCGGGCGCTGCTCCTCTTCCTTCTGTTCCGGGCCCCAATCCTCCCAGGGGTTCGACCTGGCAGCAGCAGCAACATAAGCGGCGGCCTTTATTATTATGATTTTCAAAAACATTTTCTTTTCCCAGATTTCTGTTGAGTCAAATTCTTTTGCGCCACCTCCCCTTTGGCTGCTTTCACTTTTCCGGGTTGGGAGCGTTTGGGAAAAGCGAGAGCAGGGGATCCCAGGTGACCGCAGGGGTGGGTCGCCTTTCTTCTTCCCCCTCAAGCTTTAACTCTCTCTCCCTCTCCCCTTCAGCCCACAATCCCGCTCGCTCTTCAGCGCCACTTCCAAGCCCCCTCCCATGCTTCCTCCAGGGGAAACTCAGCTCCTTTTCCCGGCCTCTGGCGGCGAGTGAGGGGTCCCTGGCTGGATCTCTGTCCCCTTGGAGCCAGTCAGGGCGGAGCTGCCATTTCCCCACCCCCTTTCCCTGTGCCTTTTCTTCCTGAGGTAGCAGCAACAACAGCAGCAGCAGCGGAGGAGCCCGTGGGGTGAACTCGCTCACTCCCTTTTGCGGAGAGGTGCAATGTACCTGTGGCGCCTCCTCTTCGGCCTCCTGGCCGACTGGGCTCCCAGCTGTGGCTCCCACGCGGCCTCTCATTTCGGGCTCCCCGCAAACAAGTATTGAGTATCATAGAAACCCCCGGGTAAAGATGGCCCTGACAGCAACAGCAAAGGTGGACTCAGCCCGGGCGCAATCCAGCCTCCCTCCCTCCGCTGGCTTGTTCCGTGGGAAGGAGGGAGACAAAGGCGAGCCCAGCCCACTCTCCTTCTCACTTCCCGTCCTTTGGGAATCGGGAAATAGGAGGAGAGAACAGATCGTGCATGTCCCCACTTCGAGTGCTCCAGGCTAAGTGGCTAGATCCAGCGGCAGCAATTTCCAGATGTCCTCAGCCTCCTACCCTTTTGCCCTAAGCAAGTTTCCAACCATTTTTCTACCTAGCTCAGTTTTGCCTACACTGACTGGCAGCAGTTTCAGATAGGGATCTTTTTGTGCGCTACAAATAAAGTATGTGCAGTGTGCATAGGAATTTGTTGATATTTTTTTCCAAACTATAGTCCGGCCCCAACAGTGTCTGAGGGACAGTGAACTGGCCCCATTTAAAAAGTTTGAGGACCCCTGATCAAGGGTCTGGAAACCAAGCTTTATGAGCATCACTTGAAGGAGCAGGCTATGATTAGCCTGGAAAAGAGGAAACTGAGAGGAGATAGGAGAGCCATCTTCAAATATCACATAGGCTGTCACATGGAAGAAGGAACAAGCTTGCTTTCTCCTGCTCTGGAGCGTAGGACTCGAACCAATGGCTTCAAGTTATATAACAAAGGAGATTTTGAGTAAACATCAGGAAAAACTTTCTGACAGTAAGAGCTGTTTTGACAGTGAGACAGTCTCCCTCAGGAGTTGTGGACACTCCTTCCTTGGAAGTTTTTAAGCATAGGTTGGATGGCCATCTGTCATGGATGCTTCAGCTGAGATTCCTGCATTGCAGCAGGTTGGATTTGAAGACCCTTGGGGTCCCTTCCAACTCTACAATTCTATGATTCTAACAGTACTTTTTTACTTTTGTTATGGACAATTCCAATTAATAGAGGGGAAAGGATTAAATTAACACAGGACATTTATTTTCGTTTTTCTCTCTCTCAGGGTTTTAAATGACTCACAAATCAGATGCTTCAATCAAAAAGATTTTGCAAAGAAAAGGCTTTCTCCCAAAAACTCTAACAAAACTGTATTACGGTACTTTTTAGCTCATGCAGTTGCAAATCTCAAAGCCCAGCCTAAACAAGGCAGCAAACAGCCTTCTGGGCCCATGACCTGCAAGCTTCAATGAACTGATAGCAGAATAAAAATGCTTAAAACACCATGAGTGGTTCCAAAAATGACACAGATGCAGCATTCAGTCAGCAGAGTTTACTGAAGCTTAACTGTTTCAAAAAATCCAGATCCCTAGAAAGCACAGTCTCTTAAGAATCCAGATGCTGCAAAACTTAACTTAATAGTAAAATCTTAAACTTAGCATTAAACATACTATGTACAAATCACCACTTAACTAAGAGAAAAAACAAAGCAGGTACGGAGTAGAGAGAACATAGCTAGAGGAAGAGAGAATGAAGAGCCCCAGTGAATGACAAATATATCCTCTTCACTCAGTGGCCTTGAGAGAACAATAACAGGGTCAGCTCATAATTGCTTAATCCAGCTGCGCCCAGTTTTTCTGAAGGAATAACCCAAACATCAAGAACCTTCTGCTTGGTTTTCCCAGCAGAATAGAAACTTACTTGTCAGCTAGAATGTTCCAGCTTTCACCAGCTTCCAGCTTGTATCATACAGAGAAAATACCAGAAAACTTCTACCTGTTACCCATAGACTAGAAATGATCTCTACAGTTTTTAGACAAACAATTTGTGCACTGATCAACTGAAGAGTGTCCAGAGAAGGGCAATTGAGGAGGGTCTTGAAATAAAGTCCAATGAGGAACAGTTGAAAGAGTTGAGTATGTTTAGCCTAAAGACAAAGGGATTAGGAGTTGTGGGCAGGATGGCTGTATTCAAAATATCTGAAAGGTTGTCTTGCAGAAGACAGACAAGGCTTACTCCTTTGCAGAGGGCAGGACTGGAACCAATGGACAGAGGCGGAGCTAGCTGCTCCAGCACCTGGAGTGGCGCACATGGTGCGCACCCAGGGGGAAAGAGTTTTCAGCTGACATTGTAAGAAATTTCTAACAGTAAGAACTCTTCTGCAATGGAACAGTCTGCCTCAAGAAAGAGTAGGCTCTTCTTTCCTTGAGGTTTTTAAGAAAAGGCTCTACACCCACATGGCAAAGATGCTGTGGTTTCATCCTGCACTGAGCAGAGGTTGAACTGAATGATAATCAAGGTACCTTCAAACTCTTTTTATTCCATCTCTGGTCAAACTTCATAGGGCTCAATATTCAAGCTTTACCTAATACTTCATTTCAGATGGCCCTTATGTGGAGGCTTAAAAAATTACCATCAGTGAAACCAATGGGACAAGCTCTAGCAAGGCCAGAGCTCAGGGATGATGGGAGTTGTAGTCCAACAACATCTGGGGACCCACAGGTTGAGAACCGCTGCACTAGAGACTGGTTTTGCCCTCAGATCCCCCCAATGTGAGGATCACTTGTGCCCCAGAGAGCACTGCATGCCAACCACATGCACCCCACGCCACTTGTTACTTCTGCAGCACTTAAAAATGGCCCACCAGAACCTTGGGACAGCGTTTATAGAGCAGGCTGGGAATAACATTTGGAGTCAGCTCAGGGGAGTTACAGCTGGCCTCGGCAAATGTTTGAAACCAGATTTCTGAAATTAGGTCACAAGCAAAAAAATTAGCATTTTGCTAGTTAAGAACTGACAAGAAACTGCTTCTGCCCTAGATTTGAGATATCTAGCGGAGGATGAATTACAGAGGCATCATAACAGAAAAAGCACTGGAAGGCATTGTGCTGGTCTGCTGCTCAGGACTAAGCATTGATGGCAGACACTGCATTTTGGAGATTCAAAGTTGTATGCTGCCCATCATGTTGCTCTGTTTACTAAGAGCTCTCCTACTCTCTTCCCTCCCCTCAAGACTTTCTGATGCACAGCAGTAACAAAGAGCGATCCAGTGTGCTGGAAGTAATGCACCTGTTCTGTGCCAATGAGACTTTGTTCCAGTCACAGGAGGGGACAGCCTGCTTTTGTTACGTTTGCTGCCTGGCCCTGGCCCTGGAATAATTCATAGTGCTAGAAGAGGGAACGCAATCAAACTCTCCATTCTGAAAGATTTGGGAAGGTACTGTCCTAGCTATTACAAGTCACTGTCTACCTAAAGCAGAGACCTTTGCAGCACACTAAGTCCATGAACCAAGAAGCCCCAAAAGTAAATTCTGCAAATTCAGTGCAAAGGAATCAGATTTTAATTGATGTCCACAAGGGAATTAGTACTGGAGCACATTGGTAGATGCAGGGAAGCTGACTCACACATAATGCCAAACTACATGCATGAGCTAGAACAAGCCTAAGAGAAACCTTGGACTGGCATTCTCTCTGTCCCCAAACAGCCATGAGAAGGACTTCTGCTGCTTTTCCTTTCACTTTCAAATAATCATGGATTAATGTTACAAAAGCATCAATCAATCAATGATGAAGAATTGATGCTTTTGAATTATGGTGCTGGAGGAGACTCTTGAGAGTCCCATGGACTGCAAGAAGATCAAACGTATCCATTCTTAAGGAAATTAGCCCTGAGTGCTCACTGGAAGGACAGATCCTGAAACTGAGGCTCCAATACTTTGGCCAACTCATGAGAAGAGAAGACTCCCTGGAAAAGACCCTGGTGTTGGGAAAGATGGAGGGCACAAGGAGAAGGGGACGACAGAGGATGAGATGGTTGGACAGTGTTCTCGAAGCTACAAACATGAGTTTGACCAAACTGCGGGAGGCGGTGTAAGACAGGAGTGCCAGGCGTGCTCTGGTCCATGGGGTCACGAAGAGTCGGACACGACTAAACGACTAAACAACAACAACGTTACAAAACTCGATATTATTGTCAGTTTCTCTAGGCAGATTCTAAACAAGATGTTTCATTACCCCTAGTTTTAAGACATTTGGGATGAAAATAAATTTTGCCACACAAATTGCTTGAGTACTCACACACATGACCTATATACAGGTGAAACTTGGAAAATTAGAATATTGTGGAAAAGTTCATTTATTTCAGTAATTCAACTTAAAAGGTGAAACTAATATATGAGATAGACTCATGACATGCAAAGTGAGATATGTCAAGCCTTTATTTGTTATAATTGTGATGTTTATGGCGTACAGCTGGTGAAAACCCCAAATTAACAATCTCAGAAAACTAGAATATTAAATGAAATCAGCAAAACAAGGACTGCAAATAGAGCAATATTGGACCCCTGAGAAGTAGAAGCATGCACATGTACTCAGTACTTGGTTTGGGCCCCTTCTGCATCAATTACTGCCTCAATGCGGCGTGGCCTGGATGCTATCAGCCTTTGGCACTGCTGAGGTGTTATGGAAGACCAGGAAGCTTCAATAGCAGCATTCAGCTCTTCTGCATTGCTTGGTCTCATGTCTCTCATCTTTCTCTTGGCAATGCCCCATAGATTCTCTATGGGGTTCAGGTCTGGCGGGTTTGCTGGCCAATCAAGCACAGTAATCCCATGGGCACTGAACCAGGTTTTGGTACTTTTGGCAGTGTGGGCAGGTGACAAAGTCCTGCTAGAAAATGAAATCAGCATCCCCATAAAGCTCATCTGCGGAAGGAAGCATGAAGTGCTCCAAAATCTCCTGGTAGACGGCTGCGTTGACCCTGGACTTAATGAAGCACAGTGGACCAACACCAGCTGATGACATGGCTCCCCAAATCAACACAGACTGTGGAAACTTCACATTGGACTTCAAGCATCTGGCATTGTGCCCCCCCCCCCCCCCCAAGTCTTCCTCCATACTCTGGGTCCTTGGTTTCCAAATGAGATGCAAAAGCTGCTCTCATCAGAAAAGAGATTTGGGGAGCCATGTCATCAGCTGGTGTTTTCATCAGCTGTACGCCATAAACATCACAATTATAACAAATAAAGGCTTGACATATCTCGCTTTGCATGTCATGAGTCTATCTCATATATTAGTTTCACCTTTTAAGTTGAATTACTGAAATAAACGAACTTTTCCACAATATTCTAATTTTTGAGTTTCACCTGTAGGCTACAGAAGTAATTCCCCCAAAACATATATACCAATGAAATGAAATGAGATTAGAGCAGCTTTGGAATCCATAATACTTATGATTTATTCTTCATAGATGTTAAGAGTCTTCTGCACCACATTCAAATTTCTGTCGGGAATTCTGCATGCACAGAATCTGACTAGATCTTGTCTTTCCATTTTATCTTCTTTAACAGACTTGTGACACAAGTTAAATTGAGAGGTAGTGGCCATAGATCACTTAGTGAATTTCATGACTTGGAATTTGAATCCAGTCTCTCCAACCGAACACACAACCTACAAGACAAAACACAGCAATGCCAATCCCCATGGTGTACCCTCAATTTCACAATGAAAATCAGGGATTCCTATGCCTGAGTGGGTGGAGTAAAGTACAGTCTCCTGGTGTGCTCTGATGTACAACAAACAGCAGGGTTGACACAATCCAGACACAAGTGTGCTACAAGAAAGTGGGAATGTGAAGTACATGCAAGCAGATGGCTGGCTACAGGCTACAGTGTAAGTCAAAGACGCATATATGCTTAGATCAGGGTCATTCCATATCAAGTGATCCAATTTTTTTACCTCGTGTCATCCAATTTTCTTAATATTTTGCACACTTGTTGAATGATCAAAACTAAATTTAAAATTTTATTTTTTTATCTCATCCCGTTTTTGAGTTACGAGGGTTTGAAATTTCAAATAAAAATGAGAATTTTGGCCTTGCCAGACAACACAAAAACCATAAAAGCTCAGCCCAGAATTGAGTTATTTCAAAACTAAAAATGTCAATCTCTTCAGAATTTCATGGGCTTTAATATGGTATGTCACATGACGGACTTACTTTAAATTTTAAAGTTACAAAATTTAAATTTTTAAAAAGTGGTTTTAAAAATTAATATGATTTAAAATTTCCAAAAAATGTATTGATTATTTAATATTTCTAAGAGCTACCTGCAAAATTTCATCTTGTGATCTGAATGGGATCAGTTTTTAAAAAATATTTTGTACATACATGTCTGCCTTACTGAGTTTTATTTAGGATAAATGGGTCTTCTTGGGAGTAAAATATAACAGAATAAACAAGACTTGAACTATATCAGTTACTTCAGACATTTCTTTAGAAAGTTATTCAGTTAAAAGGTATCTGAAAAGCTAGTCAGGCTTTTCTTTTAAAAATGTGTTCCAAAGCCGAGTGACAGCTTGCTATTGCATGATAGGATTAATGCTTGTTAGTAATGTACTTCATTTCATGAGCATTACAACAAAGTCCCCATTGAGACAAGTTTTACTTATTCACACATACTGTACATTCACCCATGTACATGACACATCATAAAAAAGAAAGAACAAGTCCATGCCCTGCTGGGTTCACAATCAAGCAAAAAGCAATACAAGGGAGACACAGGGGCAGACATGGGAAAAGGAAGCAGGAATATATGGAAAAAATCTATGCAATCAGTGCAGCTATATGTACTAGGCTTTGCTTAAGCAGCCGGTGGGGATCGGGGTTTGCGCCAAGAGCTTCATGGAGATCAGTAATTACTGTCCAACTTTCTTGGAAGAAAAATAAAGTTCACCACTACAGATCTGATTCTGCAACATACAGATATAAAGGTGCATTATCTATTTGTATTGAGCAATATTGAGGCCAGATAGGAAGGCCTGCCAAAGCCACCCCCCCCCCCCGAGGTAAATGTAGATCTTTTGTTGGGGCATACCCCACAATCACCTGCAACACCCAAGAGTTGTATGATATGAGGGGTTACTTAGCAGATAAAGGAAGTGCTCCACATGCTGCAAAACGTTAAGTACATTTTGGAGATTCTTGCTTTTCTCTGCTCTAAACAAACAAAACTAACACACACATCCAAGCACTCAGAAGCTCCACACATTTAACGAGGGCCTCTACCTATTATATTCTGATTCACAATCCAATAATATTCTTGTCCTCCCACTGCTTCTGTACTCCATGCCTTATGCAGCATGCAAAGCCAAGAGCAACTGGTCAGCAATTTGACCACACTAAACAATATCTGTCCTCAACAAAGCCACAGCAGGGAACACAGGACTGTGGCAGCAATCTATCCTTTTTGCCTAGGCAGTAAAAAGATTAACTGTATATTTTAATGATCTTGCATTATCACAGGCTACGGCCATCCTCTTCTTATCCTTTCCCAAGCTGGAGCCGGCAGAATTTGACATGAACCAAATCTGTCAAAGAACTCAAGACAGACACGTGGGTCCTAATGTGCAAAAGGGAGGGGAGGGGAAGGGGGGGGGAGAAGAACCATGCCACTCCATTCAATTCCAAACAATGATAAATAATTCAGGACGAGAAATGCCGCAATACAGAACACACAGAAGGGTTTAAAAATAGAACACGCTGAAGCCAAAGGAGGAGACAGAGAGCATGAAAGTACCATATAGGAACAGGGATCTGTGTCAACAAATCAGAAACCACCAGATGCTGTGATCATGACAGAGCTGACTGCTGCCAGATTGCAGTGATCACGACATCCTGTTGTCACCCAACACACTGTGCATTTTTTTTCCTTCTAAGCTGGTTCTTCCTACTGGAATTCTCCAAGTAATTATGAAACAAGTATCAATGCAGGAAGATAAAAAAAAAAAAAAGATTGGCTCTTCTTGCTAGCCATTTGAAATTGTCTAATTGTCAGATGCCAAATGCTAGAGAAAGGTATTAGGAACAGGAGCAATCTCAGGCTCAAGGGCAATCCATGCCCCCTCCCTGCCAGATTATGTCCCTTAACACCAGCCCTACTCCATGCCCTCCTTGGGTGAGGCTTGAATGCACCCTACAACTGTAATAACACCTTTTGCTTGGTATGTTATAGAAAGCGCTGTGACTTTTGTGTATGTGGCTGGAGTGCATAGCTCACGGCTCAATACAAATTGATAATGCACATTTGTGGCTCAGCCCAGATTTGCCTTTGACCCATTCAATACTGGCATGAAATCCCCAGAGGACTGCCCAAGAGGGAAATGGTTCAACTCAGAAAGGTTTCCCACCTCTGCATTAGAAGAACAACACTTTGCCCCTGCCATTCATACTCTAGCTAAATGCTCATAATTTGTACATCTATTATCTTTTGCAAAATGTTATGTGCATAAAAGCAGGTACTCGGAAAACAGAGGAGAGTTCTGAGTGGAAGCAATCAGGGCTCTGGCTTTGCCTTTTCTGCTGTATGATGACAACAATTTTTGAATGATTCTTCCTCAAGCAATTATGTATTTCTTTAGAACGTATGTATGTGTCTCAAAATTGGGGACAAGGAAGGTAACTATTCAAGGTCTAATGTGACAAGGCAACAAACAATTAAAGGAACCAGCATAATTGATTAGGTATGTGGACGACCATACAGCTAGAACCATTCCTGCCTTTTTGTTCTTTATTTATATACTTCTCCTTATTTACCCATAACACCTTTATGTTATGTTTAACTTAGTCCAAGTGATTCTTGTTCTTTCACATCCGGCATGCTATCGAACCAATATTGAGTCAGCTAATTACATGACCAAGGGGACAGGGTTCCAACCCTGGAACATTGGCTCACTCTCCTGCTTTGATATATGCTCCCTTTGTCAAACAGGAAATTAGGCCATATCTGACCTGAAAGAACCCCAGGAATCTACTGGAAGGAGGATCATACAACACTGAAAACGAACATGGGCAAATCCTAAGTAATCCTCCTGCAACTGCACCCTGCAGGAATCTGTTTCTGCACGGGAAGATGAGGAGTCTGTTACTTGGTACACTGCAAATCAGAGAGGCCAGTTGTACATCAGCAAGTATCAAGCACAATCAGAGATAGCTTGCATTCTGGCAGATGCAGGCTTACTTTGCCTGTGGCTTGGCTCCTAAATCAGCAATAGGAAACTGGAAGTTATTTCTGACTTCACCAAAAAAGACATTCCCTGGCGAAGAAAATGCAGTGTTCTTGTACAAGGAGATGACTGTGCAGAGAGGTTAAAGTTCTCCTTTTCCCTACAAACATGATTTTTAAAATTTTTAACAGTACTATTAATGTGTATCTCATATTGAAGTGAGAATCCTAGGGAATGGGGGGGGGGGGCATGCCATGCCCTAGATTTGAGCTGAAAGTGAACAAAACTGTTTCTCAGTCTTAATCACCAAAGAAGACATAAAGCGCTGTAAGGCATCACTGGTCCACTTCTCCAGTATTGAGTATTCAGTATTCATGGAAGCCTCAGCTGTAATCAGTCAAGTCACTGTTCCAGTTTTAATGGAGTGCTCTCTGTTATCTTGCCTAGCTATGATGACAATATAAAGCTGTCACATTTTTACCTCTAAAACATGGAACACTAATGTCTAATATAGTGTAGTGTGCCTTAAAATAAAGTCAAAGCTGAATAGTGTTGCATCTGAGAACTGTAGAAGTTATATCAGTATTTTGATTTTTAGTTAAGAATTCTGCCCATGATGCATGCAATGGCAGACTGAGAGGGCATGGCAAAACAAACAAAAAACAAAAAATCCCTCAGGCAGGAAGCTGAGGTAGGAACCCTCAAAGCTCTGGTGAAGCTATCCCCTATGAATGGGGGGGGGGGGGGAGAGAATGTTGTCCTTTCCTGAAATCTTCTCCTTTCCAACAAGTGGCAGAATGTGGGAATTTTTTCAAGCAGGGAAACTATGAGAGCCTCTCTTTAGCCTAAAGAAAGGTAGTTCACCTGTTGGCTTCTGCCTTCTTCTAGAAGCGAGCTGGTTAAAAGGGAGGAGGGAATCCACAACACACTTTTAGATTCTCAGGGAAAATATAAATGAAATTATGATGTCTGAGGAATTAGGAACATCCTACTAGCTCCCAACATCAAGCATGCTATAAAATATGCTTCTAGATTACAATTTTTTTGTTTTATGTTGCATTTTTGTTCTAATTATATTGTTTTAATATTGTGCACAGCTTAGAGGTTTTTAAAATATTAAGTGGTTTACAAATGCTTTTAAGTAAAACAAATAAAATGAAGTGATGTGTTAGAGAGACAATTTAATTGCCATCTCCTGGTCCAAACAATTCACAATACTGGAGATAGCTCACTCAGTTGGTTAGACTTGTGGTGCTGATAATCCCAAGGCCACAGGTTCGATCATCTTATCATATTCCTGCATTGCAGTGGGTTAGACAAGATGGTCCTCAAGGTCCCTTCCAACGCTACAGTTCTATGATTTTATGATTATCCCTGGGTCCCCAGAGGTTGTTGGACTACAACCGCCATTATCACTGACCATTAGCTAAGCTGACTGGGAAGGAGAGAATTTGTAGTCAGACAGTAGATTTTATTGTTTATATCCAATGGCCATCACAATACAGTATGAGCACAAATCAAACAACCACAAAACAAAATGTATGACATGCACCAGACCAGGACAAATCTACAATGCCCAGAAATTAAAAACATTCCTTCTAGTCAGCATCCCTAGGGGTTGGCACTTGCAGTGAATTTGCAGACAAGCAACATCTGAAGACCTCTGAAATATTGCCCAAGGGATGACAAACCAGTCTTGAATTCATGAACATGTTGAAAACTATGATATTATGCAGGGAACAGGACTGGAGGTGGAGGGGGAAAGTGTCACATCAGAAAGAAAAGGAGATTAGTCTGAAAAAAACAGAGAGGAAGAAGTTGTCCCAGACAGAGTGTATGATTATTTCATGTGTTTCTATACCACATTTAGTCACCAAGTCACCTCAAATCATTTCACATAAGATTAGTTTGTGTACAGCAGATAGTGCAAAGGCAATGATGAGGAAGTGAAAGATATGGGTCTCATACAAATCCCACTTCTTGTCTTCAGAAGAGAAAGTTCACTAATGAATCAAACATCTAAGCAGAGAGGAAAACTTTATAGAGATGAAGGTCTCCAGCAGGTGCCTCCATCATCTGAGATGAGACAGTTTGCTACCAACTTCTCTCCTCAGAGAGGTCTGGCTAGCACCTACCTTTTTGTTCTTAATGTGCCAAGCAAAATTTTATTTCCCCCAACTTTGATACAATCTTAATTTTGTTGTTTTTATACAATTTTTAGAATTTTGTGGCTTTTAGTGTACTATGCTTTTTTGTAATTACAGTTTTAATTATTTTATTATTCTTTGTAAATCTAGGGATATGATTGAAGGGGATATCGACAACAGAACAAACAAACAGCTGCAATATTATGCACAATTATTAGGAAAAAAGCACAACTGAATTCAGTGGGTCACTTCTACACAAACATGCACAGACTCTGTCTAGATGAATCCAAAAGTGCTCTCTGGACCACTAGAGGCACCCATGTGTTGCATGTAGGAAACATTAAGTTTTCCCCATGTAGATTTCTGTTCAAAAATCTCTTGGTTCACGATGTAATGTTGCACAGAAGCTCATGCATTTTAATTCAATCCAAGCCTTCCATTCTCTTTTTTACATTCACTGAAACGTGGTGAAATCCCCAGAGACTGGTCACTCTCACGGTTTTTTAAGCAACAAATTCATTGGAAGCGCAGCACTTGCCAAAAGCAACTTGTACTCCTTAAACTGTTTGCTTGCTTCAAAAAAGACTGCAGTTACAACAAATGGCCAGTAGGAAGTATATTTATTATGCTTTAAAAAAAATAAAAGCTCTCTCTTTGCCAAGCACCTGGCAGTTTGTGCACAATGGGGTTCCCCTGACTATAGTTCCCTATGAATGACAATTATGGCCTCTTGCGCTGCCTGCCCTCCCACTTGGGTGACTGAAAGTGAAACAGGATTTCTGTCTTTACAACAGAAAAGGAACATTCTGAACGTTTCAAACACTAGAGCAGGAGGACTGGGCAGAACAATGTTGCATTTCATCTTTACAATCCCAAACTGTTGCCTCTTATGTAAATTCTTACACACTTTTACAACTTGGACTCAAACTGGAGGCTTTCATGGTACTTGCTTACAAAATCAGAGGTCATGTGCAGAATGTTTTTGACACTATATTACAAATACAAACAGATGAGAACTTTATAGCACTTTATTCCACTAATATTACAGGGCTGAAAGTACCTTTTCTCTCTCTCTCTCTCTTTATTGCATTAAAGGATAAGTAAATGCCCTCAGAAGTGCAGCAGAAAACAAAAAATGATTTACCGGTACTTTTGAAGTATTAATAGGATTTTAAAGCAAACTATAAAAGCAGCTTACAAAATCATTCAAATGGCAATCCACATTTAGTTTTAAATTAGCTCTTGAAGTAGTTCAGGCACCTAGGAGTATGGGAGATTATTATTAAATTAGCAGCAATCAATGATGACCTATTCTCAAAATGCCCCTTCTCTGAAAAAAAAATATTTGGTCACATTCCCTCTCGGTAGATCATACACATCTTTTGTCCTTGCTTCTTCACAGGATGCCTTTTTCCAATGTTCCTTTTGTAAGTATAAACCTCTTATGTATTTTGTATTCTCATTTTGTATTTTTCTGTTTTGAACAGCCCTCGGATCCTCAAATGAAGGATATCATACAAATTTCATTAATCTTAATACAGTGGACGCTCGGGTTGCGAATGTGATCCATGCGGGATGCACGTTTGCAACCCGCGTCTGCACACGCACGGGTTGTGATTCGGCGCTTCTGCGCATGCACGACTGCCGAAACCCGGAAGTAACCCGTTCCGGTACTTCCAGGTTTCGGCAGTCTGCAACCTGAAAAAACGGAACCTGAAGCAGATGCAACATGAGGTATGACTGTAATAATAATAATAATAAATTTTTATTTGTATCCTGCCCTCCCCGGCCAAGGATCATAAGCATCATCATCATCATCTGCTGTTGCTGCTGCTGCCTCCCCAATAACGGTAATAAGGCTTTCCTAAATGTTCCTCAAATCTGTGAACACATTACTAGAGCCACCAGTCTGTGAAACTGTGGACACCAAGGACTCCACCATCACAGTACCAAGCCTGTAGTCTGACAAAGCCAGTCATGGAGATCTTATAAATTAAAAGAGAGGATTGGAATATTGCTGCCTGAAGTGCACACATGCAACTCAGGTTGTGTGTGCTCAACTGGAATAGACATAAATAGGTATTTTAAACTAAATCTTCCACAATACCAATGGGGAACTGAGATTCTACATTTCTAAAGCCGTATGCACTCTGGTTATTACTCAATAATCTTCAATAATCCACATTCACAAACTGTGGTCTTCCACTTCTAAAACTGTGATGACTTCCTCCACCCCATTAAACTGAAGAGAGACATCTCATTTAATGGGTGATTTCCTCCACTCATATTTAAGTTATTGTAACATAAATTGTATTTTAATATAATCAGTTAAAAGTGAGATTCTTTGCTTCTCCACACATTTATCTCTATGCTTGTAGTCAAGGTCAGGGTAGGTGTAATGCTTCTGCCAGCTTGTTAATATCAATAGGAACAAAATGATAGGCACACAATACTCTCAGTGTTTTTGGATCTGGAATACACGTGGTTTGTTGTTGTAGAAATAATAGGTTCTGAAAGCATTGGTTTCAAGAAAATAATGAGAACTCATTCTCAAGTCCTGTCTGTTTTCAGAGTTCAAACAACTTTTTGCTATGGTCCCGGTCTATCCCCTCCCCAGGAAAAGGCTTCCTTTAAATCCATAGTGGAGAGTTTGATAACAATCAAGTGTCTTACCAAGTTTATTTACATTTGAACAATAGCTTCATTCTTAACAAAGGAAAGTTTATAGAGTTTTCAAGTATACAGAGAGAAACTTTAACAAGAAAACTCCTGGACTCCAGTTAAATCAATTGGAGACTGAAAGCAGGGAGGACTATAAAAATTAATAATGAATAGCAAATAAACATAGATTTTGGAAATTGTGTCAGGCTTCAAATAACGTTTCTCAAAGTTGGCTTAAGAATAACTGGAATTTGTTAAAGCAGAGCCCGGTGTAGCATTTTAAAGGCTAACATACATACTGCAGCACAAGCTTTTGTGAAAGAAAAACCACTTCCAGCTGATGCATGAAGTGTTATTCTTAGTTGGCAGGGGTGTGTGAGAGTTGGGGTGTTTGGGGGAAAACCACACAGGAACAAATAGAAAAGTGGGGGAGAGAATGCTATTACCTAGATAGACATGTGACATTACTAAATGGAGCACTAAGGAAAAAGAAATCAGTTCAACAGAGGGAAATCAGAGTGGACATGACCCTCACACAACTGATGAAACAAGATGAATGGTGTATGTGAAAATATAAAGGAGAATTACTTTCAGTTATTAGGTAGCCACTCCCAGGCTCTACTGAGCTCAAGTTCCAGAGAGTGCCGAATCTGCAAATGAATGCCAACTGGCAGCTCCTATTCTGGAGACTCCCTTTCAAATCTTGCTTAAGTATGGCAACTTTCTAGTTTGATTCAGGGAGACTGACACTCCTCCATTGTTTTCTGAGTGTTACAATTCTTAATGTCTAATTTGTGCCCACTTAACCCTCTTGACTGGAGTCAGTACATTTTAGTCAATGCAAATGGCAAGAGTGTATTGCTGGCAAATGATGACAACTCTTGCATTAGGAAATGTGCAGGTGAAAAAGCTCTTGATGGTATGACTGCTGTTGAGTCACATTATAGAGTCCCTTGACTAGATATGGGGTAGATGGTAGACACATGCATTTGTACAGCTGTGCAGAAGGCCAACTGTTGCTCAGAAGCTAAAGCTTCAGCTTGGAGTGGCCTATGTGTATTGATAGATGCTAAAGAAAAAGGAGATTTCTCCCTGCCAGATTTGAGATTATGAGGCATTCTGCCTATGCTGGTTGGAGGAGTGGTTGTTATTAAAGAATTCACATATTTTAGACTTAGAAGGACGTTAAATCTTGCTCTGCGTAGGTGGGGGTTGTAAAGGAGGCCATGACTTTAAAATTACTGAAGCAAAGGGAAGTTGGACTTCAAAGAGTACCTTCCCCCGTATGAACTAACCAAATCAGCTGAGACCAACTTCTTCATTGGCCATATACAATCCAGGAAGGCATTTTTGGTGGCAACTCCTAGAAATTTTGGTTTAAGGAGAAGACAGTCACACTTTGTTAACAACCAAACCACTCCTGAAATAAAGCTACCGAAAGTTTGCATCATGAGCTTTGTCAATGACACAGAAACGTGGCTTATGGCATTTGGATGCAAGTTTAATTTGGATGAAAGACACAAAAGCTATCTTTCTTCCCCAGTGCTTGCAGAGACTGGATATTATCTGTCTTGACTCTTGCTAAAATTCCAGGAGATCTCAATTCCAAAGCTGTACTAGTGTCTAAATTTAGCAAGGTAATGGAAACATTTGGAAGGAAAGTAATTCATTTTAATATCTGCACTTTTATGTTGCCAGGCAGCTAATTTCTGGGTGATCTTAAAGCACTGAGCCAGAAAGAGAAGAAAGCAACTGGGACATAAGCACACAGTAGATTATAAACTAGTATCACTGCTAATTATTCTAATTATGATACAGTGGTACCTCAGGTTACATATGCTTCAGGTTACATACGCTTCAGGTTACAGACTCCGCTAACCCAGAAATAGTGCTTCAGGTTAAGAACTTTGCTTCAGGATAAGAACAGAAATCGTGCTCTGGCGGCGCGGCGGCAGCAGGAGGCCCCATTAGCTAAAGTGGTGCTTCAGATTAAGAACAGTTTCAGGTTAAGAACGGACCTCTGGAACGAATTAAGTACTTAATCCAAGGTACCACTGTACTCCTATCTCGAACGGGGCTATGGTTAAAGGAGGAGTTTGGGATCAAGATTTAGAAGTTATGTGCCACCATTGCAAAAGAAAATCAAAACAATGAAAGCACAGGCACTGCCTGGCAAAAAAAGTAATACTGCTTCCTCAGAATCCCAACTCTTTTTATACTTGTTAACAACAACACTTAACATTTTTATAGCACTTTCAAATACATTGGGGGGGGGGGGTTGACCTAACAAGCCCCATCAGCACAAGTCCTTCAAAAGTACTTCCACTTGTACAATAAAGCTTTCCCCCCTCTCCCATCCGGTATGCCCCCCCCCCGTTAAGTTATTTGCCCTGGCAGCCATCAGTCAACAGATATAATGAGGTGTATTTCCAACCAAAAAGGGGGGGGCGTGGGAAAGGCTAATGCTCTACCTTTTGACTTGCCTGACACGTCTAGCAGGGATAGTCAATGTGATGCTCTCCAGACGTTGTTGGACTGTAACTCCCATAATCCCTGACCACTGGCCATGTTGGATGGGCTGATGGGAGCTGCAATCCTCAATGTCAAGAAAGCACCACATTCTCTTTCCACATAGACAAAGAATAGTGTGGTGGCATTAGAACAGAATGTGAGCAAGAAGCAACACGTGAAGAAAGACAACAGGCATGCAGTTTGACACTTATTGTACTGTTCAGGGACAATTGCGACTTCTTGCATGTAAGAGGTAAATTCCTTTTGTATTGTGCCTATCAGGCTGTGAACTATGAGCAGGAACTGTCTTATAATTTTAATATCTCTACAGTACTTTGGAAACTTTGGCTGCTTTATAAGTGAGAAATGATAACAACAACACGAACTCCACATGGTTTATGCATAGCCCCAATCACAAAGTCAAGAACTCTTGTTGATATACCAGCTTTATTTCTTTTTCTCCCTTTGTTCATACAATCAAGTATAAATGAAGCTCAAATGAATTACCATATACAGTGGTACCTCGGGTTAAGTACTTAATTCGTTCCGGAGGGCCGTACTTAACCTGAAACTGTTTTTAACCTGAAGCACCACTTTAGCTAATGGGGCCTCCAGCTGCTGCCGCACCGCCGGAGCACGATTTCTGTTCTCATCCTGAAGCAAAGTTCTTAACCTGAAGCACTATTTCTGGGTTAGCGGAGTCTGTAACCTGAAGTATATGTAACCCGAGGTATCACTGTATACTTGAGTATAAGCCGACGTTTCCAGCACATTTTTTATGCTAAAAAAGTCCCCCTCGGCTTATACTCGAGTGAGGGTCCCACTTACCCAGGGGTCAGCAAACTTTTCCAAGGGGGCTTGGCTGGTGCGAGGGGGTGCGCCAGCGCCGGCACCTTTTTGGGAGACCCTAGGATTATACTCAAGTATAAGTCAACCCAAATATAAGCCAAGGCACCTAATTTTACCACAAAAAACTAGGAAAACGTATTGACTCGAGTATAAGCTTAGGGTGGAAAATGCCCACCTCTGCCACTCATATGAGTAAGCTGCTGCTTTCCCCCCAAATCCTAGTAAAGGTAAAGGGACCCCTGACCATTAGGTCCAGTCATGGCTGACTCTGGGGTTGCGGTGCTCATCTCGCTTTATTGGCAGAGGGAGCCGGCATATAGCTTCCGGGTCATGTGGCCAACATGACTAAGCCGCTTCTGGGGAACCAGAGCAGCGCACGGAAACACTGTTTACCTTCCCACCGCAGTGGTACCTATTTATCTACTTGCACTTTGACATGCTTTCGAACTGCTGGGTTGGCAGGAGTCCCCAAATCCTACTTAACCTTAAAACTGCAACCTATAGCAGAGACTTACTGTGGCTACAATCCCTTTTGGGTTTGAATCTTCATGCTGATCTTATGCCTGTAGCATCCTACCTGCTCATTAGACACCTTTGTTGTTTTTTCTTCCCCACCTGCGCTTTTGGGAGCAAGTACATTGGTGATAGGCTCCATGCACAAGTAGCTGCTCTTGTGTCAACTCAACCTCTTCTCCAACAGCACTATATAGCCTGGCAACGTTTACTCAGCGCGAAACAGATCAGACGGAGCATAACCGGGAGAGAGGATATTTGAGTGTGTGTTTTAAGGAGAGCGCAGTCGTGTTATTGGAGGCCCAAGAGGGGCTTCGGCTGCCTGATGCAGCCCCCTGGTCGGTGGTCGCAGGACTTTCTCTTGCCGCCTGATAGGGGGTGGCTACCCATCCGTAGTCACAGCGCCCGGTTCACTGGCCAAAGCCCTTGCCTCTTCTCCCCCTGCCCGCCCTCTCGGCTCCTCCAACCAGCTGTGACCGCCGTGTGTCTCATTCATCCGCAGTGCCAGAGAGCAACATTCACTGTGCGGCTCATTTGCGGAAGCTGCTTGAACATGTCGAGCTGAACTACAACACAGAGGAGGAGGGAAGAGGCTCCCGCAGGCGGCTGCGCCATGTCCCTGCCTCCTACCTGCTGCCACCCCCCGACTCCAGATCCGGAATGCGCAGCAGCCGACCCTGGGGTCTCCCAAAAAGGCACTGCGCCTCCCCTCATGCCAGCCAAGCCCCCTCGGAAAGGTTGGAAAAGTTTGCTGACCCCTGGGTAAGTGGGACCCTCACTCGAGTATAAGCCGGGGGGGGGGGTTCAGCATAAAAAATGTGCTGAAAAAGTTGGCTTATACTTGAGTATATACAGTATATACGGTATGTTTTTAAATAAGAACTAATTAATTTTCTCCCGTGGCTAAATTCTTCTCATTTGAGTGTTAACCATTTTAGAATAAAAGATAAGCATATCGCACTCAACTTGCATTATCAGTTGCAGCATGTAATTGGCTGCGTTCATGAAAACAACATGAACAATATGTTAAATTATGAATGAAAAATATATTTCAAATTAATTGCAGACCTTCAGAGCTCAAGTCAGATTTTCAATGTGATCATGGTATCTTTACAACAAATGCAACTAAAAATGAATGAAGGAGGATTTGGTATTCCAAATCTGGAGTTATATCACCATGCTTTCTTATTGTCAAGTATAAAATACTGGAAGCCCACAATTGGTATTAATTTTCTGTTCAGGGGAACTTTAAAATGTACATATATAGCATATTTGGTTTGATGGACTCTGGAAGCAATTAGAATCTTTCAGTTAGAAAGATATGCAATATAATGTTTAATAAAAATAGATTTGACTCCTTTTCCCATGCTAAATTGACCTTGACATTTGGAATGCATTTATACAAAATATAGTGGGTTAAAAATAAGCATATATGTATTTGGAAAATAATAATACGTTAGATAAGTATATATGGAATGAAATTGTTAACTTTTATAATGATATGGTAAAACTTCTATTTTATGTTGTTCAATTAAACAGTTCTCTTTTTTAAGACAGATTTCCACTGAAGCCCTTGGTACTGAACCAATTCATTCACCTCTCCACAGGTGCTGATGAAAAGAACCACTTAGATGTGTCCTGCCATTGCTACAAATAGCTGCAACTCTTTGAGAACTAGTTTTCTGTGGGCTGCTGCTGCTCTCTCTGTGCGTGCCTCTCTGTGTGTTTAACTCTTTCCCATCCAAGTTACTTGCTTCCTTGCTCCCGTGATCAAGCTCTCGTGTGTATACGAGTGCGTGTGTGCGTGATGATTGGAGTCCCTTGTTAGCTGTCTGTGGCACTATGCTGCTGCAAGTGGGAGGAAACTCCCTGCCCCCCAACCCAAGCAGTGGCAGCCTACGAGACTGGTGCCAGGAGCTGGTGGAGTAGCAGCGGCCACCTGCGGGGCCTCGTGGCGGCGATGAGAGGTGGTGGCAGTAGCGGCAGCAGCCTTCAAGGCCTCAAGGTGGCAACAGCAGCCTGTGAGGCCTCGCAGCAGCAACAGAAGCTGTCAGTGGTGGTCACCTGCAAGGCCTTGCAGTGGCACAAGCAGCAGCAGCCTGTGAGGCCTCGTGATGGCAGCGGTAGGTGGTGGCAGTACAGCTCCAATCAGGTCTAGCAGCTTATGTCTATAGTTCAAATTTCAATTTGCATCCATTTAATTCCTAAACCAATTATAGAGGCACCTTGCAAATTCCAATCTATTCCCATCACTTTTAATAGGCAGCAATGGGCCTTTCCATTTACAAATGGACAGCCCAAACTACTCTTTCACAGCTGCAAGTACCAACAAAAATCACTAAACCTACACATAATGATTTGCCTCAAGGCTATAGCCTAGCCTCAAATTAAAAATAGCCTTCCCTTATGAAGTTTCAGCATGTCATCTACTAGCAAAGTGAGGAGTTACGATTTGGACAAGTTATCCAAAGTCTTGCTTCACATCCTTCTTCAAGCTGGATAAAAAGCAGGCACAGCCAGGGAGAAATTCCTCATCCTAGTCTTCTCCATCACCAGTAAAATAAACAGTATCGTAATTCCTTTATACAAATCTGCAGTCTGGCCATATCTGCAATGTTATGTATAATCCCAGTCACTCAAAACGGTATTAAAGGTAAAGGGACCTGTCAGGGAACTGACATCAGAGCGAGAGGCGAAGGGGAGGCTCCTGGATGATGCTGGAGAAGGACCCAGCAGCAGGGGGAGAGGCGACTCAGTGGAGGGGGAAGCATTTAAGCGCAACACCAGGAACAAAAGTGAGCAGATGGGAAAATCGGAGAGAGGGCTCACGGACTCTTCACTGGAACTCAGTGAGGAGGGGACAGGTTCCCCGCTACCCACGCCCACCCTGCGCAGAAGGCTCCCGCGCAGTGAGAGGCGGAGGCGATTGGGTGTCAAACAGCTCTTATGTTGGAAGAGATTCAAGAAACGCCCACTGACGGATTCTGCTAGTGACTGAGACAGTCCTGATCAGAAGGGGCTGTGCAGTCAGAAAGGTTTAACAAGGCAAATCAGCCTAGAGAGGCACCAGTTTACGCACGAGTAACTCATACTCATTACAGCAATCCGTCAGTCCCTGAAAGTTGCTCGTGCGCAGCAGCAGGCAGGCAGCATCATGAGCAAGCCCGGAGAAGCAGGCACCCAATGGGGAGCAGCTGGAGGGCAAACGCTGGAGGAGAGGAACCGAGATTTGGAGCAGCATGTGGCCATTCTGACGGCACGGCTGGACGAATGGCGGTCTCAAGATGCACAGGTCAGACCCACCCCCATAGCAAGGAAGGTACCGGGACTGGTGCACAAGTTTGGGGGGAAGCCGCAAGAATACAGTGCGTTTAGAACGGAAATAGAGTACGCATTGGACTTGCAGCATAACGATTTTGAAGACGACGCGGCGCGGGTGGCATATGTTGTGGGTCACCTGCAGGACGGGGCCAGAGAATGGGTCAGACCCCTTATGGCGACGCAGAATTCCGCCATGCAGGACCTGAGGAAATTCTTCCAAGCGATGGACGCGATGTTTTCCACTGATGTTCAAAAAAGTGTGACTAAGCGGGAATTGATGAACTGTAAACAGGGGAGCCAGTCAGTCAGGGACTACTGGTCGCGCTTTGCCATGATAGTTCATCGCCTCGGGTGGGAACTGGGCTCCGAACCCATACAGATGTTATTCGAGGAGGGGTTGTCCCCAACGGTTAAGGATGAACTTTCCCGCGCACCCCGCCCACAGGGGATGGATCAGCTGACCAAGGCTGTGCTTGCGATTGGCGCGCGCCAGGAAGCGCGGGCCCAGGAGAGGCGGGAAGGGAGAGAGCAACGTTGCCATGACTACCGCATTCCTGAAATACCAAGGCAGCCCTCCCCGCCAGCAGAGCCAATGGAAATAGATGGGGCGCGCGCGGGAAGTTTCAAGCACCAGCGAAGGGCGCAAGAAGGAGGGAAAGGATTGGAAAACCTCCAAAAGGTGTTACCTTTGCCAGCGGCCAGGGCATTTTGCCAGAGCCTGCCCTCAAAGAAAGGCTTGGCAAGGAATGGTGGGAGCCGCAGGGGGTGAGGAGGAGGTGGTAAAGGAACAGGAACAGGGAAACGAGAACGCTTGGCTGCCAATCAAGGGGCACAACAGCCAAGCCAGCCACCAGTAAAAGTGCCCCAACCAGACCCCCCCAAGGCGGCAATAGCCATCGAAGTGGTGCTAGAACTCCCAAACGGGCACCCAGTCAAGGTGAAAGGCATGCTGGATTCAGGCAGCTCATGTAATTTCTTCAGCAAGGACTTTGCATTAGAGCACCAGCTCCACTTACTGCCTTTGGATTTTCCCTTGCAAGTGACCACCATTGATGGCAGGGAGCTTCTAGGAGGGAAGTGACACACCAAACCCCGCCAATGAGAATGAGGGTGTCCAGGCACTCGGAAACCATCGCCTTTCACGTCGCCTCGCTAGCAGGACCCCCAATAATATTAGGGATGAGCTGGCTAGCACAACATGATCCAGTGGTGGCGTGGCATCAGAGGACAGTCACCTTTGGATCAGCTTACTGCCTGGAACACTGTCTAGGGGAAGCCCCAAGAATGACCGTGGCCAGGGTGGCTGGGATGGCGGTGGAGCGGAAAGGGAGGTGCCGCCACAATACGCAGATCTGCGGGAGGTCTTCAGCGAAAAGGAGGCAGATAGACTGCCACCCCATAGGCCCTTTGACTGCCAGATCAACTTGCTTCCGGGGGCTCAGCTGCCAGTGGGTAAGCTGTACGCCATGTCAGACAGGGAGATGAAGGAGTTGCGAGAATTTATCGACAAGAACCTGAAAAGAGGCTTCATAAGAGAATCAAAGGCAGTAGGGGGCAGTCCGGTGTTCTTTGTGGAAAAAAGGACACAAATAAACCCAGGCTCGTAGTGGACTATAGAGCTGTCAATTTGGTGTCAGAACCCGTGACCTTCCCAATGCCCAGGATTGACGACATTTTAACGCGAGTGAGGAAAGGCAAAATTTTTACCAAGCTGGACCTCAGGGGCGCATACAATTTGATCAGGATGAGGGAGGGGGACGAATGGAAGACCACAATGTTCACACCCCTAGGTGCCTTTGAGTACTTAGTTATGCCTTTTGGATTACAGTCAGGCTCCGCCTGCTTTCAAGCTTTCATGCACCACGTGTTGGGGTCTCTGCTGTACAAGAACTGCGTAGCCTTCTTGGACGACGTCTTAATTTATTCGGACAATGAGGAACAACATGTTAGAGACGTCAGGGAAGTGTTACAACGACTGCAGAAGCACCAGTTGTGGGTCAAGCTGGAAAAATGTCAGTTTCACGCCAGAGAAGTCGAGTTTCTGGGGTACAAGTTGTCTGACAAAGGCTTAGCGATGGACCCAAGCAAGGTGCAGGCAGTGCTGGAGTGGAAGGCTCCCAAGACACGGAAGGACGTACAGAGGTTCCTAGGGTTCAGCAACTTCTACAGGAAGTTCATCAAGAACTTCGCCCACTTGACAGCGCCAATCACGGATTGTCTCAGTAGCAAAAAGAAGTTTGTGTGGACAGAAGAGGCCCAGCAATCCTTCGAAAAACTGAAGAAGGCGTTCGCATCGGAAGAGCAACTCCTGCACGTAGATCTGGAGAAACCCCTGAGGCTAGAGACCGACGCGTCCGACAGAGCCGTGGGGGCGGTCCTTTGCAACCAGGGAAGGGAAAGCAGGAATGGAAACCGTGTGCCTTTTTCTCCAGAAAACTGAGCAAGTCGGAGCAAAACTATACAGTGTATGACCGCGAACTGCTGGCAATCTACGCGGCCTTTCGTCGTTGGCGTCATCTACTGATAGGGGCGCAACAACAGATCCAGGTTTGCACAGATCACAAGAACTTGGAGTACTGGAGAACCGCACGAGTACTCAACCAGAGACAGATTCGATGGGCACAGGAGTTCTCCAAGTTTTTCTTTGAAATCCGCTACGTGCCCGGAGAAGAAAACGTAAGAGCAGACGCTCTCTCGCGTAAACCGGAGTACCTGGAAGGAGAGGGGCCGCCGGAGAAACGACACGTGATCCCCGAGGACCGATGGGTGTGTGGGGAACTTTGGTGGGGAAACGAGAACTAGCCGGGCTGACCAGAAACGACGTGTTCGCGCAAACTAAAATCCGGGAACTACGAGACGGAAGAGGGACCCAAGAAGGGTTTGAGGAGAAGGAAGGGGTACTGTACTATAGGGGAGCGCTGTACGTACCGGGGGAAACCCTGAGGGAAAAAGTACTCAAACAACTCCACGACAACCCCACAGCAGGGCACTTTGGACAGCACAAAACCATGATGCTGGTGACCAGGCAGTTCTGGTGGCCCAGGGTGAGGGAGGATGTACGGGAATATGTACGGGGTGCGACCGCTGCCAAAGGGCAAAGGGGAGCGGGCTGCCCCCACAGGATTGCTGGAACCCTTACCCACGCCGGGAAACCCTGGGAGGTGGTATCCATTGATTTTATGACAGATTTGCCCAAGTCCCGGGGAAAGACAGCAGTCATGGTAGTGGTCGACCTACTGACAAAAATGTGCCACTTTATAGCTTGCTCACATGCTGTAACGGCAGAGGAAACAGCCCGGTTGTTTGTGGAGCACATATTCCGGCTGCATGGCGCCCTTTGAGGGTTATCTCCGACCGCGGAAAACAATTTACTTCCCGGTTCTGGAGGAAACTCATGAGCTTACTGCAGGTGGAGGTGGGTTTCTCGACGGCGAGACACCCAGAGACCAACGGGCAAGCAGAAAGAGCGAACAGTATACTCCAGCAATACCTACGCTGCTATGTCAGCGAGAGGCAGAACGATTGGGTAGAAAAACTAGCGCTGGCTGAATTCGCGTACAACAACGCGGAACACGTGTCCACGGGAATGAGCCCATTCATGGCCAACCATGGGTGTCATCCCAGGGCCTTCCCGGGAGTGGGGAGGAAAGCTGGAGCGTACCCGCCGCAGAGCAGTTTGTGGAGGAAATGGAGGCCCTACACCAGCAACTTAAGATGAACTTGGAGCGGGCCAAGGAAACTTACAAGAGGCAGGCAGACAAGCACCGCAGGGAAGGGGAGACCATACGGGTGGGGGACCGGGTGTGGTTGTCCACCCAAGGGCTACCTTTCAAAGGGGTGCAAGAAGTTGCAGCCCAGACGGCTGGGACCTTTTGAGGTAACACAGCAAGTTAATCCCGTGGCATTTAAGCTCAGGTTGCCTGATAGCATGAAAATACACCCGGTTTTCCATAGGTCCCTGCTTTCACCGCATAGGGAAGGGCGGGAATTCCAGGGGCAAGAGGGAGAAGTCACCACACACCCGCAGGTAGAAGAAAGGGAACACCACCACAGGGCCACGGAAATACTGGACTCAAGGTGGCAAGGGCGCCGGGTGGAGTATTTGGTAGCGTGGGAAGGGGAACCCAGGTCCGAAAACACGTGGGTCCCCACGGAAGCCGTCGAGGACAGGTATCTGGTGGAGGTATTCCACCACCGGTTCCCGGACAAACCCAAACCCCTGGAGAGATTCTGGGAGGAGCAATTTGGAACCACAGATGAGGAAGAGGTTTTGAGGGATTTTCTGACTCCGAGGAGGGAGGAGAGGTTTCGGAGGAAGAAGCATCAGACGGGGAAGACCACCCCGTTGGTAGGTGGAAGAGCGATTGGGAAGCGGGTTTCGAACCCACGGAAGATGGTGACAGTTCCTTCCGGGGTTTCCCGCCTCCTCGGCCGACGAAGGGGACGAGTTGGTCCCACAGGTCGGCCCAGGGGTGGAGGGGATTCTGGGGGAGGTGGATGTCAGGGAACTGACATCAGAGCGAGAGGCGAAGGGAGGCTCCTGGATGATGCTGGAGAAGGACCCAGCAGCAGGGGAGAGGCGACTCAGTGGAGGGGAAGCATTTAAGCGCAACACCAGGAACAAAAGTGAGCAGATGGGAAAATCGGAGAGAGGGCTCACGGACTCTTCACTGGAACTCAGTGAGGAGGGGACAGGTTCCCCGCTACCCACGCCCACCCTGCGCAGAAGGCTCCCGCGCAGTGAGAGGCGGAGGCGATTGGGTGTCAAACAGCTCTTATGTTGGAAGAGATTCAAGAAACGCCCACTGACGGATTCTGCTAGTGACTGAGACAGTCCTGATCAGAAGGGGCTGTGCAGTCAGAAAGGTTTAACAAGGCAAATCAGCCTAGAGAGGCACCAGTTTACGCACGAGTAACTCATACTCATTACAGGACCCCTGACCATTAGGTCCAGTCGTGACCGACTCTGGGGTTGCGGTGCTCGCTTTATTGGCCGAGGGAGCTTTTGGGTCAGGTGGCCAGCATGACTAAGCCGCTTCTGGCGAACCAGAGCAGCGCACGGAAACACCGTTTACCTTCCCGCCGGAGTGGTACCTATTTATCTACTTGCACTTTGACATGCTTTCGAACTGCTAGGGTATTATGAAGCTGTAAACGGTAGAGAACAGTGCGATCAGAGCTTTGGAGCACCTTCCCTACAAGGAAAGGCTGAAGTGTTTGAATTTGGGGGGGGGGTGGAAGGAGCCAAGTGTGGGGTGAAGATAAGACAGAGGTTTACAGAATTATGCATTGATTGGAGAAAGTGGATGGAGAGATTTCCTCCCCCCATATTACTCAAACTCTGGGTCAGATAATGACAGGCAGTAAATTCAGGACAGACACACACAAAAGCACTTCATGCAATAAGAATGTCCTGCCACATAACTTCTTTTACTTTAAACCATATTTTTTTAAAAAATGAAAAGAAAAACAGTTCCACATTTCCACAATAGGTAACATAAATTAAGTGTAATTCTTAAATTACACTTCTGCTCTATTGATCTCACCTACCTGTCATTTTAAGGATTTGGGGTTGTTTTTTAAAATGGCATTACTTATGTTTTAAGGGTGGGGAGTGATTTCAAATATTTATGTTGTTACATCATGATCTTTAGTTTAGAGCAGGCACGTCCAACAGGTAGATCACTGGCTCCCCCCAAAGAAGCCCAACAAGTTTGGCTCCCCTAAAAAAAGCTCAGCAACTTTGACATGAACCCCAAGGAAACGGGCCTTTCTCCTCCTCAAAAAAGCTCCATAACTTTGATCTGAACCCCACAGAAGGGGGGTAGATCACTGCCAGTCTTTAACTCTGAGTAGATCGCAGTCTCTTGGAAGTTGGCCACCCCCGGTTTAGAGAAACCAATTCTAGTTCTGAAATTCGATTTCTAACAAGCCAATGCTGGTATCCCATTGGCCCTATTTTAATCTTTTACCAAGGATACATCAGCTTGAACTGTGCCTCCTTCAAATGAAGCAAGCTTCTTTTCTGCTGCTCCAGAGGGTACGGCTCGAACCAATGGATTCAAGTTACAAGAAAGGAGATTCCGACTAAACATAAGAAAGAACTTTCTGACGATAAGAGCTGTTCGACAGTGGAACGGACACCCTGAGGAGGCTCTCCAGTGTTAGAAACTCACCAAATGGCTCCTTGAACCAAGGTTGAAGTCACCAAAACAGATTGTCTAGTTGCCATTTTGGGCAACATGGCTGTAAAGTCTTATTTTTCAAATGAAGGACTGACTGTGATTTAGCTGACTCTCAGCTAAACATCTGGCTAGTTCAGATGACACCCTTGAGATGGTTAAGAGCTTTGAGAACTTAAAAGAAAAGTCACTTGACCCAAGGACAGTCTACACATATATACTGGCCTATTCCTACTGCTTTTCCTTAATGGTGACTGCTCCTGCCTATACTGCACAGAAAAAGCAACTTGGTTCCAGAAATTCATTCCAACTGTGCAGATAACATGTAATGGATAGAATTCTACAGGATGGGGTATTAGTGTGTGAAAACTGTCCAGATCCAATGATCCCCAGATAGTGGAGATGTCAGGTGCCATCCTGGTGCACAGGCATCTTCAGTTGGTCAGAAGTGGTCAAAAGCCAAATGCAAAACGCACCTGGCTAATTTCAAACACTGGGTCTCCCCATTGGAAGTTTTTAAGCAGAGGCCGGATGGCCATCTGTCAGGGATACTTTAGTTGAGATTCCTGAATTGCAACAGGTTGGACTAGATGACCTTTGGAATCTCTTCCAACGTTATGATTTTATTATTTTAATTCCATGCTCTCCAAGCTCTCCTGGCATTTCTCTACATTAAAACCAGCTATATGAATTATGATATGCATATAATTGACAGTTTTCTTTCACATCTGATTTTCTGATCCAAAAGCTCTTCAAATTTCATTAGCTTCTCAAATCTTAAAATTTCCTTTGCTGTTTGAATGAGAAAATGCTGTGTTTGTAAAAACCAATAAAACTAGTATCAGTATAAGCCATTCATTTTCATCATGATCTGCTCAAGCTTGAATTCCATTACCATTTTAACGATAAATGCAAGCTTCAGTATGTACTAGCCCATACCCAGGTTAAAGAACTTAAAGGCTCCAACCCAGATTTGCATCTCTATTAGCATACTCCAGCAAATCCAGTAAGGCCCAGATGATCATTATAATGGGATTAAGCATTCACACTGCATATGTAGTACAGAAGCCTGCATCTATGCACACACCTTCCCTTATAGATCAGGTTGATTTTAATGGCAACCATACCTTGGTTCAAAATAAAGTAGCTACAAAGGTGGTTCTCCATCTTCATAATTTTTTCAAAACAGCTACCTCATCATGGTTGCCTTTCATATATGCCCAAGTAGAAATACTTTCACTTGAATTGTTGAGCAGACATTGGATCATCTTAACTCTGGATATTCCCTTATCTAATATTTAGGCAAGTTTTATTCAAAGGATTTCTCAGATTCAGTGTGTTTCCCATTTTAAGTCTGCTGTTGCTTCACAGTTTTCATATTTTAATAATTCAAGTTAAACAAGTCATACTGCTGCTAAAATTACCCCCCAAAAAGCATAGAACAGGTTATTAATTAATATCAAAGCTATAAGTCTCTGGAAATTTAAGATTTTTTTAATTTCTAATTACCAGTAAGATATAGCCATTCCATCCTGCCAACCGCATATGCATTCATATTGTGGCACATCCAAAATGGAAACAGGAAGCACATTAGACATCAAGTCTTCCTTGCTTCTCTGCAGCCCTTGCCACCAACAATATTCAGCTCCTCTGAACTTTGAGCTAAGAAGGCAATCAGAGTTGGTCCTAAGCATGGTAAGCAAAGAGGAAATACAGAGGAAAACTCAATAATTTAACTTTGTTCCGACCTCCCGGCTTCCAGGGCACCTTGACAATGCCAAGGTTGCAGGTTTGATCCCCATAAGGGACAGCTGCATGTTCCTGCATTGCAGGCAGTTGGACTAGATGGTCCTCAGGGTCCCTTCCAACTCTGATTCTATGAGACATCTAGGAGTTTTTGACCACATGTACCCTAAAAGGCATCTACATCTTTCCCAATAGAGACTCTTACCTATTCAGAACTCCCACTCTCTCAGTTTAAGCAGTTTGGATGACCGCATTTAAATATTTTACTTTACAAATACTGTAAACAGAAATGCCCAAATGCCCCTACACTAAATCAAAATTTCCCTGGTTTTCACCCCATTTGAATTGCTAAAAGCAGTAGAGTACAAGCCAAACCCTCTTAACACCTCCAACAAAACAACATCTTCTGAAGGGGCAGATGTCCAGCACAGAAGCTGCCTTGTCACAACTAGTAGTATCCAACAAATGAGCAATTGAATAAGCCTGAGACAGTCTCATCCTTGCTTCTACAGAGCCTTTGGCCTAATAAGGGGAGGAATTTCTATTTCCATAGAAATATGCCAAGCTAACTGGGGGATAAATGGCTTTAACAAAATAAAGCTTCAAGTCCAGCAGCTGATAAGCTACTGATTCTGTAAAAAGAGACTTCATGGAAAAATTTCGCTAATTGAAGAACTACCAATTTGAGCTTTAAAAGTAGGGTGAAGGTCAGCAGCTGCCAATGTTATGCAGAGCACAAAGGTAAAAGGAGATATCTTCATTATTCTAAATGATGACTGACTTTTCAATGCTGAATTCCACAATGGTTTCTACCCTACAAGAACTGATCAACTGTCAAAGGTCAAAAGACTCCATTGATATTTGTCACTGGTGGAATTCCTTTCCACAAAGCAGTGGATATAGACGAAGTCTAAAATTAACTCTGCTGCCAGCTGTGTTTTCTTTTGTAGGCATGCACATGTGTTCATCTGTTCCATTTTAGCAAGCAGGATAACCACTAAACTGTAAACCGACGGACGTGGGAAATTCTTGTGCATATATTGTTCACCCAAGATTAGAGAAGGCAAGCAACACCACAGAATCATGATCAACGTTGCAGTATATCAAGGTGTTGTTGTTTTTATCTAAGGGGAAACAATTCTATTCAGTTATTGTCTCTGCTGTCCATTATGATTGTAGCGAGCAATTGTAAAAACTGTCTGAATATTTTCAGTTCATCTGATGTAGTATGTAAGGCAGCTTCCAGAACTCAATGAAATTTTGTGCTCAATGCAAAGTCTAAGAAATGGAACAAAACTAGACACCTTTTTTTAAAAGGATATACATCTTCTCACAAACTGGAAGTCTGACTTTTACTGACTTTCATAACAGGCATGGGAGAAAATGTTGGAATTCCTAGTCACCAACACCATGGGAAGATATCCAACTAAGTCATACTCTAAGTAGACCCATACTCAGAGTATGACTAGTGTTTTTAGGAGCCAGCCCTGCCGAAATCTGAAATACTGCAACTGATAACACATACTGGAAGGAAAAGATGTGGGCATGTCCTATCAAGGATTCTTTCTGGCGAGAAATTATTGCTTGTATTAACTTTGCTTTGGAAAAATCATTGATATTTGCAGATGTTCATATCTTAAATCTTAAATATTAAATCATATTCCTGGAATGTAGGACCCAACAGATGGACAAGGAAAGTGGACCCTACAAGCCCTTAAAGTGTTAGAAACTCAGACATACAAGCTGATCATCAAATGGCAACGTAAACCTAGGTCACAGTTGCCACAACAGGCTGTCTAGGCGTCATCCCCCCCCCCCATAGAGTTTATTGTTCCTATTTATTTTCCATTGTTTATTGGCAGACCACAAGCTTAATGTGATCCAGCAGCTAAAGCTATTCTAGGTTGCATCAACAGAAGTATAGTGTCCAGATCAAGGGAAGTAATAGTACCACTCTATTCTGCCTTAGTCAGACCACACCTGGAATACTGTGTCCAATTCTGGGTGCCACAATTTAAGAAGGATGTTGACAAGCTGGAATGTGTGCAGAGGAGGACAAGAAAGATGATCAAGGGTCTGGAAACAAAGCCTTACAAGGAGCGCTTGAAGGAGCCAATGATGTTTAGCCTGAAAAAAGAGGAGACTGAGAGGAGAGATAATAGCCATCTTCAAATATCTAAAGGGCTATCACATGGAATATGGAGCAGGTTTGTTTTCTCCTGCTCTGGGGGGTAGGACTTGAACAATGGCTTCAAGTTACAAGAAAGGAGATTCCGACTAAATATCAGGAAAAACTTTCTGACATTAAGAGCTGTTCAACAGTGGAACAGTCTCCCACGGGAGGTGGTGGACTCTCCTTCCTTGGAGGTTTTTAAGCAGAGGTTGGATGGCCCTCTGTCATGGATGCTTTAGCTGAGATTCCTGCATTGCAGGGGGTTGGACTAGATGACCCTTGGGTCCCTTCCAGCTCTATGATTCTACAATTATTATTAATTTCATTTCTATACCACTTTATATTTTAAAGAAAAAAATCTCAAAGCCGTTTACATCACATTAAAACATCAAATAAAGCAATCCAGATTTAAAACACAATAAAGCTTCGCGTGGCATGAACTATGGAATGTAAATCTGAAATTTACGGCCTGAACGGCATTGAAGGAGAATATATGGAAAATGATATATAGGTGGCATCTTACGCCGGTAAAACTGGCAAAGATGTACAAAATGAAAAACAAGAAATGTTGGAAATGTGGCAGAGAGAGACCACATGTGGTGGACCTATGGTAAAGTGAAGTGAAGGGCTTCTGGGAATTAATTTATAATGAACTTAAAAACTTTTTAAGTACACTTTACCAAAAACCCTGAAGCCTTTCTATTGGGACTGACAGGGAAGGAAATTAAAAAGAAAGATAAAAATCTTTTTCTGTATGCCACGACGGCAGCAAGAACTATGCTGGCGCAGAATTGGAAAACAGATTTAATACCTACTACATGGAATGGCAGGTTAAAACGATGAATTATGCAGAACTGGCCAGATTATCAGTAAAAATACAAGACCAGGATGAACAGAAGTTTTATGAAAGTTGGAGTAAATATTTGGTGTATATAAGAGACAATTGTAAAACCTTAAAGACACTGGCAGGTTAGATTAACTCTAACAGCATAGGGTAAAGCAGATAAACAAACAGAATACACGATGTAAGAAAATATATGATACTTACCAAAGGGGTGAAGGGAAGTATGAAGCTTGGCAGAATCAAAGATATATGTGGGATTTATTTGTATAATGAATGTATGTTTAATGAAAATCAATAAAAATTTATAGGTTAAAAAAATAAATAGAACACAATCAAGCTTCAAGGGAAGTATTTCAGATCCTTCTGTAAGTGACATTTTGCTTTCCCCTTATTTATTTGCCTACTAAATTTATATAGCTGTTCCATAGCAGAAGTACTCTAGGAAGCCAGGGTGGTGTAGTGGTTAAGAGTGTTGGACTATGACCTGGAAGGCCAGGATTCAAATTCCCACTCAGTCATGAAGCTCGCTGGGTGACCTTGGGCCAGTCACAGTCTCTGAACCTACCTCACAGGGTCTTTGTAGGGATTAACTGAGGAGGGAGGTGAACCATGTACTCCTTGGAGGAAAAGGTGGGATATAAATGCAATAAATAAGCTCTTCTCCTTACCTGCTGAAGAAAGCTGGAGGGGCCAGCCAGATGGAGATGTCATTCGCCAAGCTGGCATCCAGAGATCTCCATGTGGTCACAATTGGACCTGTGCAAAATGCGCCTGGCTGATTTCTAACACTGTCTTATGGTTGCAAAGAGACTTACACCACAAGGCTGGAAGAATAAACACCAATCATCTCAGTGCTCTGAAAATTTCACCACCTTTTCTACATTTGAGTGTACAGTTCATAATCATCAATCTCATTTTGATACATATTTGGGCATATAGGTTGCCTACATTAACTTATGAGTCTAAGTCAAGATGGATGGAGTATTTTAACTATTAATGTCAGCAAATTGAGTTGCTTCTTTTTTTATACTGTATCTGCAAATGAAAAAAGAAAAACCTAGATGCAAGCCCTAAACCTTACTGAATTTTTCTATCAACTGCTTAGATGATAGCTACTTGTTTCTAGATGCCTGGACTTTTTTCAAAGTTGCTCCACAACCCAGGCTGTTCCCACAAATGCCCCCTATCTGGAGTATGAATGGGCAAGGAGCTTAATGTACAGAAAAGGGTAAGTAAAATGATCTCAAGTTTAAGGGAGAGGAGAGACAACTAAATTTGAAGACATGGACAAGTATAGGCTCCTGCTCTCCATAGTTCTAGTCTGGGAGACACATGCACCTACCTTCTGTCAACAGGTGAAGATTTTGTGTGTGTGTGTGAGAGAGAGAGAGAGATGCCTTTCCAGGGTACTGACTGAATTCAACCACCCTAGCGGAGACAAAGGACTGCCATCACATTGTACTAACCCAAGGGGAAGGGCCACAGCTCAGCGGGGGGAAATCAGTTTTACATGCCAAAGGTCCCAGCTTCGATCCCTAGCATCTCCAGGTAGGGTTGGGAATGCCCCCTGTCTGAAACACCGGAGGGCTACTGTTAGTCAGGGCAAACAATATTAAGCTAGAAGGACCACTGGTACGTCACAGTAAAAGCAGCTTTCAGTGTTCCTATGTACCAATGGATCACTTTCTCCACAATGAGAACACAATGTTGGGAACCTCTCTTGAAGTGCAATCCTATATCCATCTACTCGGAAATAAGTCCCATTTTCATTAGGTCCACTCTCAGGCAAGTGGCTTGGAATGAAACATACATGGCCAGTCTGCTTTGAATTTATCTCTTTCTGGGATAAAAGTCTAGGCAATGAGAATCAATCCCATGCCACTGTAAAACATGGAAACAAGCCTTCATGACTAACTGCCCTCTCCCTTGGTAAGATGGCAAGGTCAGAAATAGAACCCAGTGTCATCAGAAATTCTTAGAGAGGTCACTGTATTTTCACTCCTACAGATTTTGCTCAGTTCCCTCCCCTGAAGAGCTCACAGTTTCTATCTTTAGATGCTTACATGGCCCCAATACATCTGTATCCTAGTACATAGTCTTAAACGTATCCGTCCCCAGAAATATCCTGCCCAGGCAAGGAATCACTATGGATGGAAGCCTAGGGTTTTCCAGGGCTAGCAGCCCAGATTCTGACATGCAACACAAACTCGGGCACATTTATTCAACATATCCCAATGAACTCAATTGTACTTATTCTCTAATAAGTGTGTCTAGAATTATACCCTGAAGCACTGTTGCCTTTAAGAGAATTTACTTCCAAGGAGGTACTTTTGGGTTCACAGCAGGAGTGGTCTTCCCCAAGGAGTATGCATCAAAGCCAGGTAACAAATTAGACCTTCTACGTACAAAAGTTGAGCAACTGAACAGGTTTCCCTTTTCACAGAGAAAATAAACACTTTATTTAAAATATACCACAACTGTTCCTGCCAAAAAGTAATGTTGCTGCATAATCCACCCACTGCAGCAAATGTTGCTTACTTGGACTACCTAGGACTGGTGAATGGCTGCTATCTATCTTTAAAGGAAACTGACAGAGGGCATCTTGTCTCCATTCAGCAACTACCACTCTTGAAACACCCATTATTCTGCCCCCAACACCCTCTGAAGAAAGTATCAGGAGGCACGTCACACTCAGGTCAAAACATGAAAGGTCATTTATTTACAAGGGAATAAAATGTTAGAATATTTTCCAATATTGTTGTTGTTGTTATTAATTTAATTTATATGCCGCCCTATACCCAGAGGTCTGATGTCAACATTAATCAACAGTCCACAAATACTGACTACTTTGCACATCTTCAGTGTGCCAAACGAATGCCTTCACTGACCTTGGTTTTAAGACATAAGGCTACCACAGCCCCACTGAACCACAATATTACTTATCTGGAGCACCAGAGGGGTCACTGATATTGGTGCATCAGAATACTTCGTTTAGTAATGTTTTCTTTTGAAATGTTTGAGATTCTTTTTGTTTTTTTGTTAAGTTTGCTGCATTAACTGTGAGATCTGTAGCAAACCTCCTTCGTAATATTTTATTTTGAAATCTTTAAGACAATATTTTAGTTTCCTGTAAATTACTGTATGTTCCTTTAAATGTATACTTTATATTTGCCTTTCTTTAGTAATGCTTTATTTTGATTGTTTTATTTAATGTTTAGGTTGTAAACTGCTTTGGATTCCCCCACCTTAAAAATATAAAGTGGTATAGAAATGAAATGAATAATAATAGGCCTCACCCTTCTGCCTCCTTGAGAGCTCTACCTTCCAGTCCCTCTCTGAACAAAAGCAGTGGCAACCAAAGAGAGAGAGAAACCAGGGGAGTGATGAGGGAGGCAAGCAAGCTTGAAGGCTCAAACATGGAGTGTGGAGACTAGAGTAGCCTAGCTTCCTCCAGAAAGTCATTCTAACCTCTGTACGTCAAGGTCAAGTCTCCAAGCTCATACATGGAGCTTCAGCTTTCTAGTTTTGTAGTAGGGTGCAAGGAAGCGATCTCTGTGGCATGGAATTTGCAAGGTGGCATTCACTGGCTCCATTTGAGTTCAAGGACCTGTGGCAAAGGATCAACTGAGAGTCAGGTTTCTACAATGAGCTCAAATTTGCAAAGGCTGCTGGGCATTCTTAGCAGTTATCTTAGTTTGAGTTGGATTTGCTGGAACCGCAGTTTAGTAACTTGGCATGGTCTTTACTACGGTAGGATATACAAAAGTTGATGACAGAAAAGTAGTCAGGAGAAAGAGAGGAAGAGCAAGCAAAGAGGGATGCCCAGTCCACCTTTGAAATATGTCCACCTGCTGACAGCCCCTGACCACATATCTGATAGAATGAGGCCCTCAGCACTAACAACAACAGGTCCCCTCTGTTGCTGCGGATCAAAAGTCTCTCTTCCTTAAAGAACGAAGATGGTCCTTGGAGTGACTTCACAAGAACAAGAAAATTAAGAAGATGCTGAATAAGTTGTAGCAGAAAAGACATGTTGTAGAACATCACACCCTAACCACAGGGGCCACTACTTAAACTTGCAAAGCAAAATAAATAAATAAAGGGGCACATCATGCATACTTAACTGGGAGAACCTACTGCATGAGAGTACTCAACAGCTTGGCAAGACCAAGTAAAGGACTATCTGTTATTCCCTCGAAGGAGTGATAGTGATATGAATCCATTTCCAGATATCATCACAAACACACACCAGGAACTTTTCTTGCATTTCTCAAGCCCTCTGTGTAAAACTGTTACTGAAGCTGGGAAGGATTTTTGTTGGGGGAGGGGGTAGATTTTAAGAAGATAAACAGTCTTGAAAAAGTGTTTTGCCACATTTTTGTTGCTGTTTTATTTCAGGAAGATATGGGCTGCGAGTTAAAGCTGCTGGCTACCCTGAATGTTCCTCAGAGAGAAAGATAATGCAGAAAGATATGGGCTGCAAGTTAATGAAAGGATCCCCTCCCCCCGGAATCCCCTGAATGTTCCTCAAGTCACCCCAGGGTGCCATAGAACAAACGAAAACCAATGCTTTAACTCATTTACAGGTAGACTTGTTTCCAAAAGCTGCTCAGACTTGTATTTTGGCAAAATCACAGTGGGAGGAGTTCCAGAATTGAGAGGCTGTCACTGAGAACATCTCCCTGTCCTTGCTTATTGAACCCAACACACAGCTGGTATCATTAGCATTCTCCGTATTTCTCAGAACTTTACAACATCATGCTGCTACCAAATCTCCTGACATTAGCAGCAGATGAAAATGCTTTTTACACCTCCGCTGCTGGATATTTAGGAGCCACAGGCAAGCAAGAGATAAGGTGATCCAGCCTACAAATATGCAAAAAGCAGAGCCTCTGTAAAACTACCAAATCTACCAGTGTGAGAATCTCAGAGCATGGCTGCGATAAAGGAATATGCCTCAGCTCTTGCAACTGCCATGGCCACAGCTTGATCTGCTCCACTTGACCGAGAAATGAAGATCTGAAGCGCCACACTGAAGGAGGGCACAAGAGTCTCTGCTAAGATTCTCTCGACAGCTGCGTTCTCTGAACACAAGGCGGGAGCGAAGAGGGAGACCAACCGGAGAAAATAGTTTCCGACGGCATACACCACTGTCCATCATTCTCTGCTTCAACACAGACTCCAAATACTCTCTTAACCCCATTCATTGTTCGGATTCGGACCTGTTGCACAGGTGGAGCAGGAAATATAACCTCCAGTATCTGCTACATCCGGGACAACGAAGTCTTCCCCTACGCTAACCGTGGAAGGGGCTTTAAACGAAACAAACAAGGAACAGCTAAAGCAGCAGCACCTCCAGCCGCCTTTGCCACCCCCAAAATCGCCCGAACCCCGAAACTACAACTCGCAATGCCGAAAGCGGAAAGACAAATGGGGGGATTCCAATCCCAGCCCCACTTTGGACGAGATCGCGCTTACCTTGGGGGGAGAAGGGGGAGAGAGGAGGGGAACCTGTGCCCCCCTCCCCTCGCTGCCGTGTCCGGGCGGTGCTGCTGCGGTCGCCGCCTGCCTTCCTCCTCCTCCTCCTCCTCGGGGCGGGGAGGGAGCCCAAGGACCCGCTGTGCTCCCCGCTTCCTCTGACGTGAGAGACGGAGCGGAGGTAGAGGAGGCAAAGGGAAAGCGGAGGGGGGAGGAGAGAGGCAGCGGGAGGAGGCTCTGCGGAGCAACAAGTGCAGGGGAGGGAGAGACCGCGGGGGGGGGGCTGGGGCTCCAGGTGGGATGAAGCTGGAGGGAGGCGCTGAGGGCCGGAGGGAAGAGGGAAGTGGCCTCAGCCGCCCCGGCGGGCCCGTCCAAAGCTTGGCCCAGAGGCGGGGGTCAAGGCCCGGCAGGCCCAGCGAGCGAGCAAGGCGGGCGGGGGCGGGGGGGGGGGGGCTGGCGCGGCTGCGGCTGTGGTGGTACCTGGCCGAGGGGGCTCGTGAGGACAGGTAAGGCCGCCGCCGGTGAGGAGAGGGGAGAAAAGAGGGGCAAAAGAAGAAGAGGGAGGGAGGGAGGGGGGAACAACAGCACCTTTCTCCAAAAACAATATTTAAAAGAGGAGGAAGAGGAGGAAGGGGGGAGGAAGAAAGGGGGGGAGGAAAAAAAAAGAAACAGAAAAGGGGAAAAGAAGCGCCGGCCCCTCCCCCTGGCCGCGCGCGCGCGCGCGTGTGTATGTGCATGTGCGTGCGCCCGCCGCTTGCGTCACTCGCCCCAGTGCGTGAGGCCGTAACCCTGCGCGCGTCACGACGCCGACGCCGCTGCTCCCGACGCGCCTAGGTCACGGTTGCCTTGGCAACTGCGACGCGCCCGCCCTCGCGCGAGACCCTCGGCTGCTCGGCTCGCCCGGGAGCGGGAGGGGAGCGAGGAGCTGCCGAGTCCCCCGCGGGGCTGCAGGAACAGCGGCCCGGAAAAGTGGCCGGTGCGGGGGCTGTCGATGTGGGAGGGAGCAGCCAGACCCAACAGATTAGCGTGAGAAAGCGTGAAGTCCGCAGAGCTGTATCGCTGACAGGCAGGTAGAGAGGGCTCTGCGTGGCGTCATTTTCCTTCCTCCCCTGGAGAGCAAGGAGGGTATAGTACTAACTACAGTATAGTGCCGTTGGCTAGTTATTACTTTTTGCAGATGTTAATATCTATTAATTTTATGTACAGATTTTGAGAAAATCTACCCTGTATTGTTTTTTACTACAGTGGTACCTCAGGTTACATACGCTTCAGGTTACAGACTCCGCTAACCCAGAAATAGTACCTCGGGTTAAGAACTTTGCTTCAGGATGAGAACAGAAATCATGCTCTGGCAGTGCGGCGGCAGCAGGAGGCCCCATTAGCTAAAGTGGTGCTTCAGGTGAAGAACAGTTTCAGGTTAAGAACAGATCTCCAGAACGAATTAAGTACTTAACCCAAGGTACCACTGTAATGCCATTGTTCTGTCCCGCAGAGCAAGAGGAGGGCTCCCAGGGTTTGGAATACTCAGGTTCCCAAAGAAAACTATCCACACTACCAGGTTGAACAGGGTGTAGTAGTTTATTTAAAGCAAAAGCAAACTCACAACAAAAGGTCTGAAGGCTTCCTCCTTGCCCCTGCTTCCAGCACATTGTGGGACAGACCACAGCAAGGAAATGGCTTGTCTGCAACCAGGCGCTGGAGCAAATGCTTTTTATACAGTAGAGCAGCCCACAGGTAGCCATGATCTCCACCACACCCAAGGTTCCCCACAGGCGGCTGATATTGCTCCAGTTAGGCCTGAAACATAGTATCACACACCCATGGATGGTGGTAACTGCCTTCCTTGAGCAGGTCAATTAGCCTGCTTCCCAAGTGTGTTGCACGAAAGCTTAGTGCTACAGCTGCCACTAGTTGTGAGGTTATCTTGAGTATTTAGCTAGTGCTAGCAAAGCTCCTGGAACAACTCACCTATGGTTCAACACAGCCATTGCTGTGAACCAATGCATGTTTATGAAGTAAGTAAACCTTGTTTTCAACTTACTTAACAAGTTGTTACCTGATTCCTTCTTAATGGGGGTGAGAAGGAGGAAGCCAGCTTACTTCATAACTGGACTTGCTCAAAACAAGGTTTTACATCCTTCTTCCTATGCTTTTAATTCTGCTGCCCTTTAGGCTGGCAAATCCTCTGCATGATTACTTGGGAGAAAGTCCTCATTACGGTACACACAGAGAGAGAATATCCCATTAGTTGGATAGATATACATAAGGCGCTTTTCGTTTCAAGGTGAACAGGTGTGCAGAATGGTGGAAATGTGGTTGGAGTTACACTAGGTCATTCCCCACCCCGCCTGCATATTTAGGGTTTTCAACACAAGGCCTCTTCAAAATATCTTTATTTATGTTGAAATAATTTGTTTCAGAATATGCCCAAATGCCTCACCTTCTGCTGTAGATGTTACCACACCAGAGAATTATTTATGGCAGAAGCTTTTATGGACAAGAGTCTGCTTTGTCAGATGCATGAAGTGTTATCCGAAGTTGCCTGAGTGAGGTAAAAGGAAAAGCAGAAAGTTCTGCAAAAGTCTAAACTTATGCAAAGGTGTAACAGCAGCCACTAACAATGTAGCATTGCATCCTGGCATTGGTAAGCTAAGTAATGCATGTAGTGGAATTGTAAAAATAGACAAACACCCATTTTCTCAATTCAAGCCACAAGTGATAGAAGAGAGATTATAGTTAAAGTGGCCCAAGTGCTGTCAGCCAGCCATTATCAATAGTGAGTGCTGGAAGGGAAAGGGAACGATGGGGTTGAGGTGGGAGAAGGGACTTGGACGGGCACTCCCAATGGTTAAGAGATGAGTCTACATGGAATCTACACCAAGCCAGGGTTCCTTTGTCAAGGGTGTCACCCAGGCAATTCACAAAGTCCCTGAAACTAGCTCCACCCATCTATTGGTCACACTGCAGCATGCGCAAGGAAGATTGGGCTTTTAGGTATTAGACCACATTTATTTAGACATGTGCTTCCTGCTGGGCACATGTAACATATCCATCAAAATGCTTCAAAGCAGGTTGATCTTCCAAGCTTCAAGCATAAAAAAGTGTGCCAAACAGTGCCATAGTCCAAAACATGGCACGTCACCAGTACACAAGTTTTGACCTTCAATACACTGCCAATATCAACACATTGCACACCTTTCATTGCTAATGCTAATTTGTATTGCATTATTTCACACTTTCCAAACACCAAAGAGTAGGACGTTCCAGGTCATTTTGCATTATCATTCTCCCTGGGAGGGCAAAGACTAACATCATTTTTGAAATATCAGTTTGTTTACAAATACACAAATCAAGCTGCAGCAAACTCATTGGCCACATTTGAGTTACCCTTAGCCTGCAGGCAGACCTTTCTCTGACTTCCATGTGAGTCACAGGCCCCCTCCCCATTGCTCAGCTGATCGGTGGTGGAAACAGCTGAACAACATACTGATAGGCAAGCCCTCAACAGTTTCCAGCAGAAATCAGCTCTGCAATGAAGGGAGGTGCGTGATAGGATTGTTGTTTCATAGGCAGTGGTTGGTGCTAAAGCAGCATCAAATCCCAAAGAGAGTCAGCCCTGAAGCACCAAGCTCCAAAAATATAGCGTTTATTTCTCTCTCTGTGTGTGTGGCCAAATTTAAAATGGCTCTATTTCTATATGTGTATATATAGCCCTTCCATAGCTCGAGCCCAAACTTTTCTAAAACCACCAAACAGTATGAAAACCCCCACACCAAACTCATTCAAAGGACAAATTACACAGTAGTTAAGTCAATGGAATGAAAACTACTCAGAGCAATAATGCAGTTATATCCATCCAAGACTGAAAAAAATGCCTGGGCAAAAAGAACCTGGTGGCACTGAACTATGTCTAAGGATGAGGCCAATCCAAGTTCCCTAAGAATGGAGCTCAAAATAGCAGGTGCCACCACTGAGCAGATGCTGCTGCACACGCCTTGAGATTCTGCTTGTGAAGGATAGGAGCATTTAGGGGCATGGTGAGGTACATATGGGAGAAAGCACTCCCTCCTGTCTTTTGGCCCATATCTCACACTCAGGGTGAGCAAAGCAAGTTCACAGCCTCCACCTTGCCTGTGTGTGACCTGACCAAAGGACCAAGATGATATTTATTATTAGTGGCCCAGCCATACCAAAAGTAAAAGGAGGCATTGAACAATAAGAAAGCATCACTCATATTAATCATTTTTAAAAGGATTGGTCTTTCTCCCACCCCACCCCAAATAGGGTCCTAACAAAAGGGCACCCCAAAAGGGCAAACATAAGACTTGCTAAGTGTGGGTACCTTATGATGAGAAGAGTCCTGGACTTTCTTCTGGAGCAATAACGGACTTGCAAAAAACCCCTCAGTGAATGCTATATGGTTTGGCAGGTTCTGAGTGTATGTTGAACCGAAAAGTCCTATGGAAATGCAGTGAGTCATCTCACACTGGGTTCCTAGTTAACCAGACTCTGTCCAAAGTATTCTTGTCAGCACCCTCAGAAACAAGAATGCCTACATCACTGAGGGCTCTACAAAAATCGTGTGCCCCCCCCCCCCACCTCTGGTATCTTCAATAATAAAATGTCATCTGTACTGTTATATTTATTCAGAAGAACACATAACAAATATAAACAAACAAGGGTTGTTGGCTACAAGATACAAAACTGAGCTTAGTTAGAACACACAAAAGGATCATGCAGGAAAACACAAATATCTAATTTAGTCTGATAAAAGCCCAGTGTGTATATCCCTTCAGATCTGCAAGGAGAATTGTGAGCCACAGGAAATCCAAGTTCTTCCAGATGAGAATGAATAATGCCTCTTGTGGTTTCATCTTGAGCCACCCTACAGTGCTGTGTAAGTTTGTCAGAGCCAGATACCCCATATTGTCATACCATCTACCAAGAGCGCAGTCTTCTGTTCTTTCCCAGTTAAGTGCTACTTCCATACACATGGCCACATGTTAGGAGATCATATGGGATATCATTATTGCACCTGCTAAAGAGGGAAAACGGGACTAGCCCTGACTCCACAGTGCAACACTTCAGAGATAATTTTAAAGACAGCTTACCCTAACCTTGGACACTCCCACCAGAGGTTCTCGTGGCTTGACGCCCCCTCCAGCATAGAGATGACACAGAATGATGAATATAACTACCTGTAAGTCTCACTAGGCTCCAGTGCTACATGTGAATAATGTTCAACATTGACTCTTTGATCCTAGCAGAGATAGTTCTGGAAGGAGGTGCATACCACATTGTCATCCATTCCCCTTCAGTGACAGCCTCACTTCCCAGAATTGCTTATGCCCACCTCCATCTCTAAATTAATAGTCCAGAATTATGTTGTATATATGTGCTGCTAGGCCCTTCACTCATCTGGTACTGAACAGAGTAAGAGATCATGCTGCTCCCTGAGTGCAACCTCACAGTAATGCATATGATGACACCTGCAACTTTGAAGCCAATTGAGGGCTTATCCACATTTCCTCTTGTCCCGCTGCTTTCCCTTAGGGGAAACTGCTCTTTAACACTCAGTCAGAGCAAACAGCCATCTGGGTTTTCCTTGGACCGCCATTTGTTCAAGTGTGGGTTTTACCTGGAAAAGGAGCAGGTCAAGGGGAAAACCGCTCAGCCCCATGCTTTCTAAGCACAACACAAGCAGAAGTGTGGATAAGTCTTAAGCCCCAGCTCCTCCAGCTAAGCTTCCATTTTGTTGCATTGCCAGCAGTTTACACCTCCTGTACAAGTCTTGAATTCCGTGGAATCCCTTCCTTTCTCTCTCACACCCCGCCCCCCGCACTGTTGCTTGTATTGAAATGGTTCTGGAAATAATGGGTGGCCCACAAAGAGAGTCAAATTGGGCAGTGCAGGAGCCTAACACTGCACACATTTTGCCCACACTTTAAAAGCGGCCTGCAAAACCATGTTCTTTATATATATTTATTTACATAGTTCTTTTTGTCTGTATAATTCGAAGCACCATATCATGGGTTCCCTGGTGGTCTCTCATCTGGGCGTCTCAGCTGACCCTCAAAGTGTCCCTATTTCCAAGGGACAGTCCCAGATTTACAGAAGCCATCCCAGTTTCTGATTTGACCCCGGAATAACCCATTTTTCCTTAGGATATTCCTATTTTCATTGGAGAAATGTTGGAGCATATGGAGTTATGTGATTCCCAAGCCAAGGAAATAAGTAACTATACAACCTTTATAAGGCATCTGAAGGGAAGGGGTTTTTTTGGTAATGTTTAATGATGTTTTTGTATAAGTTGGAAACTGCCCAGAATGGCTGGGACAGCCCAGTCAGAATCATCATCATAATAATGGAATAGGACATTCCTATTTTCATGGGAGAAATGTTGGAGGGCATGAGACAGATATAGGAGATAGCTAGTGCTCAGTAGATGCAGGAACAACTGCAGCTGGAATCCAAAGGAATAGGCACATTTCGCATATTATAAAAAGTGGAACATGGAGAAAACTTAGCAGCTTCACTTAAGAGGAGCAGTGCTTGTGGCTGCTGGTTTTCTCAGGGCCCAGGGTTGTTGGGTCATGAGGTTCATTGTGACACCTCCCCTCTGCTGGCTCATTGGTCACCAGAGTGCTAAAAGGCCTAAAGGTAAAGGACCCCTGACAGTCAAGTCCAGTCGTGGACGACTCTGGGGTTGTGGCGCTCATCTTGATTTACTGGCCAAGGGAGCTGACGTTTCTAACTGTGGGCCCCATTTCTCACATTTTTCTCTTTCTTTCTTAGGCTTTCGAGGTTGAGAAAAGTTTTCTCCCACTTGGGGAGAAGGAATAAGGTCTCACCTCTCCTGGAGAACATGGGGAAAAAGACATGAGAAAACTTAGTCATGTCACTTAAGAGGAGCAGGGTTTATGGTTGCTAGTTTTCTCAGGGCCCAGGGTTGCTGGGTCGCGAGGTTCATTGTGACATCTCCCTCTGCTGGCTCATTGGTCACCAGAGCTCTAGAAGGCCTGGGGATCTCCTATGCTTGGATAATTCTGTGAGAGAGAGAAAGGAGAAGACATGTAAGTAAGATTTCTCTCAGTATCTGAATTCTGTGATGATAGAGAATTCATCTTGAGCATCGAGGTATTAGAGATTGCTGTGAGCCCCGTTTTTCTTTTCTAGGCTTTCCAGACTGAGAAGTCCTTTCCCACTTGGGAAAAAAGAATAAAAAATTTTCCTTTCCCAGAGACCTCCCCCTCGCCCACCGCCTCCCCCTCCCCCACTGGACCCCTCTTTGAGAGGACACAGAAGGTAAGACCCTTCAGCATATAGATATTGCTTCCAGAGTAATGTTAGTCCCTAAAGTTTTTTAGGAAAGGTCTCTCTGTAACTGTCTGAGGCCTATTTTGAGGTTCAGAAAAATAAAAATATCCCATGTGGCTCTTTGTTTCCCTGTAGGCTCTGCAGACCTCCTGCCATCCTGGTCTGGAAGAAGATGGCAGGAGGAAGAAATGCCAAGGAAAACATGAAGGTAATGTCTGTTTCCAAGGATATGTTCAGAGTAAATAGGAAACTCCCTAGAAATCAGTTATACTTGCTTGCCTTCTCTTCTTTGCCATTCAGATGATATAATAGTTGAAGACCTGGAGGGAGAGCAGGGGCTTTGAAGTTCTCATCATCTGTGCAGCAGACCGAGAAGACAAACAGGTCACCTAGTCACAGTCATCCCTGCTATGGGCACAGGACTTTGGTTATAACATCAGTATGGAACAGTGGGAAAGGTTATGGCAGCAAGATATCAAATTTACATCATGTTATAATTTGAGGGAAAATACCATGAAGATGCTCTACCGATGGCATCATACCCCAGCTAAACTCACCAATATGTATAAAGGAAGCTCACCAATATGTTGGCGTTGCAAAAAGGAGATAGGATCATATTACCATATGTGGTGGACTTGTATGGTGATAAGCGAGTTTTGGAATAACATATATGATGAATTAAAAAAACTATTTAAACTTAAAGAAAAGACCGGAGATTTTCCTTCTAGGAATATTACCAACAGAAATAAAGCAAAACACAAGACCACTGTTTATGTACTCAATTACAGCTGCAAGAATACTCGTAGCCAGAAGTTGGAAATGTGAAACAATACCAACAATAATAGACTGGCAAACACTCATGGTAGAGTATTTTCACTTAGCAAAGCTGACTGGAAAAGTTAGGGGAGCCCTAAATCAAAAAATATAGAGAGAATGGATATTATTCAAGGAGTATATAAGATCACACTGTAAAAATGAAATTATCCTGGCAGAATTGAATGATACTTGTGTATAATAAATAATTGGAAATATATATTAGAAAAATATGCAGAAAAAGCTATAAAATAAACTGTGTGATAAAATGAAGATACTAGAAAAAGTACAACGAGAATGACTGGAAGTTTTTGTTCTAGAAGAACAAAACTTTATTGGTCAAGATATGATAATACAACCGATATTCTTTTATTTTAATGTTAATTCTTCTTTGTTCTTTGTTTTTATTCTTGTTATTCCTTTTTCATTTTTGTGTGAAATTCTGTTGTAATTTTTTGTAATGTATTTGTATTATAGTATTTTAAATCAATAAAATAAAAACAAACAAAAACAAAGTCATCCCTGTTAGGATGAGAGACATCCCTGCTATCTCTTCCAACAGAAGCAATTAGCCAGAGCCAAAAAATGGCAGTAGGGATGATAATTTAGGTAAACCAATTTCCTCTCATGTTCTCCTTCATAATAAAGTTTTGGGGTGAGGAGCCATGGAACTCCTTGGAACTTGCGGAAGGGCTGTACCTTGGTGGTAGGCAGTCTGATTGACATACAGAAAGCAGACTGATGGAAAGGGATGGAGCACCTGCCCCTTCTCAAGTGGGCTGCAAGAGGAAGGATGCTCCTCCTTTCCAACCAGCATAGAAACACTGCTCTCCACCTTTCCACTGCCAGCCCCTGACAGGCTAGTAAGACTTTTTGCAGGCTTGTAACTTTTGTGGGTTATTCACAGTGCTGTGTTCATATTTGGTTCAATTGTCATTTGTGTTGGTGACTAACTTTCCCCATTGCTGGATGCTATGCAGGCTTGAGGCCATCTTTTGGCAGATCTGCCCTCATGCTGCCGTTTTCCAGCACTACAATAATAATAATAATAATAATAATAATAATAATAATAATAATTTATTATTTATACCCGGTGCACACACCCCCCGGCTGGCAGTGCGCGGCTTTGCTGCCACCCCCCACTATCCGTGGTAATTTGGGGGCACTGAGTGGATATTTGCACCCTGGCGCCGCATCTGCTAAAGACGACCCTGGAACCAATCTCACCATTTCCCAGTGAGCGTGTCTCTTTCTTTGGGGCTTCTGCATTTTGGGGCTGAAGGAGCACATTGGCCCAACTGCAACATGCTCTTAGAAACAGCTTTTCGGTGAACATGGCATGCTGTCGTGAATGTCACCTTGCAGCTTGATCTGCCCTTCCTCCAAGACAGCCGCCCTCCTGGGGCACCAGGGCCACCCGGGTCACGGTGGGCTCTGGAGAGGAGTGGGGACGAGGGAAGAAGCGCCGGTGCCGCTATGGGGGACCAGGGGGCGGGGAGAGCCAAGCCCAAGTCCCCCCGGAGCCGGCCCTGCCCCCCTACAAAATGTTGAGAATGGTATTTGTAGTTAGCTGTAAGGAAGGGAAGAAACTACTGTTCCCATTATCCCTAACCATTCTAGTTGGGGTTGATGGGAATTAGAATTCAAGAATATCTGGTGAACCATATATTCCCAACCCCACTGTTAATCCTGGAATAAGTCCCACTGAATGCAGTTGCGCTTACAACTGCATGGATAGGATTGCACTGCCTATTTCGCAAATAAAACTAGCCAGATAAACAAACATGCTGGGGGTAGCATTGTATTCTCCTCTGTTTATTGGGCAAGTTTGTACATCAGTTACTGTACTATATAAAATAATTGCTTCTGCAAGATGATACTGTGACTTTTAACTTTTCCTGTTTTGGTTGCTTGTGTTTTATAATTCTTTATAATTCTTTATTTTATTTTTCTTGTACTCTTCATATAATTGAAAATCAAATAAATTTGGGTGGGGGTGGCATCTAGCATGGGGAGCGCAAGGCCCTCTTAGTGTTATCAGACTCCCATCAGCCTCAGCTGACATGGCCAATGGTCAGGGAGGATGGGAGTTGTAGTCAAGCAGCATCTCAAAGACCATAAGTTCCCTGTCCATAACTGAAGTGAACATAACATCCAGACTGCTAATATAACATCAGATATATATCACCAATACCTCTCCTACAAATGAAAAACAAAACAAAATAAATCTCCTGGATTTCCATGAGTTATAATTTTCATACATGTATTATTAATTATTAACAAAATACACATCAGTAGTCAATTAATCTATATATCACTGGACCATCATGAAGTCTCTCTAGGATCATGAGGACCCTGTGGCCCTCCTTTTGTTGCCAGACTACAATTCCCCCCATCCCTGAACACTGGCCATGCATGCTGGCTTGGGCTGCTGGGAGTTGGAGCTGGAAGTTGGATTGTTCCAAAGTTTCAGGCAGAGATAAGTCTTCGCCAATCCTGTTTCTTGAAGTCCTTTTAACTGGAGATGTCAGACTGAGACTGCAATTCCAAGCATGTTTACTGGAAAGACCCAATCCATTCAGTGTGACTTACTTGCAGATAAACATGTATACAAGTTGCAACCTGAATTTAGGGTCTTCTGCTCCCAGAGCAATCAATATGTGCTCCGCCTTTGTGCTGCTGCCCCTCCCTGACATCACACAAGAGTCCTGGTGGGCAGTCAGTAGGTATTGGCTCCAGTGACAAATCAAGAGCAAGGCTTCCCAGGAGGGATCAGATCCAGCAATAGTCCCCATGCCTTGTGTTGCTGGCGAAAGTACATATCCAGCATGACTGATTAGGCAATTCCTGCATCAAACAGGAAGAGACTCCAAGCTCTCGTCAGCAAGGGGCCCAAGGTGATCAGCTGTGCAGCAAGGTAGATGGCAACACATCAAGGTTCAGGACACAGATTTCATTCCTTATCTTATTGGACTAGTTGCGCTGGGTGTTGCTATGGGACAAGATCCATGTTTGTGTACAGTGCAACTCTCCAGGGTCAAGTTCCAGCTTCAGTCTTGCCAGTGACGCTGGTGCACTTCACCTGTCACGTAATGCTGTGGGACCAGTTCCGTCTCATCATGAGCCTTCTGAGTTTCAGTGCCACTGCTAGTTAAATGTGCCAGCCATCTGCTCAAGAGCCCTGCAGATCACTGAAATTATGCACTCCTTACCCAAAGACCTGTAAAGGTACACTAAAGTCAAGGCAAATGAGGTTGGAGGGAATCTGAGAGGTTGACCTGCTCATGCACTTTTATGGTTCATACCAGGAGAAAGAGGGTGAACTCTTTTGAAATGGCTGTTCCTTCTTCCCCTTCTCACCTAAGCGCCTGTTTTGCTGTAGCACATTTCCTGTTCACACACAAAGAGAAGCACAGGAGGATGGCTTATGGCTGCATCCAAGGCAACCTGTTCTCCTTCCTCAGAAGTGGACAGGAGCTGGGGAGGAAAGACTTTTGTGCCTCTCAGCTCCAGGTTCTGGAGAGCCTTTGGGCAAGACACCCTCCATGGACCCTCCCTCAGGGCTCATCCACACTTCCACGTGGTCCGTGACTTCTAGGCATGGATCCAATAGGTTTTTCTTTTGTCATGCCATTTCCCCCAGGATAACCCGTGGTTTACTGCTGAATCAGACCAAACGTCAATCAGGTTTTCTGTGGATTGACACTTGTTCTGATTCAGCAATAAACAGCAGGTTTTTCCGGGCAAAGGAAAACCTATCAGGCCCATGCCTAGAAGTCACGGACTAAAAGGAACAAAATTTGAGACAAAAGGAAGTGGTGGCTGAGCCCTTAGTCTATCTCCTCATTGCAGGGGACCCTTGTTGTAGGCACCTGTGCAGAGGTGTCATTCCTCAGCAGATGCCCAATCCTTGACACTATGGCAAAAGAAGGCCAGGTTGCCTTTGATTTGATTTTCCTCCTCGAAAGATCCACCAATGAGGAAGTGGCAGGAGGAGGCTGTGTGCGCACCAAACCTTTGAAGAAGTTCTAATGCACATGGCTTCCCCTCAAAAAACCCAGGGACTGTAGCTTGCCTCTCGCAGAGCCCTTAATAAACTACAGCTTTCATTATTTTTTTGTCAGGTGGGATGTGCTTTAAACATACTTGACTCCAACTTGAATTTGAGCAAATGGCACTGTTCCTTGGGAAATTGAGCAGTCACTGCTGCAAACACAGGCTGTGTACACACTATACGTTTAAAATGTATCTGAAGAACATTCTTTCTCTCAAAGAATTCTGGGCACTGTAGTTTACCCCTCACAATTCCCAGCAACATTTAACCTATGCCCAGAATTCTTCGAGTGGGGGAATGTGCTTTGAATTTGCTTTAAAGGTTTATAGTGTATATGCAGACACACAGAAAGTAGCTACTTTCTGGAAAGAGCCATTCTCTGGTAACCATCACCACCCAATTATTATTTTCCTACTGACCCTAGGAGAACCTCACAAACACTTATTGATCAAGCTGTGCTTTTGGTTCTTAACTAGGGAGGACAGGGCTTTTGAATGTTTAGGAGTTGTGTAAAAGAGGAGAATTCACCAGAGGAAGCTTGTCATGCAAGATACACCTGGCAAACCTCCCTCTTCAGCGCAACAATTTAAAGGTTCAGGAACCCTGCCCTCTTTTTTGCATCTGGCCATCCTACTGACCTCAGGGATACCATTCCAAATTTCCGAGGAGGGGAGAGATTTCATGGAGAGGGCTAGACCCACAGCAACCATCCGGTCCAGTGTCAGTATCTGGCACCCAGAGGAAGCTGCTATGGTTTCAGTGCCACACCATTGCCCACTGGCACTGAAGCCTGGTCTTGCTCCCTGGAGGGTCTGCTGACTGTGTTATGCAAGGGGCATTGTGGGAACCTCAAAAAACAGCAGCTTGTAGCTGCTTTCTGCTGCTGCCTTCAAATAAGCTAAGGACTGGATGTAAAAAGAGTTCCACCAGATGGCACTTTGAGAGCCCCTTCAAACCTGGAGCCAACCCAGATTGCTGGTTCTACAAACTGAATTGTTTTGCTAACAGGTAAAAAATGGAACAGTGGACTTGGAGAGGTGCAATGGAGAAGGAGAACTGCCCCCCAAATAGTGCCCCCACTGATGCTTTCTGTGCTAAGGGGAAGGGTACCTGCTTTTTGCAAGGACAGTTCTCAACGCACCCGGTTGAGCACTAGAGGGTGTGTGTGTGATGTGGGAAGCTAATGTATGGACAAGCTCTCCAGCGTCTGCCTGGAAGCAAGCACTGGCACCCTTGGGCCACCTGGAACAAGAATGGAATCAATACCATCCAACACATGAAGATCAATGCTGTCTGGGAAACCAACCAGGCTATGCTTGCGCAAAGATAGAGAAAGTGTGTTGGTTTCCCCACCTGGCTCCCTGTTGCCTCTTCCTTGCCAGATTTCACAAACTTATTTGCTCAGCAAACATTTGGAGAACCCTTCAATGAGCTCCCAAATAATTATCCACTTAGTTAAAAAAACCCAAGATAATTTGTTACCATTATTGTGGTAGGATTTATAAGAATGTTGGTCAGAGGGCAGGTCTCTGTTCCATCTGGTGCTAAAGCAAGAACAGGGGATGGGGGAGCAGGTGCTGTAAGTCCCCAGGATTCTTCCACACACACACACACCCCATTTTTTCCTCTCATTGGAAGGAACTCAAAATCATGCTCTTCTAATGGTTCTGTCAGCGCAAGCATTTCAGCTTTTCAGACTGATCACCGCTCTCCTCACCCTATGCGCTATTCTGAGGGTTCTCTTGATACACACATGGGAAGGCATGGGGGGAGGATAGGAGTGAAAGCCCCACTGCGCTACCAGAAGGTCTTGCATGGGCTTCCACTAGCAGAACTCATTAGTTGAATCCCTAAGGGTCCTTTATGCACATAGGTGATGCCAATGAGATTTTCAGGAATATGCACAAGATTAATATTCAACACAGCAGCCCAAAGAGGAGGACCACTCCAAGGCCAAGAGACGTGCATAAACGTACACATGTGTGTGACAGTTAATAAAGAGTGCAAAAAGTATTGTAGTGTCTCAGAAAGTTTTGTGAGCACTTCATATACTGCACAGCTGACCCCTGACTTAGGACCACATTACAACTGAAGATCAACCTTATCAGGGCTTTTTTTTCAGTCATAACCTACTGGAACTGAGTTCTGGCACCTCTCAGGTCGGCGCCATTGCCTTTATAAGAGAATAAGGGAGGTGTTCATGGTGAGTTCTGGCACCTCTTTTTCTAGAAAAATAGCACTGAACCTTATAAAGGTCTACTCAGACTTGAGTTCCACTGTATTTACTACGCAAAAGCCTTTGACTGTGTCGACCACAGCAAACTATGGCAAGTTCTTAAAGAAATGGGAGTGCCTGATCTGTCTCTTGAGAAATCTCTATGTGGGACAAGAAGCTACACTTAGAACTGGATATGGAACAACTGATTGGTTCAAAATTGGGAAAGGAGTAAAACAAGGCTGTTGTAATTGTCTCCCTGCTTATTAAACTTATATGCAGAATTAATCATGCGAAAGGCTGGACTAGATGAATCCCAAGCCAGAATTAAGATTGCCGGAAGAAATATCAACAACCTCAGGTATGCAGATGACACAACTTTGATGGCAGAAAGTGAGGAGGAATTAAAGAACCTCTTAATGAGGATGAAAGAGAAGAGCGCAAAATATGGTCTGAAGCTCAACATCAAAAAAACGAAGATCATGGCCACTGGTCCCATCACCTCCTGGCAAATAGAAGGGGAAGAAATGGAGGCAGTGAGAGATTTTACTTCTTGGGCTCCATGATCACTGCAGTTGGTGACAGCAGTCACAAAATTAAAAGACACCTGCTTCTTGGGAGGAAAAGCGATGACAAACCTAGACAGCATCTTAAAAAGCAGAGACATCACCTTGCCAACAAAGGTCCGTATAGTAAAAGCTATGGTTTTCCCAGTAGTGATGTATGGAAGTGAGAGCTGGACCATAAAGTAGGCTGATTGCCGAAGAATTGATGCTTTTGAATTATGGTGCTGGAGGAGACTCTTGAGAGTTCCATGGACAGCAAGAAGATCAAACCTATCCATTCTTCAGGAAATCAGCCCTGAGTGCTCACTGGAAGGACAGATCCTGAAGCAGAGGCTCCAATACTTTGGCCACCTCATGAGAGAAGACTCCCTGGAAAAGACCCTGATGTTGGGAAAGATTGAGGGCACAAGGAGAAGGGGAAGACAGAGGATGAGATGGCTGGACAGCATTCTCGAAGCTACCAACATGAGTTTGACCAAACTGCGGGAGGCAGTGGAAGACAGGAGTGCCTGGCATGCTCTAGTCCATGGGGGTCACGAAGAGTCGGACGCACCTAAACGACTAAACAACAACCAACACTTTGAATTGTGCTCAGAAACGTACTGGGAGCCAATGCAGTTCTTACAGGTCTGATGTTATATGGTGTCGGTGGCTGCTTCAAATCACCAGTTTAGCTGCCACATTCTGGATTAGTAGTAGTTTTCAGGTCACCTTGGAAACGACTAAACAACAACAACTCTCAGGTACAGTGGTAACTTGGGGTGCGAATGGGATCCGTTCCGGAGCCCCGTTCGCATCCTGAACAGAAGTAAGACGTGACTGCGTGTCTGCGCATGCGCGGGTCGCATTTCGCCGCTTCCATGCATGCGCGTGAATCATTTTGACCGTCTGCGCATGCGTGAGCGGAAAAACCCCGAAGTTACGAGCTCCGTTACTCCGTTGCAGAGTGCAACCCGAAAATACTTATCCTGAAGCGTATTTATCCCAAGGTATGACTGTATATTGGTTTAGAATTGCACCCTAAATGTGAGAGAGGTTTCAGAATACGACAGGTTTAACAGTGGTTAAGAAAGTGAAATACCTGGGGATTAACATGACAGCAAAAAATGGGAATTTATTTAAAGATAATTATGAAAAATGTTGGGCTGAAGTGAAAAAAGATCTAGAAATTTGGTCAAATTTGAAGCTTTCACTGCTGGGCCGTATTGCTGCGATAAAAATGAATGTATTGCCTAGAATGTTGTTTTTATTTCAAACATTGCAAATTGTGGACAAAATGGATTGTTTCAAGAGGTGGCAGAAAGATATTTCTAGATTTGTCTGGCAGGGCAAGAAGCCTAGAATAAAATTTAAAATACTAACGGATGCAAAGGAAAGAGGTGGATTTGCCCTGCCAGACCTCAAACTTTATTATGAATCAGCAGCTTTTTGCTGGTTGAAAGAATGGCTGCTTCTTGAAAACACTGACATTTTGGACCTAGAAGGTTTTAACAATGTATTTGGATGGCATGCATATCTGTGGTACGATAAGGTCAAAGCACATAAAGCATTTAAAAACCACATTGTCAGGAAAGCGCTGTTTAATGTTTGGATAAGATATAAGGATTTATTAGAAAACAAAACTCCAAGGTGGCTGTCACCAATGGAAGCGAAAGCCTTGAAAAAGCTCAATATGGAGGTCAAATGGCCGAAATATTGGGAAATTTTGGAACAAGATGGAGATAGACTGAAATTGCAGAGCTTTGAAAAACTAAAAAACAAAGTGCGAGACTGGCTTCATTATTTTCAGATAATGGAGGCATTTAAATTGGACAAGAAAATTGGCTTCCAGGTGGAAAAATCAAAATTAGAAACTGAACTGTTAGAACCCAAAACTAAGAATTTGTCAGGAATGTATAACTTGCTGCTGAAATGGAACACTCAGGATGAAACGGTAAAATCTGCTATGATTAAATGGGCACAAGACGTTGGACATAACATTATGTTTGCTGACTGGGAACAGTTATGGACCACAGGTATGAAATTTACGGCATGTAATGCCCTGAGAGAGAATATTATGAAAATGATATACAGGTGGTACATAACCCCAGTCAAGCTTGCAAAAATCTATCATTTGCCCGATAATAAATGTTGGAAATGTAAAGAAACTGAAGGTACATTTTTTCACCTTTGGTGGACATGCCCAAAGATTAAGGCTTTCTGGGAAATGATATATAATGAATTAAAAAAGGTATTTAAATATACCTTCCTGAAGAAACCAGAGGCCTTTCTTCTGGGCATAGTCGGCCAAATGGTGTTAAAAAAGGACAGAACTTTCTTTATGTATGCTACAACAGCAGCAAGAATACTTATCGCAAAGTATTGGAAGACACAAGAGCTACCCACACTGGAGGAATGGCAGATGAAAATGATGGACTATATGGAATTGGCGGAAATGACTGGTAGAATCCGTGACCAGGGAGAAGAGTCGGTGGAGGAAGATTGGAAGAAATTCAAAGACTATCTGCAGAAACATTGCAAAATTAAAGAATGTTAGAGTGATGTTGGACTGAAAATAAGTGGCTTCTAGCTATACAGGCTTTAAAGTTATATATAGATCAAGATTAAGGATTAGGATTAAAAAAGTTAAAAGAAATGGAAATTTGGTTTTTAAGAGGTAAAAATTTAATGTTATATTATATTAGGATTAAGGATTGGGATTAAAAAAGAGGGAAAGAAACTGCTGGACAAACAAATTGAACTGGAATACAAAAGAGGGAGGTACGAGGAGGTCCAGAAAATAAGTAAATTTAAAAAATGGCGAGGAAAAGGTGGTATTGTTTTTAATGGTTTTCTTTTTTGTCTTTTGTCTTTTGTTTTTTTGTTTTTTTTTTGGATTATGTATTGTGTATTTTTGAACTGTGTGTTTTTCTTTTTTTATTTTTAATTTCTTATTGATGTGTTCTTTTTATTGGAAATCTTAATAAATATCATTTTAAAAAAAATAGAATTGCACCCTAAATGTGACCTTGCATTTGAGTCTGTTTTTGTGTGTTCCTAGAAATTGCAGGCGTGCAGGCCGTGATCCTAAATTGTGGGTGGAGGGGGGTTCAATCCTTTTCTTCTATGATGCTGTTGAAAACCAGAGGTAAACTGCTATTTCATCTGAGAAGGTATCCCTGGATTCACTTTGGGTTAGATTCAACTAAAGAGATGCACTACTGGGAGCCAGCGCAATGAGTCCCGATAGCACAATGGGGCTTTCCCCCTCCTCTTCTCCCAGCATGCAAGCATCCCCCCCCCAAAAAAAAAACTCAAGTGGTGGGGGAATCAGGAGACAACCCGCCAGAGCACTGCACTGGGGGAGGATCATTCCATCAGACAAGCAAAAATGCTGGCATTGACAGAGCCATCTCCTTAGTGCTACTTTGAATTCCACCCTTTAAATTCTGCAACCTGGGAGCAGAACTAGATGTGACACTACTCCCCCACCCCTTTGGACACCCATGGCTGCCATTGCTCGTTCTTCCATCCCCACCTCACCTAATGGCCAGTGTGGGGAGGGGTAACCTAGAGAGCACCGAACCCTGGCGTCCCATAATGTGCCCTCTTCTACTGCATGTTGCCAGGATGAGGCGAGAAAGAGACAGGGAGTGATGGCAGCTCAGCGTCTCTCATTAACATCTTGCTCCACCTGAACCCTCCTCAAAAACCCTCCCAGGTTTTTCTTTCGGCTTTCCTCCAAATCCTTTGGGAGTTTTGCCAGGGGGGGAAACTTCAATTTTGCATCAGATTTCACTTTGCAAAATAAAATGTCAGTTATTTTCGTCTTCGTTAAGGAAATGCTGAAACCTGCGCGAGGAGCAGCAAACGAGGCCTTTTTTCTCTTTGTACGGAGCAGCAACTGAGAGGAGGAAGCAGGTGCCTCGCAGGGCCACAGGCTCTGGCTGGAAAGGCATCTGGCTGAGGTATTTATAACCGCAAGGAGCCTCACATGAAAAGTGACTAAGAATCAAAGGGCTGTATTTTTAAACAAGCTTTGACGCAAGTGCGAACAAAGAGCTATAAATTAACCACCTACATCCCCCACGCTCTGTGCCTTCCCAGCCTAACAGGATGCAGGGCTGTTGAGGAACTAGGACTGCCTTGTCATCAACACCAAAATAAGACAAATTTTCGCCTACTTTTCTGGAGGCCTACTGAAGCTGGAACTCTATATTTAAATACATGTGTAAAAATTATTTATTTATTCAATTTCTGTCCCACCTTTCCCTCCCAAAGGAGCGCAGGGCTGAGTGGCAAGCACATTGTTAAAAGCAGTATCATTAAAAACCTTCTAAAAATAGTTTCTATAGCATTCTAAAAGCAGTTTTAAAAATTCTCTCAGCCAAGGATTTCAGGGTTGCCAAGAACAGTATCTCTCAGCCATCAAATACCTTTGTAAATCAGGATATATTTTTTTAAAAAAATTCCCTTCAAAGTCTCCAATAAGGGAGACAGACATATCTCACCAAAGAGGCCGTTGCACAAGCAAGGAAGGTCCCATCGCGGGTCAACAGAAACCAGACAGCCCTCAGCAGTGGCACCACAAGCAGGGCCTCTCCAGACATCCTCCTTATAGAGCAATTACCCTGATTTACCTGCATACAGCTTCTGCAGAGGTTAGGCTATATCCGTTCTTTATTGACTTTTCATTCTGATTTGCTTGTGAGGTTGTTATAAAACAGGCATTCGTCCTGCATTCATCTTGAATTGCTTGCATGGTGTTTATACAGCCTCTGGATGGTCAATTGTTCCCACACTTTCCAAACAGCGAAGAGTCTGTTTCTTTTTAAAGTGGATTTGTTGTGCCAGAGCAGGGGCATCCAATGCGGCTTTGGACTCCAACTGCCAGTCAGGGATGATGGGAAGTGTAGTCCAAGGACATCTGAAGGGCACCACATTGACTACCCCTGTGCTGGGGCGACACGGCACTTCAATCCCCTTTAACTGCACAAGTTCAGTATGCCCTTGTATCCCTCTTACAAAATAGTGACAGTGAATATGAAGCACAAGTGAAACGTAAATAAATTGTGCAGCGGTTAATGTAGATAAGAAAATCCGCATAAGAGTGCTATCCTATACAAGACAAACTGAACTCAGTGAGACTTACATACCTCACACATCATTTTATTTCTATGCTACCTATCCATAGTTAAAATCATGTTCAAGACGGCTTACAACATGAAAAAAATTACATAATTACATAACAAAAATAGTCATAAACTAGGGTTGCCTAGGGAAACCTGGGCATGTCCTCTTTTGGGGGGCCCACCTGAGAGGATTTTTACATTTTAAAGGAAATTTCTGGTTTGGGGGAGTTTTTTATTTTTTATTCTTAAAATAAAGATACAAAGGATTGATATTTTTCCACCTTCGCCGCATCAAGCAGTTGGTCCCTTACCTTTCCCGCCCCGACCTGGCCACAGTGATCCATGCGACGGTCACCTCCAGGCTTGACTACTGTAATTCGCTCTACGCAGAGCTGCCCTTGAAGCTGTCCCAGAAACTCCAGCGGGTGCAGAATGCTGCAGCGAGGCTCCTCACGGGGTCTCTGCCATGGGAGCATATTCACCCAGTGCTTTTCAAGCTGCACTGGCTCCCGGTGGAGTACAGGGTCAGATTTAAGGTGCTGCTTTTGACCTTTAAAGCCCTTCACGGCCTAGGACCCTCGTACCTACGGGACCGCCTCTCCCGGTATGCCCCACGGAGAGCCTCAAGGTCCATAAATAGCAACACCCTAGTGGTCCCAGGCCCTAAGGAAGTTCGAGTGGCTTCAACCAGAGCCAGGGCCTTTTCTACTCTGGCCCCGGCCTGGTGGAACACTCTGCCTCACGAGACCAGGGCCCTACAGGATCTGATTTCTTTCCGCAGGGCCTGTAAGACAGAGTTGTTCCACCTGGCCTTTGGCTTGGAGCCGATTTGATTCCCTCCCTCCCTCTCTTTCTTTTTTCTTTTCCTTCTCCTCCTGCGATGAGGCTACATTTTAATATTTTAATGTTCCATTATTTTAATGTTGTATTTTATTTTTGTTTTTAAGTTGTAATCATTCATCTTGTTTTTATTATTGCTTGTAAGCCGCTCTGAGCCCGGCCTTGGCTGGGGAGGGCGGGGTATAAATAAAAAATTATTATTATTAATTATTATTATTATTATTATATAAATAACAGCAACAACCCCCCTCCAACAACCCTCCCTGGCCCAAGAGCCTGTTCAGCAGCCTCACGTTTTGTAGCTGGAGTCAGTCAGGCCACACTCTCCCAGGTCAAGTGGGAAAGCTCTGCAAGGCAGGGAGCAGGTCTTCCAGGAGTCACATCCAAGACTTGCTCCCAAATAAGAGAGTATAGGATACTACTTTTCTCAGTTATCAGAGTTACATAATTAAGTGTGCTTTTGCTTGTCACGGGAAATAGCAAAGATATATGTGCATACTCTGGTCCCTAAAAGTTGCACCTCATTCCAGCTTCCAAAACTGCATGAAATATTTTTGTTGTCATAAGGACTAGAAATGTTTGAGTGAAAGATGGGATCTCAGGTTGATTAATTCAGCCCCTCAAAACCTGTTTTCTATATATCACTTACAGCTTTGTCTTTCCCTGTTCCCTGTTTTCAGTCTAGCAAGGGAAAAAAAGATTATCTTCCATTGCAATTTCTTTGCATCCATAAACCTATTAAAAACAAATATTAATAAAATCACCATCATGAAATTCAAATATAAAATCAATAAAACTTTTAGAAGAAATATTGGTAGCTAAAATCATGCTTGCTGCAACAGAGAAAGTTTTCAGCAGGCATGTAAAACACTGTGATGAGGCTGCTGACTAAAGAGCGCTGGTGCTCCAGCCACACTAGAGAACCATCTCCTCACAAATGTGGGACAGACATTCTGAGGCACTTGTAAAAGTGCAAGTTCCACAGATTGAAGGATCAGATAAATGCACATATGGGGCAAGGTGAACACCTTTATTTTAACTGCAAGATAGACCCAAAAGAGAAAATAACAGAACACCACTAGTAATCACATGCAGCTCTCAATCAGAGATTTGCAACATCTCTTAGATAATGGCAGCTCTCTTTCCCAAGCTCTGGGAAAAAGACCTTTCATTGCCTACAGAAAGCCACCCAATCTTAAACAGCTCCTCACACACAATAGTACAACGAACAGACTTAACATGGACACTGGCACAAGAGCCTGCAAAAAATCTAGATGCCAACTTTGCTGCTACATCATTATTGGCCTCAATAACTTCAAACATACCATCTCAGGCCTATTTAATTGTTCATCTTCCAACATTATATATGCTATCAAATGCCAACAGTGCCCTTCAGCTCTCTATACTGGACAAACAGGACAAACTTTATGCCAAAGAATAAATGGGCATAAATCTGACATCAGGAATCATAAAGCAGAGAAACCAATAGGAAAACACTTCAGTCTCCCAGGACATTCTATACAAGATCTTAAAGTAGCTGTCTTATTGCAAAAGAATTTTATATTTACATTTAAAAGAGAAGTTGCTGAATTACAACTCATTACTAAATTAAAAACTATGGAGAGACCTGGTCTGAATAGAGATATTGGGTTCATGTCCCATTATACATGCTAAAGCTAATTTTGGTCATCTATCCCTTTAAAAATGCCTTGCCCTTCCCTGTGGAACCAACTGCCATAACAGTCATCAACAGTTACAAGGTTGAAGCAACCTCTGCTTCAGAGTATCTGATAAAGTGTGTATTACACATGAAAGCTCATAACTTGAAAGCTTATATTTAGTTGATCTTAAAGGTGCCACTGGAATTATTAAAAAAGATTTTTTTTCATCTTTCACCTTGTTATTTATTATGGTCCCAAGCTCTTAGTGGTACCATTTTGCGCTGTGCATTTTCACAAGCAGGTTTGTCAAGCCTCAACCTGAAGGTGTCTTTTGAAAGCTCCATGGCACCAATGCAGTTATGCAGCCACTTTCCACCCACCGCCAGCTTCTCCAACGCCAGCCCCTTCTGCCTGCTGTGGCAAGCAGGATTTGAATTCTGTCCCACAAGCCGTGGGAAAGAAGTGATGAAATGGCAGGCGAGGAGGCAAAACAGCTGGTGGTCAGCATTTGAAGAGACAAGCAGCACTAGATTCACACTTGGCAATGTTTCAGATCTAAGCCTTGTAGCCAGCACTAAGCAGTCCCTATGCCAAAATCAAGACACTGATAGTTGCTTTTGAAGAATTTCCTGCCAAAGTCAATAGCTGCAAGGTCCAAGCCACTAGGCTGAAATTTTCCCAAGGTCTTCATGTTTGTTGCATGAAAGGCTAATTTTTAATTTTACTATCAAGAGTGTTATTCGACTCCACCATCAAGGTTATCTTCATCCCCCTCCCAGGTTCACTGTGGAAAGGAAGCTGTACAGCAGTGCATATAGCCTGGTGGAACAGCAGGTGCTTTCAATGCAGAAGGAATCCGGTTGAGTTCATGGCATCTCCAGTTAACAAAATCTGGCACCAGCACTGAGAAGGACCCTTCTTTGTCTGTGACCTTAGGATGCTTCTGCCAGCCAGAGTAGACAAAACTGAGCTAGATGGAGCAAAGGTCTGAATCCAACTCTGCATAGGGCATTTTCATATAAAAGCCAGTTCACAGGAACAATCTGTTTCCCACTCAGCTTCGGGGGGGGGGGGGGGCGGCCTGCACGCAAAGGAGTGCTCAAAACAAAAATCAAGGAAAAAAGCTTACATGGTAAAGAGTGGCAGAAAACTAACCAAATATATAAATACAAGTATATGACGAGATTTTTCTGTTAATGTTACAAAGCCAATATAAATTACAGTGTTAAAAAGCCCACCCTGAAAAATCACGCTGGTTAGAAAGGCAGTATCTGCCAGCTAATAAAGTACAGCATGAAGACATGAAACTTTAACAATGCAACCAACAAATGTCATTATAATGATAAAATTACTATATATTATAGAGCTCAATGGGAGACGGTTCAACCCACCCACTTCACTGCAGGCTAATCATTTGTAAACTGCTTAGAAGTCTTTTGTTTAAGTGGCTAAATAAAGCATGAGCATAAGACTGAGTACCTGAACACATCCTGGAATCAATACTGAATAGTGAAGAGGATGACTGTCACACCTGTGTGCTCTCCATAGGTTTTGGACCAGCATTGCCAACGGTGAGGGATGGTGGGAACTGGAGTCCTAAGCATCTGAAGGGTCATAGGTTGGGGAAAGGTGGTGAAGAAGGTGAGTTCTCTGAGTTTTTGCTTTAAGATGCTAACCATTTCAAGTTCTGTAATTGCCCCAAGTTTTGCTGGTCTCAAGCAGCTAGATATAATATTATTTCTTGGCTGCAGGTGCATCTGTAAATAAGAACTCATTGAACTCAAGTTATTTTAGGCAGCTGAAATAGATGCTGTCATTGCAGGCATATTTTGTGATACACATTATACAAATGTTAATTACAAACATTATATAACATTCACATTTTATACAAACATATAACTGCTGAATCTCTATAATGTCAGCAACAGGACAAAAATACCTTCCAAAATAAAAGGGCTAATTTCATCAAAAATAACAGCCTATGAAAAACACTGTAATATAAGTTTACAATCACTATGTGGTTTAAAATTCAGGTGGTAGCCATGTTGGTCTGACGCAGTTGAAATAAATAAATAAAATGTCCAGTAGCACCTTAGAGACCAACTAAGTTTGTTCTGGGTATAAGCTTTTCGTGTGCATGCATACTTCTTCAGCTTATACCCAGAACAAACTTAGTTGGTCCCTAAGGTGCTACTGGACAATTTTTTTATTTATGTGGTATTAATCAAAGATACCCAAAAGGAATGACAGAAAAACAGAAATATCACAAAGAGCCAGCCAGCCACTTCTCAAAGCAAAAAAAAAAAGACACTGAAGTAACAACATGTATCTGCCACTTGATTGTACAAAAACTTCCAAGCAGTTCACAAAAATATAAACCAAAGCATTAAAATTATCAATAAAAACAGTTAAAAACAGGTATTTGAAGATATTCAATAGACTTCAATAGCAGCTAAAAAAACACAAACAATGTGTAACATCCAATTGTCCAGATAGGCTTGCCTAAGCAAAAAAATAAAGGAGATCAATGAATGAGCCTGACAGATGTCAACAGGAAGGAAGCTCCAAAGTGTGGGGGCTGCCATACAAAAGACAGATATCTTACAAATGTGGCACCTATAACAGTGCCAGTTCCTCAGACTGAAGCAGTTGAAAGAGCATATACTGCAATTTCTGGAAGCCCCACACAGAGTGCATGGCGGCAGTCCCATCTTGAAGTCACCAACGCCTGGACCACTGTGGCCAAGCTCTCTTGATCCAAGAATAGTAATGGGTTATTCCATGCCAAATCACCTGATTTTAATACTCGGCCATGCTCTCACGACTCATATTTTCTTCCAAAAAAAAATTATGTGTAGATACTGTTATGTACTGAAGTTCTCACCCTGGGCCAGCAGGGGGATACTGTAGATAGTTATGCAAATGAAGGATCGAAAGTGACGTTCAGTGATTGGATAGTTTGTATGCAAATGATGGATCAAAAGTGATGTTCAGTGATTGGATAGTTTGTATGCAAATGAAGGATTGAAAGTGACGTTCAGTGATTGGATAGTTTTAGAAAGTTGCAACAGTTACGTTGTTCTGGAGCCCTATATAAGCAGGCTGACTGAGCTCCTCAGTTCAGTTCTGTTCTGGCCTTTGAATAAACAAGAGCTGTTTGAAGAATCGCTGTGTTGTCTGATATGTTCGCCCGCAACTTAACAGATACCTATGAGATAAGCTCAAAATAATATTTTAAGATATTTTTGGTCCAAAATTGGGTGCAGGAGAATTTTTTGAAAATTTTGATTTTTGTGAGATTTAGCCTAATGCAATTTCTGCATCAGTGTAGAAAAAACGTCCTGTTTCACTTATTTTTCAACCGATTGGGCTTATTTTGGTATCAAAATAAAGCTAATTGTGGTCTCTTTCAACATAAGGTACAAAAATGGTCTTAAGTGCCACAGAAAAGGGTCACCGACCATTCAAAGTGAATTTTTGTTCTTCCTGGTAGGTTCGATAAGCCATAGCACGCAAACCACAACTAACACATGTTTCATACTTTTGTTGTAGAATGAGCTAACCATGTACTTGTTATGTTTTAAAAATAAGGAGGGTGTTTTTTGTGGTTATAAAATAAATTGATTTTGAAGTAAATTTTTTACCAAAAAAATTTACTTTTTTTGGACAGGTTTAAGGTCTCTTTGAGCCTGAAATAACTCACACATTCGTGAGAATAGTTAAAATTGTACCCTCTTATGTTACAATGTCATCTGAAGTTATTTTTAAAAGTTTTTTTTGATTATTTAATAAAAACAAAATACATCTCAGAGCCCTTGTTCATTTTATGGTGTAAAACACTTCTGCAATGATTTGGTCATTTTTGGTGTTGTTTTTGTTTGTTTTGTTTCTCAAAGGCCATAGCTCTGATTTATTGCCTCGGTCATCAAACTGACGATTTTGCCAACAAGAGACCCTCCTTTTCTGTGGCACTTAAGATCATTTTAATATCTTATTTTGATAGAGACCACGATTAGCTTTATTTTGATATCAAAATAAGCCCAATCGGTTGAAAAATAAGTGAAACGGGAGGGTTTTTCTACACTGATGCAGAAATTACATTAGACTAAATTTTCAAAAAATTCTCTTGCACCCAATTTTGGACCAAAAAACCTTAAAATATTATTTTGAGCTTATCTCTTAGGTATCTACACATAAACTTGAAGAAAATCTGAGTTGTGAGAGCACATGGGACCAGGTGATTTAGCGTGGAACGGCCCAAATACCTCTTGTACCAGACACAGCAGGGAAAAGGCACTTCAGCTGAGCCTACCTGGGCCTCCAGAGACAAAGCTGGATCCAGAAGTCATGCCTTTATCAAAGGCAGATCTGGGGGGGGGGGTGACCAGTGTGTTCACACCAGGCATGGAGCTTCTGGGCACCACAACTATGAGATCCAATGGAAGGCGAGAGGCAGGTGGCCCAGGGTGCTACGAAAATTTGAGACACCAAGGTCCACCTCTGCTTTTATAGAATATGAGCAGCTGAGGGCCCAGTCAAGATTGTGAATCAAGATGGCTTCATATAGAAGTAACACAATACAGAGCATTTTTGCGAACCACAAAATGCCGCCTCCGTGCCACCGCCAGGGAAGATCTACATCTGGAATGAGGGGGTGAGTGAAGATCTACATTGGAAATGGGGGGGGGTGTCAAACAGTTGGAATCAAAGACTATTGCAGGGTGTGGGGAAGGGGCTTGCTCTGAATCACCCTGGGAAGGTGCAGAGAGCAGGAGACCCCAAAGGGCAGCCCCCGCCATTTCTTCCTTAGGGGTGGAAGGAGACTGGCAGCACCTCCTATTTGTCAAGAGACTGCTGTAGAAGTGACATTGGCGGATGAGTTGCCAAGGAGGTGGCACATCTGGCCTCCAAGGAGCGCACCACAGCCGTCGCTGCCATCATAGCAGCAGCAGTGGGTGACGCATTTCTTGGCGGCCAGATCGGCCGCCCCTGTGGATCC